AGTGTCGGGGTCGAGACGCTGCGTGAGGTAGGTGTGGATTCGCAAGAACTCGGTGCTTCCCTCGCTAACAGCCGCGCTGGCGGATTGTGCTTCTAGGGAAGATAGCAGAGCTTGGAACCATTCAAATGACGAGGTGTCCTTGCAAACCCAGATAAACTCGACACGTCGTAGTCGGCGAGGAGGGTTCGGACTTGATCGGAGATGCCAAATGTTCTTGAGAATAGATGCCCAGGGTGTGACGCCAATGCCAGTGCCGATGAGCACGGCGATTTCATTGTCGAATACATCTTCGGCGGGTGCACCATATGGTCCATCCACACGGATCGCGGGCATGGTCTGTCCGTTCTGGAGGGCAACTTCGTACATGCCGTTGGGGTCGAGACCTTCAAGATCTTTGGCTTGGGCGGGACCGCAACCGAGTGCATCTCCAAGTGCTCGGGTGAAATCTCCGACTTGGCGGACGTGAATACTGAGATATGGATCGAAGGGGCAGGAGGTAATGGTGAATGGATGCCACTGGGTACTGGATACGTCAGGTACTTGGAGAAATACCCACTGTCCGGCTTTGTACTTCATGCTTGGTTTGTGGAATTGGATCTCCATGGCGGCTAATGTCCTTTGTTAGCTGCGGTCAATCCAGCATTTGTGAAAGGAGAGGACCATACCATAAGGATGACGAATGACCTTTGTGATGACCGTCATGCGCCGGGATCGGAACTCCCTGTAGAGTCGCTCGAAGAGATACAAAGCCCCGATGACTAACTCCCATCTCCACCCTTCATAGCCAAGACAATGATCCCAGAACTCTTGTCCTGCCAAAGGGGAGATACGGTGGTCGGTGTCTCGGACGAAGCACCCAGTGGCGTGGGTATAAAGCGCCAACATAAACGGAATAAAAAGGTGATGCGCATACCAGAAGGTTTCATATGCTTGCTGGCGAATGCGGTGATGTGCGGTTGTGTACATGAGCATCATGCACAAGAGCATGACATGGCCAGTGATACCACTCGCACGAGCAAAATGGATCTCTACTGCAAGTTCTGGGCGGATCTGCTCTTGTTCGATATTGTAGAAACTGGTTAGTGTTAGCAAAGTGACTGAGGCAAGCTGAATGAGAAAACGGCTTACTTGACGTAGTGAGAAGCGGTGTGGATAGCTGTGAATACTAGCATGGCATAAGCTATTTGCCGGTGGAACCATGCCGACTCATCCAGTGGTAGCCATCTGATTTGTGGTCTCAGCCATCGGAGGATGTTCCGACACATGGGAAATAGGATCAAAGTGCAATCGACCGAGAGAACAAGGCCTGCGCCTCGTGATATCCAGACTGAATAGCTGAGCATATTCAGCAACTCCAACTTTGGATTTGATGCCTGCAGATACCTTTGAGGATGTCAGCAACGCAATTTATGAACTGGTATACGTCAGAGTACATACCATCCTACAGCAAAGATACCAATATGTGAACCCCAAAAGAACAAATGGAACAAGACCTTGGAAACAGTCAACTCCGACCTATTCCACCAGGAAGCTTGAGCTGGGGCCATTCTTTCTCTTCCTTTTTAAGAATGTCGACCAGCGACGAGTAATTTAGGCGATAAAAGATGATTCAATCAAAGGAGTGACAAGTCCAGACGGTTGACCAGCAACCCGGTAATATACACTGAAGTTCAGTCGAAAGCGAAACCTCCTGATCAGCTTTCGTGGCAAGACTCCAGTGTCAATATTGGGAGGTCAGTGGCTTCGCAAGTAGTCAACGCCCTTGTTTCTCCATGAAATTGACGTAAACCAGAATCTTCCGGGATAACCCGCTTTGAAGACGAAGAGCCGGTTCGAAAATGTTCCAAATACTCTGGAACACCTCGCACTGGGAAAGGCAAACTCGCAGCTTGCGATAGTGCTCAATAAAGATGTATAGAAGCTTGAATGTGGGTTGCGCGCCTTGTCGCGAGCGCTCCTGGCGTTCCGCCGGGGGATTTCCCTGCACGTGTTCTCTCTAATATAAGAGGTTACTGGCACACTTGAGATAAAATGTGATATTTTATCGGTTGATTCAAGTTGCCCTAGACATAGTTGACGTCAATAGATGAATAAGGACAGGACCGGAGAAGAGTTGGAGGTTCAGAGAATCCCAGTGTTGTGGTTTTAGCTGCAGGGGTGGGGGGGCCGATCTATAATTACATCGCTTCTGGCGGGCACTGCTCCGTCTAACCGTCTAACCGACTGTGGTATATTTCTGTCCAATAGACTACTACGGAGTATTCAAGCCTACGGTGTCTGTGCTTTCCAAATTCTCCTAAGAATGGGTAGTGGAAAGAGACCAAGAGACGAAGTCCCAGGGCTAGAATCTTGGTCGCTTAAAAGCCTCGTCAGTTTTTGCCCGGTCTCTTTCAACTGCTATCTTGGCTTATTCTTCCCAACTCCAGTTTATATTAATACTCTGAGAAGTTTTCTATTTTTAATGACCGTTCGTAGCAGGCACACCAATCATGACACGAAGTTTATACGCCTAGAGTCTGACCACCGTGCCACGTTCCCCGCGATGAAGCGAGTAAGTCAAAGGAAGCACACGCAGTTCGACCAATCTTATCCGATTTGGGTTTTTGCTCTAATAATGGTGGGCTTGGGCGGGTGGAAGCTAAACGGGTCGACGCCAATGTCCAAAAGAGACTAATGCCCCGGTGGTGACAGAGAGGCTGGTGAGTGGCCATGAGGACTGTGAGTGGGCAGCGTTAAATGAGGTCAAGGAACGAGCGTCGATGGGAGATTGGCCTATTATAATCCATCTGCAAGCGCTGTCTTTTCGTCACACGGGACGCCGAGGGTCGCCCAGCATCGGTGAGAATACCTATCATTCGGTTCAGGATCCCTAGTGCGTTCACGTATCGCCCAAATATAGAATAGCGACTGACTCGAGCTCTGTTTCCCCATCAACGAATTTTTTTTCTCTCCCCGATAAAAGTATCCACTTAGCACTGCAGGTTAAATCAGGCACGGATTGACATTGCAGAAGATGTCGAAAGACGGTCTGTTGCACACTGAATTGGAATCAGGGCTACCATGGTCATCTGATCTGGAATGTTCCAAACTTGTCTCTGGTACAAAGATGAGACAACCCAGACAACCCAGATAGTGCAGAAAATATACTCCTCGGCTGAAATCCTCAATAATAAAATTACAATTCGAATGTCGATGAGACTTGAAAGTGAAGGTCCCTGTGCGTGCCATGCGTGCCACCTGCAGTTCATCACGCCAAGCGCAAGCTGCGGCCTCTGATTTGCGGACATCCACTTTGCGATCCGCTCCGTCACATCCCCCACTCTCCAATCACGCGGCCTAAGCCGGTTCTTCAAGAAGCTCAGGAAGAGGGGGTTGTCAAGGATTCGAGGACTTTCGAGGCGATGATTGGTCTATAATACTTGTATCCGTGCGGATCACGGTTTAGCCCTATTCTTCTTGCATGTGGACCAACCCCCGTGCAGCGATTCACCTTTTTTGGCGCTCGACAATCACATCCTGGCAAAGTGTGCCAAGTTCTGGTTGAGTTATCAGAGGGGTCGGTAGTCTAAGTATAGATTCTTATACCTAGTTCAACCTGCAAGTATGCTACTCGGATCATGCTGCTTTTTCTTTCCCCATATGAGATCATGTTAGCACGATAAACCCTTGCAATATTATCCACTTTCCATGTGCTCTGGATTATCCAACTTAATCAAAGTCTCTGTGGCTTGCGATCATACGATGAAGTGATCCTCTCACAGAATACGTCGCAGCTATTTGGGGTTTGCGGGATATGTCGCCCGGGATTACCTCCGCACTTTGTCACTTACACTAAAGTGACTTTATTTCCTCCGAGACCTTCGCTGGACGAAGCTCTACCACACACAACAAGTTTTTGCACGGCCAAGTGCCCATAACTCAGCACAATGGGCCGGCTCATCAAGAACCATTGGGGGCGGTTAATCATTCTCACCGCAGCAGCTTGTACGTTGCCTACTCAATACTCCTAACGCGAAGCCGGAGCTGACACAATTCAAACAGACCAGGTTGCCAGTGCTGTCGAGGGCTTTATTTGGCCCAAAGTATTCTGGGACTTTATCTCCAGGAACCTCGATGCGGCCGTCGCCCCGGTACCCGTTCTCCAAATCCTAAACCTCATCATGGGCCTCGTGGGCATAGCCTGGGAATGGCCTCTCAAGCCACTTGCTGGGTCAATACCGCATCGCAGCATTGAAATCCGTCTCATCATATACCCTCTCAGCGCCCTCCTCGCGGCGCTTCTCTATCAAGGGACAGACCCTGCAATATATTATTTGATTGGCATCGGTGTTTATTTCTGGGCCTACAGTGAAGGCGAGGTATGTTCTTCCGCATATTTGGACATAGGCTGTTCTTGTGCTAACAAGAGGATGTATAGGTCGTCTGTCCGGAGCCTTGGACCTTGCCGAAACGGCAAGGAATATTTAAAGCATAACAATGCTTCAGTCTGGTGCGTTGGATGCATCAGACGCAGATCATGTAAATAGCATAATACATAACGAACTTGACGACTTGAAAGAGTGACATTACTTGTATCATTAATCTCCATCTCGGTTGTGTGGTCATATGGTCTGGCTGATAACCAGTTGTGGAGAATCTGATGCCCGTTGGCTGAAAATTGTGTAGCGGAAATGGCCCATTGTTGCCGATTCTCGCCCGTCCCCCGAGACCGTTTCTTAAATTGGCCTCCAGCTCATCCCTTTCTCTTTCCTCCCTCTTAGTCTACTGGCATTCACCCATCTATCTCCCTAAATATTATGTCAAACAACACCCGCTTACCCCACCACAAATCCTATGGTGAGCCCCCGAAAGCCATATAACATATACTACACAATCCCATACTACAAACTATTCTTCTACTCATACACCTTCATCGGATCATTCACTTTTGCTGGATAACCGATTACCTCCCAACAGCCGGTAAAGCGTGTCTCTGGATCGGGTTTGCCATCACATGCGGACTACTGTTCGCCATGCACCCATCGATCTGCACCGAGCGGATGAGAACAGATGAGGGGGGAAAGCCAGCTCGAGTACGTCGTCCGCTGATCGGGTTCAAAAGATGCGAGGTTGCTTTGGACGTTGATGGCATTAACAATGGGCTGTATGATGCTACGGATGGGAATTCCGACTTGAGACTTCATGATGGGTGTCGGTATGGGTATGCTAGAATTCGTATATAGAATGTTTCTGGGGCGGTCTGGTTACTCCTCGATATAGGAGGATTGTATGTGGTTTACTTGGCGCTTGAGATCTTCTGACGGTTCGGGTATTAGGCACCTCGAGTGCCAGACATTATCCAGCACATGTATGTATGTGGAGGTGTATTTGCGGCTTCGGTATATAGGAAGGATTGAGGGGAATGCGGCAATATGCATAGGGGTAGAGAGGGAAAGAGAAGTGAAAGCACCACAAAAGCCAAGGTTCCTGTAGGGCCTAGGGCGGCCATATCCCAGTTTGACAATACCTACCTACCTACCTACCTAGGTAGGGAGATGGACGGTAAAAGCGGCTAGGGACGGGGCTAAACCAAAACGGGGAAACCTGAGGGCGCCATAGCTGGAAGGGAAGGGTCAGGGCGGAGGTGGCTAGGCGGTCGGATCCGGCAGATATACAGTGTCGCCTGGCACGTGATGCTCTGTCTAGACAAAAAAAAAAAGAACGTCATTTTGATAAGAATACTCTCACTACTTTTAGAGGTCCAGAAGATCCCATATAAATGCCTCGCACGTTGTCTATATGCCTTTACCCGGCTGCTTGGAAACCGAGAACTAACCTAATCTGACTGACACCAGACAAGATGCCTCCGTCCACAGAAATCCAACCCAAACTCGAGGAAGACGAGACGGCGCTTGAAACAGCGGAGGATGTTCCAGTCAACAAAATCACCAGCTTCAATGGCAGGCTGCAGCAATTCCTCCATAATGGGACCACAACACACGAAGCCACAAGTGCCTCGAGAACTACTATATCCCAGCGCGGCATAACCACCACCAAGGCCGAATACGAACGCCAAGCAGACCCCATTATCCCCAGCCCAAGACGCAAGAGAACAGTCCCACCAACAGCGCCAGCAACCACAGCCACGCACCAACGCACCACCCGTTCAAAATCAGCCCTAATGGCAACCTCTCCATCCCCAAGCAAACGCAAGCGCAGCACAGCAACCCCACAAATCCCACCCACGCCCCCAATAGCGGGTCCTCCAGCTACAGAATCCCTCCTGCGCGACACGATCCCTCCGAACCTGGTCCTCCTACTCGTAGGCGTGAACCCGGGAATAATGACAGGCGTAACGGGGTACGCCTACGCACACCCGTCAAACCTATTCTGGAAACTGCTCTATTCGTCGGGGATAACAAGCGTGCGCCACATACCCGCCGACACATACAAGCTTCCTGCGCTGTACAGCGTAGGCAACACGAACATTGTGGAGCGGCCGACGCGTGACGCGAGCATGCTCAGTCGCGCGGAGATGGATGCCGGTGTGCCTGTGCTTGAGGCTAAGGTTGCTGCGCAGAGGCCTGAGGTTGTTTGTCTTGTTGGGAAGAGTATTTGGGAGGCTGTTTGGCGGGTTAGGCATGGGAGGGGGATTCGGAAGGAGGAGTTTCGGTATGGCTGGCAGGCGGAGACGGAGAATATGGGTCGTGGTGATGGTTGGGCTGGTGCGCCGGTTTTCGTCGCTACGACGACTAGTGGACTTGCGGCTGGGATGAAGCCTGCCGAAAAGGAAGCTGTTTGGGCGGAATTGGGGAGTTGGGTTGTGAAGAGGAGACAGGAGAGGGGGTTGGAATCTGTGGTGGTTAAGGAGGAGGTTTGATGTGAGAGGTTTAGATTTACTGTTGGTTTTATTTGTATAGATGATGTCGCTATACCATATACTATCATGAGTTATGACCATTGCTTGCTAAATTGTTGCATGGATTTACGAATGGAATGTTCAAGATTAAATTGGAGAAAAAAAAGTGTTTGTATTTGTAGACGAGTGAAGTCGCTCATCATTCATTATCTCATGATATCAGGTGCAGAAGCCTGTGAGTACCAATATGCAATCCCAGAAACGGCGAACAATCTCTCCAAGCCCATTCCAGAGCTGAAGATAGAGGATGTTACATGACGTTTTCCGAAAGGACAATGCGCCGAAGTGCCAGACAAGGGACGATCGAGGGATATGGATATCTCAATAGAGGTCAAGGTGAGGGGTAAAAGAGGGGAAGTAGGTGTCCAGGGCGTGATTCGATGAAGCAACACCTATCCGGTCTCCCCGTTGGCCCCGAAAGGAGTAGAGAACAGATTTAGCGAGTACCGTTGGACTCATTCTTGTATCCCTCACGCTCGCGTGCCTGTTGAAGTAAAATTAGTATATAGAACCCTACAATTGATTCACTGAATATGAACTTACCTGGGAGGGCTGGTATTCGCCGGCTTCTAGGATCTTGATCATGCACTCATCATCTTTGGTTGTGCCAAATTCATTCTGAAGAGCGCTCTGGCTAGCGGTATCAAGGAGGCCTTGAGCTCCGTGGCTGCATCCAGAGGTTAATGATCTGACCGCAATACAAAGGCTGGAAACACTTACGACCGAGTCAGGAAAATCTTCCAACCGTTCAGAACATCAGTCAGAGGAATGCTGCGGTCATTCTTCCACTTCCTGAGGGTGTCAATGTCATCGACGAAGACAATGAAGTCGTCCGAGCTACCCTTGTAGAAGATCTTGGAGGCAGTTTCGTTTCCACGAGCCATTTTGAATGATGTAAAGCTTGTTGAGTTCTGGAGATACTGAAGAGATCTGAAGATATTCGAAGGTATTTGAATAGATAGAGGGAAAATGTTGAGTGAAGATGTGAAGAGAAGATCAAAGGTAAAAGGCCGGTGGTTTAATAGCAGGTGATGATGACTGGTGACGTCATACTATGAGCTGATGCAAACAAAAAAAGAAGCTGCTCGCATGTTTCGTCTTCATCTACATGGGGTACCTAGGTAGGTCTGGAATTGTACAATCAAGTACAATTAAATCACAGTGGATATGCTTATGTGTCATTTGTAGTCCTAGTCCCTCACTTTACTATAGTCCTTTACAAAGGTGAGTTGCCAACTATTGCAGCAGTCGACGTCATTGTAGCTCCCCTGCCCACTATAGGATCCGCTGTGACGCCAAACGTGGGGATAATCCTCAATGAGCCAAGTGGCAAAGGTTGGAGAATCTGCTTGCATTCCAATTAATAATTAATTTTTATAAGTAGTCCAAAGCCACAATTACGTTTTCGGGTTAATTATAATTGTCCCCTTGACTCCAAGCTCCCTCCGAATGTACCAGATCCCAAAACGATAACACTTGCCCGACTACGTAACAATAGGGTCTTCACTCAGCATGAGAGCGGGGCTTTTTTTGGTTTCTTGGATGCCAATGCACTAAATAGATTCTTCGGAGACGACCACTTCTGGGGAGACGACCATTTCTTGGAAGATGGAGATATCTCGGGACTTCCATCCTGGCTCCGTCTCTTGTCGCTAAGGGGCGAGGAAACCGACGATGCGGGATTCTTGGGTGAACCTTTGAAAAGGAATGTCTTTGACCGCCGAGGTGTGGTGGGGGTGCGAGGCGACTCACACTCGACCTCCTTGTCCTCCCCTATATCGCTGCTGCCTGCTGCCTCCTTGTCCTTTCCCTCATCCTCCTCCTCAGGGCGCATCTCGGTTGATCCTGCTTTTGAATGGAAGGTGCTGACGGAGGTCGACCGTCTAGTAATCCCCGGGCGAAGGGTGAGCCGTCTCATGATTGGACCACGTCGGAATAGGTCACCCTTCCAAGAACCATTCCTGGGAATGGAAGGAGGTCTGCAGTGTAGACATCTGAGATCAGTCGCTCCAGCCGGATTCGCTCAATCCGGCGAGCAGTCAATGTCAATGCAGAGCGATCAACAGGTGTCTTAGGCCGTTCAATCTCGCCTTCAGTCTGCATGACTGGTTCTTCGGTATGGCGTGGGTAGTGCGTTTTCTTGATGACCAGGTGTTGGACACGGAACTTGCGGGAGATTGTCATTGAATCCATCGATGACCTGCGCGCCATAGAAGACACTGTGTACTGAACTTGGTCAAGCGGCAACAGTGGAAGAGCCAAGAAAGAATGTTTCCTTGGCTCCCACGTCCTGGGCTGTGCCGTTTCGACCAAAGCGGCCGATACTTTGAGAATCTCGGTATTCCAATGCTTTTCTTCCGCTGCCGATGATGCACTGAGAACAACTTCGTAGTTCTCATCTTGGTTCTCGAACAGGAGCTTCCACGAAAATATACATCCATATGAGCAGAGTCCTGATGAGTTAGATGTATACTTTGAGCATAAAGTTTCAGCGAAAGGCTACTCACCTCGTCCATTTTGAAGTGTATCAATCTTGAGACTATCTAGACAGACACAGGCCACTGCTTCCAGTCGACGCTGGTCATCGATTCCCTTGGCAAAGAGAAGGTAACGTTGGAAAAGCACACAAACCATGAACTCGCCGCTGGTGGTGTCCGCCGTTTGATATGTAACATGCAGTACACCGCACAGGACCAACGGGCCTAGGTCTTTATATACACTCTGGAGTGCGTACTGCCCAACATATTCAGTCATGTCATTTCATCAATGAAGATCTTGTGTTGCCTACCGATTTCGTGATATCCACCTTACCCTGGAGAATAATTGTTTTCTGGATGCGATCTTTGTTGACTGGGTTTCCAGTGGCCGAATTGATCTGTGTTACCAGCCCCCGTATTGTGTCCAAAACTTCCTCGATTCCGTAATGGGAAGACGGGCAATCACTGACAGGGGTAGATCTGAGCAGATCTTGTAGTACGAGGGGGTATTTGCAAAGACGTTGGATGGGCTATCTTCTTGTTAGTGGTCGAAAACACCCAGGCTGAACTCACGCACCTTTATCAACAAATCATTCAATGTCATTGATTTGTTGTCCTCTTGTCTGCGTCGCTCAGTGGACGCGACCGACTTCGAAAGCGCCTCGATCCCTTGATCATATATCGTCCAGTTAGCAATTGACCGTCGCAAGAGAGCAACGTCTTGTGTCAATAGTTCATAGTTGCTGCAGAATTTGTTGTATGTAGGGAATGAAAGTGACTATGAATGGCCAGTCAGTGCATATAATGCTATTCAGTATACCGATACTTACCAATTTCCCCAGTTCACGGGCAACTTCTAGCCCCTCTGCTGGTTCAGCAGTGAGTGCCATCAGGCGTTGGTTGACTGATGCCTTGAGTGATCGAGTCCTTAAGGAACGTTGCTGAAGTCCCTTTAGGCTGCCCAGGTCAAGACTGCCTATACGCTTGGTGATCCCTCGAGACATGAGCTCAGAGGCGCCTGCCTGTTGAGCCTGAGGTGCTGACAAGGGAGATGCCGTCTGAAGTTGGGTCAAAAACCGTTCATGTATTCCAAGGATCTCCTGGATGTTGTCGTAGATTTCGCGCCTCGTGTCGAAGATCGTAAGGATCTGTGGGTTTATAGAGCACATCAGCATCAGACTAAGGGATGAAAATTAGCTCAATGGCTTACCCCTATAAGAGCCTTCAGACCAAGTACATAATCAGCCTCGGTCTCGACAAGCTCCTGTAGGATATGGCGCCGTCTGGTGGCCCGTGTTTCCGCAGCCTCATCAGCTTGGTGACTTGAGGTTGGCCTGGAGCTGTCACCAGAATGGCGCACATCCGACAGTGTGCTCTGGTTTGTTGCGCTTTGGATAGTTGTCCTCGATCTTATCAAACTCTGGCTTCCAATGCTTGCTGTGGTTGTTTTGACGGTTCCGAGATGCGATGAGTCGGATGCACTTGACCGGTGACCTTGCGAGCCATGAGAAGATGAATCTGACCAGCCCTCCACGAACCGCCGGGAGGCGGAAGACTCGTTTTTCCGTCCTCGAAAGCTGTCCATCCATTTCTTGAATGGACGAGTAGTTGTCTTATCGCTCGGAGTCACTCCACCGCTGCTCTCGAACTTCTCTTCGGATTCATCATCCAGCAGGGCTTGTTTCTCGATGATCGCTTCATCTTGGTCCGCCATGGTCGCAAGTAGTGATCCCGCCCAATAAAATATAAGACTCAGGTTCCGACAGCATGGAGAAAGAAGAGGCGGACCTACCCGACTGCTCAAAACAACGGAATTGAACTTCATGGCGAGGGAGGAGCAACGGGGAGTGCCTGCCTCATCTACATCTCCGGCGTTGGAAAGTGCATGTAGAAGAAACAGGGGAAACTGCCACTATCCAGACAGTACAGAGTAGAGATTGCGAATTTGAATCCCATCCATGTACGTCATGAGGTAAGGCAGCGGGATAGCTGGAATCAAAATAACACATTTTATATTTTATGATCTGCCGAGCGAATAAGCCTTTCCCTATTATAAAAGATATTAGCATATAATGTCCTAAAAGTGCAGTTTTTACAAAAAAGTTGACGCCAAAGTCGTATACTTCGAGCGCCAAGCATCGCCGCTTATATAAAATAGTGGGAGCTCCCTGCCCATGTGCCACCCCAGACCCACCTGACCTTCTTCTCTCACTTTCCTTCTTTACTCAGGAAATCATCATGGACGATAACATTCATGCTCCAACCGTTGCCTCTGGACCGGCATCCGGGCCCACGCCCCGCGATCTGTCCAAATTGTCGATGCCAGATCTGATGCAGGAGAAAGAACGCATCGAAGCGGAACTGTCAGCTCTCAGTAGCGTCCTCGAGTCGGTGAGATCTCAAACCCAGAAGTTCCTGTGGCAGTTGCTGACAAGCCTTTTTCATTTCAGCATGGTGTACGCATGACTTCATCTCTCACAACCTTCGACGGGTTCCCCCGTGATGATATCGACATCGCGCAAGGTACGCCCCTGCCACACCACAATCGATTAGGACATATCGCTGAAAGGGAAATATAGTTCGCACAACGCGAGTGCGCATTATCCACCTACGAAACGACCACAAAGAGGTGATGAAACTTCTCGAGAAAGGCATCCACGCACATTTCGCCAACCTACAAAATGCTCAAGGCGCTGGCCCAACTACGAATGGCGCAAGCGTCCCGTCTGTTGCGCAGTCGTCGACGAATAACACTGCGTTGGGGACACCGTTTGCCAAGGTTAATAGTGTGGTTTCGGGAAGTCCAGCAGAGCAGGCGGGACTGAAAGCTGGCGATGCAATTCGGAGTTTTGGGAATGTCAATTGGCTGAACCACGAGCGCCTTTCAAAGGTTGCCCAAGTCGTTCAAGAAAATGAAGGGGTACGTTCGGTTCTCCGCCCCTCTGTCAAAATTCCTATCTGACTCCTCTTTTTCTCTACAGCGCGCAGTGTCGGTCAAGGTCTGTCGGAAGGATGAGACTGACACCACAACGGAGTTGGACCTCCAGCTCACCCCTCGACAAAATTGGGGCGGCCGTGGCCTGCTAGGATGTCACCTGGTTCCCTTATAAGGGGCCACTTGCACTCATAGCCTGGTTCTGCTACCGCTGTGTACATTGACGATATGTACTGATTATGACTAATGCGAGACGACTTTTCTGTCTTTTTCTTTCCAAAATACTTGGGCTCCTGTAGAGAAAAACGGGGAAGCCGTATGCATCTCAACGGCGTTGAAGATAACTTGGCAGGCGAAGACCTAACCACGAGAATTTAAATTTATTCCAATAACCGATATGAGAACAAATACAAGTAAAGCTCTTCATTAACATAAACCCTGCACTTGTAGTAAAAATTTGCCATTCAAAAGCAACCTCAGATGGACCGATATGTTTGCGCCATGTTGACACTACGTCAGATACGCCTTAGGCATAAATGCACGTGACCCGCAGCGACGGGGCAAAAATTCCATCCAGCGCTATTAATTCATTCCCCTTCTTTCACCCCTCCCTTCTATCAACAATCCGCCCCCATCCTTACGGCGCGAAATCTTGAATCTTTCTTTTTTTCAAGCTTCTCTCTAATCGATTTTCACTATGGCTGCTGAGACTCCCACATTCAAGCTCGTCCTGGTCGGTGACGGTGGTACTGGAAAGGTAAGCGCATTCGAGCCTCGATATCTGATCGTTGATGAGCATGGGCTCAGAGTGGCAGCCATCTGCTCGGCGATGGTCACCTCATGAAATTCATGAGCACACTGAGCTGCTCTTTCGTGACTACCCTCTGCGCCCGCGCCTGTCAACAATACTCAATATCTGCCCAACCGCCCCGCCTCACCGCGACTTCATTACTAACACAGTGAATCCCAACAGACCACTTTCGTCAAGCGCCACCTGACTGGTGAATTCGAGAAGAAGTACATCGCCACCCTTGGTGTCGAGGTGCACCCCTCAACTTCAACACCGTATGCTACCTACCCCGCCGAAGGACCCCGCTTCGAACCGTGCCATGGTGTGATCGTTTCAACTAACCCGGCCTGAACAGAACTACGGTGCTATCCAGTTCGATGTCTGGGATACCGCTGGTCAGGAGAAGTTCGGTGGTCTCCGTGATGGTTACTACATCAACGGCCAGTGTGGTATCATCATGTTCGATGTCACTTCCCGTATCACCTACAAGAACGTCCCCAACTGGCACCGTGAGTGATTTCTCTTTGATAGTGAACCGATCGAGGTAATTTTTGCTAACCGAACTCTAGGTGACCTCGTCCGTGTCTGTGAGAACATCCCCATTGTCCTCACCGGTAACAAGGTCGACGTGAAGGAGCGCAAGGTCAAGGCCAAGACCATCACCTTCCACCGCAAGAAGAACCTCCAGTACTACGACATTTCCGCCAAGTCCAACTACAACTTCGAGAAGCCCTTCCTTTGGCTCGCTCGCAAGCTTGTTGGCAACCCCCAGCTCGTACGTCATTTTGTGCTTTGATTGGAACACGAGCCGATTGATACTGACCTACTATCGTTTAGGACTTCGTTGCCGGAATTGCCCTCGCTCCCCCGAGGTTACCGTTGACGAGAAGCAGCTCGAGGCTTACCGCAAGGAGATGGAGGAGGCCGCCAACCAGCCCCTCCCCGACGAGGACGATGCCGACCTGTAAATCGGTGCGTTCAACGACGGGTCCACGAAGTTTCCGAAATGAAAGTTGGGAGTTGCTCTACCCTGTTCTCTCCCACGTTTCCCGAGTCCTATCTCACAACGGGTGGGAGACAGGAAGTATACGACTCCCGGGGATTGCCATTTTTTTTTAGTTTGGGTTTTGCAATGCAAAAGCAAAGTCTGTTCTCCGAAATCACGATACAATGAAAGCGGATGGGGGATAGTCGTGGTTTGAAGACATGCATTTTTTTTTTCCTTTTTGATTTCCCCCCAACCTTAGTAGCTTAGACATCCCAATTGTCCTTTTCTCCCCGAAATGAGCACAGCATCAAAAAAAAGCATGTCCTCTTTCAACAAGATTTAAAAACTTCCTTTTTGTTACTCTGAATACCTATTCACCCTCAAAATAGTACATTTAGATCTCTGAGCGTCTCGTCGAGTTGAATACTAGAACTACTTGGATCACGAGTATCAGGAGAAAACTAAGTTCAGGAAAAACAACATCGTTAAGGCTGGCTTTCAGACATTATTGAATAGCACAACGCCTCTTCCACGAGAAAAGAGAACAACGCCAGGGTATAGCAATCATTGGCCTCCAAGAAAAACAAAAAAAAGGAATAACTGATTTCCACGCCACCCATCACTTGGATATGGCAGAACAATGAAATAGCAATCGTATCATCGGACTATCTCCGGTCTTTCGAGATCGAGATTATCCGGCAAACAGGACAACGTAATCAAGAATGATTACAAGTCCCTCACACCCTGTGTAATAGATGAGTTAGCAAGGGGTCCGGTAAAAGTAGACAATGAGAAAAGAGATGGACGGGAAAACATACAAAGAGATAAGCAAGTTCCCTCGCATCCAGCCGGGAGACATTCATAGTACCACCCTCATCGAGAGCACCACTAATCAGCTCACGCTTCTGGTCCTGGAGAGTAACAATGCGATCCTCAACGGTATTTTCAATAAGCAGACGGTGAACGAAGACCTCCTTAACCTGCCCGATGCGATGGGCACGATCAACAGCCTGGTCTTCGATATATGGGTTCCAGAAAGGATCGAACATGATGACATGCGAGGCGGCGACGAGGTTCAGGCCCGAGTTACCGGCCTTGAGGGAGACGAGCATGATCTTGCAAGAGGGGTCGTTAGTGAAAGCCGTCACGGCGGCGTTGCGCTCTTTCAGGTTCATGCTGCCGTCGAAGCGGGTGTGGTTCCAGCCGCGGCGGGCGAGGGGCACTTCGAGAAGATCCAAGAGGGAGGTGAACTGGCTGAAAATGATGGTTTTCTCCTCTAGGCCGCGGTCTTCGTTGGCTTGGAGGATCTCCAGCGTCTTTGTGATTTTTGTGCTGGGGAACCAGCCCTTTTCGAGGCGGCGTATGTATTTCTTCTTCTCGGCCTTGTTCTTCAAGGCGTCCTTTCGCAGCTCGGCTAGAGACTTCGACTTCGACTTCTTCTTTGATTCCGCGTCGCCCTCTTCAGTGGAGCTATCGGAGTCATACTCATCACTGCTCGCTGTTGCCTCTGAGTCTTCATCCTCATTGGCTCCGTTGATATCACCGGCTCCGGCGGAAGATTCGGGCATTGAGCTTGGGTCATGAACTTGCTTGAACGAATTGGTATCAGTGAGCTTCGTAGGGTCCACAGGTCCTCGGCAATTCTGGCACTTGATCACAGTTGGACCATCGTCTTCGAGGTTGATGGCTCCATTTGCAGCTGCAGAGTCGGAAATCCGGATCCAGCACTCCGAGCACACGTGGTGTCCACATGGAATGTAAATAGTCGCGTTGATGACACTGTCCATGCAGACAGGGCAAGTGCCATCCTCTTCGTCATCATTTTCTTTGATACGTTGCACTACAGCAGCACTCAGAAGCTTGGCGTTGGCGATCTTATCCACCCCTGGGATAGACGGGGAAGGTTCGTTCCGGAACTCCTGCATGAGGAGCGGATGGCAGCATGCCTGCCGAAGACGGAGAAGGAGAACTAGAACATGGCTGTAGTTTCTACCCAGCGTTCCAGAATCGAGGTATCGCGTGATCTGCCTTTGAGTGGACGTATTGAGCTCCTCATAAACCTGGCTTTCCCTCTCATCAAACACAACATGGACCTTCTCAGTGACCTTTGGTGGGAGCTGTAAGATGGGCTCGCCATCAATCTTGGAGGTTTTTGTACGCCTGAGACAGACAGACTTGACCAGGACGCGTAGTTGCTTCATGACATCCTCTCCTCCCCAGCCGGATTTGATGCGTTTCACGAAATCCTAGATTAGGCATAAGCGTTAGCCACCCGAAGAAGCATTAATAGCGAGCTATAGAGAATACTGACCGCCTTGAATTTTGCTGAGTTGCTGTAAGGCCGAATCCGGAGGAATCCCAATAGGGACTGGAAGTCTTCGAGACGATTCATCATGGGCGTACCAGTCAGGCACCAGCGGTAGGTAGCATTGAGTCGACAACATGCTTGTGAAGATTTCGCACTTGGATTCTTGATGTTCTGTGCTTCATCGACGATGACTCGGTGCCACTTGGCGGCAGGATTGAGAGGGCCGGCCATATTTTTCATGTCTTGGATAAGGGAGGCGTCTCGCCCTTCCTGTGCCAACCTTTCCCCCTCGAGCAATGTTTTGTAGTGCGCGGTGATAGTACCAAACGTGGTAATGACGACATCGTACTTTTTGAGCTCCTTCCACGGCCTGCGCCGTTGATGGTAGATCAAAACAGATAATTGGTGTCTCCCCGGTTTCACATGGCGCTGAATTTCGAGTCTCCATTGATCCATAAGTGCCTTGGGTGCGACAATCAAAGTCGGGCGTCGGTCTTCATCTTCGAATGGACGAGCAACCATCAGCGCAATCGCTTGAATAGTCTTACCAAGTCCCATATCATCTGCAAGAATTCCTCCTTTGTGACTGCTCTCTTCCTTGGCCTTCATCCATTTCAGGCCTATCTTCTGGTGCTTCATCAATGTAACTCGAAGCGCACTCGGTGTCTCCTCATTGTCCGCTCTGGTTGCCTCCCGAATGTCTTTGATACCGCCGAGCAAGTTCTTGATATCTTCAGGAAACTCTTTCTCGTTGTAGGCCCTATATAGAATGAGTTAGAACTAGAACCAGCTCTTTAAAAGAAAGATGCGGAATTTACACTATGTCAGCATCGTCATCGAATATTTCGCTCTGGTTGCGAACCAGGTCAAAGGCCTTGTCGAACTTGTCATATGCACCCGGCATTGGAGCGTAGGGAGGCTCACGCGCCCAGGGGAGCACTCTGGAGGTAGCTCCTGATGACATTTTTGAGGGACTCGATAGTTGGGAAGGATAAGGCATTTGAGGAAAAGGCATTTGAGAAGGATATGGCATTTGGGAAGAGCCTACCAACTGGGAGGGGTATGGCAGTTGGGAGGGATACGGCATTTGGGAAGAGCCTATCAACTGGGAGGGATATGGCAACTGGGAACGATTGAACCCTTGTGAGGAATATGAGGATGTGGAATATGGCGAAGCCAGGTTTTGATAGTTGAAGGAACTGGATTGGCGGACTGGCTGCTTGCCGGATCGAGAATTGAATGAATCAGCAGTGATTTCTTGAATATCATCGTCGGAACTGAACGGGGTGAGTTTATTGAATGGGGCTATCGGGGCATATGTCTGAGATGTGTGAATGGCTTTTGATGAGAGAGGTTCGAGTTTTACCGGGTGAGTGCGGTCTGGAAGATCCCATGCATCCTGCTCATTGAAGCCCTCGATGGGGAGTTGACTGTGATCCTCATCGGCTTGGAGCGCGCGAGCCAGCTCCGCGTCTCGTTTCATTTGAAACTCTGTTTCAATCAACTTTGCCTGTTCATCACACTCATCCCGAAGTTCCTGTAATTGATCTGCATCGTCACCTGCGGCATCGATCCATTGCTTGTACAAGCGGTTATTCTCGGCAAGGCGGGTTTCTTGCTCAGCATCTATCGCGTCGAGTTTAGATCTGCGGGATTCAGGCTGCGAGGGAGCAATCCTTTTCGATGATCCTTGTATCGTGGGTGATACCTGAGATAGCGGACGCTGGCGTTTACGAGAATTATCTGGAGAAGATTGCAACATCGGCGAAGCTGGTATCATTGTCGACTGGCGAGATCCAGAGGCGAAAGGCGAGGGTGCAGCAGAAGGCCAGTGAGGGGACGCAAATGAATCTCCGGGAATTCCAGTGAAACCATTCGACGCCATACGTGGAGCAGCCGCTGGCGTGCGAACGGGCGGAGTGGGCGACGACACTTGGGGTGTCGGGGCGGCTTGAGGAGTAGGAACAGGATCACCAAGGAGCGTGGCAACCTGGACTTCCATTTTTCTGATGGTATCACGAAGTTCATCTGCTTCTGCACAAGCACCCCGCGTCGAGAGGAGATCATCATAGATGTATCTGTAGGTATCGAGATCTTCAAGAAGATCTTTGATTTTGTCCTCTTGGGACTGATCAACCGCAGAAGCCATGGTTCAAGAGCACCTGGCGTTGACCATGTAACCTTCCAAGACCAAAGTATCTGACCAAATTATCCCGATTGTGGATAGCGTGGCAGAGTGGTGACGGCGATGGGTGCGACGGCTAGGACAAAAGGCGAAGTCCAAGATCAAGAGAGCTAGTACGTCAAGTGGGCGCCTAGGATGAAGAGTAAAGTGTTATGGGAGAGCGTCTGCGCAACTTAGGCTCCCATCAGCAAACGGCAAGGCAGAAAGCGGGTGGTGGCAGATGGCGCAGCGACGAAGAGAAAGAAAGCATACAAGCAATTCATCATGATGCATCTCTATGCCACCTAGTCCGGGTATTTGCAGAGGATGCAGACTTACATCGAGTACTATCGACGATTCACCGGGGAGAATCGGTGGATGACGGAGCGGATTTTAGGACCTCGGGAGCGAAGAGATGGCGGTCGCAGAAATGAGAGAGCCCTCGTTTTTATAGTGCAAAAGATCCGATGGAGAAGGCACGAGAGTTGATGCGCTTTGCGACCGTTCAGCTGGCCCCCGGGGTCGAGATGTTCACCTTGCGGGGGGAGTTGAAGTTCTCGCCCAAGATGTCATCGTCTATCGCAGTGTATAGCGACCACTAGGACTTTGGTTCTGTTAACGTTTATTGCCAGCAGAAAATTGGCCATTTGAAAAGACATCTTGAAAGACCCCTTGAAAGATATTAGAAAGATATCTAAAAAGACCTTAAAAAAGAGATGAAAGCAAGACGTACTAATTGAAATATCCCTCACCTCGTCTCAAACAAAGCAGATATTCAGATTAGATGAGTCCTTTATGGGTAAATATAAAGGCCGTATCAACGGCCAACTATTCTGCTTATATATAAATGACCAGCTCAATAGAAATCTATTGAAACCTCTCATCAGGAGGTTGATATAACACTTCGAGTACTCTCTATATCCATGGATGTATGTACATCGTGTTAGCATTTACTTCAAATAAGGCGGAGATATGAGCGGTGAATTACTGAAAGCCAGTAGGATCAAAGTCACAATTGGCCGCTATCAGCCGCAGTAGCCTGTCAACATTCCAGGTTTCACGAGGGTTCCTTTACTTGAGCCTCTTTCAGGCAGTGTGGTTATATTCACTGTGGTATGTCGTACACCAGTATTGAGGTCTTGCAGAAAAAGTTTTCTAATGCTGAGACTTAAATACTGAGAAGTACGAAGGTAATTCTACACATTTCCCTGCGTCACTGCACATCCTTTCATTGACAGGAACGCGCTCTTATCAACACGTGATCAGGCGCGTCACGCGCCAAACAGGCCAAACGCAGGGCTAGATGGCACTTGCCCGACTATCCCAATTGGGCACTTGACACCCGAGACATCTAGTTCTAGTTTCAGCCATCTCGGGGAGGAGATTCAACGTTTCGATTAGGACTGTGAGAGGTTGCTATGAGTCATATCGTGCCTGGGCTGGAGGAGGAATTGTCGAATCGCATGCTATAAGGCAAGCAGGAGTACAGCATTCGACCTACAGCTCGGGCTACAACTGGTTCCGATATCTAGACCAGAAGGAATAGTTATCTCTTACATGTAGCTGAAACGTAAACCAGGAGAATAAACGGTGTGTATTGCTCTAGGTAAGGTCTGGAAATAGGGGATTTTGTATAAATTGGTTTGCAGCAATTGATCATTTCGGAGATATACTAAATTATCCCACCACCGACCATCTACGTGTAGCGCTCATCTTTCAATCAAGTCAGCTTCTACCTCTAGTGATATATATGCAAAGGGATTCTGCACTCACGAGCGATAATGGCATCAGAACAGCGGCTAGTTCGACTCTGGAAGACGAAGCGCATCCAACAAGTCCTCACGAGACATCTAGCAAGCAAGGATCCCATCTCATGCCGTCTAGTATGCCGCAGGCTCTCTGTCTATCTCGCACCAATCCTATTCGCGGATATTGAAGTCCGGTTTCGCAGCAGCACCTTTGACAAGCCATCACGGATGGCAGCTCTGGAGCGCGTTGGGGTACACATCCAAGCCATGACGTTTAAAATCTCACATGATAGGGAGACATTCTTACCTCCAATCCTGGATTCAATCACGGGGACAGAACAAACCTTTATCTACACGCCACAACGGTGCAAACTCGGTGGCAGTAGCCCTAGGTATGGCAGCCGGCAAATGACAGAGCTGCTAGTCAAGCAGTATCCGCCTTTGTTCCATGCATCTACCAACATTACGTCATTTGTCCAGGCATTGACGATGATGAGCGGCTTGCAACATCTGCGAATCTCCTGCGAGGGCCAAGTACCAAGCCATCGCTACCGCCGGAGTGTAGTAGATCATGCATTGATCTCATTGCGAATAGCAATCGAACAAGCACCATTGAAAGATCTCCACACTCTGTCATTGTTATCAGTCCACCCAGGAGCAGTCCTTTATCTGCGTCCAGCTCCAGGATTTGGTGCTTCGCCTGCATCTTGCAAGCGTTGGTCGCAGATCCGTAAGCTCACAGTCCAGATGTCGAGTTTCGGCCATGAGCCAGGCCAACCGACGGACCACCTCAAGCTCCTTCACGCGTACCTAGGAAGCTTCCCATCTCTGCAAAGACTGGTCTTTCATTGGGAAGGCGAGAGGGGCCTCTCACCCTTGTCGCTTGCAACAGAGCCGAGCCTGAGCAGTACAGCGAAAGGGAAGCCTACTCAAGCCTGTCCTCAGAGGTGCGCATTACCCTTACGGCTATTGAAATTCCAACATCTTCAGCAGATGGAGCTGGTCAATGCAACAATGGACGCGTCGCAAGTGGCGTCGTTCATCCAGGAGCACCGGAGTTCCCTGCGCGAGTTCAACTTCGAAAACGTGGTGCTCCGCAGCGGCAATTGGGGACGATGCGCTCGCGCCATTGACAAGACTCAGCGGGAGTGAGAGATGGAAGCAGGGTTGGCGCGACACCGACACCGTGGATGTGCCGATCGTATTGAGTCCAGCGGGAGTCAGCCAGAAACAGTTACAGAAGGCAATTTGTGCTTTGCAGCAACACAAAAGTCCAAGAGCACTGAGAAGCTTGGCCAAAGCGGGATCGCGGACACGCGAGTTGCTGTGGGGGAGCCCGGATCATATGAAGCGATTGCTGCGGTCTTCGGTGTTTAGTTGGCGGTGACGTCAGAGGTAAGGGGTTCGTAAAGTTTTCTTCCGAGGAAGGATTGGCATAGGCTAAGGCTAATGACTGTAGTACTGTCGCTGTGAATACCGCATTTGTGCAACTCTCACGTCGCAATGCAACATAAGCGCGGTTCGTGTGGAGTCGGGGGGAAATTCCTGGGGGGAACTGTCAACACTGAGAAGACTGGGACAGAGGACCAAGGCTCTGAATGGCAATAGAAATGAAGATCCTGGTCCAGTCAAGGTAGAATCTCAGAGAATCAAGAACAGAAACGACGGAAAGGAAGAATCACAGTCACTGAGCTTCCCTCGGTGTGGGGAAAGTGTGGGTTGCGGGCCTCGGCACGTGTGGTCAGTTCACATGCACTGGCAGATTGTCATTTATATTCGGTCACCCGCCTTGGTGACTTACAATCACCTTTGTACTACCATCACATATTCACCATGTCTCTCAAGAAGGGTATGCCTATTTCCCCTGACTCTACCAGTCAGAAACTAATGGAAATAGATTCCCACCCTCGTCCGCTGCCTTCGACGTCATCAACCAGACGCTCCAGGCCAACGAAGCCGACCGGAAGGATGCCCTAGGCAAGGCCAAGGCCATCTTCGCCTTCAACCTGAAGAACTCCAGTGGTGAGGAGGCTGCTTGGTACCTTGACCTCAAGAACAAGGGCGAGGTTGGCCAGGGTTCTGCCCCTGCTGGCGACAAGGCGGATGGTGAGTCTACATTCCTGGTCTGCGCGCGTTGGTGTGCAATGTCTTTTTTCTTGCGTATGCTAATTTATCTCCGTCAATAGTGACCCTCTCCCTCTCCGATAGCGACTTCGCCCAGCTCGTTTCTGGCAAGGCCAACGCCCAGCGTCTCTTCATGGGCGGCAAGCTGAAGATTAAGGGTAACATTATGAAGGCGACCAAGATGGAGCCTATCCTGAAGAAGGCCCAGGGCGGCGCCAAGCTGTGAAGATTAGATACCCTTTTGAAAAATTATATACGAAGTCCCTCATCTACTAGGGCGTTTATTTTCGGCTTTTCACTTTTGGCACATTTTGATTGTTCGACTTCAAATAATCTTAATATGTACCAATGACTGCAAACATCGCTGGTTCGGATTAATGAATGCCAACTCTACATGTCCCGCACATGTCCCTGTCTAGAAACTCGCCCCTGGTCCAAAACCACAAAGTAATCCGCATCCTTGACAGCTTCTATGCGATGCGCAATCGTAATGACAGTAGACTGCTGCAACTCCTCCCGGATAATCTGCTGAATCTCAAGAGAAGTCTCGTGGTCAACGGAAGCAGTCGCCTCATCGAGAATGACAATCGCGCTTCGACGAAGGACAGCCCGTGTGAGAGCGATAAGTTGCCGTTGACCCTGGCTAAGGTTCCTTCCTCCAGCCTCAATATGTGTTCCAAGATGCCAGCCGTGCCGACTGCACAGACGGCCCAGGACCTCGGTGCACAGCTCATCAGAATAATCTTCCGTTGGGTCTAGGTTGAGTCTGATGCTACCGGGGAAGAGGACGGGATCTTGGGCGACGAAGGTAACTCGGGTGCGTAATGCTTGTGTGCTGACGTCGGCAATATTGATGCCGTCGATGAGAATGCGACCGGATTCAGGTCTGATGACGCTCAGAAGGGACATTGCCAGTGTGGACTTGCCGCTGCCAGTACGGCCGATAACCGCTGTAGTGGATCCCCCGGGGATGCAAATCGAGACGTTTATAAGTGAGGGATCGAGATGTGGTGCGTAACGGAGAGTTGCATCTTCGAAGACAACGTCGCTGCCATAAGTTGGCCACGCGGCTGGGGGAGCGATGGTCCCGGGAGTTTCTTCTTCGATGTGGAGTAGCTCATCAACTCGCTCTACCGACACAAAGTCCATTTGAAGTTGACCGTACTGCTTGCACAATGAATGCGTGGAATCGACAAAGTTGTTCGCAGCAATAAGCACGAACGCTACCAGTCCTGGTGTGGTATTGGTGTACAACGCCAGAGCTGTTATACAAAATGTTGAGCAAGCAGACAGGCCCTCAAATCGGTACATGAGCCAGCTCTGGAGAGACCAATAGAAATGGTCCATTCCCTGGAACTTGTCAACCACGGATATGACCCGGTTCTGGAACTGTGACTCTGCATGGAAAGCTCGGACGGTGGTCAGGCCGTGTAATAGTTCGCCGAAGTTGGACAACAGAGGACTTAAGGACACCATTTCGAGTCGTCGTAGACTTTGAGATGTGGGAAGGAAACGCAGGAATACCAAGACGAATGCCACAGTGAGAGCTAGGGAGAACAACAAAAACACCGGGGTAGCGGTGGCAATTACCAGGACAGAAGAGATCCAGGTGATAGCTTGGAATGCAATCACCTGGAATTGCTCACTAATGTTGCCATCCACGACTCCAATATCAGATGTGAGACGGTTCATCAAGCGGCCAAGAGGGATCGTATCTGAAGAACGATTTGGTTAGCTTTGTCCGGTCGAGTCAAGCCATAGAACTTACCCAAGTATCGGAACGTTGCATGGCTAACTCGGACCAATACCCGTCGGAACAGGGACTGCCCAGCATAATAGACGATGACCAGCATCAGGAGCTGAGCCACAAGGAGTGTGGCCGCTTGAAAAGAGATGATAGCAAAAAACGTCCATAGCCAGGGTCGCACATCCTCGCGCGGAGACGGTAGTTGGCCTACGGGGTTCGGAGGCCCAAAGTATGTGTCCATGCTCAAGTTCGAGGCTGACCATACATCTTGTGAGGGCCTCTCACTCCACTTTGAGAGAGTTGTCTGCTCATAGGCTTCTCCCCACCCTTTTAGGAACCATGATTGCCCAACAGCCATCAGTCTGTAGATTGCCAGGACCAGGACGAGGGTGAGCCACCATCGGTACTTTCCGGCCTTGACATAATTCCAGTAGACTCGAGCTTTAACACCCCCGTGTGCTCGATGCTCCTTCTCGATGAATTTATCAGGCACGGCAGCTGTCTCCTCCTCAAGGGTGGTTTGTGCTTCTGTTTCGTCTTCATGGTCGATAACTTGCAAGGAGGACTCGGTCGCGTCAAGATTGATGCTATCCTTGTCATGAACAGTGGCATGATTTCCACAAATATCGATTATTTGATCCGCACGTTGACGAACCAACGTAGTTCGATGTGTCACTAGAACGATAGTTCGGTCTTTCATCAACGGGCCCGAAAAGCATCTTCGGACTATGAGCTCCGCGGTATTGTGATCTAACGCAGACAAGGGATCATCCAAAAGCAGAACCCGCGATGCGCTGTAGACAGCTCTTGCCAGAGCTACTCGCGCTTTTTGGCCACCTGATAAACCAATACCATTTTCACCCACAAACGATAAATCCCCATGTTTAAATTGAGCAAGATCTGGAAGCAAGGCGCAGGCTTCCAACGTCCGCTTGTAGCGCTGGTCATGGTAGGGAGCGGAGAATAGAATGTTATCACGAATACTCATGCTTTGCAGCCACGGGGTCTGCGCACAATATCCCACCATTTCGTTTGGAATATGGACCGAGCCGTTAAGTCTATCGAGTTCTCCTAAAAGAGCTTGCAGAAATGCCGTTTTCCCAGCACCAACCTTGCCGGTGACAACAGTCAGTCCTTTGGGGATGGTGACATTGATATCAACAAGGACGGGTGAGACCTTCCCTGGCCACGCGAACGAACAAGATTGCATCGAGAGTGGAGCATCGTTCGCCAGGGGTTCAGAAGGCAGTTTCTCCTTGTCTGGTTCGGACATGAAATCCTCGATACGCCCAAGGGCAATGAAGGCATTGATAAGTGATGTAATAAGACCAGGGATATCCCGAAGACGGGTCTCTAGCATGGTAAACAACTGCAATGCGGGAAAGATAATATCAACTCGCAGCTCATGCCCGGCCAAAAAGGTGTATGCGTACAACGCAACGACTGGAAACACGCCACTTGCAAAAGCGTTGATAAAGCGAATCAAGATACTCCACAGACTAGTCACAATTCGAATATTCAACTCATGCTGTCGGGCCTCCATTACCTGCTGAAGCCAATGATTCTGCCACCCGTACCACCGCAGGTGACGGATAGCTTCCACGAATTGCGAAGTTATTTGAAGTCTTGTATCCGTTGCCACTCGTCTGACTCGCTCCCAACGGAGAAGAGCTCTAGTTATCAGGGCGTTCACGATCTGTGCAACAAGAACGGCTAATATTCCCAGGAAACAAGATGGGCCGAAGAGTGTCCAGACAAGGAAGGTAGCGATCACGAGTCCTAGTGGCTTGTCAATCAACGAGTCGACCTCCCAGAACCTCTGTGCAACTTCATAAACATCTCCGCGCAAGAGATTAAAGATCTTTCCAAGTGACGCAGCTTCTTTAGCGTGTTTCTGTGGGGCCATTCGGTTGCGAGAAACGATACGTTGCCAGAAACCTTCCGCGGGTTTGGCTGGAGGTTGATGGCTCTCTTCAACTGCGGTTTCATCATTGACGCCATTTGCTTCCGCGTCGTATGGTCCTGAGTTGCCCTCGATCATCAGTCCAGATACGTTCTTCCGTGAAAGGGCTTTTTCATAGACCATCATTATCATTTCACCCCTCGACCGTTCATAGCATCGCCGTCCGTACCACAGAAGTAACACTTGAGACTGTGCAGCGACAAGTCGGAGAGCGAAGGACATAAAAGCATAGGTCAAAGGTACGCGTTTTGGTCTGGACGGGTCTTTCATGGCCTGCAATAGTTGCTGCAATAGAACAGGAGTAGAAAAGTCTATGAATATTATTAGCGGTATATAACAAAAAAAAAACATCCGAATTTCCATACCGCATATCATCTGAACAAGCGAGATGGTAGAGATGATAAAAACATCAATTCCATTGGCTCTCAGTAGTCGACTAAGGACAGAGCCACGAAGTCGACGAAACTTTTCATGTAGCCGGCTGTGTTGAAAGTCAAATCCAAGCAGCCAAACATCTTGTTCATGTAGTTGTCTTTTGCGCCCAATTGAGATAAGCGGTGCCATCCACGACACTGTGAGGAACTGCCAAAGCCTCAGATTATCTTCTGGGGTGCGGAAGTCATTAGATGGCTGCTGACCAACACCGCTGATATCTATTGATGACAGTGAAGGCTCGCGGAATGGCATTAGGAGGATTATTGCACAGGCTGCTGCTGCTGCCGATGCGGCAATGTAGCGGGTAACAATTTTGAATTTCGGGCATACATCTGGGTGAGTAGCCAAAGAAAGTTCAATTGCAAATGCTAAAACATAGTACGCGAGCATTGAGATAGAACATGATCTGGGCCGTTTGAGTGCGACCAGAATAGATGCTGTGGCCTAAGGAAGGTGTGAGTAACTGATACTCCCAGAGACGGAGAGAACTGACCCATGAGAGAACAAGCACAAAAGCCGAGGAATCAATTCTCGGAGGAGCTAATTGAACTGTCTCGGCTAGAAGTCCAGTGACTGAGAATATAAGAAGAGAGGCAGTCCATCGCAATGATTGCTTGGGCTGGTCTAGCGGGAGCTCTCCAGTCTCATGTTGCTCAGAAACAAAAGGAACAGTCCACTTGGGGCGCCACCGCTGACAAAAGTATCCAAGTATATGGTTTAATGCAATAAGCAATACTATGACAGCCGGGATGTATGCCAGGTAGGGCAATGCACAAGGTGATAGCCACGCATTATGGGAGTCCTGGATTGGTTAGCCGGTGCGAGCCGAAGCAAGGGGCCCATGGGTTCATACCCAGAACTGGTCACACTGTGATCTGGATACTCCCTGGACCAGCGGAATTTGATTCATGCTTGGTCCCAAGAGCAGTGCCAGCTCCTCACGGTAGGCTTGGGGTGACCTCCCTTCGTGAAGCAAGGTGGGGCTGGATCAATATTCATCCGATTGGCCCGTGCCATCTATACAGGTTGGTCAGAATTGGTGCCTGGTTTCCGTTTGGAGCATCATAAAGTGAGTTAACAAACCGTGTACCTGCTACAATGTTCAATTATAGTTGCTGTTTTATAGGAAAACATGGCGTCGACTCTCAGGCCCTACGGCTTCAACGGCTGCGCCGATCATCGGATCTCTGGCGGGATCATCCGCCGCGGGCCGCCCATTGAATAGAGTCCGGATGAACCTTAGCGTTGCCAAGTCACAGACAACTGCAATTAAGTAAAAGCTTGCTAAGAAAAACAAAGGGTCAAGGATAATGGACCTCTCTAATCCCTCTGGCGTGTGGTACGGATCTCATGATTGAAACGAGGCAGGCGACGTATCCTGACTCAGAACAGGAAGTGCGAAATCGAGACGGCTACATAGCCCGCCTGAGGACTCGTGTTTTACCGTGCAATAATATAATGATCCCATGAATCTCCTGCATCAAAGAGCCGTCCACTGCAAATCGCTCGATACTCTGTATCGTGTTCTTCTGCAGCGTATCAATATCCGGTACCAAATGCGCTAAAGCAGGACAAACAGAGCCTAGAGACAGGAGAAGAATAGAAGAAAACATCCTAAGAGAACGAAAAATGAGTTCAGTTCGAGTATGCAGAATATTGTGGACGTACGTATGAATAATGATCTCCGCGCAGGATGATGGTCCCATCAGTCTCCGTTCTGAGGCATCCAGATACGCCCGGCAATTGGCTATACTTGCCTCGCACTGTTTGAGCACCATAGGCGGAACATCGTTCTCAGGTGACGAGTCAATTGCACAAAGAAGAAATGGCCTGGTTATGATATCCTTGGCGGAATGGAAGCGGTGGAGCATATTGAGTTTAGGGCCAGTACATCGAGACGGGTCGTTGATATCTGGTTTAATTGTTCGCGGTAAAAGGTCAAACCAATTGTCGAGCTGTCGATCAAGTTCTTGAGAAACATTCAGGATTGTAGACAGTGACTGGAAGTCATACGACGGGCTGTCGCTTGAAGCTGGCTGTAGACCAAGGCTGCGCCTTGTCCAGTCACTTCCATACATGGTGTGGTGTACCCTATTGAGCAGACGGCGGACGGACAATTCGGCAAGGAATACGTGTGTTTCCTGGGCATCCTGATTTGGAAAGGTTGGGAAAGGAGTCAGATCAATTACATGTTCGATACCACTTCGCGGTAAATGATGTTCAGCTATCAGATCACTGCAGTCAATGTCAGCATAAAAGTGGTAATTCATATTGAGTCTGGAAACAAACCATTCTGTATCGAACGCCGCCCACGATAGTAGAATAATACTGGACTTGAGCTCATGATTATCCGGAGAAGCTTGGCTTCTATCTCAAACAGATACCCTATCAATATACTTGAAATCAAAGAGTAAACAGGGAGCATTAACTAACCGGCTATTCAAATACTGGATACTCGTAGAAGCCATATGGATCAACTTCCATGATTGGAGGGGGCGTAAAAGAAACCCAAAATATTTCGAAATGAGTATCAAACTCTGCGGAAGAGTGATCGTGGGGCAAAACGACAGTAAATATTCGTTCATCAATATCTGCAATGCAGGTGAAATGAAATCTGCACCAGGCACCCAGTATGGAGAGCTGGACTTTGTCGGGTCAACTTGCTCAAGAGCTGCAGATCCTAGTGCAAGAACTGCAAGGCATAGTGCAGAGCCACAGTCCACGCTCAGACCGGCTCTAGTATGGTGATCATAAAGCCCCAAAAATTGGTCTTTGTCAAGGATTGGCATCTCAACGTGGACGTGACTGAAATATGCCTCCACCAGTGGATATGTGCTCGCTTCATCGAGTAATGGCAACTGACTTGTTGTAATTGTACCTGGGACAAAAGATAGCTGGTGTGGCATATGCCTTTTTGATTCTGCGCGTATGAACAGGTCTGGTGGAAACTCTCCAAAGAGCGTTTTTACTTTGTTCATATGTAGCATATATTCAGTTGTTGTTGTGTGGCCGATAGGAATGCTCATAGGCGGGATGTCATGTTCAGGTGGTATGAATGAAGACGAATTAGTACTGATAATCTGGGAGATATCTGCCGGGTTGGGTCTCGAACGGGGACGAAATCAACATGGTGGAGGGATGAGAAAAGTCCGCTCTTTCATGCTCAGTCGACGATGAAAATGCGAAACAACCACCTCTCGTTTCGCCAGTCTGTGGTATTTGAGGGAGCCTCGGGTGACTCCATAGGAAGTTCTCAATTGCATCAAGACGGCGGAAGAACTCCGAAGATGAAGTCTCTCTTCGAGGCCTGTCCGAGTTTAGCAACGTCGCTAAGGCGTTAAATAAGATGGGTCTCTCACCTCAAAGAATCAACTTCATTGTAAACACATTCAATACCTGAATTCTCGCAGAGGCCGCAGGAGGGTATCGCGCCATTGCAGCGGCGTTTCCTGCTTGTCCGTCAGCATGGGGAAACTCAGTCATCGGACTAAGGGGAACCTACCGTCTGCGACAATAATTGCATGCCAAAGAAGCACGCTTACGACTGTTTTCCATGTGGTGAAATTCTATGGGTTTCAAGGATCAAAGCTACATAGATGAACCGTGTTGATGTTGATGTTGATACAAGGCGGGAAACTCCGCATGGGACCCGCTTTTGTCCCGCCTTAGTCATCAACAATCCCGCGGAGCGGCCGCGAGTCCTCAGAGCTGACAATGTACGCAGTAGATGAACAGATATTTAACCAACTCAAGCCTCTCCAAGGTTGCTTTTCATTCTCATATCTTTGATTCATTTCGAGAATATCTCGTCCTGAGCCGGTACTCTCCATTGGCACATTGCCCTACATGAAAGCCCCCCCTCCAAAATACGGACCGGGTGACTTTAAAACACACACTAAGGCTGTTTACGACTTGTGTTTGATTTGATCCTTTCCAAACTGTATGTATTATTCACAACAGGCACCTAATTAGCGTACTCTTTATTAAGGGCATCGCTTAAAATTCCATTACTATATCTGAAGCCGTAAACATGGCCGCATTCGGCAATGAAATTGTATCGGGCCGATCACCCTTCGGGAAACTCTCGGCTCCACCTCAGTTCCCCGGGGCGCTTTCAGAGATTTTTTGTTGGGCTTGGCCGGGGTTACCCGATTCTTTTTAGTCTTTGACACATACTATTCGGAGTATCAGTTTTGCCAATTTAGGGTCTAGCCTTGACTTGAGTCGCGTCAAATTCACTATGTTTGACGAAAAGCATGCCGCGGACGGCAAGGTCGATGGACCGCTCGAAAAAGACTTGGAGAAAAAGTTGGACGCGAAGCAATTAGACGCGAAGCAATTGGAGCCCTTTGGGAATGAGGAGACAGCGGAGATCAAGTATCGGACTATGAAATGGTGGTAAGTTATTATTTTCTGCATAAAGATTGTGAATTCAATCATGGACATGGCTAATCATGCTTAAACAGGCACTGTGGAATGCGTGAGTAGCTAAATTTGAGATACTCACATGAAAACTTTGACTCCTAACATCTCCATTCCAGTCATGATTGCAGAGAATGTCTCTGTCGGAATTCTGTCTTTGCCATCCGCAGTGGCTACCCTTGGAATGGTTCCGTATGTATTTCCTTTTGACGGTTTGGAGACCCCATAGCTAACATTGATGAACAGCGCTGCTATCATGATTCTGTTTGTCTCTGCCCTTTCATGGTACACCGGCTATGTCATTGGCCAATTCAAGCTTCGTCATCCCGAAGTTCACAGCATGGGAGATGCCGGAGAGATCTTGATGGGTCCTTTCGGCCGTGAGCTGCTAGGGCTTGGCCAGTTGCTACTGTTGATATTCCTCATGGCGAGCAACATCTTGATGTTCAACATCCTGATGAATGTATTGACCGATCACGGTACCTGCACGTTGGTGTTTGGTGTCGTTGGACTGATCATCTGCTTTTTGGGCGCCTTGCCTCGTACTATGGACAAGGTCTACTGGATGTCCGTAATTTGTGAGTACAGTCCTCATCTACTGCAGCCATAACACTATTAAACTCTGGGAGAACTCGACTGACTGGTACGAAGCATTCTTGAGTGTCTTTATTGCAACAGTGTTGACCATGATCACCGTGGGAGTCGAGAGCAAAGGACATGTCAAGAACGAGGCCACCACGGATGTCAGCTTCCGCGACGGCTTCTTGGCGGTGACAAACATCATTTTCGCTTACCGTACGTGGAACACCAAATGATGCTGGTCATCAGCATGTGGCAAAGTAAACCAAGCTAATCCAAGGACCGATCTTATAGTCGCTCACGTTGCGTACTTTGGCTTCATGTCCGAGACAGAAGACCCCCGCACATTCAACAAGTCACTTGCCATGCTTCAAATTGTCGACACCGTCCTGTACCTTGTTAGTGCGCTGCTCATCTATCATTACGTGGGACCGGAAACAGCCACCAGCCCTGGTGTCCAATCGCCTGCCATTCTCTCTCTGAGCCCGTTGATGGGCAAGATTGCCTGGGGCATTTCGATCCCAACGGTGTGTTTATCCTCCTATTTCGCTTGTCCTCTCTGTCCACGTTACTGATTCAATGCAGACCATTCTTTCCGGGGTTGTCTTCGGTCACGTCGCGTGCAAATACATATACGTGCGTATGTTCCGCGGATCCGACAAGATGCACCGCCGAAACTTCCTGTCTATTGGATCATGGGTCGCTATCTGCCTCGGAGTCTGGGTTATTGCCTGGATCGTGGCTGAATCTATCCCCGTGTTCAATGATCTGTTGAGTCTGATTGTAAGTATTCTAACAAATCTCATTTGACTGAGAACGTTGGCTAATGCAGAGATTACAGAGTGCGGTCTTTGGAAGTTGGTTCAGCTGTAAGATTGACTCCCAATTGTATGATTTCTTGGGATCTAAAAAGTGCTGACTTGTGATTAGTCGGACTCCCTGCGATCTTCTGGTTCTATATGAACAAGGGCCGTTATTTCCAGAACTGGAAGAAGGCGGTTTTGACGATTACCAATATTCTCGTCTTGGCCATTGCTTTTGCTATTGTAAGTATCCTCCTTCATTCTGCTTATGGTGGCTAATCCTTTCTAGTGCGGACTGGGATTGTGGGTGTCAGGAGTCGCAATTCACGAAGACTCCGTTACCAAAAGTTGGTCTTGCGCCAATAATGCGTGATTGGAGAGCAACGAACCTTGAAGGAAGACGCTTCTCCTCTTAAAAAAGTATAGATACACCGATTAGACCTGCTTGACTACATACTCAAGCCTCATCATAGACCATAGATTTCTAGCATAATTTCATATTGCATTTCAGGCTTTGCCTTTTTAACGGTAACACAAGACAGAATGCACATCCAAGTCGCGACAAATAGTAGGGTTAAGGGCATACGTCGTGTTAATATTTATTTCACGAAAAGCAGTTGGCGGAAGATATGGCTGCAATGCGACAGATATCCCTCCTGATGCTTCCTTACTACCAACAAAATCGCCATATACTTTTCTGTTGCACACAGATCTCTACAGCAAACTGCTAATCTCAAGCTGTACTTGGGTACCAGTTTACTTGGCAATCTCCATAATATTCGGATCAGCCCACTCCGATGGACGTCTCGACGTCTCCGCTCAGACAATCCCCCGCTTTGGCGGAACCATCCCGCCTCACAGCCGCTTACCCCCAACATCTGCACGTACTTCCAAATTGGATTACTTCAAACCGTTGCTTGTAGTGATCGCCCAGGGCCATACTTTTTATACTCCGAGTACTCCAAATACCCCAAGTGGTCTCCACATCTTGTCACATTCTCCTCGCCCAGTGTGAACTGTTTTATCCTCCAACCCTGAGAACCAACTTACTACGTTAATCTCTAGGTAAACACCGATTTGTCTCGAAATTAAGCCTTATTGGATAAATATGTCTGCCGACACATCAGCAGGAGCGAATGAGGACCAGAGAGCCTCTCTGACTTCCCGAATACTCCCTACCATGACTTTGTCGAAGGGATCAAGTCCACTCACTCGCCCTCTCGCCCCAGTGCCTTTTACATCGGCTCGTGAGCGAGCAGAAGCACGATTCCAAGTTCAGGGCAAAGCCATAGTCACCGGCGGAGCAGGAGCACTAGGCATAATATCAGCACAGGCTCTCCTGGAGCACGGTCTTTCCTCGCTATGTATTATGGATCTCCCTAGGACCTTGGAGACATCAGAAGAACAAATCCAATCTCTAGCATCGAAGTTTCCCTCTGTCAATATAACCACAATCCCCTTGGACGTGACATCAATGGAGTCAATCGAAGCCGCATTTGAGCAGGCAAGCAAGACAATGGAAGGCATCGACATCCTCTGCTGCTTTGCTGGTATCCCCGGCTGCCAGCCGTCCCTCACAGTAACACCGGACCAGTTCAACCGAGTGATAGACGTCAACCTGAATGGGTCTTTCTTCTGCGCCCAGGCAGCAGCAAAGCGCATGGAATCCTCAGGCAAAGGCGGATGTATCTTATTCACTGCGTCGATGTCTGCCCGTTATACCAATTTCCCACAGCCGCAGGCTGCTTACAATGCGAGCAAGGCTGGAGTCGCGCATATGACTCGAAACCTGGCTGCTGAGTGGGCCGTTCATGGGATCAGAGTGAATAGTATTAGCCCCGGGTATATGGACACCATTCTTAATGCTGGGGACAGCCTGGCGGACGTTAGGAAGATTTGGGATTCGCGTTGTCCGATGGGCCGGATGGGGGATCCCGAGGAGATTACTGGAGCTGTTGTTCTTTTGTGTAGTCAGCGTGCAGGACGGTACATCACTGGTGCTGATATTGTTATTGATGGGGGGACTTTGACTCTGTGACAAGGTAGTGCACTAGTTATCATTAAGTTGCTGTCCCTATGTCTACTTGCTTTTATTTCTTGAAACAGCACGCTTGTCCATTGTATTGTTTATATACGAAAAAGACCACACAACAGCTTGTCGCATATCTTTGAAGCAGCCCCTCTTCACCGACAAATGTAACCTCCATCAATGCGCAGATCCGCACCAGTAGTGTATGAGCTAGCGTCACTAGCAAAGTACACGTACGCAGCCTTCAACTCCTTAGGATCACTTTGGCGGCCCATAGGAATCATATTATTCCAACTCTTCTGAGTCTCCTCGTCCACAAAGTCGCCCAAACCCGTGTTGATATATCCAGGCGAGATACTATTAACACGAGCGAAATCCCTCCACTCATTAGCCAACGAGCGAGCCATATGAATACATCCAGCCTTAGCAACATTATATGAAGTCTGTTCCTGGGGGTAATTGACAATATGACCCGACATAGAAGCAGTAATCACAAAGCTTCCCTTTCCGCGCTCCTTGAAATGTGGGCCAACGGCCTTGGCACAGTAAAAGACCGAGTTAAGGTCCGCCTGGATAATGTTCTCCCAGTCTTCCACCGAACCGTCGAGAACACCCGCGTCGGCGGTGCGGCCCGCGTTCGCGATGAACGAGTCGATCCTGCCAAAGTCGGCGATCACGTTCGCGACCAGCTCTTGCACTTCGTTCCATTTCGATGTGTCGCACTTGTAGGCCTTGGCTTGGATACCGTACTCCTCTTGCAGGGCTTTTGCATTTGCTTCGGCTCCCTCCTGTCGCGAGAAGTATGTGATTGCGATGTTGCCGCCCATTTCGGCACAGCCACGGGCTGCTTCGAGGCCGATTCCTCGGGGGCCGGATGCGCCCGTGACAACCACGACCTTGTCTTTGAGACTGAATAGGTCTTTGAGGGAGCTTGCTTCGGGGACTTCGATAGGCATGGCGGGTGAGGAAAGGGACAGATGTGTGTGATGTGTATAGAAGGGAAGATGGATGATTTGAGAATTGTTGGTTTGGAGGATTGAGGGTAGAAGGATCAGTGAAGTCTTTATACCTTTGACGATTGACGAGTCCAACTTCCCCACTGCGCAACTACCCAAATCAGTCTTGTGTCCTTTGCGATGTTGTTGTCCTGCTCCACCCGGCGGGACACGAGGCGGCACAATCCCGCCAGCATTTCGGTGGACACTTTGGAGTCAAAGATCTCTCAAATTATTCATTTCAATAGGTAAAGTAAATCTAGAAAATTGCAAACGCATTAGGCGGGCTAGCAACACCACCAATAACCTAGACAAAGTCTCAATCAACATAATCCCAACACAGCCAATAATCAATAGAAACCCACCTTCAAAGGCATACTGGACAAGTAAAAGCTATAACGTCCACTAGCCTTGCAATGCTCCGATAATTTCTCCAAATCAAACATCTCCCCAATAGGAGTTCCCCAACCCGCCAGCACCCACTCATGCAAATTGAAATTCGGATCCGCATGGGCACCTCTAATAGGCGCACGCTCAAAGCTCGGCGCGTCACCGGCGACAGCAGAGAACTGATGCTCCCATAACCATCGCACCATACCCTCTGTCGCCTCAACGCCGCTAAAGTCTGGCGATGATCGGAGTGCCAGGTCCTTTCGCTGCTGATTGTCCAGTTTGTTGTATGCGGCCGTGAAACCACTGCGGATGAATAAAATGTCACCCTTTTGGAAGCTGAGGTTATGATCTTTGACTACTCGTTTCAGGTTATCGAGGGTGATGGCCTCGGATTCGAGGGCGGAGATGGAGATTGAGTTTGTGGTGGCCCATTCTGCATAGTCGAGGAGGACGCCGCGGCCTGTTATTCCACCGTGTTCACATATGGCTAGATGAGAGGTTTCGATTAGCGCTTGGCTAATTTGTATCTTAGAGCTGGTTCATACAGTGAATGCCAATAATATCCGAGCTCTCTATCTCCTCCGTGGTATGTCCGTTATAGAACTGCCTAGACTTCTGGTTTGCTAGAACCATCAACCAGTAAGCAATGATCTCAAACTCGCCATAGACGCTCCACAACATACCGTAATGTCTGAATCCATCCCATTGGGTAGAACCCTGGCTATTGAATGTCAAGATGTCATCATAAACACAGTTTGGATCCCGAAGAACAAGCTCCTGCTTAAATGGATCGCGGTTGAAGCTAGGATGCGAAGGCATGCTCAACGGCCAGTCGAGCGAGATTCGCACACCAGTCTGGATTTCCTTCGCAGCTTCGACAATCCGCTCTGGTGTGAGCAGATTCAATGTTCCAAGTTGGTCATCTTTTCCAAATCGACCCCAGGCGTTTCCTCGTGGGCCTGTTGGGTCTAGTGGAAGGGAATCGAACGAGATTACTGGGTCGTCCTGTGTTTTTGTCATGGTTCTAGGAGGAGAATAAAATGAGGCCTGGGTCTTAATGTGCTTTTCTTCCGGGTATCCAACCCCTCATGTATGAGCCCCCTTATCCCCGGATCCCCGCACGCGGATATGAATCCGAGCGGCAATGCAATTTCCCGTTGCTTTGAGATACTTGGGCTTTTCTGGGATGTACACATTTCATATTTAAAGTATGGAAACTATGATACTCTAGAAGGTGAAGTACGCAATAGTAGCAGCGTACGTAGCCAGATTGTCGCCAACCGTTGCCAATGCAGTCCCATCCTTCACAATCATATAACTCGTCCCAACAGTGTTTAGTCCGTATACTACCAGTCCACTTGTACTGCCCTCAGTGCTGAAGATCATACTTTGGCAATCCTCGGGTAGGGGGAATGTGGAGCAAGTGGTGCTGTAGTTGTTGAAGAAGCTGTATAGCCCTGCCCCATAGATAATCACGTCCTTGGTATTGAGAATCCGAAGACCAAGCGAGTTGCAGTTTCCGCCGAGACAGCTACTATAGTCGGGGTCACCGAGAGCCAAGTTCCTAGGGTACGGGCCGTTCGCTGCGTTGGGATTTGGCTGATAGTATCTGCGTGCGTTTGGTTAGCCTGAGATAGAAGATACAAGGGCAGTATCATGTATAGGATCACTTACGGAGTTTCCGTCTGCACGAACCCTGCCACAATCGAGCTTGCGCCTGAGAACTGATACTGATACAGCGAGTGATGCTCGGAACCTGTTCCGTATCTTGCGCCAGCGTTAGTGAGAGAGCATGGTGGGGATTCTCTACCACTTACAGCCAAATATTCTTTCCTTCTACTAGGAGGCCACGGCCGGAATACACCGAGATCCGGGTATTAGTCGGGCTTTCGAGGTCATGATCGGCAGTCCAAAGCCAGACATTCTCCAAGTAAACACCACTGGCGACTTTGGTAATGTGCATGGACATGTAAGCAACCTGACAGGCCGCAGAGACAGCTGCTGTCGTCGGGCACTGAGCGACCTGCTGCTGAGATCCTTGGAAGCCCCCAATTCTAGTGTGAACATCCCACATCCCAGAACCTGACGTCGCCGCCAAGTTCCACTCAATGAGTACAGCTCCCGGCGCGGAGCCCGAGGTGCTCACTATCATGTCGGACCATTCAAGGGACCCGGATTCTCCAGGTCTGCCAATTTGAACCACAGGGACAGGCTTGGTAATACTCGACCATACACTGCCAGTGGCCATGATGACAGAATATGCCTCGCCGACAATCCGAGAGCCCGGCGGGATGTAAATAGTGTTCGTGACTTTGTAGGTTCCTTGATCAAAGAACACAATTTTACCTGCAGACGCGGCAGATGTCAATGTGGACTGAATGACTGTCGTGTCGTCGGTTGAACCATCTCCTTTGGCGCCTGCGCTTCTAATGCTGATAAACGAAGCCACTGGTGATTGCGCATATTGAGGCTTGGATTTGGTGAAATACCTGTTCGATCCGCCAGCAAGCAAAGCGCTCGGGCGCGTGGGCGCAGTGAAGGAGCCCTGGAAGTTGGTCGGTCCGTTTGGAGTATACTTGTGGCCCTGTCCCCAAGCGCCAATGGTTGTTGAACCCGTCGAGCCGGCAAGGACAGTACCACTGACGCCTTTGACTGCAACGGGGACGTTTTTCAGGTTGATGTTCTCCATAATAAGGCTGCCAGTCGACAGTGTCGAGGACTGCCAAGCGGTATCAACAAAGGTAGGGCAGTTTTGGATCGTGCTGTCAAGAATATTGACCGATCCAACGAGCTGATTCCCAGCACCACCGTTACTGATCGAAATAGCAGTTGTGCAGTTAGACAACGATAGACCTTGATAAGTCCACCCCCAGTTCCAGATCTGAGAAATTGCCGTCACTGCATTCGAAATGACCAAGTTCCGCATGGTGAATTGCTGATTGCCAATATTAGCACCATACAGTCCACCGGTAATTACCACATCGGTCATCCAGCCACCAGACCCTGGTATTGCAGTATTGTATTAGTAAAGATCCAAAAGAACTTCAAGTACCAACATACCATTCTCAATGAAGATGCCCTGATGCTGCGTTCCAGAAGCAGAACTCATCACAATAACAACATTCTCGATGCTAGAAGCTTGCCCAGTCGGCCAATGAATACCAGTCGCAGCCGTAGCGGCAGGGATTGCAGTCAAGTCCAATTTCAAATTGCGAATCTGTCTGAAGAACACATTTGTCGACGTCCAGCCCTGGTTTCCGTCGCTCTGGTATTGGTCACCGTCAATCATCCCGAGTCCGACAAAACCTGCAGTTGCTTTTATGACGGGCATGGCATTCGGATTGCCAATCAGCTGGGTAAAATAGTAATCGATGATCGACGTTGAGATTAGATACGTTCCAGATGGGAAGTAGACTATCGCGGGAGTCGTTGTGGAGGATTGTCTGCTTGCCGGGCCAAAACGACCACCGGCGCTTATGGCCGCGTTGATGGCGGCCGTGTCGTCGGTCACACCATCACCTATGATTACTTTAGTATTTCTCGGGGGTAGTAATGATCTGTAAATGTTAACCTTTAGCTCCGTAGTCTTTCACGTTTCGGAAGACTTTATAGCCAGAAGGGTTTGGGTTGAAGGCTGCGAGACCTTGATGAGCGATGTCTGCTAGCCAGTAAGGAGTGTCTGCCGCGGCCGCTGCTGCAACTGAAGATTTGGCGTTCGCGGCGACTTTGGTTTCAAAGCTTACAGCAGCCGAGGCGATTTTCGTTGGAGCACCGAGGGGCATATACTGCTCAAAGGGGAGCATGGCAGAGCTGACTATAGCATCCACAGCGGGGATCTCTAGTAGCTGTGAATTTGCACAGGCCAGCAAGGAAATATACTTGATCACAGAAGAATAATACATCTTGATCCTGGAGCACTGAGGGGAAAGTCAGCGAGACGGGTGCTTGCGAATCACTGGCTCGAGAGGCATCCGTGAGCCGGGGAAACATGGTTTATATATGGCCACCCGGCGATTTTGACAATAAGCTCGATCGGATAATGCAGGTATGCGCATGACAGAAAAAGGATGGGGTCAATGACACTGCATCTTCAGCCGAGAGAAAAAGCAAGTACAGGAATCCCACCCCGAAATACCACTCGAGATGGGGAAATAGATACCGAGTGACTGCAGACCAGGGGTCGCCATTGGCTATTTATTTCCCGGGGAAGTTCATTCTTCTGTCACGCCGTGTTCTCTGTCTCATGATATGAAGATGCGCAGGTGGAGATGAGAAAATGAATAAATGGTGCTGATCTTTCCCCACAAACGATGAAGTTCCCTGTCTCTACCTGCATGTCAGCCAATAGTCAATCGATGTCTAGCACATTTCATTTTATAGAAAACTCAAGCCAAACCACTAGTTTGCCGCGGATGCTTCCCAATATAGGAATGGAATGTGACTAGTTGAAAATACCATTGCAGCCACCTTTCGGAGTATGTGAGTTAGGGTGTGTGTGACCGGTAAGAAAACCCCAGGGACTTATGCTCATATTGGACTTCAAAGAGTCCTCCAGGGCTAACTCTGATTAACTTAAATGGAAATAAGGTCAGCAGACCCACGGAACGCCACGCCCTAGGTGCGGGGAGACTAAACTGAAGACTCAGGTACTTCCATCTTTTAGGTCACGGCATTGTCTGGACTCGAACACCTTGACTTGAACGTTGTAATACTCAAATGGTAGAACTTAGATCGGTATGATTCTCCGGTCCTCCGTAAGGTGTACAGCCCACGCAGCCGTTCCCCTTGGGTTCTCGGGTAGATTGATTGTGCACATACATACATCATACAGTCTCACTCTATATGCTTACTCGGTGGTTTAGCACATCAGTGAGGCGCTTGAACCCACTGGCCAAAATCATTATGTGCATAAATTAAGGCTCTGTTTCACACACCAATGTCTTTTATATACTTTTCAGGGTCCAGTGTACCGTGTAGTGTTACTGAGACGGATCTTTCTTCCGTTGGTCGACGTCGGCGACATCATGAAATGAGCGGGGCTTCTATTTGAGCATAGAAATATTCCTTTTTATTGTGTTTCATACTTCATTTGCTAGACGTGAAGGAAGTTCAGTATAAAGAAATGATGATAATCGGACAAACATATCATCCCTTTGTCCAATGCGGGCAAACAATAGCTTGGAAAGTCCCGAGCATGGACCTTGGCTGCCAAGAAGTATCACGTGATTGATTCCTTTCCGCCTTGGATGCTTCCTGCAAAAAAAAAAAATAATAGTCGTGACTCCCTTCATTGCGTCGTGGGACATATCGAAATTCGAAGACAATCATCACCAGGGACAGCAATACATCCTGGATCTGTCTCCGAGCTCACTTCTCCCAACTAGAAAGCTCTCTCGTTGTGCTGACAGCTTCCTGCGCGACGGATCGCGAACGTGTCACGGAACCGCGAATACCACCGGACACCCCCATCAAAGACGTTAGAGACAAATTGGGTTTTGCTCTCTCCGCGACTGACAATAACTAAGTGAGGGTCGTTATCATCAAAGCCGTTGCTTTTTCGAGTCGGAGTGGAGTCGGAAGAGCCTCGCCGCACACCGAACGCTCCTGCCCTCTTCGATTGCAGCACGTGAGGAAACTCATCACGGCATCATACCGAAATCCAGTCTTGCGTCAGGCTTGGTTTAAGCCGTTAGACCGGGTTATATCGATTCCGAAGGATACGAGGCATTTCGCGCAGTTCGAGCTTGCAAACATACAACCAACGGCGTTTTTCATACGCTCAATATGTTGAAACGCGGAGCTCAAGGCCCTCAAGGGTCCAAAGAGGATGAGGGTGTTTTCGGGATGGCCAGCACCCCGGATGACAAGCCTCATCGAGCGACAGCGGCCCAGTTAGCCAACAGAAAGTAAGCGATAACTCAGGTAGCGGTGGATGACCATAAACTGACCGAAGATCTCTTTCAAACCTTTAGGATCAAGGATGTCCGCAGACGCCGGGCTGCAACCCCCACAACCGGTGGAGGCGCATCTGATGCAGCTTCATTTAACCCTTTCGCATCCGTGGCCCCGGCCGCGGCACCAGCACCTACCCAGTCGACTGGGTTCGCATTTGGTCAGACTCAGAGCCAGAGCTTCCCTGGGGCAAGCTCCGGGCCCAGCCAGGGTGGAATGTTCTCGTCGGGCACTAACGGCCAGGCCGGTGGTCAGGTATCCTTCAGCTTCGGCGCCGGCCCGACCTCATTTGGATCTGCACCGTCGAGCAATCCCTTTTCTGTAGACACATCATTTGGCGGAAATACCCAGTCGAGTACCAATGGATTCAACTTCGGGGGATTCAATACCGGAAACCAGTCCACTCCCTCGTTCGGTGGATTCGGAGCACAACAGAACACAAGCACTCCAGCAAAGCCCGCCCTGTTTGGGCAGTCTGCAGCACATATGACTTCGCCTGCTGATGACAGCATGCAAACTTCGCCCGATACCAAGCCCAAGGGTGCCTCAATATTTTCAACGAAGCCAGCCGCAGGTCCGTCGGCACTTGGCAATCCTTTCTCGAACCTTTCAGGGCAGGGCGCGGCCAGCAATCCATTTGCGCCAAAGATAACTGCGCCTGAGAAAGCAGTTGAAAAACCTGCGGAGGCTCAGCCTTTCACACCACTTTTCGGATCAACGCCCGCTGCTTCGAAGCCCTCGGATGGAGAAAAACCTCAACCAGCTGTCAGCAATCCATTTGCACCAAAGGTAACTGCTCCTGAGAAAGCAGTTGAAAAACCTGCGGAGACCCAGCCTTTCAAACCACTTTTCGGATCAGCACCCGCCGTTTCGAAGCCTTCGGATGGAGATAAACCTCAACCAACAGTCAGCAATCCATTTGCGAACCTGTCAGGGCAGGCTCCAACCAGCAGCACTAACCTGTTTGCCCCGAAGACAACACCAGTGGAGCAAACTCCTGCGAAGCCTGCAGAGCCGGCAAAGCCTTTTGGTGCTCTTTTCGGGTCAACCCCCAGCTCTCAGCCCTCAGGGCCTGCTGGCAATATATTTGCGCCCAAGCCAACGGCAGAAGAACCGAAGGCGAGCAATCCGTTTGCAAACCTGTCCGCGCCAAGTTCATTTGGTACTTTGTCCTCACCGAAGGTTACTGGGACCGAAAGTGCTGGGAAGGTTGCCGAAGCACAGCCGTTCAAGCCAATGTTCGGTACACCTGCGGCATCGAAAGTTTCGGAGGCCGGAAAAGAGCAGACGCCTGCCCCAGCATTTGGCAATATGTTCTCGCCGAAGCCGGCCGCTGACAACGCAGCTGCGAAGCCTGTAGCGGATCAGCCGTTCAAGTCCATGTTTGGTACACCTGCGGTGTCGAAAGTCTCCGAGGCCGAGAAAGAACAGACTCCCTCACCAGCATTTGGCAATATGTTCTCGCCAAAGCCGGTTGCTGAGAGTACGGGTGCAAAGCCGGTCGAGGACAAGCCGTTCAAGCCCATGTTTGGAACACCTGTGTCTGGAAAGGAACAATCAGCGGCAACCAATGTTTTTGCACCGAAGGTGACAAGTGAAGAGCAGACTCCTGTACCTGCAAAGACCCCACAATTCGGGTCGATGTTCGGGGCGTCTCCTGCGCCGTCGAAGATTGGGGAAGGAAAGACAGCCCAGCCGACACCCAGCAATCCATTTGCGAACCTGTCAGGCCAGAACGCGTTTAGCAGTCCATTCACGCCGAAGCCGACAGAGCAGGCTGCAAAGCCCCAGGCACCGAGCACATCCCTCTTTGGTGCAAGTACAGCAGTTGACAACAATAAGCTGAATAAGGACAATGAGGTCAATAGAGACAATAACATCGCTCTGAATAGCTCATTGTCTCACCCATTCACTCCTGGACCTAAGGTGTCGAATGGACCTCAAACGGAAGGCGCGGCAAAAACTACCACACCTCATGTGTCGTTCGCGTCTCCACGCGACGATAAAAGCTCGTCGTGTTTACCTGTCCCTTCTTCCTCTTCTTCTCTCCCCTCTTCCTCCACAACCTCTACTGTTTCCAACACTTTCACTGCTGCAGACCCTGACAGTCTTTTCCCACGACCTGATCATCCTGTATCAATTGACTATCCTGAACAACCTGAAGATTGGGACAGTATGCCTCTTAAGCGTCTTTTCAATGAGCCTAACCGCGACCTGCTTCGCGAGCGAGCCCATTTGCTCATGAAGATTGGCGTCTTGACTGAGTCGTTCAAGCGTGAGGTCGCTAAATGCGACCCCATGACTGATGATATCGACGAAGTCCTCATTCTTTATGCTGAACTTCGCCGTGACCTCGGTGTCCCCATTGGGACCATCAATCCCGAAGAAGAGGCCAAACGCGCCGCCATCAGAAAACACGATGCCGCCAAGGAAGCGGCAGGCGGCATCTCGCCTCCCCGCGATGCGCCCAAGGTAGCGCCAGCTGGCGCCTCACCTCCTCGTGGTGCCTCTAAGGAAGTGCCAAATGGCGTCGCAACACCTCGGATCCCGACCCCTCCTTCCTTCGCACCTCCTGGTGCTGATGACACACGCCCAGGACCTTCCAACAAGCCTTTTGGCGGATCTACTACTTCGTCTAAATTCGCCCAATCATTCTCCGCTCCGGCTACGGCTCCAGTAACTACCTCCGGTGGCTCTTCTCCCACCTCGATTTCTGGCTCGGCGACAGCTCCAGTTTCTGTTGCTCCTGCTGCTCCTGTCGCTCCTGTCGAGCCCTCTCCCCCAGCTGCTGCCCCGGCCTTTGAAATTCCCAAGTTTGGCAGTGGGGCTACTGGCGCCGATTTTGCTGCCCAGTTCAAGTCAGCGTCGGACAAGGCCATAGCTGAAGCAAAGGCCAAGAGAAAGGCTGAAGAGTTTGACTCCGATGAGGAGGATGAGGCGGAATGGGAGCGCAAAGACGAGGAACGCCAACGCGAGAAGCGCGCTCAAATTGAAGCTGCAGCTAACAAGCGTCCTATCTTTGTCCCCGGCGTGGGTTTCAAGTTCGCCGATGATAACACTGCTCCACAGAACGTTGAGGAGCCGGCTACATCTGCCGCCCCTGCTACATCTGCCACCCCTTCACAGCTTGACTCTGCGGGTACTGTTAATCCTACTCCTGATCTCTTCCCTGCTTTTGCTACTCCCTCCGCTCCTGAAGGAGCAAACGGTGCTTCCTCTGTGTTTTCTTCCTCGTCCAGTATGCCGGTCCCAGCCTCGCAGAACATTTTCGGCGGGCTCAAGCCGCCCTCGCCGAAGCGCAAGGCGGGTGATGAAAGTGACAGCGACGAGGATTCCCCTGCAAAGAAGACCAAGTCCTCCCACAACATTTTCGGCGGACCCATGCCGACCTCGCAGAATATTTTTGGTGGCAAGCCACCCTCGCCGAAACGCAAGGCGGGTGATGAAAGTGACAACGACGAGGATTCCCCTGCAAAGAAGACCAAGTCCTCCCATAGCATTTTCGGTGGGCCCGTGCCGACCTCCCAGAACATTTTCGGCGGCAAGCCGAGTGCACCCCTGCCAGGTACTTCGACTGATTCCTCCGCACAGCCCGTGATGGCCACTCCCTCTGCCCCTCCTACTCAACCCGCTTCCACCACCACTGAAGAGGAGGACATTGAAGCTGGTGAAATTTTCGATCTTACAAAGGGCAATGGCGGAGAGGAAGAAGAAACTGTGATGTTCGAAGACAAATCCAAGGTTTTCAAACTTGAGAGCGCTTGGTTGCCAAAAGGAACGGGTCCCGTCCGCGTTCTGAAGCACCCTGTCACTGGACGTGCGCGTGTTGTCGCCCGTGCCGAGCCGAGCGGAAATGTCACCTTGAACACTCTTTTGAAGAAGGAGTTTGACTACAAGCTCACCAGTAACAGTGTTCAGTTTCTGGTGCCCAACGAGACTGGGGGTCTCACACATTGGGCAGTCCGAGTGAAGAAGGAGAGACTGCAGGAGTTTTACCAGCTCGTGAACGATATCAAAAACTAGATAGTTTTCGATATCTTGCATCTCTTTTTTTCCTTTTCTTTCTTTTTTTTTTTCATGTGTGTGTGTGTATCGACGTGCATCTGGACAAAGTTGATATGTATTGAGTAGGACTATCTAATAAAAAAACTATGCAATCCTTACAGAACCTCGTCATACATGTATAAACTATTCATTTGAGCCTGCTGTTTTCCATTATATATAAACCCTTCCTCCTCTCTTTACTCTCTTCCTCTCTTCCAAGGTTTCTCTACGACACTCTCGCTCTTTTCTACGCGACAGGCATCTTTTAAAAGGAAGGTCTGGAGTTTTATGCTATATCCCTCCTTCAACACTCTATCGATCCCTAAGATGGTAGCACCTACCGAATCGCTCGCTATATTCCTTACTGAGAAAGCCAGCTCTCCGTTCCCCATACAGCCTCAAGCCCGGGTACTTTCCTTTACCTTTTCTTTTTTATTATGAAGATAATAGAGTCTACATCATTGTATTTGTGTGAATGAAGAATTGATTTTCTAGTTGAACATATCTCGTATCTTGTAAATGCCACTAATTCAACTAGTCGAACCTTGTAGACCCTTAGCGCTTAGCGCCTGAAACTAATTCCCGCCTTGTCGGCTTTTCCAGTTCTCCTTCCATTTTATTCTCTAGTCACTCGTTAAAATTCCCCTTCAAATCCAAAATGAAGCCCGTCGCTCTTTCTTTCCTAGGCGTCGCCAGCCTCACCAGCCTCGCCACAGCCCGCACCGACCTGGAAGGCTGCGTCTCCTCAAAAGTCATCTTCGACCACTACTACGCCAGCTACATCTGGTACGTCCCAGAGAACGGCGAAATCTGCTCAATCCTCGACTGTGGCGGCGGCCGTGCACCCCCAAGTACCACCCAACCGGGATGTCCAGAATACAGCGGAACCGAACCACTTACTTCCGACTACCTGGAGGGCTGGGGCCCCAATGGCAAACAGGCTGCCTCTACAAGCACCGTGGCATCGACTGCTTCGTCGACCGCTGATACTGTGCTCGCTTCCGCCACGCCGACTTCCGACGCGTCGATGGTGTCGGACTCGTCTTCCGCGTCTTCTTCATCCCCATCTGGCACGCAGCCTGCTGATAGCATGATCACGGAGGGCCCCTCCGGGATTTCTACGGTCGCTTCGTCTACCTCGGTCACTGGTAGCGATGTTTCTACTTCTGCTGCGGCGAGCAGCTCGTCCGCTCCTAATGCTGCCACTACCCCCGTCTCCAATGTCGGTGGTCTCGTGGCCGCGATGGCTGCTGTGGTCGGGGCTATGGTGCTGTAATTTTAACTTGATTATGTACTATACCTTGTGGGAGAGAGACGGGGATCGAACCTAGATAAATAGTTATAAATGCAACCGCGTATCGAGACTGAAGAGGTCGCTCATCTCTATTTCCTATGAGCCCTCATTGAAAATCAAATCCCCTTTTCCTGTAATGCGGAAGACGCTTCCCTACTGTAGCCCCTATCCGACGGAGAATTTTGAGCCGCATCGCCGATCTGACCCGCCCTCTTGGCGAGACCCAGGTGTCTCTCCACAATTGAAATTCTGGACACCGTCCGTGGGTTTGTGGGCCTAAGGTCTCGATCTGCGATTGACGGCTATCCCTGGATAGATTTATCCCCGGAGGTCACTGGCGTTGGAAATATGGCTTCATTTATGGAGATACAGCCACGGTAAGTGTCGCCAGACAGAATAGAAGAGTGCCCGATGTAGCATCTTAAGGTAATTTCTTTACTTATAGTGACCCTTTATGGTCGGAAATAAATCATTATTACATTGGTATGTATCTCGAAACCTTCGGTCCGCTGCCGTGGGCATCGAGACGTAGCCGACTACCGACTACATATATTCCCCATAAATCGGTGGGATTTCACCAAAAGGAAACATCATATCGAGAGGACAATCCATCATGAAGTCGTAGTCCGTCGAGGCACCAGTCGTGGGCAGGAAGCTTCGGTCCAGAGCATCTTTCCTCCGACGATGCATCTTTTTAATCATTTTCGCGCGGTTTCTCATCCTTCCGAATATCTCCGGCAATTCAGTAGGCGTGGAATCTTGTGCAGCCTGTTCAAAAAGTGGAAGTTCTTCTTCGAGCTTGCCAACTATACGATCGACGGTCTGATCGAAGTCTAGTATGCTTTCCACGTATGCTCGGTCCCATCCTGGATGGTCATAAAGAGAAAGCTGGGAGAGAGTGACGATTGCCTTTCCGAATTGGCACATTATGGTGAACGGGAAGAAAGGGAAAAGGGCGGAGGGGAGAGAGAACATGTTTTGGAAAAAGGAGTTTGTTGCTTCCAGGCAGCGGAAGAGGAGATCCAATTGCATGAGAGGATGATCGCCATAATTGGTTTTGGAGGTTTCGTTGTTGAGGGCTATTCGATAAAGATGTATCTCGAGTGTGTTGTAATGAAGCTGTAGAATGGCTATTGTCGTCGTCAGATCATTGTTAAATTGTGCGCAAGGACGACAGCACAGCTTACCAGACTGTGGTGAATCGGTCGGCAGACGAGCTTTGAGTTGCTTAAGCTCGGCTCAAGCCACCGTATGCTTAGTCCAAGAGGTGGAGGTGCAGATGAAACTGATGAAATATTGACCTCGGTGTTGTATAGTGCGTAATGAATCTTATCTGCCATGTTCATAACTCGGACTAGCTGAACAAGAGAGACATCGGTGGGATATTCTGCGACCTGCTCTAGAACATTGCAACATTCGTCGGTGTATTTTGTAAAGCGAATAATCGGTCCCAAATCTTTCACACATGTCGAAAGTCTATTAAGAATTAGCTTGTGCTCAGCAAAACGAGGGACCATACACATACATGGTAGTTAGATAATAACACCCAAGATAGGTGCGTCGCTCTTCCAGTGTGCGGACCGGATTATGAGGGTCCTCATTCATAGCTTCCTTCAAATAAGTCAAAGTATAGTTGAAGTTTTTCTGGTAATTCACTTGGTTTAGGCCCAAACTGAAGGATTGCGCGACGAGTAAGTGCACAAATGTATCAAGATGGGCAGTGCTTCGAACAACATGGTGAGGCTCCTCTTCCACTTTGAGCACATCGGGGAGACGTTCCCTGGGCCGTGGGAAACGACTGACTGAAATGAACCAAGCCACATTGATAAGAAGCCCCTGAAGCAGATCCAGGCTATGTTCTTCTCTTACGATGATGTGCTCAGCCACATATTCTTTGACTGCATCCACGAGTTCCCGCTGACGTGGAGCGTTTTGACAGGCGACCATTGAAATATTCAGATAGAGGAATGGTTTCTCTCGGCGTAGTTGCTCTGCGGTGATATTTGGGGGAATCATAAGGAAGGGAAAGAGTGGGAACATTCTCTTGAAGAACACTTCCATCAACAGCTGGCCTTCGGCTTCATCGGGAGCAGCTGGGTTGCCTTCAAACATAGACGATGATCTCGTTGCTGGGCCACTTTCTACCCGTTCTCGGGCATTTCGTTCTGAGGCAGCCAGCATGGCGACCATGCGGTCTAATTTAGCCTCGAGTGCGGCAACATCTCTAACTAGAATGTCAGGGGTCTCTTGAGGTGGTTTGATAATGGGGGACACTTACGAGCCACTTGCGACTGATTTTTTCTCACGGCGATGGGCTCCGGGCACCTGATTTCCGCATTCCTTTCCCAAGCGACGACAACTAAGGAGAATCAATATAAATTATGTATGAAATGAAACTATATTCTCACCGTTTACAAGGACCATCGGTTTCCGGGAAACATCGTACTTTGGCCTTGGCACACGTTATGCATGCTTTAGGGTGACGAGTCGCCCCTCCCTCCATGACTCCTTAGCATACGCAAAAGAAGCTGTTAGCCCGATTTAGAGAGGTATTAGGAGCAGCTAAGTGATAGGCAATCGAGTCTGATGTGTCAGGTGTCAGAATGGGTAGAAATTAAGGAAGCGGAACTCCGCACTAGATCTCTTAGGTCGCATTTCTATTGGTCAACTAGATCATAGTGGGTCTGCCTACTATATAAACCACCTGGGCAACCCCTTTTTTATATCAACATATGAGTCACCTTGAATGTCCATATACAGACAAATAGAAAAATAGACAGAACAACTAATGGAAAAGTCTAACTAGTTATCAGAGGATAGTTCCTTCAAGAGTTTCTGGCCATCCTCGTCCAGGTTTGGATAGTCACGTAGCGAGTACAAATCAAGCCAAAACTGTTTGCCATCGTCATGAGGTTCAATGCGTTGACGAACCAGCTTCTTCCACTCCGCATCCGTCTCAGACAACCCAATGTGAAGCGCAACATATTCCCACCAAACAGGAAAGTATCCCGCATATTCCCAGTCAAGAATTCCAGTAAGCCTGCCGTTTTCAACCATAATGTTCCCCAGGTTTAGATCGCCATGAGTGAGGACATAAGGACGGCAATTAGGCAAGCGCTTCCTGAAGGCTGCCAACGCACGTTCTGGAAACACCTTGGTAGATGGTTGGTGAAGCCAGTGACGCAGGCCATCCCACAATTCGGAATCAGAGCTGAAGGGCCCAAAAGGCTTCTTAGGATCCCCAAATAGCCACCCCGAGTAGATCGGACCTTGGTCAATGTCTTGCATAGACGCTGACTCAAATGACCGCAGTTGGCCCAAAGCTGCAGCCACCTGATCAGCAATAGTTTCTTTCTCATCTTGAGAAAGCGTAGGCCAAGCGTCTTCAAGAGTTTGACGTTTCACTCGTTCCATAAGAATCATATACCGGTTTTCATTGTCAACCCACTCGCGCAAAACTGTTGGGACCGGAATCTCTGTGTGATGCGCGAGGTATTCTATTGTTTTGACTTCGGTTTTAGGAGGCCCATTCGGACGGTCTTTCAAGATAACATCCGAACCAATGGCCCATACTCCACGCTGGGAGGCCCCATAGAAGAGTTTGATGTGACTAGGATAATGACACCGCTTCTGTTTCTCGGTGGACCAGCCACAAGCTGTGCATTCATTGTCGATAGTTCTTGCTGTCATATTTGCGTTAATGGATAAACGAGGGTCAATGGAAGCAGAGAACTTAGTATTGGCTAAGACTGCTATTTGAAAGTGCGGTGTGTTTGTTTTGGGACACACTGGGCTCGAAGGGAATAGTGGAAATATTCTAAGTCCGACGTGGAGATAGCAGGTGTCTGTACTAGACAAACAAGTATTGAATACAGAGCGAACTTATCTGTATGTGCTCCGGATGTGTTTATACAATTATCCGGTATTCCACAATACAAGTCCTTTCAGTTAGCGTTTCTTGGCATAATCGTCCATGGACCCATGAGTACCCATGAGTGTACAGGCGTCAAAAACGGGCGTGGCAATAAAGTCTCTCTGTTTCATGACCTGGTGGACAGTCATTCTACAAGAGGTCAACAACACAGCAGATCCTCAGCGAGCCTCTTCTTGGCCCCCACAGCTACGCCCTGCCAGCCTGCCGATCGGATGACGCACTCGGCTGTGATCATGTTTCTTCCATCCCCTTTCCTGGAACGCGCCCGTACAACGCGTTTTGAACGAAAGACGCGAATATCTCATTCAACCAAGGAGCCACGGAAGATCGAAGAATTGACGCAGATATGGCTGTCACAAGCGACCGATGATTGTATGAGTCAAGATAGAAGCCAACTACAGATTCAATTGCTGCAGAAGGCACAAGAGATCTGTGGTCGACATGTGCCATTACGATTGCTCGGTGCACCCGACCACAATCAATCAAGATGACGATATTACTGGGATCGGAGTGAGTGTCGCCAATGAGGTCACCTAATTGATGGGTTGCTCATCTTCAAGGTCTTAATCGGGTACACCGTCACTGCGGTAGTGGCGACTATCGTATTTTACTACCTTCTGTCTTATCAACCGTGTCTGGACCCTTTTCGCGATGGGCATATCGATCCCCTGTTGGCCGTACAGCCACGGCCGAATCCGATTGACGAGCTGATGCTTCGGGGTCCACGGAGACTATTGACTAAGATCTTTGGCACAAATAGTAGTGGGTTGAGCATCCATGCCCGTTTTGAAAACTCGCTGGTCAAGGTATGTTACGGCCATATTGTGACCTTTTGATCAATGCTAAAATCAAACGCAACAGTGCGTCCTCGCCATGAGCGACATCCAGATATTCACCGGAATATCCATCATGATCAGCGGTGCGGCACAGCTCAAGTGTGGAATTTCCTGCTACCAATGGCTGGTAGTAGTTTACCTGGCATGATTCTCCAGTCTGACCCATCTCTCGTGTCTAACCCTTCTCCGGAACTATCTACACAATCGGCCGGCCGAACGCACCTGGCGACTTGCTTGCATGTTTGTATTGGTGGCTCTCCTCTTCTTCGCTTTTCTTCCCACGGTCAATTAGATGGCAGCTGGGACGTTCTGCTGAAGACAGCGGTCCTCCCACACCCGAGGACTACGTAATCTGTTATCTGAAACCGATGTCACGTCTTGGTTATCGTGCGCACTCCCTGTACTGGGAAGGGTTGAATTATCATTCTCACAGCGAACATACTATCGTTGCTACGTCTGTATCCATCGTATTGTTGTTTGTCGGATTTGTGTGTCGGGTCTTCAAGCTTCATCAGAGCTTCTCGAAGTTTCTTGATCACAGCATTCGACGGAGAATCAGTCGTTCACTTCGTATACCGCTTCGTGTGGTTTACGACTGGTGCCATGTTCAGGGCTCCCCTCAAAGCCTGAAGAGGTACTTGTTTTATCGGCCTCTATTAGCACTCTTTCTTACTGCCCGAGTATCCGCCGATACGTGGAACTCCATGTTCTTTGAGGTAAGCTTCTCACCAAAGTCTTTGTGTTGATAACGATCTAAGCTTGAAGCCAGGTGTGGTGGCTCATGATCAGTTTCATTTGGGGTGTGGAGCGTTTATTCAATACAACAGCTATCGTACCAAGTAAGGAGGACACAAAATGGACTTTTGGTCAGGTCATGTCCGTTGCTCTCCTTGCGATACCCCTAGTGACGGTCGTTGAGCTGCTTTATCCAGGTAAGTTCCCAACGTCGTTGCAATAAAGCCGCACAACTAAGCATCCTGGCTATTCCCAGAACCCGAGAAACAAAAGAAAAACACACAGCAAACCAAAAGAACCTGCCTATCATTTGATCAGAACCAGGGCCGCTCTAGTCTCGAATACCTCGACGAGCTGCCTTCGCCAATTGCACGGGATCTCACCCGCACCTCGCACCTCGAGGTCAACGATCATCCCGACTACGAACTGTATTACGCATCCGGTTCCCTGAATGTGCCGGCTCTGACGCTAACCCTATCAGTCGTTTTCATCTCACTCTGGTGTCTCGGTCAGGCGTCAATGTTCAACGGCCTGACGGGACTCGGCTTTTTGCAAATATCCTTTTACCCCTGGGGCGCAATGCCACTGGTATTGATATTCAGCATCTACAACAGCATCCTTTTCTCATTTATGGGAACTGGTATTGGGGGCAGGGAACGAGGCAGCCGAGAGACTAAACGCTTCCTTGTGCAATTCTCACATGTCTTCGTGACGATCTTCTTTATTGCCATCACTGTCTTCATGTTTCTCTATGTTCGGGGTGGCGGGGAATGGGTCCAGTGGGTGGCCGTTGGCGTATTTGGCGTGTACTTCCTGTGTTCTTTGTTTATAGCATGTCAGTGAAATCAATCTTTCGACGCTGTTCGAGTTTTTACTACCGCATTTTTCCTATTAACCCGGGAGCCTCACAGCGTCGGTTGTATGCGAACGGCCCCGCAGTGCTGCCTTGGTAGAGATCGTCGCTGGACACAGCCTTGCGGCGAAGTTCATTGAGAAGCCGATTCCCGCAGTGGATTTATGCTTCATGAGATCCAAAATTGGACTAATCCAAGGTCGCTTTTATGTGCCAAACCAGTTTTTTCCTGCTTTCGAGTAATGGAAGAGGGCAGTGATAGTAATTGCTTCCCGATCACTTCCCTCCAACCTGGCCAGCCCCCACGCGTCCTCTATGCCGATCAGTATCATATGAATCCTCGTCAATGCTGCTGGGCCGTGTACTCCATAGCCTTTCTTCACTTTCGCTTTTCGCCCATTCTCGACTCCCTAGTCCAACCATCCCTCGCCTCTAAGCGGCTTCCAAAATGGCTGAGGCTGAGTCAACTGGCTCCAATCCCATGGATGCGCAAGTTCGTCCAAGAAAAGCAGACAGTAGCACCGAGTCGAAGAGACCAGCCAGTAAGCACCTTATCTCCATTGTCCAAATTGCCCTTTTAACTCGATCCTATAGGCACGGCTTTTCGGCAGCAGAGACTGAAAGCCTGGCAGTCAGTTTTTGATACTCAGGCTTCTCTGAAAACTAAATGTTTATTTACTGACACTCCGACAGGCCAATTCTAACTCCTAAAAACGTCCTTCCTATATTTTTGGTCATTGGGGTTTTATTGATCCCTATCGGCGGAGTTCTCATTTGGGCGAATTCTTTGGTGAATGTGATCTCCCTTTGATAACAGACCCACCTAATACTAAACATTTGAAAGGTTCGTGAGATCGTGATCGACTATTCGGATTGTTGGAAGGCTGCGCCGCTGGACTCATCTATAGCCATCCCCGATAATGTACAGACGACATTCAAGTCAAAGACCAGACAAGATCCCCACTGGCAGCGAACACACGACCCAGCGACGAATACCACCACATGTTCTTTGTTCTTTGATATCCCGGAGACACTGGGACCGCCGGTATATCTATATTATCGGCTTACAAACTTCTATCAGAACCATCGCAGATATGTTCAGTCGTTTAACCAGGACCAATTGAAGGGCAAAGCCGTCCGTAACGCCACGTTGGCTAACGGCACATGTGAGCCCTGCGCGGTTGACGATGCAACAAAAAAGGCCTACTACCCCTGTGGGCTAATTGCGAATTCCAAATTCAACGACACTATCGGTCAGCCTCAGAATCTACAAGGGGAGGGGACACTTGTCTACAACATGACAAAGAAGGGAATTGCGTGGGAGAGTGACAAGAAATTGATCAAAAAGACGCAGTACAAGCCGTGGGAGGTTGTCCCCCCACCAAACTGGGCCAGTTACGGCCTCAACTACAGTTACGAGAACATGCCTGATCTTCATGAAGATGAAGATTTTATGGTTTGGATGAGACCGGCCGGTTTGCCATCGTTCAGCAAGCTTTCTAGAAGAAATGATCGTGACGCAATGCCCAAGGGGTTTTACAGGTTGGATATACAGGACAGTATGCTTTCCCTCGTAGATTTGGCACGTCGCTCGCTAAGTATTTATCAGGGTTTCGGGTCACTGAGTACGAGGGGACCAAGGCAATTTTGATATCCACTAGGACTGTGCTTGGGGGCAAGAACCCCTTTTTCGGAATTGCTTATGTTGTTGTTGGTGGGACCTGTGTGCTTGTGGGAGTTGCATTTACGATTGCACACTCAATTCGACCCAGGTATGGTACTCTCGATGGAATATCCTCCCGGCTGTTAATAGCTTTTTAGAAAATTGGGTGACTGGACCTATCTTTCCTGGGCATCTTCAACTTGACCGACTATAGATTGCACTCGCTGCTGGACAAACTGGGTAGCGTATCAGACAACTAGCCTACTACAACAGACTTAAAAGAAAATTAGATCCTTCCTTTGTTATTTCTTCCTCATAAAGTTCAAAAGAATGTTCCGGCGGATTTTATGCCTTAAAAACATTGGTTGCAAGCTATGTATGAATGAATGATGCACTCCCTCATCACTCACTTCCTTCACCGCACTTCCCTCACCTCCCCCATCGCTTACCTCCTTCACCTGTCCTTATTATTCTTCTTCTCATAGTCATCAACAATGACGTCTCCGAGATCCTGGTTCGACCAGGGATCTTCACGGGGGCGCTACGATCGTGGTAGTATTATTACCACCGATGATGGAACCCAATGGGAAGTCCGCGAACGCCTTAAGCAAGACGAAATCCAGAGAGTGGCGAACTCACGTATCTCACCTAGCTATGCTACCCTAAAGCTTCGCTGTATAAAAGCTAACGCTAGCCCGAGCGAGAGAACAAACCAAGCGTTTTTACGGGTGTATCTCCAGATTCCCCATATCGGATCGGAGTTCGAGGATTCTAACGCTCGCGCCGCGCAAGCCGATCACACCTTTCAGCCTGAGGAGCTTAACGCATATACTATCCTTAACAATCATCTAACAGTTTCGAAATTCACACCGAAGCTACTCAGGATCTAAGGTATCACAGCAGGGGCCCTTAGGCTTTATTCCTAGTGGGTTTCTTATCGTCGTTGTATGGGAAATGGTCCAGGGACTTCCCCTCGGCGATCTAAGTGGAAAGGCGACTAGATATTGGACTTTACCGGGGAGCGAGCGTGCTGAAGTACGTCGACACTTTGAAAGGACCTTTAAGTAAGTTAGCCAATCTTAGTGGTTCGTGGATATTTATTGATTTATATTTCTAGGGAAACCTCCTTTACCGTTGGTATCTGGCCCTTACCTCCTTCTCCTCACCATCTAGTGTGGAATTCCACTACCGAGACTTTGTAGGTTTATCTTAGCAAAGTCCCCTATTTAGCAGTGATCGATCATCTAACCCGTCGTTTGCAGATTCTGGGTTGGATTCCGTACCTTCAGTCGGAAAAAGAACAAGCCCTGGGATAAGGGTTGGCTGCCTACGTGGGACCTCGTTAAGACCCCGAAATAATCGATGGGCACATATTGACTGGGATAGGGATACTACAGGCTGGAAATACTAGCTATCATGCTTCCAAGGTTGTATCTCAATGACTGGTCTAGCTTTCGCTGAAACATATTACTACTTAAATTGACGAATACGACATAACACCTTAATTCGATGACAAGTTAGCGAAACAACTAATTTGTTTTAGGTGGCAATTGACTGAGGCGATTTCTTCGATTTCCTTGTTGATAATGGTAATATCGAGATGGATCAGTTAAGTACTTATACTTTCCCGATATGTTACTGCTTCACGGACAACGTCCGATTAGAGGACTAGATGAAACCAGGCACCAGACCGTACACATGGTCAGAAGCTAGTCTGTTTTTCTGGTAGGAGGAGATGATATTTTCTGGTTCCACTGAGGCTGAATAGAGAGGGCTGTGTCGGACTGTATGTCTCTCAATGCTAATTTCCCAATCGGGTAATTCTCATGTCGGAGTTTGCAGCGACTATCTTTCTACCAACTTATGCTCCTGGCAGTAAAAGATTCGGGCCTCTTCGGATGATTTAGTCCCAAAGACATTGGCTAGCCTTGCGTGTCCACACAGCCTTGTGAGTTCCACGTAATATAACTAGACCTACTGGAAAGGGCAACTCACCTGAACATCACCTCGAGGTTGAAGGACCTTCACAAAACAAAGTCTACGAAAGTCATCGGAAGCGGTACTATCCTATTGAGAACATAGTCAAGGGCCAAGTAAATCATAGGTTCATTAGTCCATTAGTAATTTGACGTCGGAGGTTAGCCATGGTTGAACTGCTTCTCATAGCGGTAATAATTGCCTACATTTCTTCTCTTCTCTTCCTCATCCAACATTTTTTTCTCCATCAAGACACCAGTGATCTCTTTTGCTTCTTTTGCCTCCATCATTATTATTACCAGACGACCTTTTCTTCTATCTTGAGCCGATCAGTCTGACATCTCAAATATCAGTTTAGGCGACAGCCAGGGGTAGATACCTTTCGCAACCAGGATGGTCACCACGCGAGACCCAACAGCCTTGACCGACCTTCCACTTGAGCTGTTGTGGATGATTTCTGAGCATTTATCACCAGTTGACCTTGCTTGTCTGGCACTAGGCAACCATCGTCTGCTGTCTTCATTCGCTGGCACTGCTTTTCGGGACTTCACAAAACGCCACAACGGAAACCCCACTGATGACGCACGTATCAAGCTGCTATCTTTGCTTTCTCGCGACCTACCGCAGTACTATCTCTGTTTCATCTGCCTCCGACTTCATTTGTGGAAAAACACTCGGCTACCAAGCTACTTTCATATCGATTGCTCAGATGGCTTGGAGATAAAAGACCGGTGCCTTCAAACATCTCTACCCCTCTGTTACTACCCATCCTATACCTATTACCAATTCCGTTTCGTTCATCTTCAGCTTGCTATGAGAAGGTTTTACTATGGACCGGGCTTTGGAATCCCCGTTGAGTCAATGCTCTACGCGGAGGTAGTATATCGTCATATCAAAGCCAAAGCCCCGCTCTGGTTGCAATCCCCCGCCAACAACAACATATCAGAAAATGATCCCCAGAAAGATGGTCTGATGGCACTATTCTCTGCCGAAGCTCGAATCTGTTCTACGCCTCCGGGCCTGTGCTTGCGAACGCAAGAAATAGCGGTAGTAGCACAACAGAACGTACCACGGATGTGGCCGTGCCGCGAGAATGGACTCGTGGAGATCTGCAGGCATATCCACACTCGTAAACCGGGATTTATCGACATCTTTACCTCTCACATTGAGCGTTATTGCTCTAAAACAAGCCCGATAAAACCAGCCGACGAAGGGAGTTGTGATAAATGCAATACCTCCTGGAAGTTGGAGATGCGAAACCTGGACGAAAATAATGCAAGCCTCACTCTTACCCGGTGGATTGACTTGGGGCCGGGGCTGAGCCCAAATGATGCTCAGTGGAGGTGTCGCTTTGGTATTGAACTACTGCTGAATTCGCCAAACCATGAAATAGTGGACTCCCGTCAGCGGTTCGAGAGGGACTCTGTTCAGGCTAGCTCTTCGAATGCATTGTCCGAAGATGAAATGTATTGGCGGAACATTTCTTTGCTGCAAGAGAAGACATACCAAAAAGTGATGACTCCAGTGCGCTATGGATTCTACATATTGCACGAAGAAGCAAAGACAAGTTCTTCTCGCTGTATCATTCTCTGAAGAGAGCATTGATCACACACACTATGGAGTTCACCCACATTCGTTCCTACCCTGTTGCGCGACTTCCGCTGTTGACCACACCCGTGGACCCGTGGACTCTTGTGTACTTCTTTGTTGACAATACATTCATGTCAGACAAAGCCTGTCAAGCGGGATCAATGACTTTCCCCCCCGTGGAAGATATGGCATCAATCTGCTTCTGTAATGGCATCAATCTGCTTCTGTAAGCTATGCATGCATCTTTCGAGGCCCTGTGTGACAGCTTACAGAAGCAGATTGATGCTATATCTTCCACCGGGGGGGAAGTCACTGATCCCGCTTGACAGGCTTTGTCCGACATAAACAATTACCGATTTTTATTTCGCCAGAAAAGCTTAACCTATATTTCTGAACCCGAACTCCTATAATCGAGTCGCCATCGTATTTACGTGGAGCAAAGGCTTTTATGCCGTGTCCCTTCAAATGGTTGGTTTATCCTCGGCGGCGAGCGTATCGGGAGCGACATCACCTGGGAACAGGTTGCAATACCCCAGGAGCACTTGAACTCTCAGTCACTCTTGTGACAGCACTGGCCGTATATCCCGTCTCCAGGATCACGCTCCCTATTCCTGGGAGCTGCGAGCGCTCTGCAAATTTCAGTCCTTTAGCGACAGGAAAAGCTGATCTCGCAACAAATCCACAGGAGTCATCCTATCATCCCCGTTCAAGCGATCATCCAACCTCAAGACACATTCACATCGAGCCTGGAGCACTCCTTGCAAGATCTCATTCTCTCCATATCCCACTTCCCTAGCAATTTCTCTTGCAATATTGTTTCCGACAGTCAGCACCAACCCAGCGATATCAACAGCAGCGTTCCCAATGCCAGCATCTGCCCAATCAAGGATCCCAGTTATCCGGCCACTTTGGGGACAAACGAGGATATGTTCGCCTTTAATGTCGTTGTGAACCAGTGCTAAGCGGTATTCTGGAGACAAGTGCTGTATCTTCTCCAGTATGGTGGTTTTCCTCTCCAGTAACCCGTTTATGGGACTTTGGTTTCCGATATCCTTCACAGATACCTGGCCACGCTCCACCAGCCTTGTCCATGCTTCGATCGCAGACTCTCTGAGTAACTTCAAGTTGGGGAATGGAATCAAAGGGATTTTTACCCCCAGTTTTTCTTCTAATCCTTCGATGCTGACACACTTCAACACAGAAAGAAGACTCCTCAGTCCTTGCACAGTCAATTCAGAAGCAGGAGCGCGGTGCAACCCCAACCCTTGGAGCTTGGTTTCGAGCGAAGCTGCATAGTCCCCATCATCGCTCAGTTGCCAGGTCCCGATGGAGCATGGGATGATACGTTCATCTAGACCGCGAGCCCGGTACTGATCTTGGACGAGTCTGCGCAATGCGATGTCACGTGCCTGCATCTCTTGGCCATTGTAAGAGCGAGAACCATCTTCGCGCGGCTTGGTGATTCGGATGATGTAGTCGGGCTTGGAGTCGATGAGGAAAATCAAGTGGTCATCGCCTTCAATGGTGGGTTGACGTATCAGGGATATGGAGGCAGGAGAGCACTGAAGGCCTGTCGCTACACATTTCTTCAGTCTAGAAACTGAGAATGGGAGAGTGTGGGGCATGATGAATGAGATTTATCTGTTTTTGTAGCATGAAGGGTTGAAGGAGGTAGGTTTTATATCCTTTTGGTGTGAATCTTGGCTTGGACGTCGGGGTCCCAAAAGAGTATCGTGCCAGCCACGTGTGTAGGTAATGGCTTGCACCGTGACAATGTGGCTATTTTTGCAATATCTTTGTAGACTTGGTTGTCTTACCTTGCCATCAAAATCATCTCATCGAACATACCCAGCTTCCAGAAACGCCCTTACGTATGCAAGGCATGTGCAGACTTATTCATGATACCGCCGCCATCGAGCGAATCCGTGCCAGCTTCCTTTCTTTTTATCGATAGTTGATTTGCATGGTTAATTTGTACTATGAGAGATACGCATAGTGAGGAATAACGCATAGTGAGGAATACATATAGTGGTGGTCATTTGATTGCCTTCCAAGGTTTTTGCTTAGGTAGCTTGGAAACTGATGGTAGAAGCTTAAACCCATACTTTTAATTAAGGTAGCACATATTGTTAATGAATTAAAGTGGCAATTAGATTCCAGATAACATCCCCATAGGCTCTTCGTAGCACAACATTCAATACGAGCTGAGCTAAGTCGCTCTCAAGTAAACCTGAAGTATGACCAGCTGCACAACAGCCCCAAAAAAGCACAACAGGTAGGATTGGAACTTATATGTTTTAGTTGAGTGCCAAAAGAACATAGGGGTATAGTTGGTCGCTCACATTGTGTCCTCAAATATCAACACAAACTTGGTTTCCATTCAAGACATTGATGCAGTTCAAGGCATCAAGGTCGGATAGAATAGCGAAGATAGTCACATCCTTGACCTTGCAAACTGCCTTTTGATTGTTCTTGCACTGAATCTTGTCACGTGCCTCCAGGTCAGAAGCTGGGGAGGCAGAGACAGCCGCAAAAGCTGCCAGGGAAAGAGTAATAAATGTGTTGAAATGCATCCTTATAGTAGGTCGTGGTAAATAAAGGTCTTGAAAAGATGTGACTCGATTTGACTTGCAGTCTTGAAAGGCTTGCTAGGTACCGAAATGTCTCTGTGAATGCACTTAGAAGATTGTAGTCGACCACGCTTCCTTTATAGAACAGCGAATAGCCAGAGCAGTCGATAGATCGCCACCCTACGTCTTTCATATTCCATCATTAAATGCTTCGTGATATCATGAAGCTTAATGCAATACGATTGTTTCACTGAAGCGTGGAAGAACACTTGGAAGAACTAACTTGGAAGAAGTATACGGAGTAGGGCAACCAAAGAAAGAGATATGCGATTTGACATGCCGGAAGGTCGTAAGTTTCCCGATTGTAGAAGACAATAGAGTTAAAACAAACTCTCAATTTGATTCGCCAACAATGTGACGGTTTCCTTGTTTTGGCCATAAGGATGAAAGCGGAACCATATCGATGTTTTGACTTTGTATAAACTTGTAAGTGTTCCAAGCTTCAAACTTGGTACTACTTTAAAAAAAAGATTAACCTTATTTCAAGCTTCAATCCATGGATTTAAGACATTCGAACACATAAAGATACTACGCAACCTTATAGCAAATAGCTGGTCAGGCATGAAATTGAGGCAGAGGTCTAGACTGTTCGTCCCTCCTTTATCCCGGTTAAGGCAAGGAAGTCTAGACAACTCGTCCCTCCTTTATCCTGGTGAATTCAGATCACAAGACGGCCACAAACTAGGGCACTGTATTACTACTTGCCTCCAAAAGAGGATAATCCATGGTTTAAGTGGTAGTCTCCGAGAAGATTGAATGGCTTGGCTGTGGCCAGATCGCCCAGCAGACTCAGCAAAAACTTTAGAACCCGACTGATTCCAGAAATCACCTAAATATACAGAGAATAGCAATGCTCCAGTATCCCTATATAATGTATTTAGGTAGACACGGCGCCGATGTTTAGATATTAATTAACTACGTATGTCTGTACCTGGTACATTATGTACCTATAACACCATCTCCCAATGTCTAATTCGGGGGATTTGTTCCTATTTGAGGCTAGACAAGAAATTTATATTTATCTACACTAATTATTTGGAAAGAAGAACTCGAGATAAGCCTCAAGTGTGAACAATTTGAGCGACCTCGGGTGTCATGTTACACTGCTTATCGGCGATATGGCCGTCCCCGCAATTCGCAACTCCGATATCATTCCAGTCCCCCTCATCTCTCCTTCCACATATTCCCAACATGGCTGCCATGGCTACATTCTTGAAAAAACCCCTCAAACTGGCTCTTGTCCAGCTCGCAACAGGTTTGAATGCCTACACCTGCCCATATTACCCAAGCTGACCGAACCGTATAGGAGCGGACAAGTCCGTGAACCTCTCTCATGCTCGGAGCAAAGTCCTTGAAGCTGCAAAGGCTGGCGCAGGATTGATCGTCCTTCCCGAGTGCTTCAACTCACCCTATGGCACGAATTTCTTCCCTAATTACGCCGAGACCCTACTTCCCTCTCCTCCCACGATTGAACAATCGCCCTCCTTCCACGCCCTGTCGGCCATCGCCGTGGAGGCGAATGCATACCTCGTCGGCGGAAGTATTCCCGAGCTGGAGCCGTCTACGAAGAAATACTATAATACCTCGTTGGTCTTTTCGCCGACGGGCGCCTTGATCGGCACTCACCGCAAGACACATCTGTTCGACATCGATATCCCGGGCAAGATTCAGTTCAAGGAGAGCGATGTACTTTCACCTGGCAACCAGTTGACAGTCCTGGATCTCCCGGAGTACGGAAAGATCGGTCTCGCCATCTGCTACGATATTCGTTTCCCAGAGGCAGCGATGATCGCCGCGCGCCAGGGTGCTTTCCTCCTCGTCTACCCGGCGGCCTTCAACACCACCACCGGTCCTCTGCATTGGTCTCTCCTTGCTCGTGCCAGAGCCGTTGATAACCAGTCATATGTGGCACTCTGCAGCCCGGCGCGGGACCTTGATGCCGCCTACCACGCCTATGGTCACAGCTTGGTCGCTGACCCTAGCGCAAACATTCTCTCTGAAGCTGAAGAGAAGGAGAGTATTATTTACGCTGACTTGAACAATGATGCGATTGCGAATATTCGCAGTGGAATTCCCATCTCCACCCAGCGACGATTTGACCTTTACCCTGATGTGAGCGCAAGCCAGAAATAAAGTGGGAAAGCTGTCAGATACTGTGAGGGGTCTTTGTTAGATATTATATCAATTTACCTAGAGATAGTCTAAACTACCTGAATATTCACAACGTCATTGGAAGTATGAATTTTTGATAGTTGAATAGGGTAATGTTGCCTGAGGCATAAATATCCGCAACCAAATCATCATTGGTTGGGATGTAGCCCCACTCCACCCAATCAGACCCCACACAGGCAAGCGAGACCACACTGAATTTCACACGAAAATCGACGAACTTCTTCTTCCGACAATCGATCACTTCCGCCCACCGTCGACCACCCCTTCAGTTAGTTTACTCAATCACCACTCCGAAATTCCCCTCTAACCTTCTCCACAGAGATGTCCAACGTCAAGACCGGCAACAAGCGCTCGGCCATCGCCGATGTGGTGTCTCGCGAGTACACCATCAACCTGCACAAGCGAGTATGTTGAACACAACCCTTTTCCCAGTCTACCTGCGACGATTCGAATACGATTCAGTTCTGGAGGCATATAATGGACAGAGAACAAGAAACTTTTCCTGAAAAATGGAATTTGTTACGGAAAAGAATGTGTGTGGTGTGGGTTGGTGTGTGTGCGTCGAGGGTGGAATGGGAAACCAATCCCCCTTTATGCCACACCACCATCCTCACCATGACCTGTGGAGAAATCTGCAGGTAGGACATGGCATTTTTTGTCTGTTTGTCTACTCCGCGAGACAGCCGAGAGGAGATCTTGAAAAAGTCTTCGCTCGCATCCACACATATCCGCACCCGGAACACAAAAGAAGAATTAGTTTTATGAAGTCCACTATGGCCGAAAGACCAGAAACATTCATCGCGCAGAGTTTCTCTAGCAGATGGCATTCGGGCGGAAGACTGATTGTAACTTCTTTTCCGGAATTATAGTGCCACGGCGTCAGCTTCAAGAAGCGTGCTCCTAAGGCCATCAAGGAGATCCGCGCCTTCGCCGAGCAGGCTATGGTAAGTTTGAGCAATGCTCTTCTCTCCCCTGTCCCCTACTGGGAAATAAGTCCGCTAACATGCTCAACTCGCAAATAGGGCACCAAGGATGTCCGCGTCGACCCCCAGCTGAACAAGAAGGTCTGGGAAGCCGGTATCAAGGGCGTTCCCTTCCGTCTCCGTGTCCGCATCTCCCGCAAGCGTAACGACGAGGAGAACGCCAAGGAGCGTCTCTACTCCCACGTCCAGGCCGTCAACGTCAAGAACCCCAAGGGTCTCCACACCACCACCGTCGACGAATAAATGTGTCGCTTTTCGTTAGCATCTATGATTCCATGTTCCTAGCTGGGGTGTGGTCGGGGTTTGACAAAAATACAAAATACCTTTTCCCTTTGGGGCGTCCTTATATCTTTTGTCTTAGTATTGTAGTGCCGTAGTTGACATGACAGGAGAGTTACTTGAAGGTGGCTCAAAGTGAGGTTTGAGGCCTATATGCAACCTTAGAAGTAAGTATAAGGTCTAATAATCGCGAGTTTCTTGAGGCGCCTATTAATTTCACCCGAGAGAACGACTGTTATGTCAATGGTACAAAGTCAATGGTCCAATTAGGGCTAGGCGGGGGAGCCGTTTATTTGATTAATCATACACTTAATGGCTGTTCTAGTGCTGACGAACACTCTTCTTCATACCCTCCCAGATATATCTGGGGGTTTTTAGTGAGACCTTTCCGGGCCTGTCGTTGTGTAGAGATATGACATAGACATCACCACAATTCAACCTCTAAGCCCGAGCCCGAAGTATGGGAACATGACTCGCAATACCCTCCAACTCCTAGATACCATAGCAGTTACTACGCAACGAGGTCCAACGACAGTCTCTCCCCGTCTGTTATGCTCGATAGTTGTAACCTGATACTCTTATACTACCTTCTGGCAGCTGTCTCAGTAAAGGTTCTGCAACGAAAGGTCGCCCATCACTTCACTCTATACAACGAACGTCGGCCAATATAGAGACCGTAGCGATAACGAGCGGTCAGCACTGTATCGACAGGTCATCTTTATATGACCTAGACTAATGCTCTTTTGTTCATCGAGGATCTTCTTAGTCTGGGATTGAGGCTGGCTGAAAGGTAAACGTGTGACAGAAAAGATCACACCGCTGATTGACGATTTGTTCTGCAAGCATGGACACCCGATACATCTGAATTCACATCCGCAGCCACACGGGCCGTGCCGTCCGTAATTATAGGGAGCACACTTGAGCACCGGATGTGAGTCTATATTTATCCCGTGTATACAAGTGTACACAACCCACTTCCGGTGTAGGCCACAAGTATCACATCCATGTATTACGAGAACGGAGAAAAGCTGCTATAGATTGGACTACCTGACTTAGCTCCTATCAGTATCAGAGTGTAATGAACAAGGGCTGGTGAGAACGTGTACCGTTCAGAGCTGCAGAATGGCGATAGTTGACCCACCAACGTATACTCCGCACAGGGAAAATCATTACTGGCTCAGCTAGCCACAACGAAGCATCAGGAAAGAAAATAAAATAAAATCTGCAAACAACAGCCTACAACTTTTTTGTTCGCCAGCTTGCCGTAAATCCTAGGGCAGGACCAGCTATCGGCTGGATTGATAGCACCGCGTAGCAGCATGTCGATGGAGCGAGCTTCCTATGTACATCGGACAAACTGAATCATCAACATCATCGTTAGAAGTCAGATAGCAAAGGAGAGACAAAGATCGGCAGCGGCCAGTTTCGTGTGCGTAACATTATGAGCTCTACATGGTCTCCAATTATTATTCGACGTTGAAGTTGACGCATACATGTATGCGTGCACAGACTATGGTACATCTCTCGAATCGAGTAGCCATGATCCATCTTTCGGGCACTTTTTACGTATCTTATGTGGCATCATGCGGTGTAGGGGAGCAACGCAATCTAAGGCAAAATATCTACGTTACCCGTTTCAACATATAAAGACGATGCTTTCCTTGACTTTCTGATCTTCAACAATTCCTTTACACTTTCTTTCTTCAAGAGTCCATATATCTCAACTTGATCATCATGAGTGACTTTACTGGCCCCGGTAACTACAAGATCTGGTCTCGGCACAGTGACAAAGTGTTGAACATTTGGGGAGGGGACGAGGAAGGAAAACGAGTTGGTATCTGGTAAGTGAGGATATATTTATCCATGTAGATATTTAGCCCGTATGCTGAACATAGCCAGGGCCGATCTCACGAATGGTAAATATGGCGAGTACTACCAGCAGTACGTTATTGCTGCTGCTGGGAACGATGAATACTTGATCCTTCACCAGAAGAAAGGTCTCTATATGACTGCAACAAAGGGTATGTTTTTCTCTCCTGAACTAGTGATATAGGTGACTTTACTAATTCATTTTCTAAAGGGGGGAGTGACGACGTTCACTTGAACTGGACAAGCCCGATGAACCCAGACGCGAGATGGAAGATCATACCGGTGCGGGATGGTAGTGGAGCTTACAGGTCTGCCTAAGCCTTTCATCTTATTTTTCAATGTTATTCTGACTGTTCTCGATAGCATTGAGAGTGTTGGTAACCCAGGCCAGTTTTTGGATATTCAACGGTCCCAAACTGCAGATGACTCCCCAGTCCTGACTTGGCGCGGTACCAAGAATAAGAACCAGCAGTTCTTCTTGCGCATGGCTTAGGTATCTTCATAGACTACCTACATATGTACATATGTAGGTAACCTTGGAAGCCAATCATTCTTTTCGAGTATGCAGCAAGAGGGTGTCGTTACTGTATCCTACTGAATCAACACGTCTCCGTACTCAGTTGTTGGCCCTAATTACTCCCTGATAGCCGAAATGGTTGTATTTCGCCGGCCATGGTCAATGGTAGTGAAAACAGGTGTTGTGTGAGAGAAAAAAAGCAATTAAAGCAAACTGGAAGACAGATTTTCTGTGGCAGTGGACGATTAATTATACAGGGGACTTAAGCGAGGGAGATATCCCGTTGGCGTACGGATATATATACATTGTAGGATATGCGGTGAAAGGTCTAACGAAGAAGCATATACACAGGTACAACACTGGGTACCACTGTTTATTGTCTTCGGCCCATATACATAATATCAAAGATCGTCAAAACCAAGCAGACCTGGAGAGAACTGACGTTGAAACAGCAAAGTATCGAAGACCGTAGAAGCCAAGGCGGTGAGCGAGAGCTCTCCAAACTGCCGACGTGAGGACATCATATCAGCTCTCTTGCAGTCCGCATCAACCATCAACACCTCCACTTCCGACTTTACCTACCTTCCTCTCTTGATCCAGCATCTCGTTCTCTGTCAGTGACTTCAACTTAAACAGCACCCAGATCTCCACCATGGAGTCCAAGATCCCCGACTTCTTGCTCGAGCAGCAAGCACAAGGAAGCCCAGAGACACAACCCTACTTCCTCACCTTTGAAGATTATTGGGAGCGGAAACTATGGCACCAGCTCACAGACTCGTTGGTCGAGTTCTTCCGCATGCCAGAGAGTGCTCCGCATCGCTTAGCCCTGTTTAAGACATTCGTGCTCAGTTTCGCCGACCGGGTCAACCAGCTCAAGTTTGTGTCGCTGGGATTGATGGCAGCTACAGAATGCACAGGTTGGTGGTCCACAGTCTAGTCTGGAAGCTCCGGAATCTATCATGATGAGCATTCGGTTGAGTTGGATGCAGGCTAATCATCTCCCTCTAGATGACCAAGAACGACTGGCTTTCCTCACATCCCTCGCTAGCAAGACGGATACGCCCGACACGCAGGATGCATATGTCTACGCGCTTGCTGACGTTGCCAACGTCAAGCTGTCGCTGAAGGATCTGGACGGAGCACAGACAGACCTGGCCACCTGCCAGCGGGTGCTAGACACGTTCGACTCTGTCGAGACTGTTGTGCACGCATCATTCTACAAAGTGAACGCGGACTACTACCATGTACGTGATTCAGAGCATCCCTTCCCAAGCCGGGCATGACCACTCAAATAGAAGCTAACACTTTCTCCAACAGGCCAAGCAAGAATTCGCCTCCTTCTACAAAAACGCCCTCCTCTACCTCGCCTGCATTGACCTGCAAGAACTCACCGAGACCGAACGCGCATCGCGCGCCTACAACCTCAGCGTAGCGGCCCTGGTATCAGACACGATCTACAACTTCGGAGAGCTTCTCCTTCATCCGATTCTGGACTCCCTGACTCAGACCCCGCACAACTGGCTCCGCGAGCTTCTCTTCGCCTTCAACCGGGGCGATCTGACTGCCTACGACGTGCTGGCCGGTAATATCAGCAAGAACAAGCTGCTGGAGACACACCGGGTATTCCTGTACCAGAAGATCTCGCTCTCGGCACTGACGGAGATGGTCTTCCATCGTCCCCCTCACAACCGCTCTCTCTCCTTCGAGGCTATCGCGTCTGAGACTAAGGTGCAGCCGGATGAGATCGAGCATCTCGTTATGAAGGCTTTGTCGCTGGGCTTGCTGCGTGGGTCTATTGATCAGGTTGCTCAGGTTGCGCATATCCACTGGGTTCAGCCTAAGGTTCTGGATATGAAGCAGATTGATGGCATGCGCAACCGTCTTAAGGATTGGGATGCTGGTGTTAACCAGCTCGGTCATTGGATTGAGGGGGCTGGTAAGGATGTTTGGGCTGCATAGATGTCTTATCTCACTTGTGTTCTGATAAACTCTATTATAATGAATACAATGGTGTCTTTTACTGTGATTCCAGTATTGTAATTCCCATGGGCAAGTGTCTTGTTTGACTCGACATATCTACTTGCTCGTCATTCAAGCGCAAGGAAGACATTGATATAGTCTATTACAACGAACCAGAACCAGAATAATCTCATTCGAAAACAATATATACACGAATCTCCGCACCTCACCACTTATTGGTGTCCATTAATCGAACACTGCAAAGCAGCAAAAGTAGGCGGATCAATGCCCGTCCTATTATGACATCCTTCCGACTTATAATACATCTCCCAGTTGTCAAAGCAATCGCAATCAGCCTTAGTGAAGATACCACAATACCCATTCTTAAGAACCCACGATTCAGGTTTCTTCAGCTTACTCGTATCACAACCACTCCACGTAAACCCATCCTCCGTCCACCATTTACACGTCACGCCCGTCTCGGTGAACTTACTGTTTATACCACCCTGGAGTGCCAGACAGCCCTTGTCATCGAGGAATTCTTTGTTATAGCCCTCGAGGTGATAGTAGTCACCCTCGCAGCCGGCTTTGCTGTATATCGTGATTTCCCACGGTGCTTTCCATTCGTATTGGGACACGCTTGGTTCCGGGGCTGATTTTGCTTTTGTGGTAGTTGGTTTTTTGGTGGTTGTTGTGATTTTCGTAGCCTTGTTAGTGTTGTCTTTGGTAGTGTTGGATTTGGAGTCGGATTTGGTAGATTTTGAGCCCGTGTCTTTGTTGGGAGATTCCTTGTCCCCGGTTCCCTTTGCATTACCAGTAGGGTTTGATTTCGGAGCCTCTGTCGCTCCTTTCACGGTGGCTGTAGGGCCGGCTGTCGGTGCACGGTAATTTTGGCAATATAGATCGGAGACACCGCATTGGCCCCAGAAAGCACACTGTTGGGTTGTTAGACTACCTAGGTAGAGTATAAGAAGGTTATGGGATTACTAACGCATTTCGAATCAGGACATGGGTTCATGCCGGCGAGGTCGGCCCATTTGGCTGGACGTGTTGTTCCAGGAACTTGTGGACCGCAGGTGGCTTGAGGAAGAGCCATTGGCATTGGAGGTTTGCCGGCGCTGAGACAGATAAAGTCACCCTGGTAGAGCTGTCTGCATCCGAGCCATGCCCAGGTGTTTTTATTGAAGCTTTCGATGTCGGCTTCGGTGATATCGTGTGCTTTGGCAATCCGTGCGCAGGTATCATAACCCTGGATGATGTATTTGAAACAATATCCGTCTTTGGTTGGTACTGGGGCGACGGCTATCGCCATACGGAGTAAGAGAAGCCATAGAGCAAGAAGGTCGATTCGAAAGAAACCCATCTTGTGTAGACCTGGGGGATACGGCCATTTGTCGAGTAACAAGGGTCGTCATTCATTATATAGATTGATAGAGAGAATTGGGGCCTGAAATCGGGACTGGATAGAGGCATTGCATGAAAGAAATAGAGCACTGTTTCCGAGTTAGGGCACGACCGGTGGCAATTGGTCAAGGACAATCCAACATTTATGCACTTGATGAATGTGAGATGTTAGTATTGTTCAAGGGCCTAAACAAAGATTCGGGGGTATGTGTTGCATGAGACGTTTGACAACCTGGATATTTTCATTGTTCGCTCGAATCAGCCCTGCATGACCTTTCCAATATGGTATGCGTAAAGTCGAGGGGGTCTTTGTCCAACCTTCTCTTGGGCACTTCTGGCGTCGAATGCCAAATGTTCTTTGACCGTAATTGACCATCGTGAGGCGATAGATGCTTGGGCCCTAGAGTGAGAATGAGAAACCGAGTCAGTTCTTTCAAGACATGGCGTGGCAAATGAAACACATCAAGGGGAACACACATTCAGAGTACATATTTGGGCGAGAGTCCCAAGGTGGCATACTACCTAGTTGCATTCACTTCCTTTTGATGTGTATTCGCAATGCATTGGTGTATGTACCTTGGACAACAATTGATATCTAGAGATCCTACTGCCAGCCTGTGGTATCCAGGGGCCTAGTCCCGTCCTTGTTTCTTTGTCTTGGTAGCTAAAGTATGTAGATACCTGGACTTGTATTTATTAATATCCTAATCATTGGACCAATGCGAAACGCACGAGACAACAATGTACAGCAATATAATCAGAACATCGACGACCCCAGCAACACACAGCCAATCAACCAAGCCGGCCACCACACACACCAAACAACGACCTGGGTCCACATACCCCAAACATCCCAGCCGAAAGCCGCCTGGGTGAGAACAGTCTCGGCTGAGACCCCCATATACCAGCAGACGCCAAGGAGAACAGTTGGCGGGGAGAGGAGGTTGAGGAGCACCAGACCCAGACTGGAAGTTGCCAAGCGGAATGGCGCGGAGCCTTGCAGGCGAGCGACGAAGCTAAGTGGCGCGCAGAGAAGACCAATCATGAATGAAAGGGAGAAGTTGAGGGTGGCGAGGGTTGAGAGGGAGAGACCTAGTAGGAGGAGGGAGAATGATTTTATGAGGTGGTACTGTTGGGGGATGATTGGCTTTGATAGACCAAGGCCGTTGGAGAGAATTGCGGCGAGGAGGAGGGGGGGGATGACATCCACGGCCACAAATATGTAGGTGGTAGTGGTGAAGTACTGTGGGTTTGTTAGCAGCTATTATTATTGTGGTTGTAGGCTGGTAGATCCCACCTGGTGGAAGATGTTGTTAAAGACCCAGAGCGGGACAAGGCCAAGCAGATGGAGTCCGACAACAAGCGAGAGTGGTAGAGCGAGGTGTCGTTCCGCGAGGCCATCCGTCTTTGCCTTCTCTTCAGCGGATGCCTTCTCATCCTTAGGTTTGGCACTTGGCTTGCTTTCCGGGTAGTACCCGGTTCGCATCCAGAGGGCAATTGCCATTATGGTGAAATTTCCAGCAACCAGCATGGCACTAGGCAGGTAGGTTCCAATGCTAACAAAACGGTTAGACTGCATGAGCAGGTAGAAGAAAAAGCTCTGGTGTAGGTGCTCCAGCAAGTTGTTCAAGCTGCGGCAAAGAGACTCAATCGTCCGGCCTAGGGCCATTTCGTCCTCCCATCCCTCGCCCTTGGTCTGCAAGGTGATAGCGTCGATATGGTACGGCATGAAGCTGCTGTGTGCACCGGTGGCATACCCGAGACCCTGCTTGGCCATACCGCGGAACATGGTCTGCAGACGATGCTCGTAGCTGTCATCGTGACCCCACATTTCCTGTAGATTGGCCCCGATACCCATCTGGCCGCCTGCAATGGCTACAGCTGTGTTGAACAGGTCGAGGTTGGGGAGTTGACCATTGACTCCGTCATATACAATATGGAGCGACTGGAACCGGTGATCTAATGGGTATTCGATGACCAGTGCTCCTTGCAACGCTCCACTCTTCAGAGGAAGTGGCTGCACCGAAGCGGGGTGCATATCGTGGTAGGCATCGATCCAAGCCTGAGTCCCAGATTTGCTGTCCGGCGTAATTAGGAAGATGATATCCTTGGACCATAATGACCATCCTAGCAATACCTGTCAGTAACCCGAATAGAGGAGCACAAAGCACAACACTAGACTCACTCTTGAAGTATCTCGCCAATGTCAGGGCAAGAGTGACACCATTCAGGTTCAACTTATCATCAGCTGTAATCCACGGCGCAACCAGCACAATTGCCTCCGTGGCATCACCGCGCGGCGCATGGATAATAGCATAAGTGTTCTCTCCCTGGTGCGTAATCCCAGCGGAGGTGTATTCGTATTTCTGCGTGGCAACTTTAAGGCCCGCCGCTTGCAAGATTGACTGCAGCTTGTCCGAGACCCTGTCCAAGTATTCAGCAATAGTCCAGCCTGTGTCCGGTTCATTCGACCTACGCCGCTGTCACTTCCGCCTCGTTCTTTTGACCGCCCCTTGCCTGTCCGTCATTCAACAATCCTTCCAATTCTCTTTTATAACCTCGGAAGATGTTCTGCTCGCTTCCCGTGAAGTACGCATGGACTTGGCCCGGCAGGAGCGCATTCTCGGAGATGTAGGTTTGTCGGGAGTACTCGTTCAAAGGCAGTAGAAGTAGCCAGACAACGCCGACAACGACGCAGATAAAGGATAGGAGATTCGGGAGGCGAGCGAAGAGGAAGTGGGGATTGTTCCGCAAGTTGCGGATTGCAGCTGGCATCTTGTTAGTTGGGTCTCCGGTGCTGCCAGGAAGGACAGGTGGTATGTCAGCTTTGCTCACATTTCAACGCCATTGACTATTGACCATCGGGAAATCAAGTCTCGTGCCGCGAAGGCGAAGCTGTTAAATGAGTGGAATAATTGGACTGAACTTGGAGTCTTGCAAGTCAACAGTGGAGATCGAGAGCTCCGTTGTTTATGCGCGGAGAAGTGGAATTTACGCCGAACGACAAAGACCAACAGTGCAAATTAAATGTGAGTATGCACACGCTATGCTATTATCCAATGGCCCCCCGAGTCTGCAATATAAAAAACTATAGTGGAAAATATACATTAAAAATGAGAAGTGAAGAATGCATCAATACCAGGATCAGGCTCCCAGGCGCTGGGTAGATCCGAGGTAGCTCATGGGTGTTTGGTTGCCGCTGGCGCCGGCGGGGTTGGTGCTTGGAAGAACTCCATAGCGGCCGTAGGTCTTCTGGTCGACGGAGACGTAGTGAGGTAGGCGTCCCAGGAGGTTCAGCTTGCCCTCGATCCAGCGGAGGATCTTCTCAGGGGGCACAAACACCTTGAGGTATCCGAGGCCGACTAACGACAATTAGCAGTGAAAAGAAGAGTCAGAGAAGGAAACTCACGGAGATAGCCGACAAGAATCGCACAGAGATGACCGAGGAAGCTCACGTTCGAGATGAGGATGGATACAACGACACATGCAAACAGGGGTGAAGTCCAGGTGGGAATCTTGTACGGGCCAAGACTGCAGGGCGTTAGTAAAATTGAAGTAGGTGTTTCCAAGTAAATCCTACCTGAAGTTGGGGTGAGACCTGTAGGTCTTGATAGCTTCCGAACCAAGAAGCAAGAAAACCCAGATGCTGCATTGAAGGTCAGTTACCGAAACATTCAACCTGAGGACCTGAAGCATACCTTGCGCCGACCACCGAAGTATTTCTGTGTAGAATAAATCTCTCAAACAAGATATAAAGCCCAGCGGGGAAAGTCGACAGAGCTAAATTATTCAACATTAGTCCCAATGGCCATAAGCATTGCATTTTACCAGAGCACTCACGTCCAACAAACAATGCAATAGCAGTCAAAGTGCCATGTTCTGCCTCAAAGCGCTCCAGCAGCGGTGTAACCGCCATAGCATTAAAGAAAGCATGGAAGAAGCCCATGTGGATGACGGGATAAGTATTAAGTCGGTACACTAGTAACACCGACAAGTCAGCATGCGCCCAATATGCACTTCTAACATGGAGTCAAACATACTAGTCCCCAGGTTAATCTCCTCTGGAATCAAAGCACCCCACTGTACAACACTCCATATAGTCTGGAATTCAAGCAGCCAGAAGGCCAGAATAATCATCAGCACCAGTCGCGTGAACAGCGGTAGTCGGAGGAGGTATGTGCGTATCCGACCCGGATTGAAAGGCAACGGGGGTAAAGCGGCGGGGAGTCGCCATAGTTGCTGAAGGCTGATACTCCGTTTAGTATCACTCTCGAATGGAGCAAATATAGAGACGAAAGCACTCAGGCGGGCGTAGAGTTAGGCTGGCAAGTCGGGATACCCCACGACTCTGAAGGAGAGGATTTGCGGTCGGAGCCGTTAGGAAGAATCGACAATGTATTCAAACTCAAATTAAACAATTAATGACTGGAACGAATGATCAAGTTAGATTCTGTTTTCCTCGCCAGTTGAACTTCCGGGCCGGTCCCAGGGATAACTCACAAGGCGCACGCGATCCTGGCGGGAATCGAAAAACAATGAGACAAGGAGCCCCAACCGGAAACGAGTAGACCTCCGAATGTCAAGGTCAGAAATAACGTAAATGAAATATTAAATCCGAAGAGAAGTCAAGGGAGACCAACCGGACCATTCAAACGAGTCGTTCGCGAAGGTTACGCCCCGCGATAAAGACCAACCGCGCAACCATAAACTACCCGGACAGGACCTCGGGAGGTTAGTGCGATGATAATTATCTCAATTTACTCCTGGCCGAATGGTCTATTCATCAGATATCAAATCGTGCTTTGTATGGCTATTTGCTATTTTATTTATCCTAACCCCTCGACCTTATTTACAGGTGCTGGTTAAACCAGGCGACGGCCTGACAGAAAGCCTGCTCCTTAGCCCACTTCTGCTTAGGGTCGCTCAGATCGGCGCGCACAGCGAAGCCGTGACTGACACCGCTGAACAAGTTGATCTGCCACGGCTTGCCAGTCTTGATGAGAGTCTCCTCGGACTCGTGACGAAGCTGGGTAGTGAAGATCGAGTCGACCTCTGAGACATGCAAAATTAGCCATTGATGCTTCTTTTCAAACTGATATCTAGCAATCATCAACTTACCAGCAGCAGCGATAGACAAGGGACCATCAATAGCGCCGAGTTCCTCGTGGGTGACGAACGAGGGGTGCGCAGTGTAACCGACATCAATCAGGCCGGGCTTCATATTGCGGCAGACGTACTTAACCGAGATTGTTAGCACCAGGGTTTATAAGGTATGTTTTCGGAGATTGGATCTTCGGATCTGGACTATGAGTACATACCTTGCCGCCGAAGCAGTAGCCAACAGCGCCGATCTTCTTCACGCCGAGAGTCTCGCGGGCGTACTTAATAGTCGACTCGATAGCGGGCTCGACGTGCTCGGGCTGGTGGCTCTTAATCCATGTGGGCAGATCGACCTTGCCAGATGACATGTCGCTGACACTGATCTGGTCGCCCTGGAGAATATCCGGAATGATGGTCAGGTAGCCATTGTTGGCGTACTCGTCGGCGAGGATCTGGGCGTTGATGTAGATGCCGAAGATATCGGTCAGGAAGATAATGGCCTTCTCGGGGGTCTTGTCCTTAGGGTAGGAGATATAGGTATTGACTGGGGAACGGCTTGGTTAACAATTGTGGTTGCGGGGGGGCTTTGGCTGCAATGAGTATCTTACCTCCGTCGATATTCTTGATCTCGCCGCGGGGGGTGCCTTCGTGCTTGAAACCAGAGGCACAGCAAGCAGCAGGAGGGTTAGAAGCCATTTTTGAAAATTTGAAGTGAGAATGGGTATAGAAAGTGATGAAGACTTTCCAAGTCTGTGTCCGTCAAACTGAAGAAGGGTACCCCACTGCTTATAAATGTATCTCGGGGGTGTACAATGTCCAACCTAAGCCTTCAGCCGTTTCATGCCATTTCCACAAGACGTTATGTTCTGCCAATCAGACTGGCCTGTTCAGTTGCGTCTTTGTCTTCTTGACTCCACTTGCCCCTCATGGAGCTACTATCGGACTTCTTGGACCCCTCGGACCGTTGTTAATGATCTCTGCCTTGGGCTGATCCTCCAGAGCGAAGGCTCAATGGTCTCGCATTGACTTTGCATGCCTCATTATATGCCTTTTTTCCAATCCAGAATTCAATTGTGTAACAGGAGAGAATCTGATTGAATGTGCTCGGCACTCGGCACGACGAAGGCTCGGGGGTAAGTTGTTAACTCCGTATATCCACTCCAACGACTCCAACACGGGTACGGAGTACGGAGTACTACAATGAAATTTGTTTAAAGAGATAACATTGCATTCATAGAGATATCTGTACTGCATATATCTGGAAGACTAGGACATCCAGTCTCGATCCCACCATTATTACCACATTAGTCCATTCACACATTGAACGTCACAAAAAATATCATGTCCGAGGGGTTTTCCAAGGAACTATCCTTCCCAGGTGTCTCTGCAAGGAATATTATGTCGCATAAGCATGCACCAGTAAAATGACTCCGTATATTCCAGCATGAAACAAAAACCTCAGAAGTGTAAAAGGGGTATCAGAGCAAACATGTCGCCGAATTTTCACTGGAAGCGGAAGTTTGGCCGTGAGCGCTGGGCACGCTTCACAGCCCAGGCCTTGATGGCAATTGCCAAGATCTCATAGGCCATGATGAAAGCACTGAAGCCCAGGCCGACGGTGAAGGTGAACATTGCGTCCAGTTCGTAGTACTCCATCGCTTCAATCACATTGCGGGTCTAGATCAACGTTAGTCATGCTCTTGGGTGACGTTGTAAACCTTAAAATGGTTCCAAGGTTAGATATATGCACTTACGCTCATCATGAAAATCAGACCTCCCGAAATCAGACAGAACGCAGCAACGATCTCTGTCGGGGACGAGCCGGGAGGTACGAGGTCGGAGGCTTGAGGTACAGCAGAACGTACGTCATGCCGCGCGCCAGTGCAAAACCAACCAGCATGTTACCCCATTGCTTGTGCACCATGGTCGATGTCATGCTAGTCTGGTGGTGCGACCCCATCATCATGCCAAGCAACATAATGACTAGGGCTGGCATGGGGTTCAAGGAAACGCCCTGCGACCTCGGTGGGGTCCAGGCTTCATTCGAAGCGTCATGGGCAGGGATTTCGAGGATGGTCTTGTTGACCCAGTCACGGACACGAGTAGATTCGAAAAGCATACCGGCCTATTTTAGGTTAGCCAAATCAATTCCTATGAAGAGCGAAAAAAAAGCAAGATGAATACGTACCAGACCGCCGCCGAAGAACAGTACGGAAATCGAAACGTGCTCGAGATCGGTAGCAGACCATGCCTTGCCCGCATTGGAGAGGTGCTCGAGGAAAACATTTGTCGCACCATATAAGAAAATAACGAACGACTCTGTTGCTTCACCCGAGGGAACCTTGGATTTCCATCCAACAATAGAGGCCGACGGCTTCTTGTTCCAGGCCCAGCCCAGATCTGCCCAGCAACCAATATAGCGTCCGAGGGTCAGGATACCGTACCAGAAGAAGATACCACCCTTGATGAAGTGCGCAAGCCCGTTGAAGATCTCACGATCCCTCATGATGCCACCATAAGTCACAGCCCCAGTCGCAATAGCCGTGAATCCGAATGGAAGAATGACACGGTCAACGACGTTATACACGACATTCAAGACGCGGAGAACCCGGCTGGGCATCAGACCAGGGAGAGTCTTCGACAGGAAACGACCAACAGCCGTCTGACGGATCCAGCTGTTTCGAACGGTAACCTTCGCGGGCAGTTCCTCGGGCTTTTCAAATCCATCGTATTCGGTAGGCGACCCGCATGATGATCCAGGGCTACGGATAGAAGACGAGTTACTATCCGTACCCTGGCCACTGTCGCGAGACCAGCGATGCGCGCGCATCGCACCATTGAGGCAAGCATGCTCAGTATCATCGTCCGTCGCGACAGGCAAGAACGTAGCGTGTTCATACGAGGGCGCATTCGACTTGCCGCGGCCAGCATAGGCAAAGAGCAAAGCGAGGATGACCTGGGCGCTGACAACACACGTCGCGATCCAGCCGATTTTGTGGTGTGCGTTGTTCTCGTAGAGGTCTGGTGTCTGATTGTTATAGATAACCCCGAGTAGGACGCCGAAAGCGTTGAAACCCAGAAAGAGGAATTGCGATGGAAGTGCGAGCCATGAGCGCGCGATGCTCAGCATGACAGCTATTCGAGGGATCAGGTTCTGTCCGTTTTCTTTTCTTCGCGCTCAGTGCGCAACAACACGGGAGCCACTTACCAACAGGAAGAACGAAGCACCATCCCAGAACCATGAGGGCAATGTGAGCTACGATGGTGCTGGAGTGCTTGCTGTATGCAAAATAGCTCATCGGACCGTCGGTGGTAGCTTGTGTCGCGGTGGTGGTAGGTTGCGGCGCGTTAGTGCCCGCGTTCATATCCATCCCCATGTCCATAGATTCATCGTCACCGTGCGGAATGGCGGTCGCAAGCGATGCGAGAAAGAGAGTGAAAGTTGCAGCTAATGCGACCCGAGTAGCTAAAGGCATCGGGAAGAAGATGTGCTATAGTGCAAGAAAATGGTATTGTGTCTGTATGTGCAGAAATGCAAGTGCGAAGAATAGAGCTCCAACCTGAGGTCGAAGCTCTATGGGAAATCGTGACGTAGCAAACCTGTCAAACCGGTAACTAGACCCGTAATTATTCTTGTTTTCTTTTTATGCTCCTCCAAGTATAGACACAGTACTTGGAATCAGATGAACTAGACTGTTCGATTTGGGAAAAGCTGTAGGGCTGAAGTATGAGAGGGAGGGAATTGTAGGTATTATAAGTCCAGGCGGGGCCAGGAATGACCGGGAAACTGCTCACGGAATTAAATAATTTGATTAAAAAATTAAATAAAGAAAAAAGAGCTCGCCGGTGCTGATTTCCAATGCTTTTGGAATCTTAAGGAAAAAGAATTAAAAATTAAAAATTAAAAAAAAAGAGTGCGTGGAAGAAAGCCCCTCGAGGCCGATCTACGTCCAATCCACCTCGTTCCTGTGTATTGTAGAGAGATGCATGTGCACATACATAACTACCTAGGGAGGTATGATATTCTTCGTTTAAACTTTGAAAGTATCACGAACTAGTTACACTGGATTATCTACATATGTAGAGTTCTATTATTTTCTTTTTACCAAATGTCTTATATATCGCTCTTCTCTTCATTCGGGTGTCTCGGGAGCCTCATAAGATGCGTGGATATGTGGATTTTGGTGACTTCACGAGTTGGGGAGGTTGGGAACTATGACTACATAGGACTCCGATATTGCCCAGGTGGGATATTTGGGACTTTTGCGACCGAAAATTATGTACTCCGTGCTCCGTATGTAAACCTGCATCTGATGCCACATGCGTTATACGATAGACAGAAATATAGCGTCTTGGCCAATGACGTAGTCGATCGTTACTCTATCTGGACGGCGACTGGTCTGATCTTGTCATCTTCCTATTACATCCATTCGATGTGTACCTTGGTAGACATATAATACCATAGGGTATAGGATTGACCATGTAAATATGCCTGCTTGGCTCATAGGCCGACTATTGTATATCATGTTGGTTTCCAGGGCTCCAGTGTCAAGCCTTACCGCCGTTCAAGCAGATGATCATCAGCAATCTGCTCCGCCAATCACCGAAGCCTACACAAGTACCTATGCATTCCTTGTCAGGTGCTAAACCTGCTTTCATACGGAGTACACTTCATACTATCCCTGTATCGGGCCCCTCGCTTTGTTATCCGAGCCGCAATTTTCGGGCTGGCCCCATCTTAGTGGGGGCTATACAACAAAATCTGATGGACGCTGACTTGCAATCAGACGAATTCAATCGGAAATTCGGCACTTCCATTTATTACCCAAAGAGGTGATATTGAGGTAGTTGCCTCAAGTAGTAGCCCACTACCAAGGTTTTCTCCGTCCGAACGTAGGATCTCGTGGTCCTTGCACCGATACACAAATTTGCACCTCAAGAAATAGTACGGAGTACCCAGAACATAACTATGTAAAAAAAAAAAAGAACTGATCGACCCAACCCACCTAAATACATGCCCGATGCATATCGTCATGTGGTTACCTAACCACCCTGGTCCCCTCCAGGGCTGTACAACTTGACATTACCAATAGCCTCGCCAAGCGCCCAATCTATACTCCGTCCTCCATACTCCGCGCTTCGTATAACAATTCTACTCTACAGACGCCATGAACTGTCATCCCCCAGTAGTAGAGAAGCAAACGAGCACCTGACAAAAGTCGGGCCAAGACCGAGCCCGAGCCCGACCTTGGCGATTGGTGAATCGGCATCCGTGAGCATCCGGAGAGACGAAAGAAGGCTGGGCTGTTACATCCACGCACCTGCACGTCCCTAGGATCTGCGTTGAATAAATTGCTAATCTGTTAAGGCTAGTTCTTACCCGGAATGCAAACTCCGCTTTACTTCCGAGCCCCGAGCCCCCAAGTATATCCGTATGCTCCGTCGTCTCCGCCCTCGTGTTTCTAACCAGTACGGAGTGCAGGTGAGCCGGCTGTCATATGACTCATGCTTCGCATAACCTTAAGCTGCTGCTCTATACGGTCTGATTTGCAATCTCGGTGATTGACTGCTGTCTAACGCCGTGGTTTTCTACATGCATATGTACCTCTGTGGCGGCTGTACCCATAATCAGACGATATGACCTAGCGCCACACTGTGCAATAATATATGCTGGGATCAAGTCTTCGACACGTCGATAGCTCCAAAGAAATATTGCCAAGTTGAGAAAACTTTTACTGAGTAATCGGAAGTCCGGCACAAATACTATCCGCACCCCGGCTCTGGTCTAGCCGTTCCCCAGGGGTAAGAGTAATAACGGGCGACCAATGAACATAGCGTGAATAACTCAGGATCCCGTGTGATAGACTAGACATGGGTGTAGGTCTTGGGCACGGACATGAATATCATTGAATATAGTTAGGGATTGACTAAAAGCGCTGTCGGGCTGGAAGTTTAGGCGCTAACCCGCATCGCATACACTATGTCGCTAGCGTTCCCGGAGCCCTCCAGGGCTAGGACTGGGGATTAGCGCGTTCGCCTACCTATCTCATTATCCAGCCTACAAATATAGAACATCGGGAACTCTTTCTTTTTCCCCCTTTTTTAAGACTTGTTATTTCTGGTTATTTTTAAGAACGTTCACTTAAATTACTATGTTCTAGAATATGTCCCCTTGATTTTAACCCGAAATCAATACATTTCTTAGGATAAGATCAGTCAAGATCAGTCCCTACTCTCCTCCGGTCCTGCGTTATACCTCTTTGCCGTCGTACACCATCTAAAATGGGTCTCAGTGAAGAGAAGTTGCGAATTCGCAATTATTGCCGTGGGATTTCCCTTTCCCTCTAGCAGGATTCTTTGAAGCGTCCGTACCACATCGGCAATGTTCTGGTTATGCAATGCACAGATAGCTTCAACGGCTTTTGCAAGATCCTGTTCCTTGCCTTCCTCTTCCTGTTGCTCCATCACAACCAGAACTGCGTTAAGTAACTCTCCGTTCTCAAGATCTTTCTCTAGTCCAATGAGGTCATTTTGGAGTCCCACGGCCATATCCACTGCTTTCTGCACAGCCACGAAGTCATCCGGATAATCGCTAGGAGGGAGTTCGCTGCGTATTAGAGCGAAGAATGGAGCGATCCCGATGGTTCTAGTTCGAATCTCCATATATCTCTTCAAGTCACGAATTGTATGGCCCTGCCGAAACCCGATCTCCTCAACAAAGCCATTAAATACTTTGTCGATCTCGTAGAAGAACTCTTTCGCTCCTGCTTCGGAGAGATATCGACAACAGTGCTCGCGGAAGGTTGACATGAGGGAGTATACTTCGCCCGCACAAGAAATGGAACCGGCTAGGCATTGTATTGTAAGCATATTCTATACCCTCGGCTTTTTCTGACTTACATTTCTCTTCAACACTCTCCTTTCCCTGAAGAGCTGCAACGGAGACCTCTATAGCAGCTTCTGCCTCGCTAGGCGTCATCCGCTCGATCAAGTCATCAACAGTACAGAAAACACCTAACCATGCTGCCATACAGACACGAACATGTTCTACCCGGACTTCTGGGAAAAACAGGCTGATAGTTTCGACCTCGCCAATTGCTTGCGCTAGAATATCTTCCTTTGTCATATCCATCCAGGATGGCGCTGCTGCAAGCCTGAAATCCACATGACGACTCGCCATACTTTTCAGGGCCGCTTTGCAGTTGACAGTCTTATCGTGTGTGTCTCCCTTTACTGGGATGCTGATTAGGTCGTGGTGAGGTATATCCATCTGTTAATAGTTAACCATTGAGCACTAACTATTTGTTGCATGGAGCCCTAAAGAACGTACGTTAAGAGTCACATCTCTCCTCTTCAATTTCGAGTAACATGTCCGAATTTCGGGATGGCTTTTTCTTTTCTGATATTCACACAATCCGTGTCTTGGTAACATTGTGAATCATAAAAATGAAATTCTTTTGCTAGTCATTTCAGTTACGTCCCAGGTGTTAGGTTTATATAAGGATCAGACAACTATAGAAGAACTACTTTGTCATACATAAACGCTTCATTCTGCTCTGATACGGAGACCACGCTTATTCTCCCTCCCACAATAGAGTAATAGAGTTCTGACATGTCTTCAATGTGTACTAAGATACGGTTAAGGACGCGCTTGCAGCTCCGTGTAACTTGCTCCTGCAAGGGCTTGTGGCTTAAAGCCGAGGCATCACTGAAAGAAGTATAAACAAGGAGGTCCTCAACATATTTTTAACTTTCCAAATGGCTCAACTCTATTACACCTCTCCTCCTCAATTGATGTAGGACTTACCGTCTAAAAGGAAACCAGTGAATATTTGGTCCTCGTGCAACCGCCGAGAGATCAGTCAGACCGCTACTGCCCCTGTAAACGAGATGATGGAGGGCTTTGGATTTGGATTAGCTCCGGAAACTGATTCCCCGCGAAATCATTAGATGCGATGGAGGGTGAGTCGGAACAGATCACTTCGAACGATTCCTCCTAGGTTGGACGGCAGAATAGAGCGACAGGAAGGACGTGAAGGGCTGAAAGGAGGTACAAAGCGAGAGCTTATCTATACCCAACTTAGCGGAAATTATATGACGAAGTGTCTCACCCTCCCGCTCAATCTGACCGACGGCCTCATCTAGTGAGCGTAACCATGCCTCCGCATATTGAGAAGATGGCGCGAAAGTCGGTCAGGCTATCCCCAACAGGGTTTTCAACCGCTCTCGATCTTATTGATTCGACATGGCCACCAAGTTGACTTTGGTGGGTGAGAGGGATAATAGGACGCAATGGTCAAAACGCGACACATGATTTCAGGGAGGATCTCCCATTCTTAGTGTTTTAATTGCCCTGTAGAACAGATCCTGGTTAGTGTCTACAAGGACATCGAAAAAGTTTTAGAAAAGACATCCAAGAAGGCATCTGAAGGCATATCTAAAAACATCCGTAGAAAGAAAAGACATCTAAAGAGCTATCTAAAAAGATATACAACACGCTCCTCGCAACCAATAATGCCTATTCTTCTACATAGCAGCTAGAGAATGGGAGAAAGCCTAAATTCCTTCTCGGGGTTATAGCTAGAAGGATAATACTTGGCTATAAGAGTACTGCCAGACATGTGAATAACGGAATGTATATATCTGGATTATCACTTCACCATGTAGAAGAGTTATATCGTCAGTAGAATACGTGAAGGTCGAAGCATAAACGTACAGACAACTTTTCCATGTATAATCAGCTGGAGGGGTACCACATGTTCACCCTACCAAGCTGAAGTCCATGTGAACATGTCAGTTCACTTATCAAAGAGTAGTGTCAGGGTACGGGAATTCCTTGCTAGTGGGGCCGTATAGAGCCCTATAACGCATAGGCCGTCATCTAGATTGTCTATCCAGCCAGGGCACCAAAATATACCCAGAAGCAGAAGTGACCGGGTATATATCTGATCAGCTGGCATCTAAAGCCGCTACAAGGAATTGGCAGGCTCATGTATCATTGATACACCTGAAGAGGCTCACCCAGCCAAACATGAAAAGCTACGCCAAATCCAGGGACAAGACCATGCGAAAGCACGCCCCCGCCCGCATCCAGACCACAAGTTGTACAGCAAGCCGGAGCAAGAATGATTCCCAGAGAAAAATTCCGTCATTGAAATTGTTAAGAAAAAACCAGGATGAGGGAAATGACATAAATCCTCGTTTTTCAGACACTCCACGCAACAACCCCAAATCCTCCCCTCGGAGCCAAGATCTGGTGTGATTCGCAACCCCGAGACACCGGACACGCAGGCCCGGTGTCTATTCCTCCATTCACAAAAACATCAAAGACGCCATTTTTGGGCTCGTCTGAAACATTGCTCCACTGGACGCTACCGTAGTCGAGCCGGGTGCGTAGATGGATTTCGTGGATGCGAACGGTTCGAGAGGAGGGAGTCAGTTCTTTTTGTTCGCTTAACGGTACTGTAGGTTGAAACTCGTGGTTAGTGTTGTGCTTTTGCAGTGTGCATGTGTGGTGGTAATGGTGATTGGGCAAATTGTCGATTGTCGAATATCGATTGGATTTTCATGTCGGAGAATGTGGTTGTGTGGTATTCGAATAGAATCGGATAGGACTGTCGAGCGAGGAATTGAAACGAACCTTAGTGAAACCGATGTCGGTGGACTTCTCACGGAAGCACTGACGGCAGATGTTCATCTAAAACCATCCGTATTAGCCACACAAGTCCATGTCATGTCACATATTGCGTATTGCAATATGCTCGAGGGGTTGGTTTCTCCTTACGCCGTACTTGCGGATCAGACCGGCGCGGTGGGAGCAGACACGGCTGAAGGCGCACAAATATTAGCAAGCCCGTTCCTTTTGTATCGATTTTCGATTCCATCCAGCCCTCCTCCAAGGTTCATTCTCGGTGTCGACTGGATCGTTCATCGGGGGATTGTAGTAGGGTAAACACACCATTCGCGGGAGCCCTTGCCGTACCTGTCGAGCGAAGAGAAATTCCGGTTAGCCTTGTCGCTCTTTTTCGAGATAGTGCCTGGTGTGTGCGTGCGGTTTCGACTTACTTGCGGGGCCGGCTGTACCAAACGCTCTCGTGAGTCATCTTGAGGTTTTAAAGGCGGGACCTGGGAGTTGACGGGGTTGTTGACGGGACGAGGGTCGCTGGCGTTGGGCGTTAAGAACGGAGACAAGAGTTAGGGTTGGAATTTGCGTTGTGTGCTGCCCCAATGGGGAATAGGGCACGGGCCAACTCGCTTGGGTTGCGCTAGCTTTTTCTGGTGGATCATGTGACCAATGGGCGATCACCACATCTTGGAGCCTCAGGCTGCCAGATCTTATACTTCAAATATTCAAGATGTTTACCTGACTTTCTTGAAGGGTGCCGTTGGTATATATCGGGAGTTAAATACAATTTGTTGGGATTATAAGATCACAAAGAGACACTTAAAAAATAAATAAATACTCTTTCAATGGCTACTTCACTAGAGAGGTCGCATAAGTGGCTGTATACTGGTATAGAGTGGAACAGTCTTTGTCCTCTTAAGAATAGGTGTACATTGTGCTGAGACATATACCTTGTTTCTGAGGCTTCTGCTAACTATATAGTTAGCTTTAGTTGTTGTTAACAATACAAATTCCTTCTTCTCTCCTCTTCTCTCCTCTTCCCTTGTCGCCTGGTACGGTCATCTCATTTTATCTGAATATCATCACCCCATTTCCATCGGCGAACCAGTCCCAATGAAACCTCCAACCTATCCTCAAGGGGACACAGTTTAGGCTTGCTGTCCAGATTACAGAAGCCAAACAGGATCCTGGTGGTCTGGTTGACTGGCCTGTTGGGAAGGGATTCTGCAATTTCATGGTGTTCAGAACCGCAAACAGATGAAGCTCAAAGACGAAGAAAGACTGGTCTTCAAGTCATTCAAACTGGTAGAACTTGTTGTTTCCGGCTTCGATTGCAGCCCGAAGAAACCGCTCTAATATCTGGGTCAGGATATAGAAATTCATGTGCGCAAGGTTCACATCATCAAGAGCAGGTGACATCCTGTGGAAATCTAAGTCTCTTAGGTCCACTACTAGCTTAATCCAGAAATAATTTTTAGTCCAAGTCTACAATAGTACAGCATAATATTAGTATATGCAAAGGAATGAAGTGGCAACCGGCGTATGAAACTTATTAATTGAACTGGTCTGTGCATAAGAAATTTACTTCTTTGTCTTCTCAGCCCGGAGGTAACGAGCGCTGTAAAACAGGAGATAGGCATCCTGGCGGAGGACTTCAGCCACACCGGCGATGGTGACCTTATTGTCATCCATCAGTACCCACTAGAAAGGTAAGTCGTTAGCAAAGCACAGACACAGAGGGGGAAATGTGATTATTAGGACGAACCTTGTCGTTTTCAATACGGGTGTAGGCATAGTAATGCCCAGAGTCCATTGTCCCTTGGTGGACGATGACAGTAGACAAGTCGTATATGTAATTCGACATGTCGACAGGGAGGTTATCCTTTCTGACAGTGTAAGGCAACATGTTCACAGACAAGGGGAAGTCAATGTGGCCGTTCATCTTTTCGGATGAGTTAGAGGAGTGTTCGTAGCGCTACACGAGTCAGCACGAGATCTTATTTCAAGACAGTCAGGAACTCCAACAAACCTTCAGTTGCATGCAAAGCATAACAGGGAGTTTGCGGATCTGCAGACGCTTCGAAGCCCGCTGCGGGGTGTTACCACACTTCTCGCAGTGGTAAGCAGCATCGGCGTGGAGATCTTCAGCGGCAGTGAAGCTGTCCAGGCAGCCGAGGAGGGTTCCAGAAGTAGAAGAAGAAGTAGAGCGACCGAGCTTGCGCTTCTTTTGCTGAAGCTGGACATCAAGACTGAGATCGGCCATGGGGTCGTGGGTGTTGGTGGTTTGGCCACATTTGTGGCACATGACGCTGCTGCGCAGTTCGCCGTAGAACATCTGATGGAAGAAGCACTCGCATGGTTTATCGTAGTTCTCCACGTGTCCGGGAGTAGATGAGTGCAGTTCATTGACAAGGAATTGGAAGTATTCGTGGGCGTCTTGCTGGCGGTATCCACGCATTTCCTGTTAACTAGTTAGCCAGTCCCGTTGTACAACTCGGACCTCGACGTACCTTGGATTTCTGCCAACCATGGTGAAGAAGCACGGCTGCGGAGACTGCCTCGCTTTTCTCAGCGCTGTTGAATTCCATGAAGACTTCAGCTGTCGCACAGGCGAGACAGTCCTTGATTGTGCATGTGTGGACGTCATGGCCACCTCCTAAGAAATAGGCAGTGAGGCTAGGGTCGTGCAGCAGAGCCTGCAAAATAGAAGCTTGGTAGCAGGTTTGACCCATGTTCCAAACACCACGAGCACCACGGATGGCGCAAGGGTTCTTGTAAGCATTGTTCTTGACGTAGACCTCGGAGGCCGAGTCTTCAGCCCAAATGGATCGCCCATCTATCAGATGTTAGTAGATGTGCATGGATTGAATAACTTGGAATTGCCTGAGACTCACCAATGGCTTCAAACCTGCCAGAAGGGCCACGGAGTCTGTCCAATGTGTGATCATAGATGAAATCGACACACTTCTCACAAAAGACAAATCGGTTGCGTGACTCGATATCTGCCGTTGTGTAAGTATGATACAACGTGATCAGTCCGAAACCGTTGGCTTACAAAATACATGTCCAGTCGCTGCAGTATGTTCCGCTCGTTTGGAACCCAGACATACTTCTGCACAACTCAAACAGTGATACTTCGGCTTGAGGGATGCCACAGTGCGGAGGCCAGTGGTTGGAACAGCAACCGTTTCTGTTTTTGAGAACGGAGCTAGCAATTTGTATTGCCTACAGAATTCCTCTCTGAACTGGCCAGCAGTCTTCTCGTCCTTGGAGAGAATAGCCGCAAGATGTACTAGCGGGATGTCAGCTTGGCACAAACGAGCCACGGCAATTGCCAATCCTTACCACAGCCAAATGCTGCTTCAGAAAGAAGCTGGACGGAATCGAGAGTTGCCATAGTGAGCGACATGAGTATAGAGTAAAAGAGGTAGGGTGGAAGGGAGAATGTTAGGGTCAGAAACACGATGCAAGGGTATGTAGTAAAACACGTTAATAGAAGTTCCAGACTTCTATCCACGTGGAGACAAGAGGTTGAAAGAGAGTATTCAAGGGAGAGAAAGGCTGGTTATAAAGAGACCAGGTACAGCCTCAAGGACTCCTCCTGAATAGGGCCAGCATTGCACTCTGGAAACAATTAGTGTCAATAATATGATCAATCAGAGCGTAACAGAACAATAGGACCCACAAAAGCAAGTGAATAGGGACAATAGCAGACGAACGGAGGGAAGCTATACAGCCCACAAAGGGTTGTGAATGATCTGATTCGACGTCACAACCAGAATTCGGATAATAAGACTTCAACGGCAATGAATATAAATATAAACGTTTATCCAACGAACGGGGTGTATTCCCTGAGGCTCTTCAAAAGTCGTGGGGAGGTTGGTTTGCCATCGGGCGGTGGTTTTTCGCCTGACCCCGATTTACCGATTTACCGCCGGATAAGAGATCGGACACTCCAAATGGCGGCAGGCGGCCTTTGCCCTTTTCTTTTCTTTTCTTTTCTTTTTTTTTTTAGAGAAGTATTATATTTCGTATTTATGTATATAGCGTTGGTTTTAATGCTATACAGAGAGGTAATATGGTATAGTTTCGTTCAATGGTCATTTCTAGTCGTAATGGAAGGTAGATGCGCTAGCCCATTGCAGGTGAAAGCTATAGGTAAAGGTCCACAGGTCCAGCTCTTGGATGCCAATAGTCAAACATGTAGCATGAATTGATTGTCCATAATCAGGCCATTCTAAGCACTCAGACATCCGGCTCTTTACCGAGTCCCAGTCCCTCTGCCCCGAGGAAGTGCGCTGGGACGAGCGCCGCGCGCAGTGCCTCGTGTAGTATACCGGCTGGTTGCTGCACCACGGGCAGTGCCACGGGAAGATACTCGTGAGCCCGCAGCATACTTTGACGTCGGTCTAGAGGAGGGGGTGGTGGCGCTCGATGGATTCTCCACAAAAGTCGTGTCCGTAGTCCTGTAGCGTAGGAACCCATTAGCTCAAGTGTCCTATAGAGGATTTGTCGCAAGGATCTCTAGACTCACATAAAGGTCATCTCGCCGTCGTCGACGGGTCGTGTTGGTTCTGATTCCGCTTCTGGATGGCTGTTAACAAACCCGATTCACCGCACATTCGGTAGTTCCCAAAGAGAGCCCTCAATACCTTTTTCTTCATCTTCATCTTGCTTAGCCTTTTTGAACGAGTCTGGAATCGGCGCCTGCATTTGAACGAATCAGCAACCCTGTCGCGCGCTGTCACCACTGCCACAACTGTCGGTGACGCGTCTGCGATCGTACCTCTGGGAAATCCACACAGAATGCATTCATATTCAATCCGTAGAGGAAACTGGCAAAACTCTCACTGAATCGCGTCAAGCTCTCGTGCATCAGCTGCAAATGCATGAAGTTGGCCTCCAGGTCCGCCATCGAATCGGCCAGCTCAGCGAACTGCGGCTCCAAGGCATTGATGGCAGGCTGAGTGTATCCTGAATTTCCAATGCTATTTCCATATCCGTGGGCCTCCCGTAATGAAGAGCGCGAGCTGGGGCGTAGAGGGGTTGTGGGCCTGGATGAGGGTCTCGGGCGCGTGGATTGAGGTGCATCCATGTCTGTGATGTATTTGAGAATGCGATCGATGGGAGTATTGACAATAGATAATGGGTCGAGGATGTTAGGCGTTGTTATTGGCAGTGGATGGTTGTCAGAGTGATGTTGAGCGGGTTGTGTTTGGGATTGTTGATCTCTCCCCGGAAAGATCTCTCACGCGACACTTTTATACTTGCAACTTTGAGATGTGAACTGGGTTGAATAATATATATTAGTTGGAGTCGAATTAGATAGAAAGGAACACCTCGAATTAATTTATCATAAACCATATACCTCTTAGGGGATGATCTTCCCCGCATCGTCATATCCTTGATTCCGCTCTCGCATTTTCCTCCCTCGCAGGGCTAAGACCTAGTGCTCACTCATACCAACATATCACCTCAATTACACTGCTTATGCGCGGAACAATCCTACGCCGTCTCTATCCTTCGGCTCAGTTCCCTGTCGCTCGGTATCCATTCACGCGACCATTCTCCACACACCCAGAACCAAAGAAGGCTTCATCTTTTTGGGCCCTCACATTTACTCTCGCTGTCGTCGGAGGAGGCGCTTGGCTCCAGAACAGATACTTCAGTCCCAAAGACACAATCACTTCGCAGCCCCAGCTCCCTCAAAAACTCTCCCTCGGAGTAATCGATACCCTCGCGACGATGCCCGGCGAACCCGCCCCCGGAACAGTCGGGAACCTCACCCCAGAGCAAGAAGTCAAGCTGAAGGAATTCTGGGTCCTGACACTCAAAGTCTTCGGCCTCACACTCGAAGAACTCGAAGCACCACCGTCCACAACCAGCAGCGATGCCGCAGCACCCGCCCCAGCCCAGGATAAGAAGAAGCCCAAGAGCCGGTGGGGGATTTGGGGCCGCGCGGACGACGACGACACGAAAAGCGGTTCCAGCAGCGCCGCTGCCAGCGTAGCTTCAATCAGCGTCGGCGACGGCGACGACAAGTACGGCCAGTCCAAGGAATTCAAGCAGGCGCTGGAGGATATGAAACCCGAGGAGATCCGGACAGCGTTCTGGAGCATGGTGAAGGGCGATAACCCGGATGCGCTGTTGCTGCGGTTCCTACGGGCACGCAAGTGGGATACCAAGAAGGCGCTTGTTATGTTGATTTCCACGATGCGCTGGCGACTGCTGGAAATGCATGTCGACGACGATATCATGTTCAACGGTGAGGCATCGGCCGTGAAGATGTCGCAGAGCTCAGATTCCAAAGAGAAGAAGAAGGGTGATGACTTCCTCACGCAGATGCGTCTGGGTAAGAGTTTCTTGCATGGTGTTGATCGGGCTGGTCGGCCGATCTGTGTTGTCCGTGTGCGCTTGCATAAGGCTGGTGATCAGGATAATGAAGGGTTGGAACGGTTTACTGTTTATACCATCGAGACTGCTCGTTTATTGCTTGCATCGCCAGTTGAGACTGCGGTAAGTATTCCAGTGTGAGGATTCTGTTTCGGTAGCTGACTCTTGCAGACTATTGTCTTTGATATGACGGACTTCGGCATGGCTAACATGGTAAGCTTTTCGTCTCAACGTGGTTCACGCTATATACTGATATCTCCCAGGACTATGCCCCCGTGAAATTCATGATCAAATGCTTCGAAGCGAACTATCCCGAGTCTCTTGGAGCAGTTCTCATCCACAAGGCCCCTTGGTTGTTCTCAAGTTCGTACCCTAGCACTCCATAAACGACACCCGTTCTAACCATAACCCAGGCATTTGGAGCGTGATCAAGGGCTGGCTCGATCCAGTCGTCGCAGCGAAAATCCACTTCACGAAGAACCGCCAGGATCTTGAAAAATTCATCCACCCAAGCCAGATCATGAAAGAGCTCGAAGGCGACGAAGACTGGGAATACAAATATGTCGAGGTGCCGGAGAACGAGAACCCCAATTTGGCCGACAAGGAAACGCGGGATACCCTGCTGGCCGAGCGCCAAAAGCTCGCCCAGGAGATCCAGGATACCACCGTTGAGTGGATCCGCGCCAGCTTCAAGAACGAGACTGACGCTGCCTCTGCTGCTGAGGAAAAGCGGAAGGGCTTGATCGATCAGCTGCGCAAGCATTACTGGGTGCTTGACCCGTACGTCCGGGCTCGCTCGCTTTACGACAGACTCAATATCGTTCAGGGCGGTGGGAAGATTAACTTCTATCCTGACTCGGAGAAGGAATCTGAGAGCACAGCATAAGTTGTGTGGGGTACATGAGTTAGGTGGTCCGATTTTGATTTCCATGCTTACCAGCTAGATATTTAGAGTCTGATTTTACATGTTTGTAACACACAGACTTGGTTGTTAACTAGAGGATATACGGACATTTTGGTATATACCTAACGGAGCAGAGTCCTGATGGGAGTCAATCAAATGACGATGTTCTACTTACAAGTTTCTACCATCTTCATCTACTCAAACGAACACTGCAATCCTTCTTCTGCAGAAAAAGATGTACCCATGGACGGTCTACGACGACGTTCTACGTCATAAGCAAAAGCATAGTATCAACTCGGTTTCCATCATTCTTGAGTTCGTTGTCATCTTGTCATCCAAACCAAAGCTGTTTACATCTTCGACTTGATCTCCTCGTGAAGAGCCTTGAGCTTGGCCATATCCGCCTGCTCGGCAGGCCAGCCAATGGTCAAACCCTCCTTCTCGTTGGGCTTGGGGATCTATTGTCTTGTTAGTATATATCTCAAAGGCATTTACAACATAAGACCAAATATCCAAAATATAATGAAACATACCATGTGGAAGTGGACCTATTAGAGAGGACTGATTAGCACCTTCACCATTATCAGAGATCCTCAACTGAAACTCACATGGTCAACGACCTGGTGCGCAATGCGTCCATTGTTCTGCAGGACATTGAAATCCTCGGCACCGATGGCCTTGGCAATCCTCTTCGCGACGGGCTGGCGTACATCCTGGTTAGCTATGTCCCTGTTCGCCAATCCAATTCCGGGTCTCTGAGGGACCTTGCGGAATTGCCCCCAAGGTCCTCAAAGGAACGTAATCGAATTCAATCAAGATCGAAGACATTGACTCTCCTCTTCATCCTCTTCATCTTCCTGGGTTCTCTCGTCGACTTACCAGGACCTCAGTTAGGTGCTCATCGGGGATATCAGTCAGCTTTGCGCCGTGGAACTTGGGAATGACAAGCTGTACATATTGTCAGTTTGATTTTCTTTCCTTTTTCATCAATTATCGGTCTTGGATAGCTGGCTGAAGCTATCACCGCAGTTGTGGTGTCTTCACTGGCGCCCCGCCACAAGGGAATAGGTCGGATGCGGGGAAGAGGAATCGAATCGTAGGGAATAATACGCACCGCATGGCCGAGACTCAGCGGCTGGATATCGAGGAAAGCGAAGACCTTGTCGCTCTCGAAGAGCTTCAATGAAGGGATATCTCCTGTATAGCGCAAGGAAGCACGTCAGTCAATCCATATTTTGCTACGTGTCGCATTGGGCATTGCGATAGAAATGTATAAATGTGTAGATATGGTGGTATAAATGGTGGGACATACCCTTGATGATCTTGCAGAAGATACAGGCAGCAGATGACATTTTGCAAAGCTTTAAAGGACCTGGATAAATGATCTTGAAGTTGAAGCTTGAGCTGACGTCGAATGCAAACCTTGGAATAAATTATGCGGGGTCACAAAAATGCAAATGAATTACCCGGCGTGGTTCGAACCCCGACCGTTTCCGTGTCCGAGCGGGTGGCCAAAATAGTAGGGGGAGGGTATTATAAAGTAAATAAGAGAAACACACCCGAGGAGTGGGACAAGTTAGTGCAGAACCCATTTCTTGCCTTTTACCAGAGATGGCCGTGATTTGCCCACCAAACTCCTCTCATCAATCTTTGGAAACACAATGACACAGCTGTCATTTTTTTTATTTTTTCGTATCCTTTTTTACTTCTATTCTTAATTCTTCAGCAGTGAAGCTGTAGATTTGGCAGATTTTTGAAATTGGGGTTGGCATGGTAGATACATATATGAGAGTGCGTGGATATATAGTGCAACTATCATGCTCTTAAGCCACTACCTACGTCGAGATATCAAATTGCTTTATATTGTTTCCTATGGCTACTTAATGTGCCGATACAGAGAGACATGTCACTAGACCCCGTTCAAGAGTAAGAAATAAATGGCCTTATTATTCTCATTCACTATGGCACTATTCATCTAGAAGTGACTATTGCTGTTGATATGTAGCTATTACAGCTTCTGTTCTTACCATATTCCCTACCTAGGATGCTATAAATAGCCATTTCTACGGTTTCAACTTCATATGTCGTAGTTTCCTCCATGCAAAAGGTCTAAAGCCGGTTGGCGAAATACATTCTAGAACAGCCCTGGTGAACTGATGAATGATAATGACCAAACATAGACTTAAGCGGAATGACTTAAGCGGAATACCAAGTACACAACAAGAGCTTATCCAATGGCCATGACTTAATTGCATATAGAAGAACATAAAACAGTGATACTTATAGACATGAATAAGGCCGGGAAACATCCAATCACAGTCCAGGTGTTGTCAGATCAAAACGGGAATTCCCCCCTACAGAGGTTGTAGATAGAGGAGCCCATAGAGTTTGGTCAATATACTAACTTGAAATAAATTAAACAACCAGAAGCCATCATATCAGCCACTCCAAGCAACAAAATGAGAGAAAGACGAGAAAGCGATTTGTTAAAGTGGTGGTGCGTACTTCCGAATCAGGACTAGCGCAATAGTCCCGTGCGGTTCTTCCGACTTGACGCTGCGAAAGACCCTCGCACATCACCACGCCCTTCTTGGCAACACTCCGCTCCAATTCGCTGGTGTCGAGAGATATACCCAGCCAGAGACCATGCAGAAGTCTCGCACCATCAACACTGCCCTGGGGGCCCGGCCCTTTGTGCCAGTCCCGCGGGTTCAGCTTCAATTCCAGCGCAACCTTCAGGATGTCCGCATCACCCGGACTGGCAAGCCCCTCTTGAAGGTCCAAGGTGGCCGGTAAGTGATCAATTGTGCTGTAGGCTTATTGTTCGTGCTTGCTGACGCGCTCTTCTCATAGTTCTTCCATTGGAGGTAGCTGCGCCTTTCCATTTTGATGCTACGCCTCGGTCCCGATGTGCTCACACAATTCTAGGTCACACCGCGACGGTCTTTGGTGCCACTGGTTTCCTCGGTCGCTACATTGTCAACAAGCTCGGTAGGTTGAGAGTGCTGCACTGCAATTGGATCATGGACTAATGGCCTGCAGCTCGCCAGGGATGCACCGTTGTCGTTCCCTACCGTGAGGAGATGGCTAAGAGACACTTGAAGGTCACTGGTGATCTTGGACGAGTTGTCTTCATGGTATGGAATCTTGCTGTCGCATATTCTGTCTGAATTGTGGATGGTGTCTGACCCCAGCATAGGAATACGACCTGCGCAACACTCAGTCCATTGAGGAGAGCGTTCGTCACTCCGATGTCGTCTACAACCTTGTCGGTCGCCAATATCCCACCAAGTGAGTTACAGTGTGTGATACGCATGAATATGTGGTTTCTGACGACCCCAGGAACTTCTCCTACGAGGACGTCCACGTCGACGGCGTCGAACGTATTGCCGATGCTGTTGCCAAGTACGATGTCGACCGCTTCATCCACGTTTCTTCCTACAACGCTCGCCGTGACTCGCCTTCCGAGTACTTCGCCACCAAGGTCAGCATATCTACTGGAACTATACAAGAACGAGAGTGCTGATGACATATAGGCATGGGGTGAGGAGATCGTCCGCAAGATCTACCCCGAGACCACAATCGTGCGACCTGCACCGATGTTCGGTTTCGAGGACAACCTGCTCCACAAGCTGGCCAAGATTGGCAACGTTTTCACCGCCAACCACATGCAGGAGCGTTACTGGCCGGTTCACGTAAGTTCTTCTCCTGGGGTGGACAAGCTGCGTTGAACTAACCCCTGTTGAGGCCATCGATGTCGGTTCCGCTCTGGAGCGTATGCTGCACGATGACAGCACCGCCGGCCAAACATTCGAGTTGTACGGTCCTAAGAACTACTCCACCGCCGAGATCGCCGAGTTGGTCGACCGTGAAATCATCAAGAAGCGCCGTCACATCAACCTCCCCAAGGCCGTTCTCAAGCCCTTCGCCCACTACATGAACAAGTTCCTGTGGTGGCACACCCTGTCCGCCGACGAGGTGGAGCGCGAGTTCATCGACCAGGTGATTGACCCAACAGCCAAGACCTTCAAGGACCTGGGCATGGAGGAGACCGCCGATCTGGCCAACTTGACCTTCCACTACCTGCAGGGCTACCGTAGTGCCTCTTACTACGATCTGCCTCCCTCCACGGAGCGCGAGCGCCAGGAGGACAAGCGATACCTGCATGTGCTGGACGACCAGTAGTTTGTGTTTTTAATGTGTAAATAAGCCTTCCTAGACTCAAATTCGATTTCCTTGTGTTGGACGGTGCAGTGTATTCAATACAGACCAGTATACAAGGCCATAAACCAAAAAAGGAACTTGAACTTTTATAAGACCCATTGGGTTCCTATAGTAAGAGTGAGATACTGTAAATTTAAAGTTGCAGCTATGGTCTGAAGGACCGTACCTGCCTCGAGTGTACCTGCCGCTTTATATGTAGGTATACGATTAAACCAGCCTCCCGTAGAGTGTAGGCCTGTAAATCATACAATATTTCATGCGCGTACCAAAATGCCTACTGCAAACCCAACTAATCCCGTCTGCCCTGCCCATTGCAGTGACCCTAATACCTGGAAAAGTCAGCTTGTTGGTGGACTCTGTGGGCTGGCAGCGCTGTTAATGATCCTGGGGGTTCTGACTTGGGCCTACTGGTATGTATAGTTCTGATTTGCTCTCTCTTGCTGTGTCCATTCTAATAGATATATGCGTAGGTTCCACGCCAAGGAAGCCCGCCTAAAGCACCCCCAGAGACTCATCACCGAAGAATACCTCGCACGAAAGAAAAAGATAAAGAAGTTGGCGAAGGAGCGGAACAAGAGTTCGTGGTGGCACTTCTGGAGCAACAAGGGTGAGTAACTTGAGAAACGCTTATAGGAAGTGTGCGTCTTAGTAAATATACCAATACTAACGAAGAGCATCTCTCTAGCCAAGACGCCTCCCGCCGACAACACCAGACAGGCGCAATCGCGGGGAGCCATTCAAGAAGGAGGAGAGGAGAAAGCTCTCCCCTCGCCTCACGATACTTTGTGACAGCCCATTGGCCGCATTGGCCGAGCTACCTGGTTGCGAGGACCTCCCCCATGTTCAACACGCAGACTCTGGGACTCGGTTGGAGATTATCGCGCTGCGCGGCGGCCTCCGCCTCCCTCACCAGCCTGAAGACGTTGACCGTGACGTCCTGACAAGTGTCCCTTAAGGGCAAGAATCCTGCGCAAAAGGAAAGAGAAGGATGTGCCATGCTCAAATAGTACATATGGCTGTACTGTGGTTTTGTTTTGTTTTGTCCTGTTTTGGATTTGACATGGGTCTTGTCTTGTTTTCTGTTGGTCTGGTCTTTCAGGATGTTGGGGTTTCTATCTATATACCCATGGTCCGTTCCCCCACGGCCTCGTTGGAGTTTTATTCTGGTTTGGCATTATTAATGGGGATTTTGAAAGGTTCCTACACCTTGGGAAGCAATCCATTATTTTAGCAAATGGCCCTTAAGCAAAGTAGAGAGCATTTTCAATCTTTCTCATGAGAACCACTTTTAAGAGTGTGCCACCAGCACAACTTGGGCTTCGATTTCAACGGGCAAAAAAAGCAATTTGCCAAACGGAGAGCATAGGGCGAGTGAACTTCTTTCAGCATAGATTCGAAATTTTGCCTCATCTCCTGTTTTTGACTCTCCGGGAGCGAGAAACCTCGAAGGCCGATACAGCACTTGCACTCTACAGTGCAATGGCCTCTGCCTTTCTTCTTTTTAGACAGATGCCTCTGTTCACAGCATCCGCATTCCCGACTACAACATCCGCCTCGATCCGAACAATCCTGAACCATCTCTTCGCGCATATACCATTTAGGATCACGCCTTAAGTGATCATAGGGGTCCTTGAGTATAGAGTGAAACCTATACTCCGCTCGGTAAAGGGCCCACTCCTTTCTTGGATATTGCAGTTGAGATTTTTCAAGCGCAATTTTTGCATCTTCAAATTGCATCGTATTCATACTAGTTCCAAGAGTTATAGCCTTTTCTAAGGCTGCAACCTTCTGGTGTAACCATTCCTCACGCTGCGTTAGTTCACGTAGAGCGTGCTCGGCAAGGAATAACTCTGTGAGTCTAGATCGAAGGATGCGTTCTGACCCGTATTTGAGAACGCTGTCGTCTTTATCGAGGGTAAAGACAGGCTTATTGAAGAACCCCATGATCCTACGTTGTAGAAAGCCTCCAAGATTAGTATAAGTGTAAGGTAAGAAAGGTTCAGGTATATACTAGTACCTCTGTGGTAGGAGAGAGTACCTAGGTAGGTATACATGTGAATTCTCAATAGAATAAAAATATCAAAGAGGAATGGGATGAGATATAGAAAAGAAGTTCCTACGGCTTCATCACTCCGCCCAAAATAGGATGGAGTATTTAATTATGACGCAACTAGACAGAAAACAAAGACAGAAAAGATAACTTTACGGATTACATGAATGAAAGCGATAAGGAGGATAGGATGATACGAGGATTCAATGCAGCAGAGACGATTAGGACGAGTGTTTATAGTTCTTTAATTCGATTCAATAATAGCATACAAACAGTAATTCCTATACTATAATACTACAGACTCTTTCTTATCAGCCCACCATATATCAGCATACCATGTGACTTTTGCTATCAGTTGAGCTTATCACCATTATTACCCAGGTACCTCCCGAGGTGGATAACATCATATCAATCCCACCTATACCACCTTCACACGAACCAATCCCCCATGCCTCCAACACCAATTCTCCTCCTCAAAACAAAATCCTCCCCACACGATGGCTATGAAGACTTCTTCTCCGCACACAACTACACCCCAGCCTTCATCCCCGTCCTAGAACACCGCTTCCTCAAAAACAACCTCACCCAAGTGCGCGACCTATTCAGCGCCGGCGCATTCAACAATGCCCCCAGAAAATACGGCGGTCTAATCTTCACCAGCCAACGCGCAGTCGAAGGCTTCGCAAACATGATCGAAGAAGAAAAAGACGGTACATCCACCTAACACAACAAACCCAGAAACACATCCAAGCCCAACTAACACAACGCCAACCCGCCAGTCCAATTTAACATCCCAGCCTCCCCACCCTTACTCCTCTACACCGTGGGCCCAGCCACAGCGCGCACACTCACAACCCTCCGCGATAAACACCTCCCGGACGCAACAATCCACGGCGCGGATACAGGAACCGGCGAGAATCTCGCGCATTTCATACTCGACCACTACGATTCCATCTACACCACGCACAAGCCATCTCTCCTTTTCTTGTCGGGGAAGTGCGGAGGGATATCATCCCGAAAACACTAATGGATAAAGCATTACCGGTTGAAAAGCGGGTTGGTGTTGACGAGCTCGTTGTGTACGAGACTGGGGTTATGGAGTCGTTTGAGGGGGATTTTGCGGATGTTGTAGGTAGGTCGGATGGGGCGGTTTGGGTGGTTGTTTTCTCGCCGACTGGGTGTGAGGCTATGTTGAGGGTTCTTGGCTTGGGGCCTTTTGCTGGTTCTGGCTCTGGATCTGGAGATGGGGCTGCAGCTGGGACGCGGCAGGTCTTTGTTGCTACTATTGGGCCTACGACGCGGGATCATCTGCGTGAGAAATTTGGGTTCGAGGCGCATGTCTGTGCACCGAAGCCTAGTCCTGAGGGTGTGCTTGAGGGAATTGAGAAGTTTATGGGTGGGATTTGAGGGGTTGATATGGATATGGGTGGGTGTATATAAATTTGTACTTTGTGTGCATGTTGGTCGCGTGTATATAACTAGATGTAGGCTGGGACTACAAGTATATAATTGGGCATTAAAGCTAGCAGAGGGGCAGTGCAAGTATATTACGAGGCAAGTCAGCTGTTTTGAACACATAATCATATTTCGAGTTGCCCTGCTATCTCTAACATGTATCAAATCACGCTGTCAAGTGAAAGTGCGTGCAGAATAGAATCCAACATCCTCCTAGCCAACCTAATATCATTTGAAAATAGTTAAGTCAGATTTACCGCATGATTTCCTCGTAGATCAAGACTAGAAAAAGTCAGTAAATACCAATAGAAGACGAGAACCAGACTCAAAGGTAAACTCACGCTTCAGCTGCTCCTTACTCAGAGCATCCTTGTTCTTGTCGAAATCGAAGAATCCATCAGGAATGGGCGGTGCAGTGGGCTCATCTTCGGGATCATGGTATGGCTCGAGGTATGGGTGCTTCAGGGCTTCCTCGACAGTGATACGCTTAGCCGGATTGAAAGCGAGCAGCTTCTCGAGCAGATCTAGAGCCATATCGTTGCTCTTGGGGAAGAGTGCACGGAACGGAATCTTCTTCTTAAAGGGGAGGGAGCGGATGTATTCACGGGCACGGCGAGATTTGATGCCGTAGTAATCTTCCATCGTGGGTGTGCCGAGGACATCCAGGATGAGGGTCAACTGATGGTGATCTAGGCGTGTATGTTAGTTATTGTTGTTGCTGCTTGAAGGGAGAAGTGGAATCATACAATCCTTGCCAGGGAAGAGAGGCTTTCCGCTCAGCATTTCAGCCAATATGCAGCCGACACTCCACACGTCAATAGCCTTGGTGTATTCCTTGAATGTCAACATGATCTCCGGCGCACGGTACCAACGTGTAGCCACATATTCTGTCATGAATCCGGAGTTGTCGTCCGTGGAGGCGGCCGAGCGGGCCAGACCGAAGTCGCAGACTTTCAGGTCGCAGTTGGCATTGAGCAGAAGATTGGAGGGCTTCAAATCTCGGTGGAGGACATTGGCTGAGTGCATTGCCTTGAGCGCACGCAGGGTCTGGTAGATAAAGTATTGACAGTGGTCGTCTGAGAGATCTTGTGTGCGGATAACCCGATGCATGTCTGTTTCCATCAACTCCTGCGCGCTGTTAGTAAAGATCGGACATGTCCCATACATGCGCATCTTGTCAGATGGCAAGCTTCGACGTACTTGAATCAGATAAACTTCATTGAAACCCTCGTAGTTACGGGGCCGTTGAATATCCAGGATGGAGATAATGTTTTCGTGGTTAAAGTATCGCAGCAACTTCATCTCACGCAGTGTACGCAGGCAGAACATAGAATGATCGAATGGCGTGATCTTCTTGATGGCAACCTTCTGGCCGGAGGGCTTATGAATGGCAGAGCTGCATGGGGTTAGAGGAGTCTTCACAAAAAATCTCGTACTACTTACCAGACGACACCATAGGCGCCTTCGCCGATAACATCTTGGATCTCGTATTGATCGGATACATTGAAGGAGATCTTCCGGGATCCTCCCGCGGGAGGGCCTTGATGACCCATTTCGAGAACGGTTTCTTTGGTAGACTCAGCCTTCGGGTGATTGTCAGCTTCAAAAATCCGTGGGATCCAGTGGAAAAAGGGCCGAACGCAATCCATGGGGAATCAAACGGGAACCGGGAATTGAAAACAGTAGAAGGGGGATCGCGCACAATTTGCCGATTCAGAGTCCAGGGAACGCAAGTCTTTGGCACCTGAGGTCAATTGCCCAAAAAGCTCGAGCAATTTGACCGCAAGTACGAGCGCGGGGGAACAAACGCAACGACAACGCACGAAAACCGGGAAATAAAGCTTACTTTCGTCTGCGCTGCAATCGAATTGGTGTTTCGGAAAGGCGCTCAAACTCTCGACTGGGTTGGGTTTCAAAGGTCGGCGAGATCTCAGGGAATAAAAGGCGAGGTGTAGAAAAGGTAGGAGGGGGACTTGGTCGTACGAAGCTCCAGGTGGGGAAGATGTGACAGGTACAGCGTCTAGACCTAAGAGACCGAGGTGGGATGCGAAGATCACGGATCAAGGTGTCTGTCAAGTTGGATCACGGTATCAAGCTCAGAGCCTAAGAACGTGGCATGTTAGTGGAATTGACGGTGATGATGCTCGGGTGCATGGAGAAGATGAGCCAAGACGCCGAAGCGGGGTCATCCTCTGCGGGATCACAACGGGTCGACTGGATCGGGACTCACCTTGTCTCGCCTTTTCTCTACCAAGGCAAAGGAAAATAGAGAAGAAAGGAGAGGAGGATGAGAAGAGGTGAACCTGGAGAAACGGCGGGCCGTAGGAGAAGTGGTGGGGCAGAGCTTTGAGGCGGCTCCGGCAAAGGTGAAACAAAGTGGTTCAAATTCAGGAAAGGGAAATTGGCGTCAATTAAAAGAGAAAAGAACGGGGGAGAGACAAGGAATGACGATCCTCGAGAAGCGTAGAGGAACTCGAGAGAGTAGAGGGAGTGCGTAGGTAGGTAGTAGAGGTGTTTCCCCCTGTCTGCTTTCTCTGGTTTGATGGACGTGGAACCTTGGATCACTTTTATCTCCACAAATACATGAGGGGTACTTGGGTCCGACTGGAGTTATCCATATATTACCAAGTAGTCAAAAAGTACTTGTAACCAGAGCGATCTAAGGATCTCCGCCACAGCGCCAAAGTCTCTCACATGTCGCGCTCAATGGACGGCGCTACTGCACCTGGCGAAACTTGTCACAATCATCTTTCCCGCTCCACCACATAGGAGGTGTTAGTTTCATCATGATTGGAGAACCCACCCCTCCTAGTTTCACTAGTCTCAAGGGGTATCCTGTTAATTGGGTCTGAACTCTCAAGGAGTCATATCGGGTCTATATATACGGGGTCTATATACGGATGGGATTTTGGGGGCCGTGCGATGTTCCCAGGGCCGCTTTCTCACGGGTTAATGACTCGTTCCAGGGCTTACGCTTAAATTATATTGGAAAAGGCGTTGAAACATCCAAACTAGAAACTATGCGGACTCTTCTAATGCTAAGAAGTACTAGAATGCTTGTCTTGACCCGAGCACTGTCTTTCAAAAATTAGATCATTTGGTTTGATTGACACCGATTTCCTACTGCTGAAATCATCTTAGCCCTGGCCATTTCCCATGTCCCGTGGAAATCTCCATGGGACTATACAATAAGAGTGGGAAAATGATACCGTTAATTCTTCATAGATGCAATCAGCGTCTATCGCCTGTCAACTATAACCCAGCGATCTACTAGTACTAGATAATCCAAACATGCCCGCCGTGATTGAAAGTCAAACGCAATCTTCCCCAACGTAATGGTACAGGCGGGAGGACTCGCGAAAACACAAATTTCATGGTCCGCAGAGACCAACCGGGCAGTTTCTCATTACTGCACGACCTGAGAGCAAATCGTCAGTGCTGACCGATACGATGGCCAGAGCAGAGGGCTCAAACCTTTTCCTGCAAGGAACCCATCCACTGATCCAAGCTGACACTTTGGTCCGCACGGTCCTCAACCAGCATGGTCTGAGCCCAGAGACGCAGACCGGGCTCACCATCTTCGCGAACAACGTACAGGTGAGGCACGATCATGCTACCCACACCCTTGGCTCGGTGGTCCCGACTCTTCTCAAGCACGGCCCGCACGCGCTGGTTGAACTCGTTCTCGACGTCGGGGAGGGTTTGCTTGCCCACCCGTAACTGCGACTTGTCAGGGACGCCAAAGACATCCTCGATAAGCTGTGGAACAGCATCACGGCCAACCCAGAGGAACTGGGTCTGGCCATCGTCAATGAGGTACAGACCGTAGGGCACGAGGCGGCCCGAAGACAAGTTGACAGAAGGGGGCAGGACGATTTCGCCGGTCTGTGGATCAGGCAAACCCGCATTGTCGGGCATGTCGTGGAGTGAGTACATTCTCGGATAGATATATTGGATGAGAAGCGGCAGGGGCAGGGTCGACAGAAGGCAGAGAGCTGCGGACCGCATGTCCGTGGGGATCTGGGCGGATTTGCGAAGACCAAGCTAGAGAGAAAAAAAATCGATTAGTATAGAACAGCTTATCACAAGCAAAATAGAGAAAACTCACGTTCTTGATCATTGCAAGGAACAGGACAGGCAGGGCTCTCAAATTGGCGGGGAACTGGAGACCACCACCGCTAACACTACCACCCGCAAGCTCCTTGCGGTATGTCTGCAGAAGCTCGACGATCTTGGCCTGAAGAGCCTCGCGAGCGGGTTCGAGGCCGCTGCTCAATGTGCGCTCGACAGCCTTGTGACTGAAGAATGTGGCAATGGCCTGCTGGTCAGCCGAGGCGTAGATGTCTGCCAGATTCTGGGTCGTTGGAAGTGCCAGGGTCAAGACACGGATACGACGTTCACCGTTACAGGTAGTGTGAAGGACAGCCGCCTGCATGCAGACGACCGGCTTTGTAACCGTCTCATCAATGGCCACCTCGACCACATAGGCCTGGTCACGAGGGAAGGCCGGGAAAGCACAGAGATCGGAACTGCGGTTAAAGAAGTTGCCGTAGAAGGTGTTCATACGCAGACCGGTGGTTGCGCGCACGCGGAGAACGGCCTCCAAACCAATCTCCGAAGAGAGATAGTCAGAGAACTCACGGGCGAACTTCATGGCATCCTCAGTTCGTGCAGCGTTCCAACCAGGGTAAAAGTAGGTCTGACCACCAGTGTAGCGGGGCAAGCAGCTTAAAGATGCCACATCTTGGTATTGCGACGAGAAGAGGAACATATCCACAGAGACTTGAGATTTTGAACATTCGACTGCAAAGCTCTTGTAGAAGGAGTTTGCGGTCTGAAGCAGACTCGATTCCTTGCTGGTTCCCAGCACCTTCTTGTCTTCTCTCATAGTGAGAGCACCGTGACCAGCGTTGGGCAAAGATGAGCTCAGAACAGTCATCTTTCCACCGACAGGGGAGATCAACTTGTAACCAGCTCGCAATGCCGCACCCATGGCACAGCTGTTGTTCTGGGTGTTCTGGAACATTTCCTGCAGCTTGCGAAGGAAGACCTCGATGTTCTCCCGGCATTCGCTCAGCGTCACCAGGAGATCACCAGGGATGGGGAGGAAAGGCTCGTCCAGATCGCTGACAACCAACATCTGGGGCTCCGAGGACCCTGACTCGTCGCGGGGAATGCTGAAGTAGTGCAAGCTTGAGTCCACTGCAATAAAGCCGAGGCGAGTACGTCGGTCTGCGTTCGGGATGCGATCAAGGCTCTCCTGGATGGTGCGAGCGGTGGTGGCCAAAAGACCGTTGGTCACCGAGGCATAGCTCACATCGATCAAGAAGAGGTATACCAGAGGTTGAGGTGGTCGGACCATGTATTCCTGCGGCGCAACGAATTCGACCATGCTGTGGTTCAGATCGGCACGCAGCGCACGATCGGCGGGCTTTTGCAGTGTAGAGTCCCAATCGAAGGCTTGTGGCACATCGTTCGTCAGGTTGCACATATTACAGCGCCAGCGGTGGCCATGGTCGAGGAAGGTGACAAAGGGGTTGATATAGGAGCGGCAACGTCGGCATCGTGAGATGACTTGGTCTGGAATCACAGGAATAGGGTCCTCGGCGTCGTGAAGGGAAGCATACGGTTGGATGACAAGGGCGAAGGGCAACTTTGATTTCTTCAGAAGGGAGCTAGTTGTGGGGACAGCGTTGAGCGTAGACCGCATATATTTCGTAGGGCAATTGGCCTCGGGCGATGGGTAAACACTGGTCTGTCAATTGTTAGCATATCTACCACATGCGCAATGTGACATCTTATACATACCCCCGGAGGCAAGATAATTGGAGGAGGGGATAGTCCAGCTCAGCGACGTTGAAAGGTTGGGATCGAAGGTCCGTGGGGTAAAGCTGGTTGAGCTGCACTTGAGGTCGCATAGGGGCTTGGGCCACAGGCTGCGGGGGCGGCATGTGATGAGGCTCGCTCATTCCCATTCCACCGAATTGCTGGGTCATCTGCGTGACATCGGCGGCAACAGGCGCGCCATATGTTGGCGCTACAGGCTGCATTTGGCTGGGGTCCGCACCGTATACGGGTTGTTGATATCCTGCAACTTGGGGCTGCTGGGGGTAGGGCCCGTAAGCACCCCCAGCCGTGGGTTGTCCACCGAGCGCGGCATTGGCGCCGGAGCCAAAATCAAATGCCTCACCAGCATACGCTCTCTTCTTCTTTCCAGCTGCAGCAGGTGCAGGCGCGCCTTGCCCTTGGACCGGGGACTGTGTGGGTTCTGGGGAGCCGTAGGCGGGCTGGCCATACCCTTCCTGGGGAGGGAATCCCCCCTGTGGTGCTGCCATTAGAGTCGAGTAGGTTGTGTTTAGTCGTACTCGGGTGTTGGGAGGAAAAGAGGGTTGCGCTAGTCACAAAGTCGGCGGGTGGAATCGATATGAGGAGGCGGGTGGTAACAGCTCCTGGAACCCCACAATCAGTTTCTCGTCAACGGAACAGGGTGTACCGGTTGCGTACAGGGCAAGCTGTACCTTTAGAAAACCCAGAAGTATCACAAAATGCAGTGGCGAGGCAAAGGACAGCTCACCAGAAGAAACCAAGGGAGTGTGGGAGAGGCGGTGATGATGGTCTACGGTGGCCTTTAGGTCGTGGTGCTCCAGCCAATCAGAGGCCATGGAACATGTGACGAGAGGCGTCAACTGGTGTTTTTATATACTGTCCGACAACATCTGATACTGAGTATAACACGGGTTGGATATCAATGGTGAGCGCTATATATGTAGTGTTTATTCTCAACAAGATGATCTGTATATATCCCCAGGTATTTGGACTGGAAATGAAGACTTAGCCTTTAGTGCAAGCGTGGAGCACGTCTATAGATTATACTGTGCTGTGGATTGTAATAATGAGATTATGAAGCTTTCAAGTTGATTATTCTACTTAAATTGCATTGGAGCAATTATGTATCCCCGTTGTGGTTCGAGTCTTCGGAATGTACTGTATAAGCTGCGTTGTGGAGCAAAGAAGCGGTTGCCCTGCCAACATCATCCACATCGGCTGCTGCACAAGAGAACTCCTCCCACACGTTCCACAACCTTCAGTTCTGCATACACCCAGTAGTTAGTTTCGTTTCTTTGTTTTTGGGGAGGATTTTATTGCTCTCTTTTTTTTTTTCTTTTGGCTTTACACTTGGTTCTAGTCATTCCTTCGGTTTCTTTGGATTGGATCACATCCCTGACCAGGACTCAGACCATCACACGACAAGTGAATGAGCATCCCGCCACAATGAGTGTCCGAGTTGTCGCGCGTATCCGTCCTCTTCTCAAGTCCGAACGGGAGGCCGATGTGATCGTTCGTACAGGATCTTCCGCTACCGCCGCGTCCAAATCTCGCCAGTCAATAAGCAACAAGAGTGACAAGAGCGACAAGAGTGACAAGAAATTGGCGGCATTGAGGGACAGGGATAATGTGGTTCGGATTCCGAACCCCAAGAATGAGGGGGAGGAGTATGCTTTCCAGTTCAATGGCGTGTACGACGCGGAGGTGTCGCAGCAGGAGCTGTTTGATGCTGAAGGTGAGTTGCTGTTCAGAGCTCACCAGGCCTGCGATTGGCTACCATATTGATCCGAGTGACAGTTGCGCCAACAATTAAGCATCTTCTCAACGGATTCGACGTGACCCTCTTCGCATACGGTGTCACCGGAACAGGCAAAACACACACAATGCGTGGTGGGAAAACCCTGGCAGACCGAGGTGTAATCCCGCGTCTACTCAGCGGCATTTACAGACGCAGTCGCAAGATTGAAAAAGATAGCAATGGGGAGACGACAGTCCAGGTTGCCCTGAGTTATTACGAAATCTACAACGACAAGGTGTTTGACTTGTTCGAGCCGCCCGAGAAGCGCACAATGTCAGGTCTTCCTCTCCGGGACAACGGCGGCAAAACCGTGGTTTGCGGGCTGAGCGAGAAGCCGTGTACCACTTTGAAGGAGTTTGAGCAGCTTTATGACCAGGCCAACACTAACCGATCCACCTCCGCGACAAAGGTATGATATCATGCCGGAAGCTCGGGTGTAAATTCTCTTGCTAAACATCCAATATAGCTCAACGCCCATTCCTCCCGATCGCACGCCATTCTTGGTGTGAAGGTTACCGTCACCTCTCCTGACAAAGTCCGCGTCAGCACTGCTTCCGCTATTGATCTTGCAGGATCCGAAGACAATCGACGGACAGAGAATGATAAGGAGCGCATGGTCGAATCGGCTAGCATCAACAAGAGTCTTTTCGTCCTGGCGCAGTGCGTCGAGGCTATCAACAAGAAGCAGCATCGCATCCCATACCGCGAGTCCAAGATGACAAGAATTTTGTCATTGGGACAGAACAATGGCCTGACAGTGATGATTCTCAATCTTGCGCCTGTCCGATCTTACCAACTTGATACAATTAGCTCTCTGAACGTCGCCAACCGCACTCGGAAGATCGAGGTTCGAGAAGTAGAAAACGATCCCATGTTCAAGGGACCGCCCCGGCCATTGAACCGGCCATCTATGGGCACGCGGCAACCTTTGCGCGCACTGACAGCTTCTGTGAACGTCAATATGCCGGCGCCCGCCCCGAAGGACTCCGCGGAAAAGGAAGACGGGAAACCCGTCAAGGCATTCAGCGTATATTCGGACAAGCCGCAAACCAAGCTTGTTAGCCAGCTTCGGAAACCGGAAGCACCGAAGCGCACTTCGATCTCCAACGCTCCCTCCGGTCTTCCGTCATTGAAGTCCGCTCGTCAGCCCCTGGGTGCGCAATCCACGGCGCGCCATGAAGACTTCTCAGCTGCTAAGATCGAAGAGATGGTTGAGAAGAAGGTTGAGGAGATTCTAGCTGTGCGGGCTGTGAGCGAAAAATCGAGGCAGACGCAAGTCCATGAGCTTAACGAACAGCTGCAGAAGCGATTGGAACAGTTGGAGCAGCGGATTGATGGCACAGAAGATGCGCGGGCCGAGGGTCTGTCATACCTGCTGATGGCTAAACAACATCAGGCACGCGGTGAAGACAGCTCAGCCCTGAGGATGTACCAGCTGGCAGCTCCCCATTTTCCGCATAATGAGAAGCTGGCAGGAAAGATTGCTGCTCTGAAGGAGCGCGTTCACGCAAAAGCTTGGGAAGAGAAACCCCACTCCCCGCCCAAGGGGAGGTTGGGTAGCATGCTCTCCCTCAAGAAGGACGTAACACAAACCCTAGGCAAACGCCAAGCAGACGAAGACTATATGGACCAGACTTATGCCAGCTTTTCAAGCGACGAGGATGTTCCTCGTCCAAAGCACAAGAAGCGTGCTGCAGCTAAGCTCGGTCAGATCGAGGAAGCCCCCGAACTGCTTGATAGTGAAGACCCATCCATCTCTCCGCGGACGATGCATATTCTCTCCATCATTAACTCGCGGGATGTGAGCCAAATCAAACTGCTTAAGGGAATGGGTGCCAAGAAGGCAGAGGCACTTGTTGATTGCCTCTGCGAGATGGACCAGACATCATTGGATACAACCGACAGTGGAATCGTCTCAGACCATCAATTCCAGGTCAACAGCCTGGCACAACTGAGCCAGTTGAAAGGTGTTGGGGTCAAGACGGTCGAGAACATGAGACAAGGAGTATTGGCTTAATTGCTGCATTTTTGGGCGGCATATACCGGAGCATAATTGTTTTTTTCTTCTTTTTTTTTTCATGCATCATCCTTCAGCGACGGTGCCACGGCGTTTTCGTGTCTATACTTTGCTAGGTATTCTGGACTTTTTTTTTTTGAATCCATCCGGGACAACTTGGGACATCCTCATTGCACCCTTTTGTTGTCATACCCCTTTCATCATAAGCATCGATCTAAGATCCTTTCAGGTTTGTCCTTTCCTTACAGTTCGCCATTAGAAGGTATGGCTTAGGAGACTTTTTCCAGGTAGTATTTTTCTCCAAGGCCCTTCATAATATTCTTCTTCTTCTTTTCTTTAGTACCACTCCAGGCAGCTTGCTGGCACAGAGTTCGTGTATTAAAGACCCAAAACCGCCAGAAGCCCCTTCTCTTGTAAACCAAGCTCCTCATCCAGTTTGGTCCATAATCTCGACCTAGCCTCTGGATCATTACAATAAGATTTTGCAGGCGCTTCCCATATCCGATTGATATATTTCCCTCCACCACGCCCATTCTCCGCACCGACACCCTGCTTCTTAGGATCTGGCCCAAACTCCAAGCCAGTGGCTGCATGGGCAACAGCCAATCCACCCTGCTGCGACGTGATAGCAACATATCGCAAAAGCCAGCCCAGTCCGCCCGGGGCCTTACCCGCATCCTCAAGACCGTCCCATATACCCGAAGCCACAAAGCCGGGATGGACGCCGTTGATTGTGATGTGGATGTACTCGGGGTGTTTGAGGAGTCTTGACTGCATCTCTGCAACCCACGTTTGGAAGTAGAGCTTATTATTCTGATAATCGTTGCCCTTCCAGCTTAGTTTACCATTAACGCGGTCTAGATCGAAGACTCCTAGATGGTGGTAGCACGAGGTCGTGCAGATAATTCTTGGCTCGGCGCTGCGAGCGAGAGATGGTAAGAGTCGAAGGGTCAGCAGTACATGGGATAAGAAGTTGACCTGGGCGATTTCATCAATGTCTGTCCGTATGTACCAGGAGTTAAATTCAACAAGAGAAATAGGGAAACGGACCTGATGAACCAGCTGGAACCCATCTTTCGTTATACGGGTTTGCATGGTCGACTCTGCAATGCCGGCGTTGTTGCATAGGATATGCAAAGCGCGGTCGCATTGCAGCCATCTTTGACAGAAAGCGTCGACGCTACTGAGATCTGCCATGTCGATCTGCCACCATTCGATGGTGGATGAATGGCCGTGCGCCGCGGCGAGGTTTTTACATTCGTTCACGGCGGCTGTTGGATGCTGTTCCCATGTGGGTGGCTCGCGACAGGCGAGGATTAGGTTTGCGCCCCATGATGCGAAGGATTTTGCCGCTTCGAAGCCGACGCCGTTGTTGGATCCGGATATGATAATCCATTTGTCGGTTAGATTGGTGCCCGGGACGTGTTGGTCTGTGAGGAAAGTGCTGTTTATACCCCTCACGGCCTGTAATAGATCGTATAATCCGGAGAAAATTGAAGGCATGTTAGGACAGGGCTTTTGGCATGAAGACCAAGGATGATATGTACTTGGGATGAAGGAAAGAAGGGTCGACCTGTAAAGCAGCGGTATGTCTTAGATGGGAAGCTAAGGCCTAGCCGTATCTGATTAGGATCCTTGCAAAGTACCGGTAGAAATTCTGTTGCCTTCGAATAAAGATATCCAGGGTTCACTCATTTCATTGTAGAGGCATTTTAAATTTTGGTCATAAAGCTGTGTAGGAGGATGCTATATACCTAGGTAGGGTCAGACTTAAAACTTCAGTTCAAAACAGACAAGAGCTGGGGACCTCAGACACCCCCATATAATCAAAGCTGTTCCACTTTCGGGATTAGGTAGAGGTACCTAGGTAGTTAACCTATATAAAAAGAATGTAATCTAGGCTTTCACGGAATTGACTAGACTCATACGCGATATATGGTATAAATGCACGATCTGTGGAGTAGTAGCCTGGGAGTCTGGTAACTATATCTAGAAAGATTGACATCTTAGCTAGCAGTACTTAATGCTTTAGGTACAGCTATTGCATTCAACTGCCGAACGCATTGACCTTTCTGCGATGGATCAGCCAATTAATCAGTAATGATGGATTAAGTTGGATTATCCCCCGCGACGGAGAATTTCTGTGCAGTCCGGGGTTGAATTTCCCACCAGTCACTATAGTAAGTAATACTTGCCTCAAAGAGCCAAGAACTCTTCTGCATATCATGGATAATTCTTCCCATTCTATTCGTGTGAATCAGCACAGCCATTTTGTCTGTCCGTCTTGTCCGTCTTGTCCGGATAATTTAACAGGGCCTGCACTCGTATTCATTGATTGAGAGATTTAATTCCACCGGAGTTTCGAGTTTCTACGTATCCATATATAATATGATGGCCTCCTATACCTTTGACATTCCCACAGCACCATCCTCGGCAAGTAGCCCCGATGAAGCTCCTCACTCTCTCCCTCCTGGCCGCCTCCCCGGCGGCAGCGCGGTCTTACCTCTCCTGGATGGCCGATTCCTGGATCCTCAACAACCAGGAACATGAAGGTCCATACTGGTACGGGCGCGCAACCATCTACGAAGGCTACGAGGCAGCCTACTCACTGTACGGCAACGAGACCCTGCTGGACTGGTACCACTCGCAAATCGACGAGGTGGTCGCTCCTGACGGCTCAATTGTCGACTTCAACGAGACGTACTACTCGCTCGACGACTACCGGATCGGGAACAATTTCCTATACTGGTACGAGCGCCTCAGGGGAGGAGAAGTACCGGCTTGCTGCGGATCGCATCCGGGCGATGCTGGACCGACACCCGCGCACGCCGACAGGCGGGTTCTGGCACCGGGCGCCGATCTATGCGAATCAGATGTGGCTGGATGGGATTTTCATGGCGGACGTATTTTACGCCAAATGGACGGCGCTATTCGATGCGCAGAATGTCACTGCCTGGGAGGATATTGTGCTGCAGTGGGATAAGATCGAGGCGGCTACGAGAGATGAGCCGACCGGTCTGCTTGTGCATGGCTTCGACGAAAGCAAGACGGCTGTATGGGCTGACCCGGTGGATGGTGCGTCGCCGCTCGTCTGGAACCGGGCTGTCGGGTGGTATTTTGTCTCCCTGATTGAGGTCCTTGATGTCTATCCCAAGCATCTGGATGGATACCAGCGGCTGCTGGGTTACTATAAGAGACTCGCACGAGGTCTTCTCCAGACGCAGGACCCAAAGGTCCATGGCTGGAAGCTAATCCTGAGCAAGGGTATGTTAATAGAAAGGGTAACTACTTTGAGAGCTCCGCGGCAGCAATGTTCGCCTATGGTTGGCTTGCCGGTTTGCGACGAGGCTATATTGACGAAAGGACCTATGGACGGCCCGCAGCGAGAGCGTATAACCACCTGATTGATGACTTTGTGACGAAGCATCAGAATGGAACGTTGACCTGGGAGGGAACGGTACGCGTTGGCTCGCTGAACAGTGATGCCAGTTTTGAGGTAAGGCTTTGGCAAAATAGGTATATGAATGTGCTAGATCTGACCGTTATGCAGTACTACACCGACATTCCAGTTGTCCCGAATGATACGAGAGGCGTCGGTCCTTTCTTGCTTGCTTCTTATGAGTGGGAGCTTCGACAGAAGCGGTCGTGAAGTGAAGTATACTGCACTAGGGATATTCAGGACAAGATAGTGCAAGCAGTCGGCCACTCTGTGCTTTGTATATTTTGTGACGCGGCAGAATGTATAATGGTCTATGTTATGGTATTTAATCATCTGGTCACTGTACACTGGAAATATCCTTAATCGATTATTCTGTCTGTATGTCTGTGGGAAGGTACCGGATATACAAGACTATCAGTCTTTGTTGACAAATTCCGCCATCTTCAACTGTGTCTTCGGTACAATATAGTGGTCAAATGTTTTCCGAGCCTGGGTTCTCTGCTCAAACGCATAGGCCATCTCAATGAGAGCCGGCTCACTCCATTTCAACCCCATGAATCCAAGACCCATGGGGACGCCAGGTGCCACCGAGGTAAGATTCCACGGCGGACTCACCTGCACCGGAGTTCCCACGGGGTACGCACCCATCGGCACAGTGATGACGGGTCCGCCGACGACTGCCGAAACTGGATATCCCAGGTCGGTCGGGAGCACAACTGCGTCGAGGTGGTCCCTGTTGATCACTCCGAACACGCCTCCTTCGCCCCCGTAGTAGAGGTTTTTCAGGTACCGAGGCCAGAACTCAGGCGAGGTGTTGTTTATCCCGGCTTGGAGGGCTTGATCCCATGTCGCGGTGTCCCGAGTTGGCCACTCCTCGAGGGCGTACCTGTGCGTGAAGGACTGGACTTCTTCGAGATTGTGTACATGGTGGGGGTTTGTCTTCAGGTTGGAGAGATAATCGGCTAGTCCGCTGATAAAGTCCGCTTGGAGGACGGTCTCACTACCGTCGCGAATGAAATCCTCATACGCCGTGAAATTCGCATTGTCGACAATGGTGGCACCGGCATCTCTGAGGACATTAACCGCGGCCTCGAATGCAGCGTAGTAGGGTGCTTTTGAGCTGTCGTAATTCAAGTCAAGGACGTTCCGTGGTATACCGATCCGCTTTCCCTTCAGGCCGTTCATTTTACAGTGCTTGACGTAATCAGGGGCTTGTTGCTTATACGGCGCGGCGAGAGTATAGTTATCATGACCGTCTTGGCCGGCAATAGCCTGGAGGACCAAAGCGGCGTCTTCTACCGTTCGTGTCATTGGACCGATGCTGTCTTGGTGCTCACTGATGGGGACGACGAGGTAGCGAGACGTCAGTCCGACCGTAGGCTTGATGCCGACAAGCCCGCTCTTTTCACCGGGGCTGGTGATACTCCCGGACGTCTACTTGTCGCATTAGGCATTTTCAAGATGTGGCGGGAATGAAGAAAGCATACCTCAGTCCCCAAGCAAGCATACGCAAGACCAAGATCAGCTGCAACGCCGCTCCCGCTGGACGATCCGCTGGGGTCCTGGTTCGGGACATGGGCTGCGATGACCTGTCCGCCCCAGGCGCTCCATCCATTAGATGAGTTGCCGGAACGGTAGTTGGCCCATTGAGAGAGATTCGTCTTGCCGAGGATGATTGCGCCGGATTTGCGCAACTTGGCCGCAATGGCGGAATCAGAAACTGGTTTCGCATCCATTAAGGCGTATGATCCAGCTGGGGCGTTGTTAGTAATGTTTTCACCTCTCGATGCAACGGCATCCTACCATTCGTTTGCATCTTGTCATCGGTAGCGATATTATTCTTGATCAGAATTGGGAGGCCATGGAGAGGTCTCAAAGGAATAGACAAGTCAGTCGCCCACTCACGTACTCAAGACAAAAGACATATCAACGTATCTGTACATACCCTCTTAAGATTCCATTTTTTCGCTCGTCGTCCAAGTCCCGGGCAATTTTCCACGCATCCGGATTAATTTCAACAACGGCGCGGACGGTGGAATTGACCTCTTCGTTGCGCTTGACGTATGCCTGGGATGTTTCAGTTCTTAGCCTCTCATACTGAGTGGGGGAATAGTGCCTACATCAACCAGATCCACGCTTGTAAAGCACCCAGCCACTAGTCCATCCTGGAGTTCAGTGGCAGTGGCGGTTAGGAGGTCCGGATAGCTGCATTTGGCAGCTGGGACACGTTAGTATACCAATTTGGATCGTTGGGAGCTGCCTTTACCGGTAGGGGTTGTGCAAAGCGCAAAGATGGCTAGAGCCACAGCTTTCAATTTCAAGATTGCCATGACTAGAGACGACAAAGTATTTTGTCTGCGAGCACTAGGTAGTCGATTCAGGACAACGTACACCCTTCCCAACTTTTATACCCGGACCCGTAAATTCCCAGCTCAATTACGGGCGGGGGGGCTATTGATAAGAGACGTGATTATTAATTCGCTTGTAGAAGATCATCATTAATTTGGAGTCAAAGCAGATATAAAAGAGACCAAAATTGAAGCCATACCGGGCTTATAACTAACAGAAATCAAGATATGGCGAGCGTACGGGTAAGAATCAGAATTGGTAAAATTTCTCTAACTAAAATCAACACTGAATTTGACAATCTGCCCAGGTGCCCCCTGGTTTCAGCTGAGGGGATTCTAACTGCCCAGGGGTCAGTCTAGAAAAGACTTGGCGGGGACTACTTAGGTGGCCCTACTGGAAAAGAAAGCTTACATAATTCCTAGTCCCAGCCCTGGAGCTTGGAGGTACCTACCTAGGTACCTAGGTAGGTAGTAGCGATCTTGTAGTATTTAACGATCTGTTATAGGAGTAAGTTGTTTTGTACAGTGTTAAATACTTGATCCTATTCAACCTCAGATAGTCAACTAATGTAGGGTATTAAAGATCTAGTATACCGATAAAGGTTTTGTACTGCATATCTATTATAAGCCCACCGCTTGACTGAATGGCAAAGTATTCAGTTTATTAAATCGACGCCCATCATACTAATTCGGCGTACTGGGTTAATAGAACACGAAATAAACACAACTGTATACCCATAGAAGATCGGGAGCTCCTTCTAGGGCAAGGCTGAGCACTAATCGGAAACGGAAAGCCAACCTTGGAGGTGGCAGAAGTATCTCACTAGTCAGATATTACATTTAGTTAATCCTTGTTATCCTTTAGATAGCTACTACATCACCAAAGGGGAGATTATCTATTAGATCTAAAAAAAGAAACCGAGAAGACACCTAAAAAGACCAAAACCGACTTGACAAGGCGCAAGTACTATACCTTGGTAAGTTTAAACCCACCAACAGCCCCCCCCTGGCAAAAGCAAACAAAGTCGATCCAACAATCATGACAACACCACAGAAAATCTGCAGCCGAGTATAACTGCCATGGAGAACATCCGGCACCAAGGCACCGCCAATGGGAGTACCGGTCAATGCCGCAAATGAGATGACAGCAAAGAAAGTACCGTTACGCACGCCCACCTGGCGAAGATCGGAGATCTGCGCCACAAGAGCTGGTGCAAGTGAGACAAACGCACCAGAGCCGAAGCCGTACAAGGCGCTGAACACAATTGCCGGGGCATTGCCCTTTGACGGTAGCCAGAGGGCTCAGGACAAGGATTGCCGAGAAGAACGTTGTTATGACCATCATGTTGTAGCGGCCGACCTTGTCGGCGAGATAACCTGGAAGTGTGCGGCCGAAGATACTATTTGGATTTCGTTAGTTCATCTACGAGGTAAGTGTATGGAGCAGAAAAGTAAGAACTCACCTAGAAGCATTCAGAATCGGAATCAGATACCCAGCCAGATTGGAAGACATGCCATATCTCTCCGCCTGGGTAATAACAAAAGTGAAGGGCAAGAACATGCCCCAGAAGAAGCAAAAGGCAGCAGCAAGCGTAAGTGCGAACTTGAGCTCAGCCAACGGCCTAAGGAAACTCAGGATATCGAATGGCTTGGGACGATGCGGCAATCTCGACTTCAGCGTGAGATTGGCAATACCTAACATGAACAAAATGAGGAAGGCGCAGATTCTCATCGCCCAGGGGAATCCGACTTTGGGAATTAGTTGGGTGACCATGATAGGGAAGATGACTCCGCCCAGACTGGATCCAGCGGCTGTTACGCCGAGGGCGAAGGCACGACGCTTAGCGAACCAGGTGCTGACGGAGTTGACGGAGGCGTTGAAGATGGCGCTTGCGCCGATTGGGCTGCAGATTCCTTGCGCGAGAATAAATTGGTAGTACTCTGTCGAGAGGGAAGCCATCATTAGACCGAAGACGTGGAGGATTGTGCCGACGAGGAGGATCCAGCGCGGGCCGTAGCTGTCGAACATCGTTCCGAATATTGGGCCCTGGGGAGGATGTTAGAATGCGTCTTTGGGTAGGAGAGTGATATACGCACGCAGAAGAACATCATGAAGGTCTCCAGCGATGTGATCCATGTTACTGTGCTGGTGGAGAACTCGCTCAATTGGTGACTTTGATAGTATGCTTGGAAGACTCCAATGCCTGGACGATATTAGTATCTTGTCGGTTTCCTATAATCCCTCAGAACACACAACTTACAGTTGATCCAGCCGAAGCTGACAAATAGACCACAGAAAGCTCCTAGTACGACCAGCCATGCTTGCGCACCTCCATCAGGTGGTGGACCGATCACCGGTGTTGCTGGTGCTGGGCCAGCAGCAATTGACTTCTCGGTAGGTGATGGTGCTTCGTGTTTTTCCGATGGCGGGATTCCTTTCTCTGGGTCATTATTTCCATGTACACTCACGGCAGGTGTAGTGGCACTGTCGATAGAGGGAGTAGTCTCGGCCTCATTATTGGCCATCTTGACTATGAGAAAGGTTTGAGTGATAGACTTGGACTATTTGTAACCTGCGTTGTGGTATTAGATATATTGCATTTTGAAACATTTGAACAAGACCATCAATTTATAGATCCCAAACGAAGACGGGAACTATAAAATTAAGAAACAAAGATTGTGCATCGAACAAGTTCGATTCAAAACGCACCTCAACGTCGGCCCGGCCGTTTGGTCCTAAAGCTTCAGGGCTGCTGCAGATTAAAATACTCAAGATAAGTTCCGTTGGGGTTCAAATATATCAAGTCTACACTAATAATATTTAAGGAAAAAAAATCATTCGGAGGAAAAGCACGAACGACTTCGGTATATCGGTATCTAGCTTAACTCCGAGTTGCTTAATTAAGCAAATATTACTTTCACATGGTGATTGGCATGACTGGTCCAAGGAGAGCATAGTGGCTTCACTGCGGTTGGTCAATAACTAGGGATTGCCCTAACTGGCGAACAATACTCGGTGCTCGTCAAAGGCCTATAGGGGGTGCAGTGCTCGGACATATCTGCATTAGCCCGAAGACCGAGGAGGGATTACCCGGTATATTGCTCGTTTGGGAAAAGATGAAACATATCATTTTGGTTAGATGCAGCTGAAACAACTTAATCTCTGATATTATTCCGGCTATAAATCACAGTAACAATGGTGGATATTGAGTCTTCTACTTAGCCACTTGCATGAAAGAAACAGACATGAAGAGCTGATCTGTACAGAATACATGTGCGTAGTTAGAGTTCTGTCGACCTCTGAATACGTATATGTGAGATATGCGGATCGTGACAGCTAATCCTTCTTATCCTTCTAGCTACAGCACCAATAAAGGGAAAAATATCTATAAAAAAACCCTACCAAGGTATATCTAAGGAAACACAAATTAGTACGCCTGAAAGACCACTCAGAAGACCACTCAAAAGATTTCCCAAAAGACTACAGGACTAGTAGGTTAGAAGCAAAGAAAAAGAGATTTGTCGGACCAAGATAAAAAGAAATGCCCATACTGTACAGGATGCAACGTGATAATCATCCCAACTGGAGACCGCTCTAACCCGTACAAACCCAATGCGAAGAGAACTCCTCCAAGTCGACCCATTTGAAGCGAGTCTGTCTATTTAGTTTGAACGAGCAACTTCCTCAATCTCGACCTTTCCATCTTTGCGGATCTTTGCAACACTTCGGCTCGTTCCTTGGATTTCTTGCTCTAGTTCCGCAACAGAGCGGGTTAGGCCAGAGATATTGCTAACGACCTTTTCGGCTTCCGTTTTCTCTGCTTCTGGCTTATCCTCTAGTGGGTTCTTCTCTGTCTTTTCGCCTTCGGTGGAGGGGGAGCCGGCGAGGTGAAGCCACTCGGAACATTGGCGATCTCATTAGCTTCCTGTGCCGACAAAACGTCGTTGAGACGAGGTCCGCGGGATTGCACAAGAATGGTCATGGGACCATCGAATTGCAGAAAGAGCTAGGAGACATTGTCAGTTGGTGGACATTGAAGGACAAGGTAGGATTCATACCCTATCTCCCCAAATGGTCATCCGAGACCAGGTACGCAGCTTGTGGAACCACTGCATAGTGGTTTTGTATGCCTTGGAATCTGATACGTCGCGAACAAACTTGGCATTTTGTAGCAGTCTTGGTAGCGTCTTCAGACCCGGGACTTGGAAGTTGAGAGTGGTGGACTTGAAACGGTAGGGGCGAGGAGGGCTGGAAGCCATGGTGTACGCAACCACATTGCTGGCGATCAAATATTAGCGACGTCAGGCGTGCAATCCGGACGGAAGTTCATACCTGGGATGCGCAATGTACTGCTCGCCATCCTTCAATTCCACCGAGTACAGCTGACCGTTTCCAACCAACGCTATTAAACCTCTGCCAGTCACCTCGGAGCTACCCCAATGAGACAAGCTCTGCGCAGATTAGCTTGGTGTTTCCACACGATCACAGCTCAACTCACCAGGTTTGCATTGATAGTGGGCTTGATGTTCAGAGACCGACCCGTCCATGCAAGCAAAGCCCGTCTTTGGGCAACCATCCAATCCACGGAACCATTGACGTTCACAACGGCGAAGGAGGTATTGGGCGATCGAACGGAAACAAGAGCTGTGACAGGACTTGGTGAGGAGATCTAGCAAATTGTCAATCGCTGTTCTTAAATATGTAGGCTTCGTCGTGCATCTTACCTTCTGGTACAGAAAGGGTACTCCGACGATAGCCCTCCGGAAGGGTTCTAGAACGCTCAAGGTGGACACCACCTGTGCAGATTATGCATTAGCATGACCATTCCTCCAGGACAACATTATCACGGGATCGTATACATTATCCGCTTTGCCGCTCAATCCAACCAGCGTTCCTCGTCGCGTATATAGGTTCTGCGAGGCCGAGAGTGACACCGAAAGAAGCGAATATGGGGCGCCGACAACATCGAATCGCGCGTCTATGTGCGCTAATTGTCAGCATCACATCAACACAGCCTCGGGCAGTTGCAATTACCTCGTGATTCAACAGAGCTGGGAGTGCTAGCGAGTGGCAGACTGTCGCCATTAACTGAAGGCACTCCCGAGGGAGCGGCGCGAATCTGAATGCACCGCGTTTGCCGGTGGGCGCGAGGAACAACACGAGTCCAGGACAGAGTCCGGACGCCTTGAAGGGGGCGCATGGTGTATGCAAAAAAAAGAGTGAAGACTAAACACCGAAGGGAGAATTTACGTCAGTTGTGACGAAAGGGAAATCGGGAAATCGTGGGCCCGAGAGCGATGCGGCCTACAAGGTACACAACTCCCCCTCAGAATTGCGACATTTGGAGTTTATTATAAGAAGTTCTTGGATTCTTTCATTTATATTTCGTGTCTATCGTTCGCTTGACTATTTGCGACTACCCTGCACTTTGCATTGAGAGCGACGGTTTTTCCTCCGAAGCCGGCGATTTCCCCCCACGAGCTATCGGAGACATAGCTACTGCGCGTCAATCCCTCCTACTTGCTCCCACTATGCGCCCTTGAACCCCTGTCGGTGACTTGAACTACTCTGGAGCTTGAAGGTTATTATACCAAGCGGCCATGCTGCTCAGAGCCGCACGATCGCCGTGTTGGCGTACAGCGCAATTCGCCCATCCGAGCTTCGCCGGCAAGCTACAAAGCACACGACTCAATGGAACACACCTGCGCGCGTTCACATCAAATAACAATTCATTATGGAGTCAATCCACAGACAATAAAGATCGCGCTGTCAAAGCTACTCCAACCTCTACCCCCGCCCCATCACAACTAGCAACCGCCAATGTCATCCAGAAGCCGGAAGATAGCGGCAATGCAAAGACCCCACCAAAGAAGGACTTGCTGAGCGAGCCCATGACCGGAAAACAGGAACAAAGGAAGGCAGACTGGGCTATTATGAAAGAAATGGCCAAGTACCTGTGGCCGAAGGTAATTCCCGAGCGGCATTGGTATAGAGTAACAGGTTATTGACTATAGTGGGTAGAACGATTGGGGCACGAAGCTCCGTGTCAGCACAGCACTGTCACTTCTTATTGGGGCAAAGGCAAGGTTCCTTTGTTATGGTGTTTCTATTAGACTATGCTAATATGAACCCAATACAGATCCTCAATGTGGAGATCCCCTTCTACTTTAAGAACATTGTCGACTCCATGAATGTAGACTTTGCTGCCATCGGTGGAACTGCCTACACCGTGGCTGGATCAATGATCATTGCTTGTGAGGATTTCAAACATATCGAAACGTTGACTTGTCACTGATGTGTTTTAGATGGCGTGACCCGAATTGGAGCTACATTGTTCCAAGAGCTCCGTAACGCGGTCTTTGCTAGTGTTGCACAGAAGGCAATTCGGAAAGTGGCATCAAATGTCTTCGAACATCTTTTGCGACTGGATCTCAACTTCCACCTCTCTCGGCAGACCGGAGGTCTGACCCGCGCAATTGACCGCGGTACTAAGGGCATCAGCTTCCTCTTAACATCCATGGTTTTCCATGTGGTCCCGACAGCACTTGAAATCTCGCTTGTCTGCGGTATCCTGGTATGGTCCAACAACGAATGACAACGGGAATCCTCGTTCGTACATTACTAACGTGTTGTAGACTTATCAATATGGCCTGCAATTTGCTGCCATCACAACAACAACAATGATCGCTTACACCGCGTTCACCATCACTACAACCGCGTGGCGAACGAAGTTCCGGAGACAGGCCAATGCAGCTGATAACCGCGGAGCAACTGTGGCCGTGGATTCGCTCATCAACTACGAGGCCGTCAAGTACTTCAATAACGAGAAATTCGAAGTGGCGCGGTATGACAAAGCCTTGAAAAGGTATGAAGATGCATCAATCAAGGTGACTACGTCTCTGGCATTCCTCAACTCTGGTCAAAACATGATATTCTCCTCTGCGCTGGCCGCAATGATGTACTTGGCTTGCAATGGAGTCGCGAACGGATCTATGAGCGTCGGTGACCTAGTCATGGTCAACCAGCTGGTCTTCCAACTCTCGGTCCCTCTCAATTTCTTGGGATCTGTCTACCGTGAGCTGCGCCAGTCCCTGCTGGACATGGAGACGCTGTTCAACCTGCAGAAAGTGAACGTCACCATCCAGGAACGACCCAACGCTAAGCCGCTGCAACTGCAGGGCGGCCAGATCCGCTTTGAGAACGTCACTTTTGGCTATCACCCAGAACGACCGATTCTGAAGAATGCCACCTTCACTATCCCCGCAGGACAGAAGTTCGCCATTGTCGGCCCTAGCGGCTGCGGCAAGTCTACAATCTTGCGTCTGCTATTCCGCTTCTATGATGTCCAGTCCGGCCGCATCTTGATCGATGGCCAGGATATCCGCGATGTGACCCTCGATAGCCTCCGCAAGACAATTGGAGTGGTACCACAGGACACACCACTGTTCAACGATACGATATCCCACAACATCCGCTATGGACGGATTGATGCATCGGACGAAGAAGTGCGCCGAGCTGCGGAGCGAGCTCACATCCACAAGCTCATTGAGCGTTTGCCTGATGGCTACCACACTGCAGTGGGTGAGCGTGGTATGATGATCTCCGGTGGTGAAAAGCAGCGGCTGGCAATTTCTCGGCTGATCCTGAAGGATCCGCAACTATTCTTCTTCGATGAGGCAGTAAGTGTTCATTTTCCCTTTTGCCCGCCAGCGGAGCGGTTAATCGAGGTAACTAACCACGCTCTTTTTAGACATCCGCCCTGAGACACCTACACAGAGCAGGCCCTCCTCCAGAATATCAACAGCATCCTCAAAGAGAAGAGCCGCACAAGCGTCTTTGTGGCTCATCGCCTACGCACGATTTCCGACAGCGATCAGATTCTGGTCTTGAAGGAGGGTCATGTGGCAGAGACGGGCTCGCACCGCGAGTTACTCGAGCGTGACGGCATTTATGCAGAGCTTTGGAATAGTAAGTCCATTTTTTTTCATTGCGGTTTGCATGTCTTGCTAACTCTACTTTAGCCCAGGAACAGTCGATGGACCAGGATGTTGAGCTGGAGGGGAGCCAGGATGGGGATGTTCAGCCCAAGGCGTGAAATCGAGAACCTGTAAAGAGAATCTGTAGAAAACCGTTCGACATATAAGTGTTAGACTACTTTTTATGTGTACCTAAGGCTTACCAGCACATACTATCCTGATATCAACAGCACCATATCTCCCTTCATGGTCGTTGTGGTAAATAATGAAACTTTGTACAAAGGATAAACTGTGAGAGATTTTCATCTATAGATCTCATGGTTCGCAACCCCGAGGGACATACTGAAGAAGATCCAGGGTTAAAAATATGAGAAATTATTAAAAAGGAAGCATTCGGGAACTACATTTTCACATGAATTTTACTATAAAGACCAGATCGAGTTTTAAGTGAGAGTGTTAACCCTCACTTGATACTTAGTCCGGGGTGTGTGTTGAGATATCCGATTCCTTTGGCATTTGTTTGCAGAATAAGCGACTGGAAGGCATATAAACGCCTTTCAAGACCTTTCCTTTCTCTCTCTCTCTCACATATAGCTCTCACTAGCTACCTATATATCTGTCTGTCATGCATTCTAACAAATGATTTCAGTCTTCTTTGCAAGTGAGGTTGAGGCCTTCTTGTTAGATCGTGTTAAACTCCGCGACGCTGTCACCCCTTCGACTACCAACGCTGAACCCAAAATCCGCCAAATCCGGTGGAAAGATCTTCCCTATAGCATGAAACGTGTCTATCTCCGCCGCAAGCTTCAGATTCACGATCACAGTCAATGTGGATGGTCGAGCCTGGTTCATAGGATACTTGACCTCCCTCATCAGAGAACCCACACTCTTATCAACCAGCTCATCGATGCGTACCTATATGGCGGATTCAGCGGCTATCGCAGACTGCTCGACCCTGACTTGTATGCAGCCTAAAAAAAACCAACTCGTCTCTGCTCGCCGCATCAAGGCAATCTATTGGCCACCCAAGAAATTGAAAACGACATCGAAGTATATACGTTTGCCAACGGGCAGTCAAACAAGTCGAACTAGGAAACCCGCAGCTTAGCTTCACCCATTCGCTCCAACTCTTTGCTCATTCTCTTTAAGTGGGAGCTTCAATCCAGTCACTTTTACCTTTTTTATCCTATCGACCTCTCTCATCACCAAGCTTACTCACTGCAACATAGTACCTAGGTACATGATGGAACATATCTTTCTACTCCCCACGGATGAGGAACTCCAGGTCCTCGAGCACAAGATCAATTATGCTTTTGTCAATCGCGCTCTCCTTAGGGAGGCTCTCCAACCTCCCAACGAATATAACGAAGATGACAACAAGGCCTTGCCTTAGTCGGCGACAAAGTCCTCGACTTGGTCATTGTGACCTCTGGCCGGGGTAGAAACAAGACACGAGGTAAGCACTTCGACCTAGTAGCTACTTAAGTTCACAAACTTATGGCTTCGGCTCTTACTAGGGGAAATCTCGGATATGATCCAGTATAAGGCTGGAAATGCTTATCTATCAAGGCAGGGATTCCGTCTCGGCCTTGATCAGGTTATTGTGAAAAATCCTTCCCAGACCTTCATTGGAAACAGGCTTATGGCCCCCACAATGGAGGCCATCGTCGGGGCTGTGTACACCGACAGCAATCAGCAGATCCCAGTATGTGCCGACGTTATGACGGCGTTGGGCACTTCGTGGTCTGAATGACATCCGATAGAAAGGCTGCAGAGGTTCTCTATCCGATTGGTGCTTTGTGTCGCACCAAGGTGGTGCACCCGCATCTATATATAGGTCATCTCTATCCCTTCGCCCCGAGTCTCATTTCACCAAGCTGCGTGTGACAGTGGGAGACGCCAAGTTGAACTCGGCCGGAGGAATCGACATTTCCGACGTGAGCCTCACGCTCGTAAACCTCCTCACGCACGGACTCCGCGATCGTGCGTTCGAAAAGGCGGCCTGAATCGCTGTCCAGAAAGTGTTGGGCGTGTACAGCAAGTTTCCCCTCGCGCCGAGTCCTCCCGAGGCTCTCGGAGGTATGGGTGGCGATGGTGCGGGCGGAGACCATGGTGCAGGTGGTGGTGACGGTGATGGTGGTGCTGCGGCCGGGGGTGATGGTGGCGCAGAATGTCTTCCAGAATGATGAAGATTTTTCAATTCCCCTCTTCCCCATATTCATGCGTACACCACATCTATCTCTGATTCCTCCGTAAAACAGTAACCATCTAGAGTTCATTTCCTAGTATGTTTTGCGGTCTTAGAATTCATCATCGACAAACGTTCATGTGCCAAGTGATGTTCAAGTACAGTGTGGTGGCTTGCGTTGGCTTGCATGCCACAGCACTATTCAATGAGTATTTCCCATGTCTGTAGTCGACCCCGCTTGCTCCCACGCCGGGGGGGTTCTGTACATTTCCGTGGTCTAGAATTGGATCCTTCAAGGACATACCGAGAGCCCCCGGATCTTCCATTGTGGGTCCCGATCGGGATCAGCATGCCTGAAAGATATAAAATAACACTCACAGCAACATGAATGATCCACTGACAATGCATACTCCGCTATACTACACTCTAGCTTAGAGAACTGCTTGCAAGTTGAACGGAATATGTGAACGTAGAATGAAGTCCAGTTTGCTAAGAGTATTGAAGCCTTTGTGACGAGCCAGGTCTACAAGTAAAGCAAAGAGAGATGCAGAGCAAGATTACTCCATTCGAAGTACTAAAGACGGAGAGAGAAGAAGACCTGGAGAGCTCTGGAGTGAGCTAGTCAAACCAAGATCTATGCAAACAGTGCAAAACCCAACCTTGCTCGGTAAGCGAGGCAAACAAAGAGAAAGCAAACAAACAAAGTAAACTAATCAAAAACAGACCTGGCTTGTGATATCACCAGATCGTAACAGCCTTCAAATGTCTGCGGTGTAACCACCTCCAAGAAATCGTTTCAACTCTTCGGGGAATTTGCTCTCTGAAGTGAAATAGAGATATCGTCGCGAAGTCTTGGCAATCGTCTCGTTTGGCGTATCGTCGACGAGGATGTCGACAAGAGTGTTAGCGGCGTAGAGAGGTTTACGTCCTCGCGCATGGGCATATCTCTCTTGCTGCTCCCCTCGAGAATTCTTGTACCTAACGCGGAAAGCTAGTCGGCTAGCAGGATCCGAGTGTAATGCATCAGTAGCGTAGCACTTTCCATGTCGCTGACCAGGTGGATTCACTTCGATTTTCACCCAAACCGTGCCATCTCCGACGTCCTCATCCTTCTTAAAACCGAGATGACAGTAGTTGACGTTGATGGACCGACTTTTGGTCTGGTCTGGATCCATTTGGTAGACATATTCTTTGTCACGGAATATTCCCACCTCCTGCCGCCAGACATGTCCTTTGAACTTGGGTTCTATCTCGCCTCGCCTTTGAAAGCTTTAGATCTAAAAGACCCAAATCAACGGCTCTTTTACAAAAGGGCTCCAGCTCCAGAATGTGACTATCCTCAAGCTCTGGATCTTGATCCGGATAGGGATCTGATGATGATAGAGACTTTAAGGCGCTTGGTCCTGAAGTTTTGTTAGAAACAATCTGGCGGACTTTTTCAATGGTGACGGCTGGTCCGGGATGCATAATTGCGTGTAGACTATCCATCTCTGGATTTTGGTCTCCCTCTAGGGGCTTCTCGGGGGAAGACTCCGTAGGGCTGTTGTGTATGATTCCTCTTCCTCGGTGACAGCGTCTAGGACGATCTTTTTGACTTCCCGAAATGCGTCCTTGTCAAACGGCTCATAACATCTCACTCGTTTCGCGTTCCACATTGCTCGAGTCTCTGGGTCCATTGGTCTCTTAAAGGATGGATGGGTCTTGTTTCGAGGTAGCGAATGGAGGATCATTAAAAGCCCTCGAGAGAGAGATCCGGCGAGTTTCTCAATCCGCTCTAACGCCTGCGTCGCCAAGCCTTTACGCTGGAGCCAGAGTAACACGGATGTGTCAACGGTCTTCAGCGTTAGCTTTTCCCGACCGAGCCTCTCGTCCCTCGCGTGGCGAAGGATGGTTCCAATAAGGCTAGTAGTCTCAAGAGAATAGGGACGAAGGTCTTCTTTCTGTAGGCCTAGTAAACTGATAGCGAATCGAATACCTTCCCCGATCTGAGTGCTTTCAGCTCCAATCTTAGACCAAATTTCACACGGAACAGGTGGACAACGGATTAAAATTCGCTTTGGGTTGTCCATCAGATACATCGGGTATTGAAAGCCCCGAAGTTCGAGGCTAAATCGCCGGAGGGAAGGTACTCGAATAGCCTTTTCCGCTCGTGGTCCACATAAGAAGATTATTCTTACTTGGCTGCGATCGATGAGCTGCTGGTGGCGAAGTCGTAGCTCATCTTGATTTGCATTTGGAGTCGCTACATCTTCAGCCAGAGGCAAAAACTTGCCAAAATTGTATGTCCAAAGCAGGATGTTGGAGTCTGTAAAGTTGCAGGCCTTGAGTGACCATGGAAGCTGAACAACAGGCTCCTCATCCTTTGGGCACTCTAGGAACGAGTCCTCCTCTGGGGAGACGGCAGCATAGTCGAGAATGAACCTGACCTTAGCCGATGTACTGCCAAAGAAGGGCATGGGATCCGTGATGCTAGAACAGTTGACGTTGTCTTGTTCGTATTGCATTGACGCCTTCAATTCCTTGAAGAGATTGTCGTCGCCTATCGCAGTCCGTAGACGGTCGTCGAAATCAGACCGAAACCTTGGGCGGGACGCCGTTAGGAGCTTCTGATTCAGCGCACGTTTCGCTGCAACTCGCCGTAACCGAAAGCAGTTGACCCACAGACCGATCTGCTCATCGGGAGTTTTTTGGGCCGGAATGATATAGTTCGATCGTGTAAAGTCAATCAAAGGGCCATCCTGGGCTAAAGGAGTCATGAGGTTCAGACCATAACTTGGTCGTTCGTAAAGGGTGAATTGATCCGTTCCCGGGGTCGGTAGAATACGGTCAAGGACACCATGATGAGTGGAGAATGCCTGGCAAAAGAGGGCTTCTAGGAGGTTCATCCTAATTTTCATCCAATCATAATCCTCGTGGTCCTCAACTTTCCAGAGTCGGATGAAATTGGCGGATCGACAGCCATTGCCCAGCCATATCATGAAATAGTGTAGAGAGTCGATTGATGCCTTAAGGATGCTTTGGGCGTGTCCGTTGATTACTCTTCGCAAGACTTCTACGCACTGTCCGACGTATAGCCGAAGCCATTCCCGGTCTCGACTATCAGTGATAAAGTCCAAGTATCCCATAGGGGTCGCCCAGGATTTGTCCTTATCTTGTTGGTGTTGAATGTCCCGGAGGATTACTGTCGTGATCTGTTGGCTTTGGAGGTCAAGGATTTCTGGCGTCACTAGACGAAGCAGTAGTTGCACTGAAGGCATGTCTGGGTCGTGAACCCTAGTGTGCCACATCTCTTACACACGCGCCTATCCTCGTAAATCGGCATCTTGAATGTCTTTTGAAGTCGTTCTGCGTTAGAGGGTTCATAGGCTGGTCTCCTTCAGGATGAAGGTTTAGAAAACGGGCGATGAAAACTCACACCTTGGTGTTTCTCCTATTCAGGTGATTTGATCACTGCTGGATGGGTCTTTGGCAGGAAAGCTTAGACTGGTAGAAGAGGTAGTTGGACTGGAAGAGGGGGTTGTACTGGTGGAAGAGGAGGTTGTACTGGTGGAAGAGGGAAAAGTCGACTAGTTCGGGAAGGAAGAAGGCATCTTACATCTACCTGTTATGGCCAACAATGTCTTACCTGGGTACCAGGCCGCGTACCTACTGTTGACATACGTGGGATGTCTTTGTCTCTTTGTGTGCAGACTGAGCCTTTGCTAGTTTGCTATTGCTTTGTTTCTTTGTTAGTACAGGCTTTATATACAGCCTGCTTTGCATAGATTTCGGAAATCACTATTGGCACAGCAGAAAACACTGCTGGCACAGCAGCTTAACACTCTTGGCAGTCAGTTTTCAATACGAGTGCTATTTTCTATGGTATTTCCCGATTTTCCCTTCATGCTAGTTTCCACTAGTAGTTCTCCAGTATCGTAGCCCTCAACACCTACATATCTACGTTACGTTTTATACCGTAGGTGAGCGTATAAGGGATATTGAAAATCCCAGTTAATTCCCATTAACACTAGCCTTTTGTTGGAGCAGTCACGTGATTAGTATCTGATCCGTCACGTGTCAGTCCGGTCCCAGGACTGTTATCCCGAAGGGTTTGCAGGGTTTGCATTACCCTGGCTGCCTCAGGCAGGTCACAGGAAGTGGACTGCCTGAGGCCATTACAGCCCAGGAAGCAGCCTGGGCGCACAGAAAGTAAAAAGGGGTTTTCATTGGCCCGGAAGCGAGGGTTTTTTTTATTATGTAATTAGACTACGTACCTAGGTATCCATATGGATATCTGCCAGCTAGAGCTATCCAATGAAAACCATGCGATCCTTACAGTATCTCAGGACTTCCAGTAGTTTAGTGCAGATAGCTTCCTTTCTCTCTTCCTTTTCCTCTCCAGAGTCCAATACAGTTCCTCTGTATCATTATTATTCCTGCGTAGCCTTCTATCTTGCTGACACTTTTTCATGCTGCAACATTAACTCTATTTAATGCAGATCTCAGGCATACACTCAGGCTCCTACCAAAGGAAGCCTAGTTTCCTTGGCTGTATGGAGTTTGATCATACTTCTGCTACCCTTAATATACAGCTCAGTGTCACACTGCATCAGCGTCTCGACATCTCAATTCAGCCTGCTTTCAGTCAGTTTTTGCTTCTTATTGTTGAAGCTCTCACTGCATCCTATTGATTCTTGTTGATTCTTCCTGATCTGTTATAATAGGGGTATACGAAAAAGAAGCGTATAAATAGGGGCTTTTTTCTATATATGAAGAAGATAGACAAATCAATTATTGCTTTTCATAGTATATTAGAATTTCCACATTCATAGTACTCTTGTTATGATACTATTTCTTATTTTGACATATATGCTGAATAGATTGCTAAGTCTATAATCAATAAGGAAAATGTCGTCCTGAAGGGTTTGTAGGGTCTATATCACCTTGGCTGCCTTAAAGTGGCCTAGGCGCACGAAAAAGTAGAGGTCCTATTAGCTAAGAAGCGAGGGTTTCCAACCTTGGAAGGTTATTTTGTAAAGATATACAGTCTGCAGGTGTAATGCCTGTTAACCGGGTAAGATATAGTGGCAGTGGGAGGGGATCAATATATTGTGTCTATATGCCAAGACTAATTCTTATCAGAATTCGGAGGCATCTGGGCTCAAAATCAGAGACAGGGGTCAGGTCACCTACATCCTATTTGACTCGAGAGAGATCACGTTTAACGCACTGAGGCAGCTAAATTTAAAAACCAGTCACATGAGGAGTGGATTTTTTTGACCAAGCAGAATCCAGGGACTCAGAATTCTCAGAATTCAAAGGCGGAATTTTTTGTACAGAACTCTTAACCTATTGTCCGTACTCCGTACTGCAAAATAATGAATCGAAAAAAAAAGAAAGCAGCCCGAACCAGGGATCGAACCTGGAACCTTACGATTACGTAATAGCTGTGATGGGTGTTAGTATTATAAACCATAATCGGGGGTTTTGGGAACTTACAAGTCGTAAGCGCTATCCAATTGCGCCACACGGGCAACTGGTTGGATGAGTTGTTCCGACAACAACTCTTAAACTTTAAACTCTTAATAGATTAAAGAGCCGCAGGATTTTCTATAGCCAAATTTCTTATGCCATATTATTATTGCTGATCCTCTGACTCTAGACGGACACGGAGTAGGGCTAGCTCGATAGTTCCAAGAACGTTACAGGCGTAATAATATTTGGGGATTCATAGTATACCTTTATCGGAAGAGACTTACCCTCTAAGACCTAGGCATGCTTGCTATCGGGTTTTTTTTCCTTTCAAATTTTAATAGGTGCTCTAGCTACGAAGGTGTATAGCGCTCAGGTCAAAACCCAAAATTGATGCCTGGGTGCCTGAACTTGGCCTGGCAGAATAATAAGAATACCTGAATTCCAAGGTTACCATTACAAAGCCCTTAATAAGCAAAGTACAACCCCGGGGCCCAAGGGGCCCGGGGCCTTCACCTGGGCACCTGGGCACACCTTAATTCTTAGGGAGGCAAGATGAAGCTTTCAATCCTATACAAACGCACGCATCTCTAGTTTTAAACGTGGTTTACAAGCCTCCATGTATGAAAGTGAGGCTTTTCCTCCCATACAAATGCATGCATCTCCAATTTTGGAGGTGGTTTACAAGCCTCCATGTACGGGGAAAAAAGCCTCACTTTCATACATGTAGAGAGAGAGCTAGTAAAGCATCTTTGAAAACTGGCGATGCAGAGATTTGTACAGGGAAAAGGCCTCATTTTCATACATGGCGGCTTGTAAGCCACCTCCAAAACTGGAGATGCAGGTATTTGTATGGGAGGAAAAGCCTCATTTTTACGGTGAATGGTACAATACACTGTAAATGGATGCCTAAAAGCGGTCTAAAATCCAGGCCAAATCCAGGCATTAAGGCACCAATCCCGGGTTTTGAACCCTGAGCGCTATACACCTTCGTACTCTAGCTAAACCTGGGATTTCTAACTAGTGGATATCTCACTAAATTGTATATCCGTAGTCATTATCTGGAAGTACTCTAACTACACTATGCCTACGACTTAGAAAACCTTTAGACTCTAGGCTTTAGGTTGTTACAATGGAGACCGTAGGCAGAGCTTTCTTCTGATCAAAGAGCTGGAATCCTCAGCGCTGAAGATTGGCCTGCACATTTACCTGATTTAAGGGTATAATCTATAGAACCTTTATTAAAAGAAGGTAATTAAATATTATTATCTATAAAATAATAATTAGATATAATATTAATATTTTCCGGTATAGCGTTAGGGAATAATATTAGTAGGTTAAGTTTATATAAAAAATCTAAAAATACGAGTGAACTAGTCACTATTTAGAATAAGTTAAGTAATTAAGAAAAAAAGTGATAGTATATATACACTCGGAAGGATTGTTAGATATAGATATCTTTTAACGACTTAAACTAAAAAACGGTATACCGGATAGATAGACTGCGGCAAATTGCGGATATTGGATATGAGTTGATATTCATATCCGCAAAATATCCGCATTACGTAAGTAATTTATAGTCTTGGCAGTATTAATTATGTTAATATTGGTAATTATTAACTAAACTGATGAAACTTTTGTATTTACTTAATTTTTTAGTAGTAATAGACTATAAATAATATATTTGCTTAATAAAAGTTATAAATTAATAAAGTTATTTTATGTAATTTATTTTTGATGTTCCCGGCTTAAATATGGCATTCTGACCTACTACAAAAATATATATCTTCACATTTAGTATCTAAAAATCTTCTATATCTCTATTAACCTAATATTTAATACTAATAAATGTTTCTCTTATATTAATAGGCTTTACATTTTAAAACGTAAAATTACCTAATATATTAAGGAGAATACAGATAAAGAACAAATTTTTAATACAAAAAATACCTTACATTGATACACTAGTGCGGATATCCACAAATTATCCGCAAGCCTCTTGCGGATAAAATTTTGCGGATATGCCGCAGTCTACGGATAGATGGCCAAGTATACTATATATATATCGTCCTGTATTTCGACCGAATCGAATAAGAGGTTGATATATGGTCATACACTCTATCTGCTTAAGGATAGTATCTCGAGTTTACTATCCGCTTAATAGGTTTTTATATAAGGAAGTTTTCCACATTGTCTGGCCGTGTAGATGGCGAAGAGACGTCCTCATCTGCAGACACCGACTTCGTCCACGGGTGGACCCGTGAGAGACCTACAAAGAGAGATCATGATGGAGAGGATGGGGATTATGGGAATTGATATGGACTTTGAGAATTAGGGAGAGAATTGGAATAGCTGTTGCACTGATTCTGGTACTATTGTTCGCCTCGTAGTGATGTAACTCGACGGATAACAGATTAATGCTCGAAACATGTATGTTTCAGTCATGAACCATTTCCCGGTCAAGGAAAGTCACAAGGTGATGATATAGGCACGTTCCAGTCCTTGGCTAACTGCGCTCGGTGAATTGCGTTGCACTTTCTCAATTTTATATAAGTCCCGGCATCCTCAAACTCCTCGAATCTTATCCCAGACATCTTCGAAACCCTCAAAGCTTGGAACGTGATTCACCTGCAGTTGATCCAAGACACCTTCGACAGAAGCCCCTTTTTCAACCAGCATCCTAGCAATCTTCAAATATTCTTCATGATCGTCTGCCCGGTGTTCATCATCTTGACCGTCCTTGTCGCAAGGATACCATGCCAGTGGATCTAACGCTATGTGAAGAGAGGTCGGTCCACGAATTCTTCCATCAGACCCTTTGAAGCATCCCGTGTTTGCATTGACATCCGCACCATGCTTCAAAAGAAGCTCAACCATGTCGATGTTACCCCGCATGACGGCCAAATGGAGAGGATGAGCGTTCCATTCTTCCCCATCAAGGTTGGAACCCGTATAGGATTCCTCGTGATACCGTGCTATAGAAGCGCAGACGTTAGCCCCTGCAGCAATTAGCCTCTCAGCTACTGCAACTTGATTCCATTCGGATGCGACATGCAGTGGACGCCATCCGCAGCTGTCAGCCCTTTCAATATCAACGTTGCATTCCAGCAAGAATGACACTGCCTCTGTCATCCCGCGAGCAGATGCGTGATAGAGAAGTGATGGGTGATATCCATAAAATGTGACACAAGAGTTGAAATCCTGCTCGAGTTTGAGAAGATGCAGAAACATGGTGTCGTTCTCATTCATCAAAGCGCCCCAAAGCATCGTGTTTTCGTACTCATTCCTTAGGCTTGATATCTCCTGACAAATTTCTGCGTCTTGGAGGGAGGCTCTAGCCTCGACAGAGCGATAGGGATGGTGATCGGAAGTATGTTGCACCATATTCATCGGCAGAAGTTGCTCTACTGTATCATGATAACGTGGCCAGTGCAGTCTATCCCCATAACCCGAGTCATACAGCGAGAATGCCGCAGAATGGATGGGAAAGAAGCCATCTGCATCCGGTATATCTGCATGAGCACCATGGGAGATCAAGCTGGTGACCAAATCGACGTTCCCTCTATCTGCGGCGATGTGCAACAATGTCTGGTCATTTGCGTACTTGTAGTCTAGCTTCTCGGCGCGTTTCAATGCCAGGCATATGCAGTCGAAAACCTCTTTGGTGCTCAGCTGGCCCCGATACTCCAAATGCTGGGTCCAATGCCCCGTTTTTGGCGAGGTTGAGGCATGCGCTATTAGGCAACACAGTGAGTCCGTATTGTTGGCTGCCGCAGCCGCCAAGATTGGATCAAGTCTATTCCCAAAAGAATAGAAGCAATCAGCACCAAATTCCAATAGAGTGGCCGTAACGAGAGCAATCGGAATCTTCTCAGCTACCAGAATAAGAGGAGTTGTATTTGCCTCCGAGTCATAAAAGTTAACGTCTGCCCCGCCGACACCAAACTAGTCAGAATTCGCTGGGAGGCCTGCGCAATCTCGTGCGGAAGTTCTCTGTTTTGAAGTCGTGCCTTTGCTCTTGCCTGCTTAAAGAAGTACTTAAATTTAGGAAGAATAACTTTCCTCCTAGGCGAAGAAAGCAAAGAAGAAGGTTCGGCGAAAAGTCGGTCGTCAATGCTGTTCACTAATTCCAAAACAGAATCATCACCTGGTGACACCCCACTCCCAATAAGGGTCTCCACGATCTGGCATTCAAGGTCCCGGACTGCATCCATCAGAGTAGGTCGAAAACTTGGGCTAGTGGGGGGCTGCGCGCCCAAGGCCATCAAGAGACGAGCTATACTCCAAGCTGTCCGCCTCAATGCACTAGCCAATGGCGTGTATAATTGAATGTCTTCTTCGTCTACTTTGTATGAAGACCCCCAAATAGTATATTGGCACGTTTGCTGGGACAGTAATGAGGTGACGGCCTCTTCTGATAACCCTTGGAGCAGTAGACGAAGAGCTTCTCCCACCTCTTCCACATCCCAGCTCGGGTCCACGGATTCCATCATGGTATGGATTGGAGTCCGCCCGCTGCTGTCGACAGTATCGATCTTAGACCCAGCTGCCATCAGCAGTTCGATGCATCCCACATTGCGACGCATTGCTGCCATGTGCAATCCAGTCTTTCCTTCTTCATCCTGGAACCCGAGGTCGGCCCCCTTTGAAAGTAACATGCGAGCCATTTCAGTTGCCGAGTTCCTATTTTCCGGCTCCTCGTTGTCACCACCAGCAAGGAAAACGGCTAAAGTCAGGCAATTCCGCCATCCACTTTCGTTGAGAATCCACATATACGACAACTGGTTGACATCTGCACCACCTTCAATCACAGCCTGTGCTGTCTCGACAAATCCGTTATACACAGCGATGGCCAGGGCTGTCCGTTGACGCCCATCTAGGATATCAGGCTGTGCCCCTTTAGATAACAAAAGCAATGCGAGTCGTGGATCTTGTTGACCAGCAGCTGCATGCAAAGGTGTTTTGCCGTAATACAAACTATCCACCTGAGCATGGTCACTGTCCAGGATTACTTTCGCGGTTTCCAAGTTCCCGAGGTCGATAGCAGTGTGTAATGCTGACTCGTTCAATTCAGTCGGTAGTCCTTCGGCACCCTTTTCCAGCAGGACTTGTACAAAACGCGGGTCTCTCTGGTGCGCGGCGACGTTCAACAGCGATCCCTTTTCGGAAACGTAATTCACGTCTGCACCAAGTTCGATGAACAGTTTAGCCGCCTGGAAATCCGCATCCTGGATGGCGGAGACAAGTAGAATTGACTTCCACGTTGATGGATCTTCCTTTGTCAATTCATTCTTGAAGTAACTGCTCGGGTCCTCCTGGACGTATGTGTCTCCGGCAATCAACTGCACCGCGCGGCCATGATATCCGCTTTTTTGTGACTTGATCGTGTTTCGCCACGTGCACTGAGCAACAGGAACTTTGAAGCTCTCCCTGGACCAGAACCTCCGGAAATCCTTCTCTTCGGTGGAACCAGTTTCTTCAAAGTGAGCCACTAGCAAGTCGAATATCAAAGCATTCTTGCTCTCGGCTGCTATTTGCATCGGGGAAATGCTCTCTGGTGTATTCAATTGTCTCACATCATCGACGCTGAGGGTCCGAATATCAGCCTTGGTAACGCGCGACAACTGCGTTTGATGATGCTGCACAAGCTCCAACACCACCTCGGTTTGACCGCGAGATATAGCCCAGTGTAATGCTGTCCAACCATATTTGCTACGCTTCGTGTATTTTGCGTGCGCAGATAGTAGGAGACGGACAATGTCCAAGCTTCCAGTGAATGACGCCCAGAAAAGAGGGGTCCAATCTTGATCATCTGTAGCATCGATATCCGCTCCACTTGTCACGAGGATTTCGGTCGAGGAAAAATGACCGTTTGCGCAAGAGTAGTGGAGAGGTGTCCAGCCATGAGTATCTGCTAGAGATGTACTGAGTCCTGATTCGACCAGAGACCTGATGGCTCCCGTAAGATTCCAATAAGCTGCAACATGCAATGCGGTCTGATTTTGAGGGATTGAATCAAAAAGAGAGTCTAGGAGATCGGGTTCGAGCTCATTGCGGAAGTGTAATGCTTGAACGGCTGCATTCAGGAGTCTCTCGTTGGAAATGAAAAACTGGACCAGTGAGCTTAGATCTTCTTCCACATTTTCTATTTCATTGAGATGCTGAGCCCAATGCCGTGAGGCATAATCCAGAAACAGCATTTCATGGAAGCGGCGAGACATCTGCACACGACTTGTGCATGGCCCTTCCCTGAACGGACTGAGACACATATAGCGCAGGCATGTCTCTGCGATGTCGGTCTCCATGTCATGCGGTAATAGCACCGTGGATCCGAAAAAGCCGTAAGCAGTCGCATGGACCATTGCAACGGTCTTGTCATCGTGTAGCACCACTAGACCAACACACGATCGAAGGAGAAGATCAGGGCTGACGAAATTATCCTCTTCAATATAATCCTCGTCACTTTCGACAGCAAAAGCATGAATTACTTCATCAATTTTCAGACGTCTCTTCGCAAAGACAACCCATCCAATAAATCGCCGAGCAAGTTCCCTCCTTGCCATTGGTTGCGTATCGATTCGCTGTAGAGTTGATTGATACACTTGGTCCAACCCCGTCGACTTTTTTTCGAGAGCCTTTTGCATATGGCGGACAGTGGTGAGATCCAAGATCTCATCCAGAATAAGCTTGGTATGTAAAAACCTAGTATCTGGTCAGTGCTGTACCAATGTACCAGTGAGAGTTCGTACATATTCCCCGATTTTTCTGTGATTTTTCCAATCAGCTTCTGTGCCCCCCGAGGAAGCTCGTTCTCTTTGAAACGGGAGTCGATGTAGATCTTCAAATCTTCAAATTGCGAACATATCTCCATCTTGGTTGCAGAATCCATAGCCTTCCTGATGTGGCCAAGGTCTCGGCTCGTTACCATTACTCTGCATCCATTTTCGACAAATAAAGACAGGTAAGCGAGCAAACCATCTGCTCCAGGCACCTCATCTAGCCCGTCAACTAGAAGATAGGTCGACTTCAGCTCACAGGCCGCTGCAAATGATTCAGCGAGTCCTGCAGGCTCACGCTGCTTCATTGGGTCCATGAAGAGACGTTTCATTGCGAGAAGCACTCTTTCATCTCCTTGCTCAATTACCTGTCGGATCATGCATTGCAGGATTGCTGTGAGACTTTGTTGTTCCCGGGATGAGAACTGACAGAATGCATATACCACGGAGCTTGTAGTCTCTGATCTCTTATCCGATAGGTGCCCAATAGTCATGGAGCTGGCTGCCTGCGTTAGACATTGCAAAGCCATGAGTGGGAGGTTTCGAGTAGCACGTACGAAAGTAGCGACTTGCCCACACCAGCTATTATCGGTTAGTAAATCCTTGAGCAGTTACAAGTAATCCTCAGAAGGAATTGTTTCGTACGGGCTCCGTAGCACCAGAGCAGTGACGGGGCTCCGGTGCGCCAGTTCTCCAAGTTTTGAGAACTCAAAAACCATTTCCCAGTCCCAGGACAAGCATTTGGTCTGGAGCGTAAAAGGTTATCTGATGCCGGAAAAAGCGAGTAAAGATGCTGCCTAATTTGCTCTAAAGTTTGAATTAGAGCTAGTTATTGTGAGGACTCATGCCATTTGAAGGACTACCTTGGTCGATCGTTGCGACCTTCTTGAAGGTAGCACTGGCAACGGACCTGCTGCAGGTTAGTCCTGCTTTCCAAGTGGTTGTAGAGATGAGATGGGTCTTCGAACATGATATTTGTTGAAAGAAAATCGGCAAAAAGAGACCGGTAGCGATGCAAGAGATCAATATATTTTTTGACCTCTTTTTCTTGAAACGGCCATACGAGACGGCGTAGCCGTTTGTCGAGATCGAGGTGAAGGACCGACAAGTGGTGGCGGCATTCTTGTAGAGCTTCTTCATTGAGCGAGGATGGACATAAGGGCAATTCTAAACCGGTAGATTCTGCCTCTTGTATAGCCTTTTCCACACGAAAAAGCACATCTGTGAGCGCTGAGACCTCCTGGAGATAGAGCTTTTGCGTTTTGGGGGCAGATTTGATGTCTGACACGTAGCTGTAGCTGAGCTTGGTAATTTGTCCTGCAATCTGGACAAGGCCAGCAATACTGGCGACTAGCCCCACTACCTCTGCCATAGTCTCTTTTCTTCTTTAGATGGGGTTGGAAAGGCCGTGAAGAAATAGTGAAGAATGCGATGTTGTTTGCGATGTTTCAGGTGCGGGGCGTCTCGAGCAGAATGGGGCCCAATCAAGCATAGTGCGGGGTATGACAGTCATCAGGGCCACCTGAGGCTTTCTCTGCCAACGTCTTGTCCCCTTCCGTTTCCATATATAGCTATGGAGGTGTTTAAGGTACCGTCTCCAGGGATTGTTCAAGGGCCCCAAAGTCGGGACTTGGCTAATGAGACTGATATCCAGGAACTAATATCAAGAACCTTGGAAGTTACTGTGGCATTGATTTGCCCCGTCCTTTTATCTGCTATATAGGTATAGGTACATATTATATGACTTAAAACCTTGGAAGTATCGAAGGCCCCTCGGAGTTTAGAATTTGTCACGGTAGGTAAAGATCTCCATATATTAACCTTAACCTAGCTAAATATAAATATAGGCTTGCTCCTATATCGCAATCTATCGGGCTTCGGGGCTTGGATGGCGCAGCACAGCAGAGTAAGCCAATTAAGCATCTTCTTACTATTAGTACAAGGGTCCGAAGACCGAGCCGCTCCGGACCTTGATCCTTTATTTAAAGGTGTTGAAGGCTACGATACTGAAGCAGATACACCAGCAGATACTAGCATCGGGGAAAATAAGGCCAGAAGAAACTGATAATAGGCTGCATATAAAACCTACATGAACAAAGAGAATGGCAAACTAAGGAAAGAGTCTTGCGGAAGCTCAGAGTGACATCACAACGTCGATTCGGTGAACTCTGTATAGTGGGATATATTTTCTCCTATGATCTCTGAGTGCGTACTACGTCTTACAGACCATTTTCCCGGAATTGACTCAATCTGCTCCGTCTGTCACGTTCTCGTAATCGGTTGTCACAAAACATACATTATATAGTAACATACAGCGTTCAAACTACGCCAGCCAAATGCAGGTAACGCGTGCAGGAACAGCTAGTATTCCCACGTACCAGTCAAAAATTCCATAAACTATAGTGGAATCGACCAGGACAAGGAACAAGCTAGTCGGTGGCCGTGATTCATGATATCATTGTGGCTGTCAAAAGGGTTGTATCAATCCATAAACTCTGTATGCCACAGGGCCGATAAAGCCGCCCGGGACAGTCCCTCACGTTCACGAGGATGGAAAGAACCAGATTCTCTTAGGGTAATATGTTATAGCCGCAGTGGAAATTCAGGGCGGGGTCACTCTGAACGAATAGAATTCACAACCATCTTCACTTTATCATCGATGGTCAACGAGAGAAGGTCAGGGCGACTGTAGTGGCCACACGCATCCGCAAAGCACCGTGACGCTATTATCATGGACTTGTCAAGGTCGGCGTACACAAGTCCTTCCTCCGTCGGCGGGAGATCTTCGGTCAACTTAAGGCCGTCTGGTCCAAATACAGCGCTATTGCCACCCCGGGACTTCCAAAGAGCAAGGGACCACCTTGCATGAGATCAATCCCTTTCTGACTGAGCACTGTGGTTGTATGGAGGACAAACGTTTGCGATTCCATTGCGTAAGTCTGTGCCATGGTGCGGCATCCTAGGCCCAGATGTAAGCTTTTGTTGTGTCGTCAAAGCGCAGATGAGTTGAAGCAACTAACCCTCTTGAGTCAATGACCACAGTTCTTCACCACTATGCGGGAAGATGGCAGGCCAGGCAGCAATATGGAACTCCTCCCTTTGGCTGAAGGTATTAAACTTCAACAGCGGTTGCAGGTGCTCCCAACAGGCGAGACTTCCCACTCTTCCGATGTGAGTATTCGCGACATTTTTCAAGCTGTCTCCATTACCATCACCAAAGGTGGTACGCTCTACATGGGTAGGCTTGACCTTGCGGCGCGTAAAGGCGATCTCTCCTCAGCAGTAATGAGGGACTGGCTGATGTACAGCGAGTGATTGTCATTCTCCGAGAAGCCCAGACACACCGCGATACCATGCTCTCGGGCACAGTTTTGTATACATTTCATCTCAGGAGAATCGACGCGGAGAGAATTCTCGATGTATCGAACCGACAACGTGAGATCTACCGGGCGACTCCTGGAAAGAAAAATTCAGTCGGCAGCCTGTATCCCCCAGTGTCCACGGTGAACTTACCAGATCCAAGTGGGATACCCGGGAATAAAAACCTCGGGGAAAAGAAATCAGCTGGGCACCTTTCTGAGCCGCCTGCGCAATATATTTGCATGTTTTGTTCACCGTACCCTGGAGGTCAAGCCATTCAGGTTCAAGCTGGGTGACAGCAACTCGGACCACGCTTTTCTTCGTTTCTTCAGTAGTCATTTTTCGCAACCACGAAGTTTAGGTTTCTCGCGGGAGTCCGGAATAGACCCTTCTTTACCCCTGACGTCCTACTTATAAGTCCGAGGTTGGCCGTCGAGTCACTCAGTGCGGTTCATTCAGTCTCCGCGTCAGGCTTACCCGGAATGATTGAGGGGCTTGATAGTAGTAGCCGAGCTGAGGTAAGAATAGACGATGATTTGCCAGAATATCAAGGGGACACAAGTCTGAGGGCGGCGGAATTCCGTACTATGATGCCTGTGTTCTTCCTGTAAACATATCTATTTTGAGAAAAAGGTCATGCAATCCGAAATTGGACGATCTGCCGAGGACCCCGGACCAACGTTTCTGTCTTTCAGAGGTATCCATCCAATGGATTGGCGTGTTCGGAGGTGTACTCCACTGATGACCCTCCTTGGATTTCTTGGCGGAATATGCTTCTACCTTGGGGTAGATCAAGTTCGGGATTTAGGTCTGTCTGTCCGTCTTGTTTCTGGAGCATAACCAGACGTACTTGATTATCTATGTTGTAGTCAGGGAATTTCGCCTAGCAGCTAGGAGTAACCTTCCAAGTTTGGAAACTAATAGTAATTACTAATAGTGTGGGAGTTACTAGTAAAAAGCTCCTAGCAAAAGGCAAGGCGTAATCTATCGGTTACCTGACAGCCTCTGTGTAACTCGAATGTATTATGCGCACTATCTTTATATATACTAAAGAAGAATACGAATAGGAGATACCGGGTTACAGCTCGGGGATACCCAAAAAAAAAGAGTTCCGACCTGCCTGTACCCGGAACCACGCTAAGCCTTACTAGGTTATTTTAAAAACAACCCCTGCCTAGCCGCGTCGCGGTCCATACCGTATTGCCTTCATGGTCCAATGAGTCATTGTAAAATACTGTAAACCTCCATAGCGGGGAAGATATGGCGAGCTTGATTGACGCCCATACCCTTTCCTTTCTTTATTATCTTCCACAGCCTTTACATTTATCTACGTACCTTTACGTGAGAAAGGCTGTGTGTGCTATTGCTGCAGAAGACTGACACCGGTAGGCACACATGGTTCTTAGGTTTTCCTGTGGCTCTTGCTCTCTCCTGTCTCTTCTACTACCTAGAGTCTGGCCTCAAATACTACCACCCACCCAAGCTAACGCCGACGTCTAGGGTTTTCACTATACGCTCCCTTACTGCCGTTACCCGCATTTGCCCTATAGGCTCATACTTGGGTTTACCGCAATCTCGCTCTCCGATATTCAACCACACGAATGATCGAGCTTCGAAATATTGGTCCCGACGAATGGGAGATATGGAAAGATCAAAGACTAGCTGCGCTTAGAAACGCACCCTATGCGTTCTCATCAAAACTCACTGAATGGGAAAATGTGCCTGAGCAACGGTGGCGCGACCGGCTTAGCATACGTGGCGGCTACCAAGTGGTCGCTTCTCTCCAAGGCACGATAGTGGGCATGGCCGGGGGGCTTCTACTTAACGAGCCTGAGGTTGCAGAGCTTGTATCTATGTGGGTAGCTCCCGCTGCACGAGGTCGTGGTGTCGGGGACGCACTAGTGGCTGCTGTTGAGGACTGGGCCTACGGTATTGGTGCCACCATTCTTAAACTATCTGTGTTAGAGAATAATTACCCAGCTCGTAAGCTATACTCCCGGAATGGGTTTGTCGACGTTGAGCTTGAAAGCGGTGATATGGAGATTGGCTGTGAGAGGGTTATGTTAAAGAAAAAGCCATAGGTTTAGCCTAGAGTCTGTCTGACATCATGTGAGGACGTGATCAATATGATAAAGGTTAAGGTATATAGTTCAAAAAAGAAAAAAAAAAGAAAAGAAAACCCAACATTGCTTACATGTCGCAGGCATCGCCTGAAAAGTCGTAGCTTGAGCAAATCTCCTCAAAGTACAACGAGGGTTAGCGAGCTGATTCTAGTTTCTAATAGATTCTAGTTTCCTAGGTTTATTTTAGACTCGGGTTGGGCGCTAACACCTATTTCCCCTCCCATACACTAATGATGTCATCCACGTCATAGTATAGGATCGAAGTATATATAGCCAAGATATTTCTGGGCACTGAACTAGCCACAGATTCATTCTGCGAACCCAACTACAATGTCTTTCACCCATAAAGAACCCGAAGTTCTGCCAGGAAACACCGCGCCACAAGTACCTCAGCAAGATCGCACGTCCCAGAGTCTTTCCCAGCGTGTCTCCCAGCCTGAGAACTCCGAGAATAAGGACTATGCAGTGAATTCAGGGAGTGCCGAGAACCAAGAGAATCCTGAGAAGACCGTGGACCAAGGCCGTCGCGGCACTGCTGCGATCATGGAGGACCACCACGTCAGCAAAGAAGCACTGAAGGGTCCTCAAGGTCAACCGCCGCACACGGCAGAAGAATTCAAGAATGAAAGGGAGACTGGCAAAGCCGCCGACGGATCGTACTCTGGTAAGTTTTAACTAAGATAATTTGTCCGCTTTGGACAACGCTAATAAGACTACAGGTGATTCGACTGAAGCTAAGGGCAAGCAAGGTACCATGGAGAAGATAAAGGAGAGGCTTGCGCACCCGTTACATGGCAAGAAATCTGGGTAGATTTGGTTCACATTGTATGCGATCATCGGATTAGGAAAGGGAGGGGTGGTGACTCCGATAGGAGGCTGACGATGTTGAAACATATATATCTCGAGTTATTGTCATGACGCTTGCGGTGGAAATATAGTGTATTATACCAACTAAACTTTCTAAATAATCGGTATATCCCCACTATATTGACGTTATGGTTCACAATATACATAGAAAAGCTCACTAAAACCAGCGAAGTGCTATAAAGTAAGCGATAAATCGAGATAAAAGCTTGAGAGCCTTGGAAGTTACTCTGACATTGATTTGCCCGGTCTTTTTATCTGATACATATGTATAGGTACATATTATATGACTTAAAACCTTCGAAGTATCGAAGGCCCCTCGGGGCCCGCGGGCCCCGAGGATGCATGCAATTAGCTTACAATTTGTCACAGTAGGTAAAGATCTCCATATATTAACCTTGATCTAGCTAAAGATAAATATAGGCTAGCTCCTATCTCGCAATCTATCGGGCTTCGGGGCTTGGATGGCGCAGCACAGCAGAGTAAGCCAGCTAAGCATCTTCTTACTATTAGTACAAGAGTCCGGAGACCGAGTCGCTCCGGACCTTCATCCTTTATTCAAAGGCCAACACCGAATTTCTTCCTCTTCCCTCATATTTATCGCCCATAATGAATCATAATGAAGTCCGAGTCTCCGAGGCTAAGACTTGCAAGTCCTGCGACCAATGCAGGAGCCGGAAAGTCCGCTGCATCAGTACGTTATCTTTAACTCACTATCCTTTTCTTGAATGACGTCCAAGGTGTAATTGTCTCTATCCCTTAGTGCTTCCCGGACAATATTCACGATGTGCACACTGCATTGTAAGATGGTGATCATTCTAACATCCACATCGGCCATTTCTAATATTGCAATCCGTGGCGTGTCTATCTAGAAGCGGAATGAGACCTGCCATTTCACCCAGACCAAGCGTAAACCAAGGACAAGTGTCTCTGAAAGCAGCCGTATGTATTCGCCTGAAATCTCATTTATCTCTGTTTATGTCTAAATCCTAAAAAAAAATTTTGCTAGACCCCCCCAAATGAGAAGATCCGTGTTCGACCCATCGTTTCACCGGTATTTCTGGACCAGATGTTGGAAAATCACGGTAGTAGTGGGATACTTCGGGATAGCTTTGCCTTGCTGAGGGTCAGTCACGAAACTCCTGATTATTTTCAAGATGATCTTAACCTAAGTACCTTACCTAGGCACCCGAACATGACGGTATGATACACTTCTCCTTGTATCACAACGCCTGACAATTCTATTCAAGTGACTAGTTCCAGCCTTGCCTTTTTCTCCGAGCCTCGAATCCACTCCTTGTCACAACGATTAGGGAATGACCGGCTCAATGAGCTGGTCGAGACCATCGAATCTGTCATCCGATCACGGCTTCTCGCCCAGGGCCCGTCCTCTATATCGCTCATCACTTTCAGAAAGCCGCCTGACATTGAGCAAGTCCCGCTAGATGAGGTCAAGTTATATGTCGATTGTGAGTTGATTTCGCATTTCATTTCATTTGGTGCCTTGTTGACAAACTGGTATTTTGAATATATAGCTTACTTCCAGCAACTGCACCCGATTTACCCCTTCCTCGATCGCAAGGAGTTTGAGGAAAAGGTATTCGGGCCCAACCGGTCTGAAATCCTGAGTTCCAGCTGTGCATTTTCAGCTTTGTATCACACTGTCCTGGCTCTGGGATGCCAGTATCATGAAGGCGGAACGTTTGATCCAGGGAATGGCAGAGTGTGGAAGCTTTTCCAGGTGTCTTTGGGTCTTGTGTCGGATATGTTAATACCGAGGGAAGCCTTGATGAGTCTTCAAGTATGTTATTTATGGCGATGAGTTTTGGATTTGACTAACAAGAACTAGGCACTGGTTGCCATGGTATGTGGGCGATAACCATAACCTTAGATTGCAGACCGACGTGAAGGCGCTAATCCGTTGAGTGGTAACGTTCAGTCTATATTCGCCATGAATACCTGCTGTCTTCAAATCGAAGAAGTCTTGCTCATGGAGGCCGCCCGAATGGCCCAAGGCCTCGGATACCACCGAGCACTGGGCAACGGGGACCAGCGACATAAATCCACCTGCCACAGGACTTTCTGGGTAATATACTGCATGGAGAAACATATGTGTTTCCAGTGCCAAAAAGGCTCGGTAAGTGACTCGAACTTTATAACGTCTTTCTTCTCTCCTGGCCTTGACATGGCCCAGACTGGCATTGACATTAAAGCAGATGATCCCAGACCACGATATCGGGTGTCCCATCCCCGACGTCCCGGAATCCGTCTTTGGAGAGTACAACTCCTTTTTGTCGGCCATCGGCTTCGGGCGAATTCTCTCGCAGGCATATACGTCTCTCTTCTCGGTGAGTGCCGCAATCCAGACCACCCAAGCGTACCACATCGCGATCGAGGAGATTGAGACTCGGTTGGAACGATGGCGAACGGCAGTGCCGATGGAATTGCGACCCGGTATGCTGTGTCATGAATCGAATATGCCTTCTTCATCCTTCCGGGAACCGAGCTTCAAGATGATCGTACTCCAGACCAACTTCTCCTATTACGGGTTGATCATCGCGCTGGCGAGACTCAAAATGCAAATAGGTCGACAAGACCAGCCCCAAAAACAGGAAGAGACCAAGCGACTGTTGATGGATACAGCAAGAGCTGTGGTGGAAGGAAGCAAGAATGTCGACATAGCTGCCCACACGCCGATTTTGTAAGCAGCACCTCTCATTTGGATAGAAGCAGACAGATAATTTTGACGTGTTACAACACAAACTGACCTCTGGGATAGTATTCTAGCTGTTTTACCTCTCGCGGCATTATTCATCCTGTTTGACTTCGTCATCCACAATCCAACGCATCCGGAAACGCGGAACAACCTGTCACTGTTGGACGTAGCAGCCGGTCACTTCAGTTTGTTGGATTACAAGTCTGGAGGGATCGTCCCCGCGTCACTTTTAACTGAATTTGCACATATCGCGCGGCAGTACGTCAAAGACTTTGACAGCCAACAGCAGCAGCAGCAGCAGCCCGGTGAACTGGGCTCGTCGATTGCCGGGTCCATATTGGCTGACACCGAGGTATACTACTGTTTAGAATTTATAATGAGCACCTTGTCTAACCTTGACTAGGTTTCCACGCCATTGAATCAGACGAACAGCAATGGTAGTAACAATATCGAATTGCAGTATAACATGATGGGGCCCTGGGAGGCCAGGGACTATCTGTACTATCCAGTAACACCGGAGACACCCGTGCAAGGCTTACCTGAGAACCCGATGGCATCGTTTAATATCCAGAGCTTGTTTGGGTTTGTGGTTCCGGATCTTGGACAAGATTAGTAGATAAAACCTACGAAGATGGATTCTGCAGCGGTTTATATTCAACAACGACGTATGTAGCTAAAAAATCCACCTGAAATGTCATATTACAAAAAGATGCAAAAAATTGCTAACATCCAATTTAGAACACAGAAAAACAGGACAAAAAGCAATGGCCATCTAGAAAATCTCCGTAACATATCGCTCCTCAGACAACGTCCCCAGCATAGTCTCCAACACGGCCTTGACCCCCCTGGCCATATCCCCAAACCACAGACATAGAATTTCGCATGTTGAGCCCACAGATCCTGGATAGCCTGAGTTTCTGCCTCCAACCGGTGTTGCACATACCGACATCCCTTGGCCAGGTAGTGGTCTGGAGCGCGACTGTACGCCCTCCGGACCTCGACGACGCCCGCGGATTCGAACTCGGACAACTCCTCGTGGTAAAGATCATCCGCATGGGAACTACGACAGCCGAAAAATAACAGCGCCTTTGCGAGTGGTTTGCCCTGTTCCAACCAGGCCATGCGTTCCTGAATAAAGCTGCGGAAGGGGGCAAGGCCGCTTCCCGCGCAGACCATGATAATTGGCTTGCTGGAATGGTCCATCGGGAGATGGAAAGCGTCTTTAGCCGGTCTGGGAGATATGTAGAGAATGGACCCTGATGTTAGCGAGGCTAGATAGTTCGATCCAACGCCCAGATACCGGCCATTTCCGTTCCATGCTGGCTCGTTGACAACGGAGAAGGTGAGAGAGCCATGCGAGGGTTTGAAGGAGGGGGCCATGGAAAGGGAGTACGTGCGGACGCGCAATGGGGGAAGCATAGGGATAAATGTAGAGAGAGGGAGTGCGATGGAGGGGAATTGTTCGAGGAGATCCAAGACTGAGACTCGCTTATTTTTTATGAGTGAGTCGTAGGAATGCTGGAAACGGAGGAGCTCTTGTTTGTCCACATCCGACGGTGCGGACGAGACGAGTGCTTTGAGATTCTGGAGTTTTCTTCAGTTAGCCAAGTGCTTTAGGTTTCGTGTCAGGTTGGTAAGTTTTTTATGGACGTACATTCCGCGTTGCCGGTTGGGACAGCTCTAGATACGAGCTGAACAGGTCGCCCGCCGACACAGGTGTGGCATGGGGAAGGCCGAGCGCGTTGAACGACTTGATCGTGATGCTGTGATTCGGTGCAAGATGGAATCTAGCCAGGACTCTTGAGACCGTGCTGGGCGGATTAACCGGGAGGATATTGAGGTGATCGCCAGGGTGCAGGGTGGTTTCGCCCGGGATATGAAATTCAAGGTGTCGCTTCTCCGGGACACCGGGGCTGGTTGAGAATCCGGACGGCAGTCACCTTGGCCTCGACGAGGTCCTGGTGCAAGCCCACTCGTGTGGGCTTGCTGAGGTGGATTTGGAGCTGGTGTGGGTCGAGTGGTTCGATGTCGCCACTATTAGATGGGAGGAAAGTCTCGCGGAGGGCAGGCAACAGGCTGGTTTCTTCCCACGCTTCGAGATCTGAGAAAAGATCGGTGACGGCGGCATTGCCTGCGCCTCGTGTCGCAAGACGCTTGGCTCCGGCCTTGTGCATCAGGTGGTCGATCAAGATCGGGACGCGATAGAATGTTTTGGTCCAGTCTTGGTGGCCGCAGCCAAAGACTGCGTAGGAGACACCTTGAAGAGACGGAACATTGTCACTTTCCAGCCAGGCAACAAACTTCCTTGCATCGTCCGTGGGCTGCCCGTCGTAGGTGGTTGTTACAATGATCACCGGCTGATCTCTCGGTAGGTTGTCGACGGCACTGTCGAGTGGGGCAAGCTTCTGGTTGGTAAAGCCGCGGGCCATCATGGTTGACGCCAGCCGGTGGGCGAGAGCTTTGCATGTTCCGCTGTTGGAGCCGTAGAAGAAGGAAACCGGCCCCCCTGTCGCTGCCTGCTGCTCGTTCCCGTTCCCGGCAGGATGAGTTGACGATACCAGGCTCGCAGCAGCGCCCTCCGACATCCTCCGCTGGGATAGCCCCGTAGCACTCTGGCCGTGACGCAATGTGGCTCGGACCCGGAAGCCATCCGGCTTGATAGTGAGAGTCTCTTTGATGTGCAGTTTATATGACGGGTCATCTGCCACCAAGTCAAACGTTTGAAGGACCAAGGCAACCACCAGTTGGGCTTCCTGCCAGGCAAAAGCCCTTCCAATGCAGCCCCGTTGACCGTTGCCAAAGGGCTTCCACGAGTTTGGTGGGAGCTTGGAGAAGTTCTCTTCCAGCATGCGCTCCGGGCGGAACTCCCCTGCGTCGGGCCCAAAGACGGCCTGGTCTCGCTGACAGACAGGAAGCAGCACATTGATGGACTGTGTGGGAGTGATCGTCCATTTGCCGCCCAGCAGCTCCGTCTTCTTCGGGTTGACACTGAAGCCCGGAGCGGTAGGCATCAGACGCAGACTCTCCTTCATGATGGCGTCGATGTAGGGAAGCCTTGCAAGATGGTCTATTGTGATCGGGTCTATGCCGGCGACCTCATCAACTTCGTTCCGGGCCCGATCGAGTACGCGTGGGTGTTGCACTAGGTAGTAGAATGTAAACGAGAGCAGGCCGGAGGTAGTCTCATGGCCCGCGATCAGAAAGGTGATGATATTACTGATGATCAAGTCATCGCTCATGCCTTCGCCGGTAACTGGGTCGCGCCCGTTCAGCAGCGTGTTTAGGAGGTCGTCGACCGACTCTAGTTTGTCTCTGCGCTCTTTGATAATGTCGCGGGCCATGCTCCTCATTGCCTCAATGTGCTTGGACATGCGCCGCTGCGCCTTGACGCGTATGGAGTTCGCGATACCCGGAAGTGTGGCCTGTATGTCGGCTTCCTTCAGCACGTACAGCATGGATTGTACGAACGGATGTATAGTCTCGCTGTGGTAAAAACTATTCAGCCGGAAGTCCATCGTGCAGAGGGCGATGGTGTCTAATGTGAGGCGTGTAAAGTCATCACTGATATTGATACTGGTCGAACTTCCCTGGCGGGCCCTGCACCAGCAACAACCAAACCACCCGAGTCAGCGTTCTTTTTCTTCCCTTTTTTGTCTTGAAAACCAAATTTAAGGGTTCCTACCACTTGTAACACAACTGTTGTGCGACATCGTTCATATCATCGAACATGTCTCGGATACGTAGCGGGCCTAAGGCAGGCATCAGAATCCGATGGGCAATACCCCAGCCGCGCTCTCCGTGGTAGGCAGTGAAGAGGCCGTCATTGACCAGCATTCGTAACTTTTCGACTCCAGCGACGACGGCCTTGTGGAAGCGGGTTTCGTCACAGAGCTCATCGACCAGGGCTTGGCTGGTGGCAAATATGAGCTTCTCGCCGTTGATGCTGATTTGGAAGAGGGGTCCTGGTGTGATTGATTAGCGATAGTAACTTATATTCGGCATCAGATAAGACAGTAAAGTGTACCGAATTCATCGGCCATCTTAATAACGGACTGTAGGCCATGGTCGAGGTCGATGTCGAACAGATTTCCCACCACCGGCAGAGCTGAATGATCGGTCAGTAAACAACAACAGTAGGATGAAATGATAGTGCTAGATGTGGGGCTTTTTACGTTTGGGTCCGGGAATGCACTCCCTGTCTTTCATCGCTTTCGACTGGTGGTTGTCCTTTGCAGAGATATTACTTGGTGAAGTGAATTAATGAACTTTGAACTCTTATTAAGGGCTCTGGGATAATCTCACTACTTTATACACGGGCCTTTTGCAACATACCCCTCATATGAATTATCTCATGCCCGACACCGAAGTGGCGTTATTCCAGAGGTCTCTCGGTCTTCGGGGTTCGGTTCATGGAACCGCCAAGGTGTAGACGCTCGGTGGTGCCTCACCGAGATTTATAGACCTACATATGTGCATAAGTAGTAAATATCTATATGTTATAGTGAGGCGCAGTTGTTCACCTGGGAATAGGGCAGTCCTCAACTGCCAATGCGCCATATGGTATTTTTCCATACTAGATTTTGATTTTCGATACCACGAATTTACTATTACCTCCTTCGTACAAATTCTAAGTACTAGGAACTAATTCCTGTAATATTACCTTCTATAGGGTTAATTGCTACAATAAGAATAGTCGGCCATATAAGCGGCCGTAGCCTTCCTAGGTAGTCTTTTTATAGTAGCGTACTAGTCGTGGCGACCCACGTCGTGATATAGGTCAGAAGGTAGTAGAGCGCGATGGGAAAGACAGCCGAATCCAAAGGGACTAGCAGCCAAGATTTTGTTTATCCAGGCTGTATTCCAACGGTAGACGCTGCGAAAATAGCAGGGAATCGGACATCTTATTTCGTAGGTCAATATATACAGTAGCAGCAACTGAGAGAATAATGCTCTGCTAGTATACAGATAATCTATGATTTCTACACTTCATATATATCTGCATACCAGAAATGGACTTCATACTCGGGTTCACTGCGAGACATACGATTGATTGCCTTGATAGATCGGCACTGAGGCTTTTTTAAGCCACACCGAACACCGAGCAACGTCAGCCTGCAAGCCATCTGCTATATGCTGTGCATAAAGATATCCTTTTGAGTGTACCATGTTTGTGCTTTCCCTGTTTCCCCAGGCTTATGCATCTTCCCTGTCCTTCTTATGATGAACACTCATTATTCCAACAAAAGCAGTATCCTCGTCAAAAGGTTTATCCCGCATTCTGGACATCTATGGACTGTGTCTCCCCGTTCACGTGGCTCGTATCAGGGCTTCTTTCGACTGGCATAGCGAACACGGAGATCGAGTGTGCATCCGATGAATATGTCAAGTTCCTCTCGCCGACAAGCCAGTCATGTGGCTCGTATATGGCCTCCTACATTTCCTCGGCCGCGGGTACTTGGCCGATCCAAATAATACCGAGCACTGTCAATTTTGCCAACTGAGCAATATAAATGAGTATCTTAGCACAGTCAACATCCGGTACGAGGATAGCTGGAGGAATTTTGGCATTGGCTTGATGTATATTGTGGTTAATGCAGTGGGCACCGGAGAGAACAAAGGGCATGAGGGACATAAAATACAATAGGTGTTTGATAGTTGGTCATACTTTTGCGGGTTTTGGCGCGGTCTACTTTTTTGGGAATGCCACTTATCCATAACTCTACACATACATACATGTATGTCATTCGACTGGTACAATCATAGAAGCCCGTTGCCTGAGACATCGACACGGACTCCTCACTGCAATATATGTCAGCTCTCGGTTTCCCGGTCAGATTCAAGTAACCGAGCTTGGATAAAGGATCATTTGAAATCCTGTATTGCTGACTTGTCAGCTCGGGAGGTTATCGGAAAAGTATTGAAATCGTACGATCTACGCCTTCAAGCACTTGGATAGGCTGCCATCTGATTGACCGGTGATTTATCGGATTAGCCTTACTCGGTTCGGGACCTGGCAATGCCGATCGATGCCGATCACGATCAATATAAACCCAATGTAACTCTACATCCACTTCGACACCTTTCCAATGAACATCATTATCCTAAGTTTTATAGAGACCAATGTGAAACTAAATTTCCGACATGCCTGACTGCTTGGTGACCTAATTTCCGAACAGTGTTGGCTGTCAAACATATAAAGAGGCTAGGATTCCCAGAAGATCCCGAAGATCACACTATCACACTATCACAATATTACAAAATCATTAAATCATACATTATGTTGACATTGAATGTTTTGACGGCACTGTTGGCACCTGGTGTGCTATCATCTGCCTTGCCTGCTCGCGATCTCAATGCCCGTGCCGATCCGAAGCCTGCTGCTCTTCAAGCCATCCTGAACAACATCGGCGCCGATGGATCTGCTGTTTCGGGAGCATCTGCCGGCGTTGTGGTAGCATCCCCATCTAAATCGGATCCCGATTGTGAGGCCCATTCCTTCTCGAATTTGAATGATAGAAACTAACAGCTGCTAGACTTTTACACCTGGACTCGTGATGCAGCCTTGACATACAAGGTCTTGATTGATGAGTTCATTGCCGGAGATACCTCGCTGGAATCTACCATCCAGGACTACATCTCTGCTCAAGCAAAGCTGCAGGCCGTGTCTAACCCATCTGGCGACTTGTCCGATGGATCAGGACTTGCAGAGCCCAAGTACCACGTGGACTTGACTGCCTTCACGGAGGCCTGGGGTCGTCCTCAGCGCGACGGACCCGCTCTGCGAGCGACAGCTCTGATTACCTACGGTAACTACTTGATTTCGAAGGAGAAGACATCTGTCGTCAAGTCGAACATCTGGCCCATCGTGCAAAATGATCTGAACTATGTTGCCCAATACTGGAACCAAACCGGATTCGATCTGTGGGAGGAGGTCGAGGGCTCCTCGTTCTTCACTATTGCTGCACAACACCGGGCATTGGTGGAGGGCAGCGCATTTGCCAAGGCGCTGGGTGAGTCGTGCGAGGGATGCGATTCCCAGGCACCTCAGATCCTATGCTTCCAGCAGTCCTTCTGGAATGGCAAGGCCGTTGTTTCTAACTTTGCCAACAATGGCCGAACCGGTCTTGATGCCAATTCCGTGCTCACTTCGATTGGAAACTTCGACCCCAAGGCTCCCTGCGACGACGTGACCTTCCAGCCTTGCTCTGCTCGTGCTCTGTCGAACCACAAGCTATACGTTGACTCGTTCCGTAAGATCTATCCCGTGAACAGCGGTAAGGAAGCTGGAACTGCCGTTGCTGTTGGACGTTATTCCGAAGACACTTACATGGGCGGCAACCCATGGTATGCAAACCTTCCAATTTCATTTGTGTAGCTTCGGACCTTGCTAATATTTCTAGGTACTTGACCACCCTGGCCGCGGCCGAGCAGTTGTACGATGCTCTTTACCAGTGGAAGCAACTGGGATCGCTGGAAATCACCGAGACCAGTCTTCCTTTCTTCAAGGATCTTGTTTCGTCTGCCGCCGCCGGAAAGTATCCCAGCTCCTCGGAAACTTACACGTCCATCACTGCCGCGGTCAAGAAATATGCCGATGGATTCATGGCTGTTGTTAAGGAGCACACGCCTAGCGATGGATCTCTATCCGAACAATTCACTCGGGACAACGGCAGCCCGGCCTCTGCTAAGGACCTGACCTGGTCCTACGCAGCGTTGCTGTCTGCTACCCGCCGTGAGGCTGGAACAGTGCCCCCCTACCTGGGGCGCGTCGACTGCCAATAAGGTGCCCTCAAAGTGTGAGGGAAGCTCGGCCAAGGGAAGCTACACGACACCATCAGTCGGCAAGTGGTAAAGGGTGGAGATGCGGTACCAACAGCATCTGACTGAGCGAGGTAGTGCATCATGTGTCGATTTTCTCTGGCCTAGATGCATTTCTAATGGGTTGGAGGGTCTGTGAAAGCGAAGCAGTGGTTGCTTGCAAGCTGCTTGTAAGACCTCTTTTGCCCCTTTCAGGCCTTTGTCCCTTTGCCCTTGTCAAAGTACATTAGAGAGCTGCATTACAGTACGTAGATCATCAAGGGTTATGTTAGAGAGGTTATTGATAGGTTACAAACCCGTTTCCTCGCTTGTTACAGTCGCGTAGTAGAGAAAGTCGAGAGAATGGAATGTTCATCTATAACATGTTTGTCACGCTAGGATGACCAGCTACAATAACATGTTGAGTCCATTGCGACATGCTAACCCCATTCCTAAGTAGTGAATACCGACACCTGAAATGGATCTGGACCTGGCTCAGGTTACGACCCTCTCTCCCACAATACTTGACAGCCCTCAACCAGTCCACTCTGTCAACAAGGCCAGCAACTCAGCATACATTTCCTCCTCCCTCTCGATCTCCTCCCTTCTCTCGCATCCCTCTCCATTTCCTCCTTCCTCTTTATCTCCTTCATCCTCTTTATCCACCCCACGGTGTACTCATCCGGGTCCCAAGCTAGACGCCATGTGTTCCTCTCTTTGACCTTCAGATTCACATATTCCTCCATGAGCTCCTTCTCTCCGGGTTCCAAGAGATGAAGTCTCTCCCGCCATACCTCGGAAAAATCTTCGTCTTCATGTATAGTCGGTCTGAAGAATCGCTGATCAATCTTTTTCCAATATATGGCGTCAAACGCAAAATTGTTCCTTGCAGCATACATAATCCAAAAGTCCCCACTTTGCCAACTATCCCGCATCCGACCAGATAGCCGCTGGCTTTCTACTAGCTTTTTATTCCGGATTGCCTCGTCCTCGCATTTCCGCATTGCCTCCAAAAACGTCTGAAGCGGTCTCTCATACTCCTTACACCACGCGCCGTGAGATATTCCAAAAGGAATGTGCAAATGAAAGCAAAAAGGAATAATATCCATGTCCCTAAAATAGTACGCGCCGACTTTGGAAGGCTAGGAGCAAGTTAGGCCCAAGCAGATAAAAATTAATTTGCCACAAAGGGGCTAGCCGCCGCCCCCGAAACACGACAACGTCACGAGACAGATAACGCGAGAGTGTTATATCACGTTTACAGGAGACCACCTGGGCACCTCAATCAATCATTTCCAAAATGCGTCTCCTTCCTGCGTCATTACCACGATTCGCACGGCCACGTTTCCCACAAGTTACTCGGACATTTTATCGACCAAACCACATAATGGCTGAGGGAGAAGCAATCGAGGAACAGAGCTTGCCGCGCTACCATGAAAGACGTTACTACCCCGTCAAAATTGGCGATGTGTTGAAAGACCAATACCGAATTATCGCAAAGCTTGGATACGGCCGTATCCACTGTCTGGCTTGCCTGGGATCAGAGGTTTGTAAATCCTTATCTGATTCTAAAAAAGATTGTTTGGAATACTAGTTCTCACCCCCTTTATAGGGCCAAGCAGTACACTTCACTCAAAGTGTGTGTTAGCCATGACACCGAATCTTCTCCAGTTCTCAACGAGATCAATATGCTGCGGCGTTTGAAGAGATTCGCTGACACCGAACAACGCGACCTTCCCGGAGTGGGCTTTACGCGTCTTGCCGACGATATCTTTGAGATTGATGGGGCTCCCATCGATGGCCGACATTACTGCATCGCCTCGAGACCCGAAGGCCAGAGCATGCGCGTGCTACAGGAGACATTTCCAAATGCCATCCTGCCAAAGCTTCTTGTGAAATCGATCATACACCGCTTATGGTTCTCGGTTAACTGGTTTCATTCAACATGCGGTGTCATACATACTGGTATGTTCAACCAAGAAGCGAAGCCTTCTATCTCAACTCACTCACCATAACCCGAGCAGATATTTCGCCTCAGAATGTTCTTATGCTACTCGAGGATCATAGCAGCCTTAAGGACATCGAAGACCAAGAGTTGCGGAGTCCTAGCGTCCCCGTAACCACGACCAATGGAGCGGCTCCCGTGTATAGGTCTCGACAAACTAAGTTAGAGCTTTCAGGCCTCCCGGTCCTTACTGATTTCGGGCAAATGCGACTAGCCGAAGGGCAGACTAACCAGGATTGGTGGATGTCTGATTTATACAGGGCTCCAGAGGTCCTCTTAGGCTTGCCATGGGAATATCCTGTCGACGTGTGGTCTATTGGAGTTATGGTAAGTACTCACACGTACACTCTATAATAGCATCTAACCTAAATCTAAACAATCAGACACTAGAGCTTCTGGAAGGGAAGAATCTATTTGACCCTATTGATCGGGTCAACAATCAGTATGTTCTTCCGTTGGCATTAGCCCAGTATATTGGATATCTGGGTCCTCCGCCGCTGGAGATGCTACGCAAAAGCCCACTCTTTTCGACCTATTTTGATGAACAGGGTAAGTCTGCTTCCATTCTTAGGCTGGGGGAAACTTAAGCTCACCTGATATAGGCAACTGGGCATCCGAGCCGCCTATCCCCAAAGCCTCTTTCGAGGACTTCGTTACGACAATACCCCCCGAGAGGAAAAGGACCAGTTTCTCAGGTTCATACGCAAGATACTAACCTGGGATCCGGAAGTGAGGGCCAATTCGTACGAGCTTATCCAAGACGAGTGGATGATGAGGCCTCCTTCCGAGGAAGATATCGCAAACTGCATGGGTTAATGAGATGTCCACGGGTGTATGTAGGTTCAACGGTTATTGTACCTATGTACTAGGTTGCCTCCAGAATATTAATTTGACCAGGGACTAGTTATCCCACAAAAGACCTTAAAAGCTTATAAGATTACCTAGGAACGCTCCTTTACTGAACATATCCAGGTGGCCCCGTTAGATACAGCACATAATCTTCCGGGACCACAGCGCCAAGCTCCGAGTCCAAGGTAGTGACCATTAACTGCATGATAGGTCCCAACCATATGGCAGCGCTCTGGCTTGGCCTTGGATCCCAAGGGCACGTCATAATATGGTTGGTGAACTTTGCGCTGCACAACGTAGAGGGTCTTCCCAGGTCCCAGTCTCGGACATCGCATCGGCTCCAGCAGGGCTAGCCAGTCGGAGTGATTCACTTCATCACCAAACAAGATACCAGCTCCTTTTCCATCTCTGATCGGTTTCAGAAGGTAGTCGTTTTGGAACACATTCGAGGCTTTGCAATTCTCGATAAATTCGTCCAAGGCTGTCGACCCCGGTAGAATCGTGTGAGCTAAGCCTCGCTGAAGCCATTCCGCCTGTTTAGAAGTGATGATGTTCCTGAAGACTAAATTGGTGAGTTCTTCAAGAACAAGTCCCAGCATTCTCTTATCATGGGCAAGTAGGATAGTTCGCATATCGTTGAAACACCGCAGGCTGATCTGACGTTTCATCTCCGGATCAAGAGCATTGATCTCCCGCTGGTGAAGTTCGAGAGAAATCTGGTGAATCTCTTCCACGACCTCGCCGGACTCGGTGGTGATTGTTTCAACAGCATCTGGTTCAGCGAGGCAGCACAGCTTGTATCCCCTTTTCCCAGACTGGGAGGGATCTGGGATGAGCCGGAGAGTGTCCGGAGTTATGAGTCGTGGTTTTATCCCAATTCTTTTCTGAGCAAATTCTATAAACATCGCAATATCACTCCCATGTTCTTCGCCTTTGACAAGGTGCAAAGGAAACTTGTTGTCAAATAGGTCCAACAATCCACCAAGGATCTTCAGAGTTAAAAACCATTAGCAATCTGCCTCAACCCGGCCTTCAGATCCCCATCACTCTGCTTACCGTTTCACCTTCCACGGCATGAACCAGACCCCGGGACCCAAGATTGAATGCCGAAAGTGAGTCTTGACCAAATCCGGCATGCATGTAGCCATTCCAGCAGAACCTGGCGTTGATCTCGCAAATTCGGAATACCTCCATACCAGCTTCATCTTTCTCTACCAAAAAGTCTGGTCTCCAAGATCCTTGTCGCTCATTCCATGGTGGAAGCAAGTCTCGGTTCGAATCCAGCCACTATTCCAAGACCATTCAGTATACCATAACACTACAATGGAAGGGACAGCGGCTCACGCGCAATAGGTCTTCCTCTTCTGGTTCCAACGGCATGCGCAGAGGAAACCGGGCTTCATCATCTGTCCACCATCGCCCGACAATATCCCCGATTGCCAATTTCAGGGCGAGGTGCAAGTTTCTCATGCCATCATCATGTCGTTGGGTGATCAGCATGGGGCAAGGACACGATGCATCCAAAGATCCGACTGGCCATGAAGAGGAGCAGTTGCTCAGCTTTGAGATATAACTGCGCCGGTTTTGGCTTAGGAGGTTCACTTCTAATCCTTCTGGTGACACGGGTGTGTAGTCCACAGAATCTGGAAAGTTGATCAGATGAAGAGGGTCGAAAATTTTGTTTCGCATTTTTTACGTAGACGTTTTGTATGGGGTAATGGGGAGATGAGGGTGATATGCAAGTCTTTGCTGGAATCAAACTATCAAACAAACTACTCCGCAGCAATCCAGAGCTAAGGGAAACAATTCAGATCCCGTATATTGTAGATCCCCATTTCCTGCATGGAATATAATAGGCCTGCAGGGACGAATACGAGATGTCCACCCGCTACGTATTTACGTAACGTAATGTATGGCGAGTATCGATTTGCAAAATTACATTGTGAGATCGCAAATTACAATACAAGAATGACAATGTTCATGAGCCGCAGGGCCCAAACGGTGTCGCATCCCATCGGACTCGCCGAAGATGTCGGTTAGGATCCTTGACTTCATTACGTGAATGTAGCCATCGACGATTATCCATCATGATGATTGATCCTTGGGGGAGACTCTGGGGTGGCAGATGGAGAGTCTCTTCCTGGGCACCGCTGTACAGAATTTCTTTCAGTTCATCCAGGGCTTTGCTAGCATCCAGAGTCAAAGGAATCGTGATATCTTCCCGAAACCGCAATTGACTACCGAGACTTCCCCTTGGGTTCACCGCGAGCAGATTGCCCACGATATGCTGTTTCCCTGCAGTTTTGGTGAACTCGAGAGGGACGGTGATCTTGTAATTACAGCTGGAGAGCCATCGTTGTGCAAGAGGGGAAAGCAAGGTGAGGAGTCGATCCACATTCAACACGGATAATGTCCCACCACCGCAGCGATCCGGCTGAAGGACTTGAAGGGCAAAGAATCGTGGGGGTTGCTCCTCATAGCTGCAGTCGGTATGCCATTCGAACCGAAACATAGTCTCTGATCGAGCTTGGTGTCCATGGCTTTGAAAACTCGCTGGGGAGGGCCGAACATCCCAGAACCAACCACGTTCGGCGCTGTGGGATATTGGGAGACCGTGGTGGTGATTTTTGTGGAGGTTGGATATCAGGCTCTGGAGATATGTGCTATTCTCGTCACTAAACCCCAGTTGTACTTGAAGAACACCTTTAGCTTCAAGAGTCTCATATACGTCTCTCAAGTGAGAGGCATCAGAGGCGAGTGCTAGTTTGGTAACCTCGATTAGGGGTACAAGAGTGGAGGTTCTTAGATCTCCTTTTCATGGTTAGTATAAGCGAAGGAAAACATTACATGAGACTCACGGGTGGGATGGGTAGAATAGCTAGCAGTTGTCACTCTAGCTATAGGAGCCGCACGGAAAAGGCGATGCATTTTGCGCATCCACCACAGATGGAAAGCTCTCAGGCATAGAATGGCAGTCTGCGCTTCAACTATATATATACCAGCAGCTTCGAATACAACCGGGGGAAAAATATGAGGCGAATAATGTTGCATACAGGGTAGAACGGCGCAGTTTTAGATATTCAGATGCGCCCCTTTCGATCGGTCATATAGCCCTGTGGGAAATAAGACGCGTTTGTAATGAACAATGCTGTGTGACGGGCATGCAGATTGAGTAATACTGCATACTCCGTACGTCAAGGAACTTTCAGCTTTGCTGCATGGATATATCTTGGATGCTTCGTGGAGAGAAAAAATCAGAAAATGTGTGACGATCCCATCAAGAGGCCCCTCGTATATATGAGGCTGAGCTGACCCACTCGGGAAATATAGAGAGCGTACTCCGTACTCCGTACCGAACTTAACTATGTTTCTGCTAAAAAAGGGAAAAAAAGAAAAAAAAAAAGAAGACGCATGTAAATGCTCCCTATATTCAGCTCATGTAAGGGCCTCCTGGAACTGTGCTCTGGTTCACTCAAACCAGATGTGTTCCCAGATGGCGTTGGATACTTCTCTCCAAGTTCCAACGATTTCCTCAATAACATGAACTAAGTCCCCGAAACGTCTTTACCAATAGGCTACCTTTGGCGTTCCTCTAATGGTTCATTCTCTCGACCGTCGCAATCGCGCTGTTTGCTGGTGTGTCTACTCCAAACAAAATCCCAAACAAAACACCACCCTAATACCGAGTAGAGACATCTAGTCCCAATACTCGGAGAGATGCTCCAGAATCGTCTTCATGTACCCCCATCCCAAGCCTAGGAGTTAACCTCTGCCGTCCTTGCCCTCCATGGCGCTCTGACTGTGGTCTCCGGCCCTGCTATCGGCCATTTCGCCGACAGGCAACAAGGTCATAAGACAGCACTACTGTTATCTCTTGGATGGTGCATTGTCGGAACGTGTATGGTTGCCGGCGTTCAGTCAGTCCCTATACTAATGTTAGGCCGTGTGTTGCAAGGCATCACGGGGTCTGCTGTGAGGATTGTCGGCTTTGCAACCGTCGCAGACACTATCAGTCCGAACCATATAGACTTCGCAATGAGCTTAATGATGTCTTGCACAAATACTGGAACAATCAATGGGCCCGCTCTTGCTGGCTTGCTTTTAGAGGCTACTGGTTACTGGATAACATGGTCGATCCCGCTAGTTGTTCTAATCATAGATTTAATTGCACCCGTGTGTATGATCGAGAGTCCGTCCAGCTCTCCCTCCTCTACGCCCCACAACAGTCTAACAGAGACTGCATCTCTGCTTTCATCTTAGAGCAACTGGTTCCCAGAAACGGAAGTTTCTGGAGGATAATGCTACGCGACGGTCGTGTTCTGACTTGTCTGCTGATTATAATCTCGGGCACGACTGCGAGCACGAGTTTCCATGCGACACTTCCTCTCCATGTCGAAGAGAAGTTCGGATGGGGCCCGAGTGCTACTGGGTTCCTCTTTGCTGGCCTTGTCGTTCCAGGTGTCTTGATCGATCCCGTTGCTGGTTGGGTGCGTGGTCGAATCGGAACACAACGACCTGCCGTGATCTGTTCCATTCTTCAGGCAATTATGATAGGCCTAATGGGCACTGCTGGTAGCGATGTCCCTTGGGCGAGTGCTCAGTCTATGGGTAAACCGCTCTACATAGCTTCTGTCATTGGTATATGTACATTCCGATCATTTGTGTCTGGTATCGCGCCTCTCGAACTGATGAGTAACTCGCGCCTTCCTAAGATGTGAATATGACCGCACTGGAAAGTATGGTATACTCTACATATGTAGCTACTGCTAAGCCAATTCAACCTTTGTCCCGACGGAGATGTCACGCATATTCTCCATGTTGGACGTTGCTCCTTCCTTTGGGATGATGATTGGCCCAATTATAGGTGGTTCACTAAAGGAAATGGTCGGCTAGAAATATATGAGCTGGACTTGGAGTAAGTTGTTTAAGCTCACTGGACTGGTATGTTTGCTAATAGTAGCAGGTCTCTTATATCCGCTCCTCGCTGGTATTGCACTGTGCTTCTTAGGATCTAATGACACTGATGAAGAGATCCATTCTGAAGAAGGGGCATAGTTTAGGAATCTTTTGTTTCTTAGGAGAGGAATCGTCAACTGTATAGATTCCAGGAATTCGTGGTTGTATAACAGATACAAGCTATGTTGTACGGTTTATTACTCCGTAGTGTTGGCCAACAATCCTCCCTACTGTGGACACGTGTGTAATTTCAAGGTATCGGGAGGCCTAGCGTGGTTTAAATTACGATAATTCAGTATTGTGATTTTGCAAAAATTCAATGTTTTGATGACATGTTCATGTGGAGAATACCTGCAGGCACACCCGTGGACATATTCAGCTGGTCAATCTAATCTACAACATACATCAATTTACTCCGTACATATTCATTCATGTACGAGTTACATTTGGTGGCACCTACTAGAAGTTCAACTACGTACTCGCATAATATATTGAGGATTGATACGTCAAAGTTCAATTTCCTTTCTTTTCCTCTGCTTGGATCCTGTTATAACCCCTCAGATTCAACTATTCTGAGTCTTCCAACATATCCCCCATTTTACCCTATTCCGTTTTCCTGCCTTGAATTGGGATTATCCGTGGCTGATTCTCGCAGCTATGGCAACGAAAAGTTACACATTGGCAGAGGTGCTAGCCGTGGCTAAGACACATCCTTTCTACAACCCGGACATTGTGTACCCCGCCGATGCGGAAACGATCGAGAGTCTTCGGAAAACGGTCACTGACCAAAAGGAGAAGCCTAGACTCCAGGACCAGCCACTTCTTGAGAAGAAAACACTGTAAGGCAATGCTGGCAGACTTTAGTTACACTATAGCTAGGCTAATTTACTTCAGGTACAAGGCCATTGAACGACTTACACATGATGTGGACCCACGAAACACCTATCGACAAAGCTCCTATATGAGCATTACTGGTGGTGGCTCTGGTGGGGTGCCCATGATGTTTGCCGTGGATGTGCACGAGAACCGTCGACAGAGATCGCAAATGGGGGAATTTCTCAAATTGTGCGGAGTCACTCAGCCCGGAGATTGGGTCTTGTCCACCCATAGTGCCGGTGGATTCTACAGGTATTTAGGTCCGAATTAGCATAAGATGGCGTGGATATCCTAACTAAGAAGCAACAAGGTCCCTCGATCTTATGACGGAAATCATGGAGAATGCCGGAGCCACGGCCCTCAGCGCGGGAAGCTATATGCCACCTGAGGATGTCGCTAAATCTCTGGCCGACTACCATGTCAATATTCTAGCCGGCGACAGCAGCCATGTCGTCCAAACTGTCTACAGTATCTCCCTCATGGCGAAGGAAGACCGTGACCGCGTCAGACTCGACAAGATCATCTACACCTCTGAACCCCTGACTGGTCCACAGCGAGCATTCATCAAGACGATTCTTGGCGAGGTCAAGATAATTTCCGTCATGGGAAGTGCCGAGGCCGGTCCCTGGGCAATCAGCAGCCCGGACCTAACAGGGGAGCAGAGCCTGACCAGCAACAGCACGGACTTCGTCATCGACACGCGCAACATGGTAGTCGAGATCGTTTCACCCTCTGTAATCGACGGCGTATCTAACCCTGATCCGATCCTCCTTCCACAGGGAGAAGAAGGTCTCATCGTGCAGACGTCTCTCCAGCGACTGCGCAACCCGCTAGTGCGCTACATCACCGGCGATATTGGCTCCCTCCACCCACTCCCGACCGCAGCCTGTGCTGTAGTCCCCGAAGCTGATCGGGACCATCTACGTATATTGCGTATGCACGGCCGCGACCCTCGCTTCAGCTTCAAGTGGTTTGGTGGCTATTTCGAGTTTGATAGGATTGCTGCCTTCATGCAGGAGGAAGAGTGTGGCATTCTGCAGTGGCAGATCATTTTGGGCCGACTGGAGAATTCACCGCAGGCGACGCTGGAAATTCGGTTACTTCGGTCCCCGTCTCGGGATGGAATTTTATCGGATGACGCTCTTATCAAACGCGTTGAGGCTTTCTTCATCGTGCTCCCTGAGAATGAACCTCTCTTCCGAATCGTGTTTCTGGATGGCCTTGGAGGGTTTGAACGGAGTGCTACCGCGGGGAAGGTTATCAAGTTTGTGGATCGATGGCATTGAACCTTCCAAGGTTGGAATTGTGTCTTCTGTGTGGATTATATCGGCTGAAGAGACCACTAGATGGCAATAAATGTCACACTATACGGATACCACATATTAAAAGTTCTGCAGCAAAGAGTTTGTAAGAAGAGTATGTATCCGTATAGGATTGGAAAGTGTCTCGGAAGGTTGACTCTAAAATGGGTTGCCCTAACTTTGTTTGTAACTTTGTTGAACTACCCAATTAGGTCTTGTGATGTGCGGATTAGGAAATTCCCAAGCAATCGAACAAACACACAATAGTAGTTCTTGGCGCCAAGAAATTCTTCTGAATGGCCTGCGTATTTCTCTCCACATTATATTTACCGTTTATTGGAATAGTTCGAGTTAATGATCCAATATTCAATAGTTGGTAAAATCATTGGTTTCTAAATACTCAGTAGGGCTTCCCATAATTGTGTCTACAGCACGGATCATCCATCACGTTGTAGTATTCCATAAGGAGCACGAAGTCCACAGGTACTAGTCGAGATTAGGGAATCTCCAAGGCACAATGAACTAAGATAACAACCTTGGAAACGCCCATATCCACTCAGATGCAAGTCTAAATGCGTGATTAATATATAGCGGGTCGACCGGTCTGTGCGAACAGAACATCGAGAACGTCCACGAGTCCCTAAGTCGCGTGGTGTCTATAAAAAGAAACATTCCACGTCAAATGGGATGGTTATGTTCAGAGAATATATGGTACTATCTGAGTTCAATTCTATCCATTCCATATTCTACTAATTTTCAGAAAAAGTCCATACCTAGAATAGTAAGATGTATAGATGAAACATACGCATTGTCTTAGCCTCTCCGGATATTGAGGCGCTAATTTAGTCGAGTTCTCCCCACACCCCCCTTTTCTTTTCTGCAAGGCTTCTCTTCTTCTCTGCACTCTTTATGACTTTTGGGGAATTGTACCCTCTTTACTCTCATTCAATTGATTTAAATCTCTTACATTCTTTAACCCCCACTGTCCCGCTAGTCCGATTATCCATTTCAGACCCTGCACCTCCCGGAACAATCCTGCATATCCTAAGTCTCGGCTTTTAGACCAGCGCTTACTGAAACCACTATCATTATCGAGTAAGCCCTCTTTCCTACATATGTAGGTATTTATATCCACAGGATGTCAAGCTTGATCATCAGGGACTGATCCATGGTTCTGCGCAGAGACGTCAATTTTTCCTCCACAGCTCCGCTCCCCTTACGTTCCACGTTCCACGTGGGATCGTCGTCTTCTATATCCAAGCATATAGCATCTAGCATTCTTTCCCAATTCTGGAGAATATCCATCACTGCATTTCAACCGTCACAATGGGTCTCATCGACAAGCTACAAGCCAGTACGTTCCGCGACCCCCGAGAAAAAGCACCCAGCGGAAGTGCTACTTCACTGCGGAACTGAAATGCGACCTTGAAATACTAGGAAAAATAACTAATATCGAAGCAGAACTCAAGCTCTACCGCCTCGAACAGCGCTATGCCCGCCGCAAGCACCGCAGCACCTTCTCCACAGGAGCCCAATACGTCGACGGCGAATATGTTTACTCGGGCGCAAGGTCGCCTACTAGTACCGTCTCCAAACACTCCACTGGCAGCTGGCGCCCATCAGGATGGGGCAGCCAGACGTCGCGATAGCGAAGTACGTTTCAAGTCGACATGTCTGAGCGATTATTTGGGTTATCGGCGCCATTCTCTTTCTTCTACTTGTCTTTAGCATTTTCACCCCTTTTCTCTCCTTTCTGAAGACCTTTTTCTTCTGTTTTATACCTTTGCGTGATGCTTCCGCGGAGTCTCGACGAATTCTTGTACAGCCACACACCATGTCTGTTTTTCTTTTTCTTTTCTGGGATTGTTTACCTTATGATTTCTATGTGTCAGCGGGAACCCATGTTCGAAAAGTTGGGATCTGCTCTCTGCTTTCTCCTTTTGGATTTTGGTATCTCCTGCGATATGCCTGCTTGGTCATGTATGCTTCTCATCTTTGTCTTGTTTCATAGTCTTCGTTTACTTGGGCTTTGATGTTCGTGCTCAATATCTGAGATCTCTCTTGTTCAAACACACAGTACAAGAATAGTTGGCTGCTCATGTGGCCTCGTCCCTGACGACATAAGACTTCGATAATCCGATCTGTTTGGGCCAAGATGGTATTAGGAACTCCAATGTGTCTTTCGATGTACTTTTCAGGTGTTTCTGTAGACGTTTCCACGGCCCATGCCTTTTACTGCCTTTGTATACATGTAGAAAGGGCTCTCCAAGTAGTCAAGATCATGTTTCGAAGGTTGGTTTCGGTTCTTTGTTCTTGGACTTCTTTCATCTTGCTCAAAGATGTATGAACACACAAACAGCAAATAGAATAATACATATAAAAAAAGCATGAAGTCCATAAACTCGTTACAGATTAGGAACCACCTGCAGGTGTACTGGATTTATCTTCAGAATATAGACCTGGAAGGCCTAAGGCGGTAAGGCTCGAATCTGCGGACCTTACGTCACACCACCGCTCTGGTCTCTCCATCTCCACACTGCCAACGCATCTCCCTCATCCTGTGGTTGCATTTTTGCTTGTGATTACGGTAAAAAAGCTGCCGGGCAATCTGGACTTTCTTGTGCGCTCGAACTATCATCAAACCTACCACTCATCCTCGACTTTCAAGCTCCTGACCGTTCCGCGACACCCAACCCGCCGAGATACCCTCGTTCACGATGAGCATTGCTTAGCCGACCATAACTGGGTAAAGATTGCAGCACAGGCTGCTTTGAGCGATGGATCAAGCAATCCAGCGGTTATTGAACGACAAGCTCTACGACAGGAGGAAGCAGGGAGCTCTGGAGTATGCCCGCTCAGTTTCATCGCTCCGCACTTGAAACAACCCATACTGATCACTGTTTATTTACACTAGGCTTGAGAAAATTGTCCGCGACGCTGTTTGCCGAGGAGAGCAGGAGAAAATACAAAAAATCGTTGAACAGCTCTGCCACGACTATGCGTACGCCGTGCACCAACCCCATGCCCGCAATGGAGGCCTGATCGGGTTGGCTGCTGCCTCGATCGCACTGGGATCGGTGAGTGGTGGCTATAACCAAGGACTTGGAGAAGAGCTTGGCTGATACCTGGCATATAGGAAGGAGTTGCGCCGTACTTGGGTGAAATTGTGCCGCCTGTACTCGCATGCTTCTCCGACCAAGATGCGCGAGTGCGGTACTACGCATGCGAGAGCATGTACAATATAGCCAAAGTGGCCAAGGGAGAGATACTGTTGTTCTTCAATGAGGTTTTCGACGCGCTGGCTAAGGTGAGAGGTGTCGATAGTTTTAGTGGGGCATCGCATATGCTGACATGCAATATAGCTTGCGTCCGATTCGGAGCTATCAGTCAAAAATGGCGCGGAACTTCTGGATCGCCTTGTGAAAGATATTGTGGCTGAATCGGCAGCTTCGTATGTGTCGATTCTACAGCTCTCCGAAAAGGAAGCTACAGAATTGGAGAATCAGGAAGACCAGGAACTTCCCATGGCGTTCTCTCTCGCACGCTTCATTCCTCTGCTTAAAGATCGGATTCATGTGATCCAACCGTTTACTCGCAACTTTCTGGTCTCATGGCTTACCCTTCTAGATACAATCCCTGACCTAGAGCTCGTGAGCTATTTGCCAGAGTTCCTAGAGGGATTGATTAAGTTCCTGGGCGGACCCAACAAAGACGTAAATATTGCAACCCAGGGTTTACTTGATCGGTTCTTAGGGGAGATCAAGAGGATTACCCGACTTAAAAAGGGGATTGAAGAAAGCCGGAAGAGTCAGAAGAGCAACAGACAGTCGGTTGCCAGCGATGTGATGAGCAACGCGACAGAGCAAAATGCCCAGACCGATGGTGCTAGTGAGGACAAGTACGACGTTGCCGTTGCAGACTCGGTCTCAGATACGACCGTCGATGATGAGATCGCTCAAGCCGATGGAGATTGGATCCCGGGACAAGATGTACAAATCGACTACCCCAAGATTCTTGATATTCTTGTCGGATTTGTCAACACCTCTTATGGTAAGAGTGCCTCTATCTCTCTGGCTTTCATCTGCTTACGTTCGTTTAGAGGAGGAAATGCAATTGACGGCCCTTCGTTGGCTTGATTCCTTTTTCGAAATCAGCCCTGAAGATATTCTTCCTTTCGTTCCGCGGCTGTTGACTCAGGTACTCCCGGCCATGTCCAGTGGCTCGGATCAAGTACGGAAAGCAGCAAATCAAGTCAACACGTCCCTTGTCCAATACATCTACTCCCTGTCAGATGACACGACCGAGGAAGCCCAGGCGCCATCGTCAAAGATCCCTTCCACCACGGCCAGCAAAGAAACCATAGAGCGAAGATCATCGACTCCAGGAGTCAGGCCTTCAGAGACAGCGAGCATTGACACGAAGAAGCAAACAGCACAAGAGAATTCCATTGCGGCTACACCACGTAGTAGTGTTGTTTCCACCCCGCTGCCTCCTGCTGACCTTGACTACGCTGCTGCTGTCAACTCCCTCACTCTACAATTCCTCAATGAAAATGAAGCCACTAGAGTTGCGGCCCTTGTGTGGCTCATCATGCTCCACCGTAAAGCCCCGCGGAAGGTTGTCGCTTTCAACGATGGTACCTTCCCAGCTTTACTAAAAACGCTATCCGACCCTTCAGAAGCGGTTGTAACCAAAGATCTGCAACTCCTTTCACAGATCTCAAGGAACAGCGAGGACAGCTATTTTACCTCTTTCATGGTCAACTTGTTGCAGCTCTACTCTACAGACAGGCATTTACTCGAAGTGCGTGGAAATCTGATCATCAGGCAGCTTTCTCTGAACCTGAGCCCGGAGCGTATCTACCGGACTTTGGCAGATTGCCTCGAGAAGGAAGAGGTAATGTTCGGTACACACATTGAGGTATTCCATGCTAATATATCATCAGGATCTTGAGTTTGCCAGTATCATGGTCCAGAACCTGAACAACAACCTCATCACGGCGCCCGAGCTCTCGGAATTGAGAAAGCGCTTAAGAAATCTCGATTCGAAAGTAATACTCCCGGACACCTTGTCTTGCATTCTTGAGACTAATGGAAACGTTTAGGATGGTCAAATGTTCTTTGTTGGGCTTTTCAGATCGTGGTGCCACAATGCTGTCTCTACGTTTTCACTCTGTCTTCTTGCCCAGGCCTATGAACAGGCATACAATCTTCTCCAGATCTTGTCAGTATACCAGCTCAATTCACCACGATAGTCTGCTGACAAGACCATCCACAGTGCCGAATTGGAAATGACAGTTAATATGCTAATCCAAATCGACAAACTGGTACAATTACTTGAGTCACCAGTATTCACATGTTCGTTTCTCTCCGTCAATACAACTCCAGTCCCAGAAGCTAATCCCAATAGATCTCCGCCTCCAACTCCTTGAACCCGAAAAATACCCCTTCCTTTACAAATGTCTCTATGGCGTCCTCATGCTCCTCCCCCCAGAGCTCCGCCTTCGCCGCCCTCAAGAACCGTCTAAACAGCGTCAGCAACATTGGATTCCTCCACCCCGGACCCCGCAGGTATGGCCCCTGCCCCCCGCATTCTATCCTAAGGTTTACTGAGACGAATTTCCCTAGCACTACCCAAACAGCCCCACCTTTCGACCGTTCCACAGGCACCCGCCTGAAACCCCGCGACGAGAACTCCATCCGCTGGGTCGAACTGCTCGACAAGTTCAAGTCCGTCCAGGAACGAGCCCGTCGATCCCAAGGCTCCACCCGCCAGTCCTTCGATCAGTCCGGCCCTATGAACAACCCCTCTCTTACAGCTGCTCTCTCTGTCGCCGCTGCAGACCGTCCTAAGGAAAGATCTGGTCTACCCGATGCCCCGCGCGGTGCCCCGGGCCCTAGTAACGCTGCTGCTGGAAATGCCGGGCTGGGAGGCTCTGGTGCTGGTGTCAGTGGCACGGCTGCTTCGCGTGCATTGGACAGTGCGGCGAAGGGTGCGTCATCTTCTCACAGACACAAATCGGGTCTTCCAAATCTGGGCCGGTTGGGTATTGGAGGACGGAGGTCCAAGAAATAGTTGCATTTGTAGCTCGAGCTGGAACTTGGCTCGTGCATAGACCTTTCTTGTTGTGTTACTTAGCTGGATCGTTTTGTTGCTACCATACCCGAGATCGTTCTTCTGTCAATAGTTATCGTCTGTGGATAGGTAACGATGGTTCTCAATGACATCACATTTCTTACCATCTCCCCAATGTGTCTGTTGGCTTTATGCCTTGGTATACGTTTAGTTATCTTTGAGTGTGTGTGGTATTCACAGCTCTTCATGTTTCGGCAGCATGTAGCTCTCCGCGGTACAAAGACAAAAAGATCATTGAATTCGTTCTATGGTCATAATTGTTCGCTTCCCAAATGAATACGCTCCAAAAGATACAATCCACCCAATACTGTAGTAAACCAAGAACCAGCCCAAGTATGCCAAATAAGTGTATCAGTGACTGATGTACTGGAAAACAGCCGAAACATCCTGTTCCCCAGTCTCCTGACGAAGAAGCAGATCCTGGATTTGATTGAGCGGGCCCTTCTCGCCGGTATTGACAAAATGGTTCCACGAACTAGTATCACCATACAGCATAGCCGGGGCCTTGATATATTGCGTGCCGTCGGGCCGGCACCGTTTGCACTTGAAGGTATCATGAGTATCACTCCGAGTATCCGGTTTGAACTGGAAGAGTTCTCGCAGGGAATCGAGGGAGAAATGACGCTCGACATCTTCTGCGGAGTCCACGACGCACGATGAGAGGGACTGTTTGTGGGACTGGCGCTGGAAGATCTTCTCTTCGATTGAGCCTGTTGCAATGAACCGGTAGACGAAACAATCTTTCTTCTGTCCGTCTCGCCACACTCGTGCTAGCGCTTGCTGGTCAGCGGCTGGGTTCCAGTCTGGATCGAATAGCACCAGCCGGTTGGCGCCGATCAAATTCAGTCCACACCCGCCGGCTTTGCTACTCAGGAGGAATACAAATTCCTGACCCTCTGGGTTATTGAACGTGTCGACTAGCTTTGTGCGCTTTTTGATGTTCATGGTGCCGTCAAGGCGCAAGGAGCCGTAACCCCGTGACCGGCAGAGCTTTTCGAATAGATCGAGGGTCTGAGTGTAATTACTGATGAGGACGATTTTGTCGTTGGTGTCTTGTCGGATTCGGGCTAACATGCGGTCAAGGACCATCATTTTGCCAGAGTACCAACTCTTGATATCTCTATCGCGACCCCGAGAATCGGGGGTGAATAATCCTCGGGAATGCGTGCTCGCATCCTGGAAGGTCGTTCGCTAGATCAAGTAGATCTGGGTGATTGCAAAGCTTTTTCAAAATACCGATTGCTTTCAGCGGCTGACTGCCTTTTCCGCGAAGAAGGCTTTGGATCTCTGGACTCTTGATGAAATGGTTATACAGACCACGCTGGAACTCTGACATGTTGCAGAACACAACATGCTCGTACTTGATGGGCAAGTATTTTGAGAGGAGCTCGTTGGTTCGGCGGATAATGAACTTATTCACAATACCAGAGAGTTCCTGTAGTCGTTCATCCCCCAGCTTCTTTTCTGCGTCTGTGCCTGCGGCATCCCGACCCCGTAGAATCGGTAATTCGAACCTTTTCCGGAACTCGGCTTGGGAGCCAAGAAGGTTCGGGTTAGCGAAGTGAAGAAGAGCGAAGTACTCAGACAGGTCATTCTGGATAGGTGTTCCAGAAAGAATCACTCGGCGAGTAACATTGAGTTGGTTCAAAGCAGTCCATGTCAAACTCTCCTTGTTCTTCAGTCGATGACCTTCGTCGCATAGAAGAAGTCCGATCGGGGTATCATTCAAAGTATCCGCATACATACGGAGTGTCTCGTAGGACACAATAAGGACGGGCCTGACGATTCCACGCCCTGATGCCATGGCCCACTGCTTGATCTGGGTTATTAACTCTGCTTTCGTGGCCTTTCCGTCGATCGCAAAAGGTGTGGTGGCGTCTTTTCCAAGCCATTTTACTGATATGGTCAGTCGAGCTAATAAGAAGTAAAGTGTACCACGCGTAACTCACCCAACTCGTTGGCCCAATTACCAACCAAACTTGACGGACATGCAATCACACATTTCTGAATGGTAGTTTTTCCCGCTTCTGAGGACTGCTTGAGTAGCGTCCACATCAATGCGATGCATTGAAGCTGTGTTCGTTAGAATCAAGGTACGAAAATCGGGTGGGCCAGGCTCACCGTTTTACCAAGTCCCATGCCATCTGCCATGATGCATCCATTTGCATTCTTGTCAACGAGCCCAGTAACACATCGATAAAGGAACTATATGTAGCGGTGTCAGCTTTTCTCCACGGCACAGCTTATCTCAGGGGGCAATACCTTCACACCCTCGACTTGATGTGGTCGAAGCACTTTGGACAGTCTCGGGTCAATCACAACAGGCACCTTTGGCCTGTCTTCCACATTCTTTTTGAGCCCCAGAATGTCTGCTAGACTCTTATGCACAATTGGCTCATCCAATTTTGGCGTGTCCTCCGTCGGTGCCTCCGGGTTTTTGGGCGCAGGTTCCTCAGCGACGTCGTCTACCGTAGGGTCGTATAAAACAATCGCAAATTCTCCACTGGGGTCATGTAGTGGCTTGACCACAAATGTCGCGCCTCGTCGCATCCCCAATGTTGGAGCCACCCGACCAGAACTGTACTCGCCGGTAGCTTTATTGAGGAACGGAACCTGAAATCGTTGCCTGAACGCCACCTCTTTGTCCTTTGGTTTGTACGCGGGGAATTTGTTGGCCTCTCTTGTTTCCAAAGCGAGCCGGTCATCATTCGTGTATGGCTTCTCTCCATCTTCCACGCTTCCATCGGCATTGGCATAGTTGACCTTCCTTCTCTTTCTTGATGGCTTTTCGGACGCACGAGTCGGTGTTGCGCTTCCTGGACATTTGAATGGCCTTACAAGTCGATCGATCGAGTTCTGAGAGTTCACGGATTTCGGTTGTAAGGGAGTCTTGACGCTGTTGTCACAACCGGCGGGCGTTGTCGATACCTTCCAGGCATTTCAGTACCAAAAGTAGAAAATGGTTAAGTCGAGGACTTACATTGGGTCCAAAATATATGAAGCAAATATCCAAATACACCAAGCTCCTGCTGTACAATGATCCCAAAGTTGAGGCAGGTGCGAGTTGACGACGCGTCACGCGTTACCCTGAGGCCCCCAAAACACCAAACTGCCGCGTCCCACAATAACTGACCGCCCAATGGGGTATGGTGGTCCGAGCTCCACGTGGGGCGTTATTTTTAGGCAGTCACGTGCATTCTGTATATGCACCTAAACAACAACCTTCCAAGGTGGATACTTAGCGTAACGACTGTTTCTTTATATTATTTGGGCTAGCTGCTTTTATTGTGAGGGTTGAAACCATCCATGGTGATGACGACTCTCCCTTTGCTAAGAGGAAACAGTATTTCCTTAGAAGACGCCCTAACCGACGATGACAACATCCTGCACCGCTTAGACTATCCGCAAAACCAGGAGGAGTTCCGGTCATACCTCCTTGCGCAGCGAAATAAGATTGAATCAGCGGTTTTGTTTCATCTTGGCGTAAAAAGTTGTCAAATAGCCGACCAAGCTGATTGGTTATGTGGGAGTTACAATGTCTGCATTCCAGTCTATATCAAGCTGCCGTCGGAGGAGTGTGTCCTTATTCGAATTTCGCTGCCTTACAAAGTCGGAGAAGAGAACAACCCAGGGAATATTGAGGAAAAACTGCGCTGCGAAGTCGCCACATACATTTGGATACGTGAAAATTGACCCGATGTCCCAATTCCCACTCCCTATGGGTTAGCATTTCCCAATGGGCAGACTGTATGTGAGCGTATACTCTCTATCTGTCTCAGAAGTCTGACCTTGTTGCTTAGTTCGCTGAGGAGAGCTGCATCGATTTTTCTTCCCGTTGGCATTGGCGCATCACGCAAACCATGCGATCATGGTTTGGGTACCCCAAAGCCTGCCCATATATCAGTACCAGGGACAAGAATGTGCTGAAAACTGGATACATAATAATCAGTTATGTGAAGAACGGCCAAATGCTCTCCAATACATGGGGAGATTACCTCCTGAGCGACAAGACACGAAGGGAGACTCTTTCAGTGATCTTGCGAAGGTTATGCTTTCACTTAATCGCGTCAAGTTACCGCGAATTGGGTCTTTGGCTTTGGATGACAATGGTCTAATTGAGTTGAAAAATCGACCCTTGATACTACGACTCCAAATATTCGAGAATGAAGGGATCCCCACGATACCCAGGAATTCTACGTACCATTCTGTGGAGCCCTATGTTTTGGATCTTCTGCAGCTCCATGACAACCGCATTTATTATCAGCCAAATGCGATTCATAATCTGAAGGATGGCCAGGAACAATTCGCGGCTTTAACCATGATGCGTGGTCTCTTTCCTCAATTCATTTCCCGTCAATACCGTGATGGGCCATTTGTGCTTACGCTCACGGATCTCCACGCGAGTAATATCTTCGTCGATGAAAATTGGCATATTACGTCGTTGATTGACTTGGAATGGGCATGTTCTTCTCCCATTGAGTTACAAACACCGCCTTACTGGTTGACTGGTCGACCTATTGATGATATTGTACATGGAGAACATCTCGAGACTTTTCAAGAAGTGACGACTGAATTTCTAAATGCCTTTGAAGAACAGGAAAAAATCAGGAACGCTTCCGATGCTTCTCAGGCCGAGATCATGCGGAAATCCTGGGACAGAGGTAGCTTCTGGTATTTCCAGGCCGTCAATAGCCCGAAGGGTCTCCTTCGGGTATTCAATGAGCATATCCAACGCATGTTCTGTGGGGAGCACTGCACCCAGCGGGAGTTTGATCGGGCTGTAAGTCCATACTGGTCTGTCGGCGCCGAAGAATTCATTCAGATGAAGGTGAAGCAAGAGGCAGAGTATAAGGATCGACTTAGGAAGAGGTTCAGCGAATGTGTTCAAAAATGCTGATTTGTCAGGACAGAGGGCTCCGCTCACTATCTTTCTCCTTGTTAGCTCGCTAGTATATCATGTGTTTGAATGCAATGAAACAGAAATATTCTAGGATTTGGAAGCATTTCCTTTCCAAGGTTCCATCCAGTTGTTGCTGGGTGAGCAGCGCCCGGTCAAAATACCCTAATTGTCAGGATCATCATGTTGTGATTAATTACTCCCAAGGTTGGCACGTCTACACCAGATTTCAGGCTGTGTGAAATGGCTTCCCTTTTCTGTTTCAGTGCTCACCCCTAGCCGCTTTTGACTGAGCAACCCTATCCCACTCAGGGTGCATAGCCTCTTAAACCACACGCGGAATGGTTTCTGACCAGTCAACTTACTAAATCTGCTTAGCAAGCCTATGTTATATTGCACATACTGAAACACAGTTTTGCAAGATCTTCTCCCATCGGAAGATGCGCTCTGGTCCATTCCAGAGGTCGAAATAGGCAGACCAGGTTTGAAAGTGCTTTGGCCTCTAGGCCCACCGCATGGAGCAACTAAAAGTCGCAATTTTTGAAGAATCCCCGTAGATTCCGTGCCCTATGAGTTAACCTATACCTACCAGGTATAGCTTATAGCGGCGCCAAACAATAAAGCAGACGGAATGGAGCTTCACGCTGCTATATATACACAGTTGACGTACTGGAAGTCTTTTTATTTTGAACCTGCCTTGATATGGATAAGTGCACTCAGTGATAATGGCCTGATAGAAATGTAAGAACGCTGGTTGACATGTATTTGGAGATAAAGTATACGGAAGCACTAGACATCAAATTGGAAATCTCGCGAACTAAGACCAAGCCAAATGCGAATCTCCTCCAAGGCAGTCAGGTCATTCTCAGGAAGAGACTGCTGTATCTTTTCATCATACCATTCGTAAGTACGGCCGACATCTTCGAGGCTTTCTCCAATCTTCCGGCAAGATCCAAAATCGATAATGACTGCCCTATCATCGGCCACCATTATATTGCTTGGATTGAGGTCGTTATGAACTAAACCTAGCGCGTGAAGATGATGGAGACCACTCTCGACGTCCATAAGAACACGGCTATAGTCCTCGCTCACTTCCCGCGTGTTTCGTAGTGCTCTCTTCGAGTGAGCACCGGGGTTTACTTCTTTCATAAGCGTGTGAGGGTACTTCTCATGGCAAAGGCCCGTGATTCTGCCGTCAGAAACTTGACAACCGAGATACGTAGCAATGTTAGGATGTGGGTGCTGCATTAAGACTTCGCACACCCTTGCCTCCTTAAGGAAATCCTCTGCAATCGAATTCGGTTGAGGCCCTTCACTAACCCGGTCGTAACTGAGCAATCGAGGCGTTTTGATATAACAGCTGTTGAGCAGAGTTTCAGGCGCTAGCGTAAATTCGATAGAAAAATTGGGGTTGTAGGCCGAGGTAGGAATCTGCTTGACATTCATAATGTCCTCTGCATTGATATCCGAAGACGAAGAGTAGCGACCTTTCACCCTCCCGTGGCACAAAAGGCCATTCAACTGGTACAAAACGAGAGTACCTGCGAACTGGTAACCTTCATCTGAGTCTTCGTAGCTCGCGCACTTCTCCAGTATCTCCAGTTGTTGATTAGGAATTGGGGGAGTCGGCATGCTTAAATGGACTTTGCAGTGTCAATCATTAAGGTATACCAAGGACAGATAACACTCACCTCGTAGTCATGGGCCAGGAAGGCAAATTATTCTTCGCAACAGATGTGGAAAGGTAGACCAGGTGTCCCTTTAAAAGCAATATTAGTCTGCGAAGGTATGCCCAACCCAACCTGTACGCTCAAGGTCCATCGCTTTTGCGGCCAGAACATGGCGGCGGTCTGTGCAGTCCTTGTAACGGCCAATAATACTCATTTGCCAAAAGCCAGTGAGAAGTGTGCAGGCACCAAGATCAGTATGGTAGCGAACGCATGGGTTATTTCCTAGGGGCCAATGAGGACTGTAGCTTTTGTTCTAAGCATTGAAATTAACCAAACAAAAGGCATCATTTGATACTGGCAGAATCCAGATTTTGATGGAGCGGGCTCGATTCCAAAGGAAAAACGCGACTTTTAGCGTCCTGCACTATCGACAGGGGTATCTCGAAAAGTGCGACTGTTAGCGCGGGGCATCCACCAGCATTCGTCCGGAGAAATGGCACTTTAGAGATGTCAGGTTTGCCGCAGAAACTGTTTGTTCGGCGTGTACAAGCTGGAACTGATATGGTACATGCGAGCTGAGGGAAATGAGTAAGTACAAAGAGTATTTCGGACAGTCTTGGGAGATGGGGAAGGTTTATGTCAGTTCTGCTGTGGGCCCGAGGGCCACTCAGGCACGGAGTAGCGGGGGAGTGGGGTCAATCTATCACATGGAGTAGCCAGGTGCTATGTAACTACGTTGTAAGCACCCTTTCCTGCACTTTAGTGAAACCCTCAACCCTTTTACTCTTAACAATGGAAGCCACACCTTTGCCTTTCCTACATGCAATAGAGACTCTAAAGCATTTGCCACGGACAGGATGGCTGAGGATGTTTGACGACAACCCCGAGAGGGTTGAGAGTGTGGCGGCGCATAGCTTTCGAGTAGCCATCTTGGCCATGCTCGCTCCGGTATTTTTTTCTCTTGCCCGAGATTCCTATCAACCTTTTAGCAGCTGACTTCGTCAGGAAAACCTGAATCTAGATGTAGGGAAATGCACCGAAATGGCTTTGGTCCATGATTTGGCCGAGTCGGTCATAGGAGATATTCCAACGTGGGCTAAGGTCCCAAAGGGTAAGTCTTGCAGTTCTTATATTGTGTTAGAACAGTGAAGCTCACAAACACCACCTGGATAGAAAGGAAATACGAGATGGAACACAACGGCTTTCAATATCTACACAACTTGCTTCAAACTTATAGCCCGAAAACAGCAACGAAAATCAGCGAGCTATGGCTGGAATTTGAACAAGGAGAAACACCGGAAGCAAAATGGGTCAAGGAGATGGATAAGTTCGAGTGCCTAGTCCAGGCGCACGAATACGAACAGGAAACCTTTGGCAAAAAGGACTTCGGCGAGTTTCAAGGGCAATTAAAGGAGATTCATTCCAAAGAAGCCAAAAAATGGGCGGAATCTTTATCCCGGGAAAGGGAAGATCACTTCGCCAAGAGACAAAAGAGATTACCTATCATCTTTATTACCGGTATGTGATATAGTTCATAGAGCGCTTAGGCTTCCACGCTAAAGACTACTAGGGGATCCAGTGGCCTGCGACAATATCGCTAGCCATGTCACAGGAGAGCTTTCGCTTCCCCACATCTCTATGAACGAAACGCTACACGAAAAGGCGCAGGATCTTGAATATCGCCATCACGGTATCATCAAGAATTGTCTCGATAAGAGAATCGAAGTGCCGGCTAGCCTGGTTGTTGAAGTACTTGAGAATAAGATTAAAGCTATAGGTGAACAGTCTTGGGGGATTGTCTCTGGATTTCCGGGTGACACAGAACAGCTCGCAGAATTTGAAAAGAAGGTAATTATCCAAAAGACTCCAAGGCTTCACAGCGTGGAAGGTGACACTGACATCATTTGCTAGGTTCAAGATTGCAATTGTATCTTGTATGTGGAATGCCCTCCACACACTAATGATCAAAGGCAAGAGTCTTCAGAATCGGAAGATGCCAAGAGTACGTGGCGGCGTCCAAAAGCTCCCTTTAAGGATGTTTTGAAGAGTTCAGCTGCCCGTTTTGAAGTGGTTGGTTCTACCACCGACCAGCCGACGATGTCCGAAATAGACCTTTGCCATCTGGCCGTAAATTCGATCAAGGCTTTCATCACAGATGGAGGGTTAGTGAAACATGGCAAAAGCGCATCTTAACTAGCTCAAATTTATTGATCTACACTAAATAGAAGTCAGTTTCAAATTTCACAAGTTGCATCGTCGATTGAATCTTTGGCCGCGCTATACTGATTAGGAGAAGCCTCGCACTTCACATCCTTTTTCACCACTTTCAAACATTAGGGAGCTTACTGGTAACTGCACACTCTCTGATTTTCCATCTTTATATACATTGGAAGCTTGTGGCCGATTAGCCGATTATCCCTTGTACGCTGGTGAGACATGTGGCATTAGATATCAAGGTCAGGAACATACTCAGTGCTAATACGTAGGAATGTAGTACTTTCATAGATGCGATTGGTAGAGAAGCTCAACGAGCTAGCCAGTGCGGTGAGTGGTGTTTCTTTTTCCAGATATTCCTATTAATCGGATCTCAACTAAATAGACTAACAGGTCCCGCCAACCAACGGCTGGATTCTCGAGCTAGGCCATGGCAGACCCAATACTGCAGGCTTCTCCTGCGATTATCGCATCTACATCTCGGGGGGACACGCTACTAGTAAACGAGCTGCAGGAAATTCCTAGGCGATACGCAAGCCATTCAAACGGGAGATACTTGGCGCTAGGAGGTGGGCAGTGAGTTCCACGGCCAGGCCGCGGTACTCAGACCCGGACGGGATAGTCTCTAACGGGCTAGTAGTGGCTTCATCGTTAGTATCGTTATAAAGGTCCGAGGGGTGTAGTTAAAGAACGTCTAGTAGGGCTTACGTATTATCATATAACTACCTAGGTAGGCCGACGTACTAGGTATAGTTATGGCTATAGAGAGAAGCGGAACTAGAGGCAATAGATTGAGATGTGGTAAGTCCTGGTCGGATAGCGACACGCACGTGGAGTGTGCTAGCGAGATACGCGGGGAGACTCTTAGCTTTAGCGATTTGGCGGGTAAAGTAAACGAGGATCTTCTAGCAAACGAGTGTCTCCTTGGCATTAAAGTGAAAAGGTGAATGCAAAACTTGGCTCTGCCGCCCAATATCTTACGTGCGCGATAGAAGGAATCGGCGAACGTACCACAGGGTACGAAGATCAAAGACGTTAGTAGGTCCCACGTGTGGTGTCGAGAGGTTAGGAGGAGACTGTATAAGATAAAGAGAACCAGACTTGTGGAGATCCACGAGGATCGGTTCTTTGTCTGAAGTAGCCAAGTCTTCGCACTGGACCAAGATCAGATATCAGGAGAAATTGAGTGCAGTAATGAATCGCAAGGTATTGGCGTCGAGGGTAACATCATGCATGTTGCGTGGACGGGAGGGGACGTCGAAGAGTGCACAAAATGGTATGATAAGAGGGGGCGCCAACGACATTGTTGGCAGTGACGTCAATCTCCGCGCAAGAATATGGTTGTTGGACATTTAGTGACTGTGGGGTGGAGGGTGGGACATTGATAGGATCGTTCCGCAAGGCATTGATATATGATCGAGTCAATGGATTTGGGGCATCAGGGGGAGCAAGCTGCCATCTTTCGATGTGTACAGCGTGCTTGGTAATGGAGATAAGAATCACAATCTGTACTTGGCCATTTGAAGAACCAAACCACCATCTAGCGTCTTGAACGAGCTTTGGTCGTGATTCTGAGAACCCCGTCTCAATGACCACGGTTGGCCAGCTTAATCCATTGCCGGATGGCCAACGTTGGGCAGGGCTAAAAACTTGATCACCCTCCTTGCCGCGTCCTGTGGATCTGTATCTTGTCGCTCCGCCCCAACGGTAACATTCGTCCAATCCCATACAATCGAGTTGTCGATTGATTTTTTGAAACAAGCCGTTCGTTGTGTACTCGTGTTGGTATCCGGGCACCAAACGCAAAACACCAGTGTCGTCTTCGAACTCGAAGCGGTAGTCGATCCCCTCGAGGCAATGATGGTCATTGAAGAGTCGTTCCGCCATTTGCGGGTGTAACTTTAGGAGCACCAAGAACTGATTTCCGCTGTATTCTGCATCTTGTTCGAACTTTTGCACAATCGTTTCAGCTTCGAGCTTGACGTGTTCGAGGCTTTTTAATACACGGACGACAGCATCGGTTGGTAAGGCTGTGATGAGAGAGGGCATGGTTGAGACAGGCAAGAGTGCTAGTTGATCCATACTGACATCAGAGGACCCAGAGGGGGGTAGAGCCTCAAAACTGGTATCAGGCTCTCCTGTCGAGGCAGAATCCAAGGCGGGTCCCATCTTGATTCAGTAAAATTATCAATGAGAAAGTATGACGTGTTTCCAGCAAAGTCTCAGAGATGGGCCGATGTCAAACTGGGAGAGATGATGAAAGAGGAAAGTTTGCTTTGGTGGGAGAGACCCTATAAATACCAAAGAGTGAAGGGTTGATACCTTTTGGGAAGGCGTGTCTATGGAAGGAGCGAAAGGTGTCTGGCGTTGAAGTTTGGAGGATTTGGTCTTCCTCGCCATTTGCTGGGTTGCGAAACTTGCAAGGAGCCTTTGGCGGTTTCGCAGCGTAGTGTAGTTTGTTGCTACTCTGTCTTTTGCCCAAAAGAAGGTCGACTGAGTGCCGAAGACATCAGTGAAGGTGGGATCAAGTATAGCCTCTACAAGTTGTGAGGTTAGGCCAACTGCGAGGAGGGCTCGGCGTGTTCCCATTTCCTCATATCTCCGTGTGTGTAGGCTCGCCAGATGACCGCAGGCGTAATCAAAGAGGGAATCTGGGTTTTGTTCCAGATCGGGCCGGTTTACATAACGTGAGTAGAGATCTACCTAGGTATAGCAGTATCGGCTTCTCAGCCGATGAACTCGAGAACTTCTACGCTCTCATCCGAAGTCAGGGTGTCAAGGGTTTGGACGATTCCATCTTGGAATCCTCACGTCTCAATAGACACGGATGAGGAGGACGAGGATGAAGAGGATACCGATCTTAGTGGCGTGAATGCAGATGCGGCCTTCGCAGGCACCTCAGTGTGGACTTGAGTTCTTCGCAGCTTCGTTGTACCTTGGACTCCACTCCCAGGCCTCCTAGATTAGATTTGCAAGCACGCCCTCAGGGTTCATTACTCTTATTGTATCTGTAGCTCACTTCCTGAAATGTCGTCGTCCCCTGCTCTCCCCCTGGTTTCGATTGAGGCAATGACTGACATCGGATCTGGTGACGATGATGTGTGACTGAGATATCTCTCACCTCGGCCTCACCTCGGCCTCACTCCGGCCTCATTTCTGGCCTCATTTCTGGCCTCATTTCTCGACAGACGGGTGATAGAAAACAAATTGATTGTGTCTCTCCACAATCTTCCGTTGCTTGTAGAGAGTTAAGGTCTGTAAATATTTAAAAAGAAGTAACTATTGTTACCTCAGATTTGGTACGATCTGATTGCTGATTCTGTCACATTTACTGAAATCTTTGCTTTTACCATTTTCTGGAACCACAGTATTGTTATAGATATCCTAATAGTCCAAGTTACGGGCTCGCTAATAGATGTTCTTACAATTGGGAAGTTTGGCGTCCAATCATGCTGCATCCGTGCTTTGATTCTTCCACTATATTATTGCCGAGATTGAAATCCACATCGACTTCTATTTGGCATCAAATAAGGCAGTAAAGTGTACCAGCTGGTTGATATAGACTGGAATGCAGGGAAATACTCGTTATGTATTTTCCTTAGAGGTTGTTGTTTAGGTGTGTAATTCTCGCGCTAACTTAGGTCACTACCTACCTAGGACCTAAGTTACTGTATAAGATGCATTCTACCACTCGGCTAAAAGACCATAGCAACAATCGGAACGTCCGATCGTAGCTGTTGTGGTAATATACTAGGCCCTAGCAACCGCTCGGGACCACATGCAGGTAATCAATCGCGCACGTGAGGGGTCACCCCACTATGGAAATCTGGGGAGCTTCGAATCGACATTTGCGTCAATTATCTTCAATCTGGGCCTTAGAGCTGAGATCCCATGGCCGCAGACTTCTGGGCTGGCTACATCAGCGGAGCCATTGGAATCATCATTGGCAATCCCCTCGATGTCGTCAAAGTCCGTCTGCAAGCGGGAAGCTCACATGCAGATGCATCGCCCGCACATCTGAGCCGCTTTGAAAAAGCAAGCTCTCTCGTCCGAGGTCCGTGTTACACCGATTCGACACCAATAGCACTCAATTGATATCGTTATAGGCGCAGCTGCTCCGATCTTAGGCTATGGAGCTCTCAATGCTATTCTTTTTGTTGCATACAACCGATCCTTAGCAGCATTGGACGGGTCCGTAACGGATCCCACCAATCCCGTGGGGGTCTCGCCTTACAAGATCTGGCTGGCCGGTGCCGCAGGCGGACTGGCTAGCTGGACCATCTCATCCCCAACGGAGTTCATCAAGTGTCGGGCACAGCTGGATCGCAGGCCGGAAGTCTCCTCGTGGGCGGTCGCCAAGGATATCTTCCGAACGCGCGGTTGGAGGGGTTTATACTTTGGGGGCGGGATTACTAGCGCCAGAGATTCAATTGGCTATGGATTCTAGTATGGAACTAACACGCCACCCCCAGATACCCCAGTGTATCAATTGAGGGATATAGTGCTAACGTAGCGCAGTTTCTGGTCCTACGAACTTTGCAAACGATTTATGACCTCTGATGATGATGGTTCACACCAGGCCGCTATGAAGATTCTGCTTTGCGGTGGCATTGCCGGCATTGTTACTTGGGGCTCGGTGTTTCCTTTGGATATGATCAAGACACGACTGCAGGCACAGACAATTGCAGATCATTCGCCCAGGGCAACTGAAAGCCAATCTCTACTACGATCACGCCAAACGCTAAGTTCTTTCCAGATTGCGAAAGATACATATCGTGCCGAGGGTATCAAGGCATTCTATCGTGGCCTTGGAGTCTGCAGTATCAGAGCGTTCATTGTGAATGCCGTTCAAGTATGTTTTCTCGATGTTGCTATCATGATCGATTAAAGAACTAACATTTGGTAAAGTGGGCGGCATATGAATGGTTGATGAAGAGCTTTAATCATTCCTGGGACGCACAAGTCAAAACCCAAGAGGCCGCAACGGGTCTGTAAATATGTTCAACCCGGCCATCAAGCATATAGAAGATGTGGAACATATCAAAACATTAGAAGCCGAGCTACGCATACCGAAAGCCGAGTTAGGTTAGATTCTATTTGGTATTGAGGGATTTCTATTGGAATTACTCGGTAGTATTGCTAGTAAGGGGGTAAATTTCGCCCCAGATGCCGTTTTGCCGATGTTCGGCGGTTTCGAGTCACCCGCAAACCGGAAGAGCGAAAACCCGGCGAGTATCGGCAATATAAAAAAAATTGCTTCACGTGAGACTCCACCGATATGCATGTACGGAAGAGGAAGTCAACATCAGAATAGGTCTAGATGTATTATCCCGGAAACTTTTGTATGTCGATTTGCGTATGTCGATTTGCTGGAAAGAATATCGTGGTCGCGTAGCAAAGGTCTGATTTTTATCCCAGAAGGCGAAGCTCAAGCTTCGATTCACTCCTTCATCTCGTCGGGGTTTTCTTCGCGCTTGCCGTTGTCGACAAGTCCCAGTCCGATCGCACGCTCGGCAAGCAATTGGCTGTGAGGCTCCTCGCGCAGGATACGAAGTCTACATAAAACGTAGCTAGTCAGCGAATGCGACAGAAGACATGTCGAATACACTCACCTCCGCTTGTGGTTCTTGCCCTTCGTATGTGCCTTGAGGTTGTAGTCGCTCTCAAACCATTTGGAGCACTCTGTGCAGTAGAATTTGCCTAGCCCAGGCAGATCCTCCACATCCTTCGAGTCCTTGTACTGCTGGAGGTGACGGGGAGTTTTGATATCCGCAACGACCTGATCGTAGTCTCTGTGAATTTGTTAGCAACCAGCGCCAACAATTGGTACAGGTATAACCCCTAGGGTAGACGTACCTGGTGCGGCGCTTGTTCTTGACTCTTCTGAGAGCACCCATTGTTCCTGATAGCCGAAATACCTCGGAGCTGGAGCCGAATATCAAAATAGGTGCAAGGAAATGAAAATTGCTTATCACCGATTTCCGGAGTGAACGGTGGAGGAAAGCGGGTCAAAGAGGCTATGGACAATAGCAAGTGTTTGAGATTGAAATTTCCGCCGATTGTGGGTCACGGGCAGCGATTGAAACGCCTGAGCGGTGATTGGCTGGTGGACAGACACGGCACCTTGGCGGCGATGCGGGATTGCCATTCGGCTCACCTCGGCTCAGTTGGATTTCGTCACCGTACACCCACGTATTTAATGACGTTTGCATGCGGTATGTTGTTCCAGCTCTCTAGTTCAAGTTTAATACAATTTCAAGTTATATAAAAAGTAGATGCAGCTATAGAATATAGTTATGTAGGGTATAATGATGGCAATATTGTTTTAAAAAGCTCTCTGCTAGTACAACATCATATAGCATCATGAACTAGATATAGTAAACACATGTCGACCATTGGCTGGGTTCATACGTACGAAACCCATCAAATCCACATGCCGCCAGCTGCCCTTTAACGGTAGCACGGGGTACAGGCCGAGAAAGTTACATGAAAACACATTGACCTTTTCAAAGTCAGCCCTTTTGTCCGAAATGGGAGAACTGGGCGAAAGGGGTCTTGTAATTGGAAACTCCGTGATTGGTGGCCGAGTTATACCCGTCACATGCCTTGTATCGGTGTTACGTTCCCGGTACCTCCCAAAGTGAACACAAAGGCAGATATTGAATATTGGAAGTTCAAATGAGAAGAGAATAGGAATAGGAAAAGAATCGGGGTTATATTCCTCTTACAACTCATCATCTATTATAATAGACCTTGAGTAAATATTCGAGAATTCTCGGCCATAAGCAGCGTCTATCAAATTGCCCAGCCTTCTTGCCGTCGCATGCGGCAGGCTTAGTCCAATACCAGCGTATTGTATCGCCGTGGTAACAGCGGTTACGGCTCTACTCCCGGTCCCCGTAGAATCTTTCTCCCACTCAAAACCAAGCTTTCATCCTCTTCTTCCTTTTTGATCTCTTCCTCTCTCATTCTACTCTCCACTCTCATACATACTTTGGTGAAGGTGGTTACTAGCTCTTGGATGTGCAATCCCATCTCATAGAGCTTCCATCATGATCTCCACCCGCCTTGCGCGCGCCGGTGCGCTGGTACGTCTCTCCCTCGGCTCGTCGTTGCCACATGGCGATCTACCTGAGTGCCAGTCTCTTTGATGAATGGAAAACTAACTTGTGTTTCGACTCTAGGCCCCCAAGTTCCGTCTTGTAAGCAGCGACCTCATTGCCAAGCTTCAACTACACGTGGCGTGGCACATATGCCGGCGTGCATGATAGCTCAGACATAGCTTAGACCTGCAGTTACTGACTTTTCAATGTATAGCTTAGCGGAACCCGGGCCTTCGCTACCGTCAATGACCCCCTCGACAAGAAGGTCGAGATGACCAACCAGGAAACTGTGAGTGGCTGCCAGCCTAAGGCCTCGAATAAAACGGGCGTCGAGCACGATTCCAAGCAATAGCGACTGACGTATTACATCTCAGGGTCACTACATCAACTACAAGAAGATGTCCGAGAACCTCGCCATCGTCCGTTCCCGTCTGCAGCGTCCTCTCACTTACTCCGAGAAGGTCCTCTACTCTCACCTTGACGACCCTCACGGCCAGGACATCCAGCGTGGTGTCTCTTACCTCAAGCTGCGCCCCGACCGTGTTGCTTGCCAGGATGCCACTGCCCAGATGGCTATTCTGCAGTTCATGTCCGCTGGCATGGACCGCGTCCAGACCCCCACCACCGTCCACTGTGACCACTTGATTGAGGCCCAGGTTGGAGGTGAGAAGGATCTTGCCCGCGCCAACGAGATCAACAAGGAGGTCTACGACTTCCTTGCCTCCTCTACCGCCAAGTACAACATCGGTTTCTGGAAGCCCGGTTCCGGTATCATTCACCAGATCGTTCTTGAGAACTACGCCTTCCCCGGTGGTCTGATCATCGGTACTGACTCTCACACCCCCAACGCTGGTGGTCTCGCTACCGCTGCTATTGGTGTCGGTGGTGCTGATGCCGTCGATGTTATGGCTGGTCTCCCTTGGGAGCTGAAGGCTCCTAACGTCATTGGTGTCCGCCTCACTGGTAAGATGTCTGGCTGGACTACCCCTAAGGATATCATCCTTAAGGTCGCCGGTCTCCTCACCGTCAAGGGTGGTACCGGTGCCATCATTGAGTACCACGGTCCCGGTGTTGAGTCCCTGTCTTGCACTGGTATGGGTACCATCTGTAACATGGGTGCTGAGATTGGTGCTACCACCTCTATCTTCCCCTTCAACGACCGCATGTACGACTACCTGAAGGCCACCAAACGTCAGCACATTGGTGACTTCTCTCGCGAGTACGCTGCTTCCCTCCGTGAGGATGAGGGTGCTCAGTACGATCAGCTCGTTGAGATCAACCTCGATGAGCTTGAGCCCCACATTAACGGTCCCTTCACTCCCGATCTCGCCACTCCTATCTCCCAGTTCAAGGAGGCTGTCAAGACCAACAAGTGGCCCGAGGAACTCAAGGTCGGTCTGATCGGCTCTTGCACTAACTCCTCCTACGAGGATATGTCCCGTGCTGCTTCCATCGCCCGTGACGCTCTTGACCACGGTCTCAAGTCCAAGTCTCTGTTCACCATCACCCCTGGTTCCGAGCAGATTCGCGCTACTATCGAGCGTGACGGACAGCTCGAGACCCTCGAGGAGTACGGCGGTGTCATCCTTGCCAACGCCTGCGGACCTTGCATTGGTCAGTGGGACCGTAAGGACGTGAAGAAGGGTGAGGCTAACTCCATCATCTCCTCCTACAACCGTAACTTCACTGGCCGTAACGACGCCAACCCCGCCACCCACGCGTTCGTTGCCTCTCCCGATCTGGTCGTCGCCATGACCGTTGCCGGTACTCTCAACTTCAACCCCATCACCGACACCCTCAAGGGCAAGGATGGCAAGGAGTTCAAGCTCAAGCCTCCCTCCGGTGACGGCCTTCCCACTCGTGGCTACGATGCTGGCCGTGACACCTACCAGGCTCCCCCCCGCTGATCGCTCGTCTGTCAGCGTTGCTGTCTCCCCCACCTCCGATCGTCTCCAGATTCTCGAGGGCTTCCAGGCTTGGGATGGCAAGGATGCCACCGACATCCCCATTCTGATCAAGTGCAAGGGCAAGACCACCACTGACCACATCTCCATGGCTGGCCCTTGGTTGAAGTACCGTGGCCACTTGGACAACATCTCCAACAACATGTTGATCGGTGCCACCAACGAGGAGAACGGTGAGGCCAACAAGGTCAAGAACTACTTCACCAAGGAGTACGATGCCGTCCCCGCCACTGCCCGTGACTACAAGGCTCGTGGCGTCAAGTGGGTTGTCATTGGTGACTGGAACTACGGTGAGGGCTCTTCCCGTGAGCACGCCGCTCTCGAGCCCCGTCACCTCGGTGGTCTCGCCATCATCACCCGCTCCTTCGCTCGTATCCACGAGACCAACTTGAAGAAGCAGGGTATGCTTCCTCTGACCTTCAGCGACCCCGCCGACTACGACAAGATCCACCCCGAGGACAAGGTCGACCTCCTCTGCACTCAGCTCGAGGTTGGCAAGCCCATGACCCTCCGTGTCCACCCCAAGGACGGTGGTGCCGCCTTCGACGTCTCCCTCAGCCACACTTTCAACGAGTCCCAGATTGAGTGGTTCCACGACGGCTCTGCCCTCAACACCATGGCCCGCAAGGCTTAAACTGTCTTTCTTCTGTCACGACTCTCCAATAAAACCTTCAAGTGTTCCGGCTATAACCGAAACACCTGTGTAAACTACGTTCTCTTGTGTGTTGAACAATTCAGATACATGCCTCTGAAAACCACGGTGTGACACGGCAACCATTAACTTGGTTGTCTATTGCCCATGTCCCTTTCGCGAGCAGGATACGAGGAGTTGCGCTCTTGGGAAAAATTATGAATGAACTTGTGTTTTTGTAGGCCTGATTTCTCGGCCTTGCGTTGATTCCCAATATCTGGGTGGGACCAATGGATATACTCTTTTTGATTTTTACATCACTGTTTTTGTATGTTAAGAATGGCATGCATACACAATTTCTTTTTGTTTTCAAATTGTTCCTTTCATAAGTCGTAGATTCGTACCAAGTACATATTTCAATCACGTCCGGCATAAGTAGAGAGACAGAGAACGTCCGACAGAAATACCGTTCACACCTCGGACATATCCAAAAGCTGAGATAAGCTACCGAGGCACAATTTCTGCCCCGCGTTTGTTGGACTTCGGTATAAGATTGACTTGGACGCCATCAGATCATCTTACTCCGTCATAGGCCCGGCAAGTTTGGCGCTTTAATATACTTCCAAGTTCACCTATGCATCTCAGTACACACCATCTATCCGTATCGAACAGGCCTACAGCATTTTGAATGATAAAGCAACCACCAGTTGACCACAGATTTGCACTTCCGGATCCAGATATAGGAACGAGGTTGTTAAGGTTCTCCCATTTTTTATCTGCTATTCCCACCCTATCTTGAGAATGGCGACTCAGCTCGTCCAGCTCCCAGAAGTGGAGCGTCTCAGCGCCTCGGTTGTAAGGATTCTAGGTGGAAATCCGGGGAAGGTGAGTGCATAGATGCATGATGTCACTATAGCATGACAAACTAATCAATAGCACGCTCTGCGATACAGTTCACACTACAAGGTAAGCATCATACTCCATCCACTCAGAACATACTCTAACGACACATCCAGGCACAAACACATACTTAATTGGCCGCGGCCACCAGCGGATCTTAATAGACACAGGCGAAGGCAAGCCCGCATGGGCAGCAAACCTTCAATCCGTGCTTTCGCAAGAAAAAGCAACAGTATACCAAGCTCTCCTGACACATTGGCATGGCGACCATGTCAGTGGGTTGCCAGATCTGCTCAAGCTCTGTCCCCAGGCTCAGATCTTCAAACACCAGCCTGATTCCGCTCAGACAGATATCCATGAGGGTCAGGTATTCTCCGTTGAGGGTGCTACCCTGACAGCATTCCATACGCCTGGACATACCGTTGATCATATGGTATTCATGCTCGAGGAGGAGGATGCTATGTTCACGGGTGATAGTAAGTGCGGTTCTTTTAACCCAACTCTTCCCTTCCACCGATAGAACATGATATACAATGTCCTTCGGGAAACATATCTGACTAAAATGAACAGACGTCCTAGGCCACGGCACAGCCGTCTTCGAAGACCTCAAAACCTACCTCAACAGCCTGCACCGGATGCGCGACCGCGTATCCTCAGGCCGGGGCTACCCCGGACATGGGGCGGTGATCGAGAATGCCGGCGCGCGGATCACCGAATACATTAAGCATCGACAGCAGCGGGAAGATGAAGTCCTGCGCGTGTTGCGATTTGGAAAGCTTGATGTCGCGACTGGCGAGTCCTCGCCGGAGCACAAGCAGTCCTGGACGCCTATTGAGTTGGTCAAGCGCATTTACCGCGATGTTCCGGAGTCTTTGCATTTACCTGCTTCGCATGGTGTCTTACAGGTGTTGATGAAGCTTGAGGACGAGGGGCGCACGGTGCATGAGTCGGATTCGGGGAAATGGAGTCTTGCGAGTGAGAGGTCGGCTCTGTAAGTTATATAGATTATATAGATCTAAAAGACTTGGAAAAGATATCCGACATCTTAGAACATCCATATTGTGCTTTGATTATCTGACTAGCTTGGCATGGATGTTGCACGATCTGATGTCCAGATGCGGAGTCAGAATGATCAAAACCTGTCTAGGAAAAGATCTGACGACATCCCTCTATCAGATCCGAATTGCAGAATAGAAAGAGATAGAAATATTTTTTTTTCCTTGGTTCTTATATTTTTCCCTGCTTGTTTCCAACACTTTCCAACACCCATGAGAGCGATATTGAGGCCCACCGGTCGTTCCAACAATTCCAGGGAAGAGTGACGTTCGCATTCCGGTCCCCCGCTTTGCCCTCTCTCACCTTTTGCCTTTTTTTCTCTCTCTCTTCACACTCGACTTTTTCTTTTTAATTTGGTATTACTGCTCGCTGTTATCTACCTATGGAGATAGATTGCTAGTCTGGTGCTCATTCGGAGTGAATATCCACTTGTTCCAAAGGTTGGTTCATCATCGTCATGATCTCCAGTTTCCCCATCTACGAAATTGACTCTAATCGCATGTTCTCTCGGAACTATAGGAGTCCAGCTTGCCTTGCCTACTCTCAAAGCCATTATTTTAATCCACATAATCTCATCCTCCATTTTCCCCCGGTATCCGATCCATCATGCCTTCCATCGAACCCAAGAATGAAGCTCGCCTGCTTCTAGTCTCGAACCGTCTGCCGATCACCATCAAGCGGTCCGATGATGGGAAATATGATTTCTCAATGTCTTCAGGAGGTCTGGTCAGTGGTCTGAGTGGACTTTCAAAGTCAACCACCTTCCAGTGGTACGGCTGGCCCGGTCTGGAGGTTCCCGAAGCCGAGATCCCCGTCGTGAAGCAGCGCCTCAAGGAAGAATACGGCGCTGTACCGGTCTTCATTGACGATGACCTGGCAGATCGACACTACAATGGGTTCTCCAGTCAGTTGCTCCTTCCCGCGAAACCCTTGGAATGTACACTAATACTTTGTTCTCTCGGATAGACTCCATCCTCTGGCCTCTGTTCCATTACCACCCTGGCGAGATCACTTTTGACGAATCCGCCTGGGAAGCTTACAAGGAAGCGAACCGTCTTTTCGCAAAGGCTATCTGCAAGGAAGTACAGGATGGCGACCTGATTTGGGTTCACGACTACCACCTGATGCTGCTTCCGGAGATGCTCCGCGAGGAAATCGGCAGTACCAAGAAGAACGTGAAGATCGGTTTCTTCTTACATACACCGTTCCCTAGCAGCGAGATCTATCGAATTCTTCCTGTGCGGAATGAACTGCTCTTGGGTGTCCTGCATTGCGACCTGATTGGCTTCCACACTTATGATTACACGCGCCATTTCCTGAGCAGTTGCTCGCGTCTACTGTTAGTATACCCCGCATTGCTTGGAGTTCATATCTAACCAGGTTAGGGGTCTTGCAACTACGCCCAATGGCATTGAGTTCCAGGGCAAGATTATCACATGCGGAGCTTTCCCCATTGGTATTGATCCTGAGAAGTTCAAGGAAGGGTTGAAGAAGGAGAAGGTCCAGAAGCGCATTGCCATGCTAGAGCAGAAGTTCCAGGGTGTGAAGCTGATGGTCGGCGTCGACCGTCTTGATTACATCAAGGGCGTGCCCCAGAAGTTGCACGCGCTCGAAGTGTTCCTCAGCGACCACCCAGAATGGGTTGGGAAGGTCGTGCTTGTGCAAGTTGCCGTCCCCAGTCGACAGGATGTCGAGGAGTACCAGAATTTGAGGGCCGTGGTGAACGAGCTGGTAGGTCGGATTAATGGAAAGTTCGGTATGTATCGTCGTTTGGTGTTCTGAGCAGGGCTAATCGTCCTTCAAGGTACGGTCGAGTTCCAGCCTATTCACTTCCTGCACAAGTCCGTCAACTTCGACGAACTCATTGCTCTCTACGCCGTATCGGATGCCTGCATTGTCTCATCTACCCGTGACGGTATGAACCTAGTGGCCTACGAGTACATCGCTACCCAACAGAAGCGCCACGGTGTTCTGGTGCTTTCCGAATTCGCCGGGGCGGCTCAGAGTCTGAACGGCAGCATTATCGTGAACCCCTGGAACACGGAAGAACTGGCAGGCGCCTACCAAGAAGCGGTGACCATGAGCGATGAACAGCGGGCGCTCAATTTTGCTAAGCTGGACAGATACGTGTCCAAGTACACCAGGTACGTTCCCCTGTCACTCTGCCAACCAGGTCGTCTCCTGTTTTCGTATTTCGTTTCCGACTGACTATTTTCTAGCGCATTCTGGGGCCAATCCTTCGTCACTGAACTCACCCGGATATCAGCTCACTCTGTCGATAAGTTCCAAGCCAAGAAATTGGCGGAAGCAGATTCAAACGAAGGCGATGTGCCACCTACGACACAAGACGCGTAATAATCTTTGAGATTTCTCTTCCGAGGCATGTTTTTCCCTGTTTCTTGGTGCTCTGCAGTCGGAACGGGTCTTTCAAATGAAACTTAGATGGCCTTCACGAACATGGATGAGGCGAAATGTATTTTCTTAGAGGTTTCTTGTTGGTTTCTGCTTTCCTTTTTTACTTTTTCTAAAATTTGATTACTGTATACAGGTTGGGTTTCCTTCTAGGCCAGGCATAGAAACGGTTAGATTGGCTCATAGTTTTGTCCAGCTATATTGTAATAGGAGGTAGCGGTTAGACAGAGTTGGGAATCCACGTAGGTGAATTGACACTCTAAACACTTGAACAATAAGCAGTTTAGGTGCTATCTACACTTAAATATGAGGATATTGCTATCAAGTTGCCCAGTTACTCCTGAGTCCATCCTAGTCGATGTCTTTCTTATACTATGGTGCAAACAGTGCAAACATGCTTCCCCGAGAAATTCTCGAAATCCTCAACTGCAAACACCGCAAGCTCGCAACCATTTGGGCGGTCATTACCACAAACCATCCACCTGCTTGACCACCTCCAATTCCTGGTCTTCTCCAATCCCATCCAACTACAACCGGAAGAGCAACCCCCTGCTCCCTTACCAACAATGGCACCAAGCCACCTCCTCCGGGCAACAATGCCTCTCCGCGCCTCAATCACCACACCTCTGTCCCTGACACGCCCCTCAATCCTCCAATCAACCACATACCTCACCACGCTCCGCAACGCCTCAACAACCACCCCAACCCCCCACACAGCCCAAGACCACCGGCACAGAAACACAAGCGCCCTCCCGACTGCGCAACTACGCCTCCGCCCTGAAAACCGGCACCGTAGTCTCCGTCGGCCGCATGGACCGCACCGTGCGCGTCTGCCACCGCCACACATCCTGGGACCGACACATCCGCAAGTTCTACCCGCAGGAAACGCACTACCTAGTGTCAGACCCGCGCAACTCCCTCCGCGAAGGCGACATAATCGAGTTCTCCTCCGGCGCGCCCAAGAGCCGAAACGTGCACCACGTCGTCGAGCGCATCATCACGCCCTTCGGCGAGGCTATTGCCGACCGTCCCGCTGTGTTGTCGAAGGAGGAGCGCGAGGCGGAGCGTGAGAAGCGCTGGGCGGCTAAGTATCTGCGTCGTGAATCGAAACGACTTGGTCGTCAGCTGGATCTTGTGGAGGAGGCGGCTAAGGCGGGTGTTCCTGTGCCGGAGGGGGAGGTGCTTTCTACTGCGCAGTTGATTCATCGGATTCATGCGGAGAATGAGCGCGTCGGGAAGGTTAAGAGGATTGTGCAGGAGAGAGTCGCGGAGGATGAGAGGGTGCAGGAGAGTCAAGAGGCTAAGCGCTGAGCTGTTGGGTTTTACTGAAGAAGTGTACGTTTAGCTCTTTATGGCAGTATTTGGACTGTCGGGTTTGTCCTTTGGCCTCTATGTTGCATATCGGAGGTTATGTACTGTATTATACCGCTTCAATCTATTTTCATTGGCATTGTGATATGTTGTATTCCTGTGTGGATCTTCCAACTAAAAGTAGGTCTAAAGTATGTATGAGAAAAGGAAGGAGAGGAACCATCAATATCAAAACACAAAAACACCAACAGTGTACGTCGTAAACATGGGGTTGGCCAAGACGAGGTCTAGTTCAATCCCCTAATCATTTGTAAACAGAAAAGAAAGTCACTGGTATCACGGAAGAATAACCAACTCCTTTACCCAGAAACGGCAAATTGTGCCCGTCAAATCCTGAAACCTTCAACTTAAAAGTATGACCCTGGCGAGAAACGCAGTGCTCTCTGCTCCTCGCTCGGTGCTAACTTAAATCGAAGGTCATGCCGCGAAGACCCGAACCTTGAGATCAACACTGCCAGTCGCCAGAACACATCGAATTGACATCTTTGTCGCGTCTTCTTTCGCCCCGTTAGACGCAACCTCGGTACCGTTCGCACCCTCATTTGCACCAGCGTCCTTAACCAAAGGCGGCGCCCACCGAAGCGAACTGATAAAGTGGCCGTGGGCCACAATCGTGCGCACACACTTACATTCTTGCGTGAGATCCCAGCACCGCAAGGTCTTGTCGTCAGATACTGAGAGAAGGTATTTTCCACCGGGATGGAAGACCAATGAGCGGACCCAGTTGTCGTGGCCAACAAGGGTCTTGATGCAGTTTCCGCGGGTATCCCATAGACGGATGGTCTTATCGCGAGAACCAGTAGCCACAAACTCGGCGGACGACGATGCTGGTGGTGGCTTCTTTAGCCCCGCAAGAGCTGCGAAGTGAGGGTAGCTTGTTGGCGGAGCAAAGGCCACACACTCGATATAGTGCTCATGGCCCAGGAATGTTGATTTGGTATCACCAGATGAGATATCCCACAGACGTGCAACTCGGTCATCTCCACCGGAGAAGAGGAACCGGCCGTCTGGGGACGGTGTAACATCTCGAATCCAGTCTCCATGGCCCTGCATGGATTTGACACAATATCCGGTTGTGACATCCCATATGCGCAGTGTGAGATCGCGAGAGGCCGAGACAAGCAGGTTTCCTGACATGGGAGACCCTGCAGCTCCGGATGGAATGAACCGAACTGCTGAAACACTGTGGTCGTGCCCTGGTAGCGTCCGGATGTTCTTATACTCGTCAGCCGGGTCCCACAATTTAATCGTCAGGTCTGACGAGCATGATGCAAGAAGTGTGCCCCCCGCGCGGGCCTCCATAGTCGACGTCCAACACTGCCCTGGTATGTCCTTTGATTGTGCGTTCTAGTTCACCCAACTCCCAGTCCCAGATCTTGATTGTGGTATCATCTGAGCCGGAGGCCAAGGAAGAGAATATTGGATGGAAAGCGAGACACGATACTGGCGAGCGGTGCGATTCGAGGTCATGGCGCGCAGGTGCGCGAGGCAGCCAGGAGACTGGGTCTTGGTTTTTGCGATTCAGAGAGGTCGGGGTTGCGGTATCCAGCTCAGACTGGAGTGAAGCGCATCGTGCTTCCAAATCCATAATCTATACCGGAATAGCGGGTTAACAAGAGGAAGGCTTGTGGTATGCTTGGTCTTCGCACCTTTTTCTGTAACCGGACTACGCTCGTCCATTTCTTCTCCAAGAGGCCTTCATATTTCTTTAGTGTGGTATCGTCGACTCTAATCGAGTCGCCTAGTTCTTCTCGTAAAGCGGCGGAGCTGTGGTGTAAATTCACAGAGGTGAGGTAGGCGATTATTCCTTTGTGTCTGTCGCAAAACACCATCAGCGATCACCCCTAAATGAACAAGATCGGGTCACATACAGCTCCTCCGCCTGCCGCGACGTGAGAAGTTGACTCATGGCGTTATATGTACTCTCTGTTCTCGCCTGTCCAAATGCGCATGCACCAAATTGGTCCACAAAACTGCGATGGAGGGGAAAGGTGGGAGCGATGTCGAAGAAAGGGGAGTTTGGACTTCCAGAGTTGACGAATTGGCGAATTGACGATTTGATCCAGAAAGAAAGAAAGAGAAGAGAAGATAAATATGAAGAAGTTGAGATCCACCGCGGGGGGTTTAAACAAAACAATCTTCGCCAAGGCTTTTGTTTACTTTCCTTCAACTTCAACTGTTTATTTTCTTTTAACCCCAGTGTCTTTCGACTATCTCCACTTTGGTCATTATACACCTTTGACTTTGACTTAGATTCATGTTCTAGTTGTCTTATTGATTCTTTCTTTGATACCCTTTGGGCATCAACCCACAGTACGATCATCTGAACCCCGAGACACACCCCCCGCAACAACCAACTCCAGGACCTTTTATCTCTTTCTCCGGAACCTTCTCTGCTGCCATGCGCACTTCTGGTCGGACACTACAGAACGTGCTGACTCCTTTTCCTTCCTAGAACCCGTTGATAGTTCTCGTCTTTCCCCCATCAGAATGGCTGAAGCCACGGAGGACTTCTCCTCCTTACCCTTGCCCGACCGGTTCGCTCACAAGGTGCGCTCATTCCTGCATGACAAGTCCGATCAATAGGATCGCTGAAACTCTAACACCGATTTGCAGAACTGGAAAGTCCGAAAGGAGGGATACGAGGATGCAAAAGGGCAATTTGAAAAGACTCCTGATGAATCACACCCGGTCTTCGTACCATTCATACAAGATCCCAGCCTGTGGAAAGGGGCAGTTGCAGATTCCAACGTCGCCGCCCAGTCTGAAGGTCTTGCAGCATACTGCGCCTTTTTGAAATTCGGAGGAGCCCAGGCCTGCACGAGGTGCGTCAAACCCCGGTCCCAGCCGCGACAGCCTTCTTGGTCCACCCTGCATCCACTGACAAAAGTTCCCATTTATAGGTCCCGCTCATATACAATTGGCCCAATTGCTGAGAAAGGTCTCCCATCTACACGACCGGCCGGTAAAGCTAGCGCCCAGGAAGCTCTTTTATTATGTGTTGAATTGGATAAGGCCGATCCGGTGATCGAGGAGCTACTACCCATACTATCACACAAAGTACCGAAGGTGATCGCCGCCTGTCTTGCCGCCTTGACCCTCATTTATCACAACTACGGCTGTAAGATCGTCGACCCGAAGCAAACTTTGAAGGCCCTTCCCAAGGTTTTTGGCCATGCCGATAAAAATGTCCGCGCGGAAGCACAAAACCTGACCGTGGAACTGTATCGGTGGCTCCGAGAGGCCATCAAGCCTCTGTTCTGGGCCGATTTGAAACCTGTGCAACAGGGAGATTTAGAGAAACTATTCGAAGCTGTGAAGCAGGATCCCACACCGAAGCAAGAACGATTCACTCGAGCACAACAGGATGCCATGGCTACGGCCAGCGCTGCACCGGCGGGCGAGGAGGGTGAGGAACCAGCTGGCGACGGATTTGATGAGGAGGAAGATGGGGTGGTGGTTGATGCCTTCGACCTGGCGGAACCGGTTGATGTCTTTAAGAAAGTCCCTGCCGACTTCCATGGTCAATTGGCCTCGTCAAAATGGAAGGACCGCAAGGAAGCGTTGGACGCTCTCTATAACGTTATCAACGTTCCCCGAATGCAAGACGGACCTTACGACGAGATAGTGAGGGGATTGGCCAAATCCATGAAGGACGCCAACGTCGCTGTCGTCACGGTAGCTGCGAACTGTGTGGACTTGTTAGCCAAGGGCCTTCGCAACGGTTTTACCAAATACCGAGGTGTCATTATGGCGCCCATGTTTGAACGTTTGAAAGAGAAAAAGGTGACTGTCGCAGATGCTTTGGGCCAGGCGTTGGATGCTGTCTTCACAACGACAACCCTTACGGACTGCTTGGAAGAGATATTTGAGTATCTCAAGCACAAGAACCCACAAGTCAAGCAGGAAACTGTCAAGTTCTTGATTCGTTGCTTGCGCACAACCCGGACGGTACCAGCCAAAGCAGAGCAGAAAGCCATCGCTGATGCTGGCACAAAGCTATTGACCGAGTCAGCCCCGGCAATCCGCGAAGGAGCTGCCGAAATTCTGGGTACCTTAATGAAGATTCTGGGTGAACGGGCCATGAACCCGTATCTCGATGGACTTGACGAGATTCGTAAAACCAAGATCAAAGAGTACTTTGGAACCGCTGAAGTCAAGGCCAAGGAGCGGCCCAAGCCTATTATGGCACCCCCAAAGCCTGCTGCCCCAGCTGGCAGGAAGGTCGTTGGCAAGAAGCCGGCAACAGGGCTGAAAAAACTAGCCCCTGTAGCCGCTCCACCTGCCCCAGAAGAATCCCCGGCCAAACCTGCAGCCAGAGGAATCCCTTCAAAGCTCGGTGCACCGAAGCCCGGCGGCCTTCCAACTCCTGGATCAGGTCTCAAGCTGCAACGGAAGCTTGCTGGCCCTGGAGCCACTGCGTCACCGTCAAGACGAGTTGCTGCACCCCCAGAAGAGGATGTGGCTCCCCCGCCAGCCGCTCCCAAATTCGGTCTTGGTCGTGGCCTTGCGGGTCGTCCCATTGCCAGACCGTCAGCGCCTGCTGAACCTGCGCCTGCCCCAGCCCCTTCACCTGCTGCCAATGCTATGGCAGCCGCCGAGCGTGCTGAGTTAGAGGCATTACGGGCGGAGAAGGAGAACTTCAACCGAACCGTGGAAGAGATGAAGTCCGAGCGTTCAAAGCTCAATTCGACGATCACGGAACTTCAGAACCAGAATGCACAGTTGATTGAGGACCACACCCGCGATGTCTTGAGCATCAAGGCGAAAGAGACTCAGCTTGTTCGCGCTCGGAGTGATGCGGAAACTGCGGAGGGAAGTGTTCAGAAACAGCAGAGAGAAATCGAAAGATTGAAGCGTGAACTCGCACGAGCACTTCGCGCGTCTGCCATAAGCCCACCTAACGCTGCCTCCGATGCAGGAAGCATGGGCATGCCAGACACAAACTCCATGTATCAGGACCACATCGCCAACAGCAATGCTGCTTCACGGTCTGGTCTTCACATGGGATCCCGCTTCGAAAGCTCGCGTCCTCGAAGCTACGCTTCTGCTACTCCCAGCGAGGAGAGAGAGAAATAACGGCATGGAATCACCAGGACCCAGCAGTCGCAGTGGCGGCCTCGGCAGACGTAACTTGAGCCCTACATACGGTTACTCGGCTGTTGGTAGCCCGACGCGCTCATCCGCCCGAAACTCCAACACAAATTTCACCGAAGACGACCAGCAGCCCAGATCTTCTGAACCGGCAGAGAACTGGAAGCGAGCTGCGGAAGTCACCAGCCAACTGAAGGCGAGAATTGAACAAATGAAGGTGAGTGATTGTCTACCCGAAGACCTATGTCTGAATCTCAACTAACAAGAATACAGGTACGCCAAGGGCTTTCACGACCTCAACGTTAATGACCAAATGACCGCGATCACGTTTATGTCTCGTCCTTCTTCACGCTATACACCTTTTTCGCTTGCTTTTGCTTCAACTTGTGTCTTTAGACAGGGTTTCTCAGTGTCATCATACATACAAAAAAACCGGTGGTGAGCATCTCTGGTCTTCTGGGAGCATAGGGCTGGGCTTTTGGGGTTCTTTGTACTTTTTCTACTCTTATGCTTTGGCCGTGGACCTCTGGATCTTCCTGTAATTTCATCATACCACCCTTGTCTTCTCTTACTCTGCTCATGACTATTGGTTTCCGGTATCGATGGGGGTTAAACTGTTTGTTATTACTATCTTGCTATGTATTTCTCCTGGATGGAGATTGTTTTACATGTATGTCACCTCTATGTAGACTAAAATCGTCGCCTTGTAGGGTCTGAGCATGCCCCTATGATATGACCGTACTTGATGAAGTGGCACTAGTAGAAGAGTATAAAAACCCACTACCTAGGTAGACTACCCTCTCTTCCCACTTTTCTTATTCAAATCAAATTCAAAATGGGCTAGTTCAGTGCACTGAATGCTCCCATTTTACATCCTTGGTACCAACCATCCCCTAACTCGCACTAACCTAGACGATTCGGCCCAGGCTCACCCCTACAACATCTACAACCACATGTCAGTGCACGATCCTTCCATAATCCACGAGCTGATCGCCGGTGTCGCTAGCTACGAGGCACCTAAGGCCTACGAGAACCACGTTGCTGAGAACGGTTCGTATACACCTCCCCTTCCCCTTGACCATTCGGTAACTAGAGCCAAGCCTGAAGGTACGGATAAGCTAATACTTCTGTCTGTAATAGGTCTGTAGAATGTGGATATATTTCTTCGTGCATAGCTACATATATTTGTATGTAACATGTGCTGGAGATGTTTTCTAGGGGAGATTACCCGTCAATTCCACTCATATATATATACTACGCAGCCTGACAGATTTTGTAATGTTCCTAACTCTTTAATAAATCGCCATATGGCTTCTTCAAAACAAGATTGTTTGATCGGATTATGTAGAGATCTTTGACTATGTTTTAGAAAAGACTTGGTATTCTTGGACAGAACGCACACAAGTTGGAAGGAGAGAATAGCCTTGATCCAGCGAAATGTTGCCGATCAAGAGATCTACCATCTGCGGATGGACACTTGTACGGACTACTATTAAGATCATTTACTATAAATACGAAACAGACGACATGAATGCTTAGTTCTGATGGGACTACAACGACCATCAATAGATTGAACAGGTAGAAAAATGCATTCATGGGTATCTGCAGAAAAGTGGTACATGGGGCCATTGGAGGTTCGTGAGAGAAAAATGTGTCTTTTTTTTGTTAGAACAGGATCCAAAAAGGGCCAAAGGGCTCCTTCGCACCCATCTAAAGCTAAAAGAATTGGCCGTCAATAGATCGTCAAAGCCTTCAACACCTTGTTGTTTCCCATAACAACATATTATTTTTGAGATCCGAGCGCTTCGATTAGAAAACGTTCCCGTCAACAGGCACCAAAGGAAAAGCTGTAGTTACACAAGCTTAAACCTTGATGGCGGCAGCGAGAGCCTTCTCCTTCTTCTCGATGCGGGCGTTGGCCTTGGAGCCCATGATACCACCACCCCAGTGGCGGCGGGAGTCCTCGTACTTGTCGGTGTAACCCTCCTTGATGGCGGAGAGGAGCTTGGCGAACTCGGCCTTGTCCTCAGCGCGGGTCTCGGTCAGGGCGAGAACGGCGGAGGTCTTCTTGTGGACGACTGTGCCGAGACGGGCCTTGCCCTTGACAATGGCGTAGGGGACACCCATCTTGCGGCAGAGAGCGGGCAGGAAGACAACCAGCTCAATGGGGTCAACATCGTGGGCGATGAGGACGAGGGAAGCCTTCTTGTTCTCAACGAGACCGACGACGTGGTTGAGACCGTACTTGACGTTGTAGGGCTTCTTGGAGACATCCTCCTTCTTCTTGCCCTCGGAGACGGCGGTAGCCTCCTGGACGAGACGCTCCTTCTTCTCGGCCTTGGTCTCAGGACGGTACTTGGAGAGGAGCTTGAAGGTCTGGGCAGCGGTGTTGCGGTCCAGAGTGGCCTGGAACTGAGCGATGGAAGGAGGAACCTTCAGGCGCATGTTCAGGATCTTCTTCTGGCGCTGAAGACGGACATACTCGGGCCACTTGACGAAGCGGGAGAGGTTGCGACGGGGCTGGATGTCCTGGCCGATACCGAAGTTGCGGGGGCGCTTCTCGATAAGGGGGTTCTGTGGAAGCAAGGTTAGCGTCTTCAGAGCCCAATGCACTCCTAAGGAGGAAGAAGAAAACGTACCTTGGCAGCCTTCTTGCCACTGCCAGCCTTGCCCTGGGGGTAGGGCAGGGCGGCGGCCTTCTTTCCGGACTTAGCAGGGGGGCTATCATTGAGGAAGAAGATCAGCGTGCTGTTCACATATTGCTGTATCTTCTTTGAACTCTAAGGAGAACATGAGCCAAGCCGTGTTACGGGCATTGACTCCATGCTTCCAGCCAAAATCATCACACGATGCGCGACACATCTCTTTCGAGGCTGTGCGCGATCGGCGGAATTGCTTAGATCAGAGATCTGAAGCAGAGCGAATGTCGCAAGACATCGCGGGAACTAGAAGAAGTCTCTGATGTTATCAAGAGACATTTGGGGTACTCACCACCATTTTGTCGACTGGGATTGCGCTGGTTGACGGTTGACGGATGAGAAAGGTAAAAGTTCGTGTGGATGCAACTTATGAAGTTTCTGTGGGTCACGCTAGCGTACTCATGTGACCAGGGCTAGGGCAAGCCATTAGGGCAGCTCCATGTAGACACGTGATTGAAGTCACATGACATAAAACATCTCTTGAGATTCCAGCAGCAGCGATGGAGCGTACCTAGGTAACTTTCTAAATTATATAATTCCATATAAATAACAGAAATCCAACAGCTTCCCCTAGCTCTCATTTGTATCTCTTCAAAACCAATCTGTATAGATCGAAATGATGTTGAAATATAACCTTCCATTTGAATGACAGGACTCTAATTATCGCCCGCTCGCAATCGTCTCTCGAACCCTGTACCACAGCTTCTATTTTGTCTCCCATGCATTCAGCGAAGCCTTGAGGATTGGCTACTTCGAGCTCCGGAACCTGGTTTCTGGTGGCACTTCGAAATCACCTGTGTCCAAGATGCGGATAATGCAAATGACTGCCAAGGTTGTCACGTATCGGGACGAGATTGCGAGATGGTAATGTTCGACCTACGAATTATTTGCAACCTTACTAACTATATGCTCTTTTTATAGCTCCGTACTGGGATAGAAGGGCACGGATTCGAATTGCTAGCATTAATCGGGGTGCGGAAAGATCGCCGCTACTGTCCTCAAGCTCCAGATTGGCCATGGTGGCATTTCTGGGCCCACATCTGGTCAGACTCCCTTATGATGTACGTCGATCTGTCCACGGCTATGTTGTATTTGATGTCGCGTTGTCGAACTTTGGAAACTAATACTCTATCGCAATAGAGAAACCTCTACAAGTGTACACCTAAGGGCATGAGGGAGCACACGCAGTTATGAACGAACCCGCAATAGAGCTATGTGACGAATGTATCCGGTTGGAATGAGCTTGTTCGAACTGTCCACTCTCGAACATCACTATCAACACCTTACCATCCGCCATAATTGCATCCGTTCTGCTTCCTTCGAGCCTTTACCAGAAGCATCCTGCAACCAGGCATACCAGGCAGTGCAAGAGTCTCAAAATGGCTCGAGGATCCTTTTAAAAAATACTGCTCAAGTAACAGTATATGAATCGACAGCACTTCTTTTTTGTTTCACCAAGGAGCTGCCGTATTGGAGGTGCAAAAATGGATTCCTCGCAGTGAGTTGAATAATTGCATTCTATCTAGTCATGCGTCACTGACTCAATTTTCTAGGGATAGCCTGCAACAAGTTAACTTTGTCGATTTAGCACAACGTGGCTGAATACACCGTCAGAGATATCAATGCTGCTTTACTCGCTGCATCCATAACTCTATTGTGGGAGGCAGGACCAACAAAACGTCAATTCGATATGGCGGTCATTAATTTCACGAGCTCGGCACACCACATTTACTCTATGTGGCATGGCGGCATTCAGAATCAGCGTGCCCATTATCAGAATCTCGTGCGCCAGCCTGCGAACAACGTGACTGTTGCCATAGACAAGTTGCCAGCGTACAAGTTTGACTGTACCAGAATAGAGAGTGCTCTGACACGTCTATGCTCAGTGAAAACTTGAGCCATCCGTCAGATACATTCTATCACCCACATCTTCAATCAACCCAGCCCAAGCTCCTAGCTTCTGTTTCTACATCAGTTCATGCCTTCAATCACATATACCTTCAATCACCCAAGTATATTGAAGATAATATGAGTAATTGACTTTACAAAACTTCACAATCTACAAACATGTCACTCAATATATCATTCAAGGGAATCGATAACCGAAAATTCTAAAACACCACACCCAAATCCTGCGAAAGCAAGTCTAGAATGCGTAACCAGAACGCCTTAGATAGACCAAATAGGACACAGTGATCCCCAATCTATCAATATGCAGCTCATCAGAAGAGAAAGCCTCCGTCCTCCATAGATCACCTCCACGCCCCCAATCCGGGCAAAGCCCCACGACCCAAACTAGTACTAGCAGCCTGAACAGCCTTCTTCTTACCCAACGATCCCTCCTGAGCACGCACAGCAGCAATGATCTTCTCAATATTCGTCTCAACAACCACACCACCGACAATCATCTCACCGAGCACAGCATGCAGAGTCTCATAGCCAAAGATAAGATCCAACTCGCAGACATTCTCGAACATGCGATCCAGCGCCTCGACAAATACCTGAATCAGATCGATCAGAGCGAGCGGGGACTCGGTCGACGTAGAGATCATGATGAACGACAGCGTTGCGTACGTCCGGTATGTGATCTGAGTGGGGGTATCGGAGGGTCCGGAGGCGGAGGAGCTGGCGCCTTGTGAGAGGAGAGGTGGAAGTGGGAGGAAGTTGCAGGCGCTTGCTGGACGCTGCGCGACTAGACGGTATATTTGCGCGATCAGGGATTGCTGGGTTTGTGTGTCCTGCAGCTGGTTAGTTGGGGTCGTCCTGCGCGGAAAGGTGCGAGTTCGGCGGGGTTCAACTCACCAGCTGTGTGTAGAATTTTGTCAGTCGGGGCTGGCCATTATTATTGAAGACGAGGACTGCGTTGATCATCTTGACTGGTGTGCTTGGAACAAGCTAAAGAGAAGAAGGTCTTATCTCGATGCGATAGCTGATGATGCGGTCTTGGCTCGACTTGCCCCGTGCGCCGATCTGGAGAAATCGATATCAACTCTACTTTTTTTTAAGGCTTTATATCGACTCGTCCTTGTGTATTTCAGAGTCATGATGAACTCAATACCAGCATGCAGGAACTCTTCGTCCAGGATATCATTATACACAACAATCCGAGCCCTATCATCAGCCTCGAATCCCAACTCAAAGCGCGAACTCAAAGACCTCACCCCGTCCGACCTCTGCTACTACTGGGATACAAGACCCCCCAAAGACGAGCAACTAGCCTTCGCCGATAAGGTCTTCACTCCATCGCGCCACTCACCGGTTAAACTCTGGTCCGCGGCCAAATTCCGCACAACACCATTTGCATCAGTCGAGCCCGAAGTCGCATTCCTGGGCCGCTCAAATGTCGGCAAGAGCTCATTACTGAACGCCATAATGGGGAAGGAGATATGCTGGACATCATCGAAACCGGGGCGAACAAGGGAAATGAATGCGTTCGGGATTGGAGGTACAAAGGGAGGCGAGTCAAAGGTTGTGCTGCTTGACATGCCGGGATACGGAAAGGCGAGTCGGTCCGAGTGGGGAGAGGAGATTATGAAGTATCTCCAGGGACGGAAACAGTGAGTTATGACCTGTCTCATGTGGAACACGAAAAAAACATGAGACGAACCTACCTATGGTGTACAATTACTGACGAAGATATTAGACTCCGTCGCGCATTCCTTCTTATCGACAGCACGCACGGCATCAAGCAAACAGACGCCGAGATCCTCAGACTATTCCGACACCACGCAATCCCACACCAGATCATTTTATCCAAGGTGGACAAGTTCCTCGTTAGGCAATTCAAGCAGATAAAGACCGGTGTCACGCCTGCCAATATCGAGCGACTACAGCTCTTGCTCCAGGGTATCAAACCCATTGTGCAACCAGATCCGCAGGTTGCGGAGGGGCCTGGGTCTTTGGGGGAGATTTTGACTTGTAGTGCCGAGGCACGGATTGGTCCTGGCAGGGCGCTGGGCATTGATGCTGTTCGTTGGTCGATTTTGTCTGCTGCTGGGATTGATGGGAGCTTGCAGGGTGGTCGGCTTGCTGTACCGTTTGCTGCGGAGACGCCGGTCACTTTGTCCTGAAATGGCTTGTCGTGGTGTCCATATTCGAAACTATCCTCGTCGAGTTTTTAGACTTGACTCCTTGGTGCGGCTAGTCAGGTCCGATCAGTCCTTCCCCGAGCGCATGTATATATATGGGCCAGAGATGAGACTGTACGTTCTTCATCCTTTCTCTGGAGCAAGGATTGAGATATCCGGCTTTTCCTGAGTATGGCAGCCAATCCTTAAATCGGGCCTGGCGAGCTATCATACGCCATCAGGAATTAGGCGGCATGGGTCTACGACAGCATATCCAGACCGCCAAGCAACAATATGGTGCAAGTTCGAAGCATTTGCATGCTTCGCTACGTATATAGGGCCAGCTGCTGTAATACTATACCAAATGCAATTACAATAAAATTTAAACACAAACCCAACTCAGGACAGAATTTTCGATGAAGATAGGTAATCAATCTATTATGGGCAGCCCATACGGACAAAGCAAGACGAAAAATATGTAAGAGAATCACCGAGCTGGCAGGCAACAGAATGGGAAGTCACATAAGCATCAGGCAAAGACAAAGAAAACGTATCGATGACGGGATGCATGGGGATAGGCAAATATTTCGGAATACAGAATGATAGAAAGCTCCACATAAGAGATGATCGAAAAAAAATGGGTAAAAAAACGCCTTGCCCCTTATCGTAATGCTGCAAGACCAAAGAATGCCGACCGCGCTATGCAAAGGATATTTGTTCCGATGGAAGACGAGAGCTATAAGGATGGGTATCGTGAATGGGGGAATAGAGTGAGAAGAGAAGAAAAGACAGAGGAAAGGAAGTAAGTAGTATGAGGATGGTTGTCGCACGTTGAGATATTGACTGATGCCGAAGAAAAATGCTGCCTGGGCATTTCAATCAGACAAGTCGTCATCATCTTCAATTCCGCCGAGGATCTCCTGCCCACGTCGGTTGACGACAATGCGTTTCGCAAGCTTGCTTTCCGGGACCCCGTCCCGTGCAGCACCGAAGTCAAGAACCTGGGTGAAAACAATATTAGTATAAGAGATCGGAAAGCCTCGTCAGATAAACACTTACTTCAATATAAGTCATGTTGTCACGTTGTACCGCAGCAACACATCTCCGATCGTTGAACTTGACTTGCCACACACCACTGAGGTCTGTGAGGAGGTCTCGAACGCACTCGCCGTTCCGCACATCCCACATCTTCAGCGTCCGATCAGACCCGGAGATGACCTTCTGCCCATCGTGCTGGAAGCAGGTGATGGCACCGGTGTGTGCACTCAAGGTGTTCTTGCAGTGGCCATGGACGGAGTCCCATATCCGGAGGGTGGAATCAGCGGCAGCCGAGACTAGGAAATCCTGCTCTAAAGCGAGCAGACCAACGAGGGAGGTGTGACCTTCGAGGTTATATAGGGGAGCTCCATCGTCTAGCGACCACACCTTCACCATGTGGTCCATGGCTCCACTAATGCAACGATTGCGTTTATGGTCAAGAACCACACTGTACACTTTCATCGTGTGACCCTGGAGAGTATGCAAAGTCTGTCCGGTGGAGATCTTCCAGACCTTCACCGTGCAATCGTAGCTACCACTCACAAGGGTATCACCGTGGGCTGCGATTGCACGAACCGAGTGTTGATGGCCGGAGAGCACCCGCATGAAATATGGACAGTTACTGTCATCCGCTATAGGACCATTCTGATAGTAGACTGGATCACCGGGCTTGGGAAGCTTCCACACCCGAAGGTTCGAGTCACGAGACCCGGTAATGATCAATGGTTCTTTAGGCATTATCTCAGGATGACCCTCGGCATCCCTACCTACCTCAGTGGGCAGGACAATTTGCAGGCATCGGACGGTGGAGGTGTGGCCTTGGAAGATCTGAGTACACCTGGCCCGCTCGATGTCCCAGACTCGTACTGAACGATCGGTGGAACCAGAGACCAGCGTGTTGCCATGGTATTCAAGAGCCCACACTCCACCTTCGTGGCCTTCCAATGTTGCCTGCAATGCACCTGTTTTAGTGTCGTACACGTTGATGTTCGTGTCATCGCTTCCCGTAAGAACCTTGTCAGCATCGAATTGCAGGCAAGTAACAACATGGCGGTCATGAGCGCGGAAAGCAATATGTTGCGGTTTGACATCCGGCTGCATCCACCCCTGTGGATGGCAACATGGCGACGGTAGAGGACCTTGAATAGGAACAGCCCACGAAGGGATGGTAGACCCACTTCAGCATAGGGGATTGCCGCAGCTGCAGCATTGGCAGCAGCATATGGGGCCTCTGATGCGGCAATACCTCTCTTCCAGTCTGGATCAGCGATTTCTCCTCCACTCGATGAGACCTTCCGCTTGGCAAGCTTCCGGCTTGAAGCGCGCGTGTTTGCTTTCCGCTTGCCTCGTCGGTTGATTGGCAGAGACCCCAGAGGGCTTCTGCTGCTGGGACCCGCCATCGAAGGGACAGGAGACACCTCCATATCCGCCCTGGATAGGGCCACGATGCTGAGATCTTCCTCGGGATCATGAGGACCGCTGGGCAATTGCCATCCCCATCCTTGTCTTATAGCCCGTTCTAGTTCTCCATCTGAGAGATGGTATCCATCCTGGTCAAGGAGGTTTTTCCAGCTCTTCTCATCAGAATTAGTGATGTGTCTCCACTTCTTAGACACCTGCGCAGCACGGCACATAGTTTGAACGTCAAGGTATTTGACGATGTTGAGACTGAGTTCAAGCGGCAGAAGGGTCAGGAAGTCGCACTTCAAGGTTGGATTAACCACATCCGCCACGAAATGCAAAGTTGGTTTAGGGCATCTCCGAAGAAATTGATACATGAGGTACGTTTTGACCTCATCAGGCACTGAATCAAAGAACTCCAACACCTTGGGCATATCTAAAAGCGAGGAAGGTGATCGTGAGCTGGCGAGAGAATGATCATTTACCCGAGTCTCATCTGCGTCTTGAAGCCGCAAAGCCTTGGAAAACCGCGAGACATTATGATCGAGGCTGGAATCTGTATCAACGTCAAGCCCTTCTGACTCGAAGGAGGATTCGCCATGGAGGGCGTTCATAGCAGCAACCGGTGAAAGACTCGGGCTCGGGAGGCACATATCTTGCGCCATGGCATTGTCTATTGCCGATAGTTGAGACATAAGCTCGGGTCTTTCTTGCGAGGCAGATTCCTGGGTTCCATATGTTGTATCATGACCAAACGAAGCCGATTCATGTGCAGTTGAACAACCCTCATCCGGTTCAGTGGCCTGAGACTCTTGAGTTCCGGGGTTTGAACGAATTCCAGACAATCCATTCTGCAAGTAGGCATTTTGATTCACTGCCTGTAAGCCTTTAGCTCCGATTTCAGAAGACAGAGGTGACGGCAAAGGAGGTTCCCTGCGCGGAAACACCGAGCTATGGATTCTCGGTCTTGGGGCCGCAGTTTCACCAGCTCCCCCCAAGTTGCTTTCGGTGTCTGGGGTGGCAAGGCCAGCGGCATGAGTTGATCCGCCACTTTGGCGAGTGCGGCGTGTGATGGGCTCTGAAGGGACGCGTGATGGGCGAGTGCGCGGAAGAACCGAGGGTCGAGGATCGAAATGGGAGACGGGGGAGACGGCACGACGGCGAGTGTTGGGAGGGTGAGTAGAGGATTGACTCGCTATTCTCGGAGGAGTCAGCCGCCGAGTGGGGTTCTCGCCCTCAGAGATGAACGAGTTCACAGAGCGAATCTGGCCGTTTGAAGATTTCAACGCCTCGCTTTTCTCTTTGTACTAGATAGTGTTATACTGTAAGCACTGGAAACAACGATCCTGCGAGGGTGGGATAAAATCGAACCTCTGTGGCAGCATTTGTGGTATCCTCGGGCTCGTTGAAGATGATCGACTTGTCGCCTATCTTAAACTTGAGATTCCTTAGGGCCGATGGGGTCGGAGACGAGGCGAGAGGGTATTGTCGAGCATCCAGATCCTTGACGGCTCGCGGGGGGTTGATCGTCAAAGGCGGGAAGGAGGTAGTCGTGGTTGTAGTAGTCGTCACCACTGTAGTTCTGGTAGTCGGGGCGAAGCTGAACTGTCCGATAGCCGCATTTGATGGGCCTTGGCCCAGCTCCTCTCTTTCGTCCATTTCGCGTTTTCGAGGATGAATGAATCGAGATCCGGGGCTGTGGGTCGCATGAGAGGGCGCAGACACGGACGCGTTGTGATCGGTCAAGGCCGAGTCGATTTCAGATATATGAAGGGAAGTAGGAGCATTTGAGGTCATTGTAAAGCGAGCTCATGTGCAAGAGGGACAAAGGAACTTTGATTTCCCTGATCTTTTTCTTAGCAAAACACCCCCTCGGCGTACACCAGCAAAACCATGGATGCAAAGGGCATTCAGCACATGTCCGAGCGGAGGATAAGCAAGTTGTTGGGGGAAACAAAAACACAAGGGAAGCAAGGAAGCAAAGGGAAGGGGAGAAAAGAAACAGTGGCGGCTGACAAGGAGTTGGGGCGGAGAACAACATTTATTCCGGTTCCCGTAGGTGGACGATGTCATGGCCCAACTTGCTACTTTTTTTTTTATTTGGATTTTAGGATTCTTTTGCTATTTTGCTGGAATTTACATTTGATATATATTATCTATTATACCTCAATTATTTTCTATACAAATCTAAAATGATCCGAGTGTGAAAGGAGAAAAGGGCTCTGGTTCTGCTCTTAGACCGAAATCATTACCAGATAGAGGTGGGACCGAGGATACAACACTCAGATAAGCAGACATTCACTTCCTTTTTGTCTGACCCATTTGCAACCTACATGGAATAGATGATATAGTTGATATTTGCCCCCTAAATCCTACATATCATAATCTATTCATCCAAATCAACTTCGATCAAGTTTTTGATTTGCCATCGCCACATATCACGTGAAGTGGGGGCGTGCCCCGGGTGGCTTCTTGGCACGTTTCCAGTATCTCATTGTTATGTTGAAGAAATTATCAGCTTGGGCGCAAGACATATGGGGAATAGTCATCCGGTAGTCTGTTCCCCCTTACTACATACGTACTCTATGCAAGTCATATCATATCCACCCCTGATGGAATATCCACCGATATCTGTAATGTCTCGGCCTCCCCACATCTATCTAGGGCCTGGTTGCTTTTACGTACTACACCTTTCCAGCCCTGTCTCCTATGATATCCTTGACTGATGATATTTCGCAGTATTGCACCTTCCTTGACAGGTGGAAGATTCATAGAGGAATACAACTTTTAACTTGACCATTGTATCACCCTTTGTTCGCTGGAAACCAGATAGGAGACAAGATAGTCCCAATATATATTTCGGAGTAGACTGATGTTTATAGATTGCTGATGCTAAAAACCACACAATAAAAAGGATAAATACAACGTTGGGGCTCTAACGCAATGGAACCATAGGCTTTATATAGCCATGCCTACATACTTCCATAAGTAGTGGCATATGTAGTCACATCAGGTTCCAAGGTTGGCCGTTGCAAGGTTAGTTTCAATGTCTATGAATAGACCTGCTGATGCCCAGGATGTTTCAGGATATACAGTAATCCTTTGTTGATATCGAGCGACTGAACCAAAAGAAATTTTCTTCTTAGAGCTTGTGATTCTATACTCTTCTTTGTGCTTCTTTGTCCCCGTTCCGCATAGAACTATACTATCATCGTCTTCTCCCATTATAAGAGCTCAATTCCTCGTTCTCGGTCTGTCATACTCATACAGCCATAATCATGCCTCGCGCTAAGAAAGCTGTAGCTTTAGAGGCAGCCTCCGAATCTGCGACATCCCAGCCTGAAATCCAAGTGGATAAAATCCATCGGTTTCCCGTGATCGTGAGTAGCCCTTCGGATCAACTATGTTGAATACATCGCGGCCGGATGAACACAACCAACTCTTATGGTATAACAGGAGCAAAGCTTGGAGTTAATGAAGATAACGTTACACATGACCGTAAGTCGAAGTTCCGTACGAAATGCGTGCTTTTGTGGCTGCGATCTAATATGCGCCTATAGATCGCGTCGCTTCTATTTATGCGGTTAGTCGTGGCCTGAGTAATGTACTATTCACATTCTTACATAGGATGCAGCGGACTATTGCCCATAGACGTCTTTGGCGAGCGGGTTCTGCGAGCAAACCGCTTCCAGGAGCGCTATAACTATTCTCATTTTGTAAATGGGAAGCGCAAGGGAAATTTCGCACGTAACCGATCGGAATATGTTCCTATACGCGTGATTGAAAGACACATGAGCGATGAAGCCGATCACCTCCTCGACATTCTAGTGAGTGTCTCGATAGATGTATGTTTGTTGAGCAGATTTAATATCCCTCTCTCTAGGAAAATGGCATCTTTGATGCTCTACTAAGGGGCGTCCTGCATGCCGTCCAGTTTACTATCATCGCAGATAAACTCTCACCAAACAAGGTTCTGGAATCTTATACCTTCACCTTCGAAAATTCCGGTGAACGCGGCCCCGCAGATCGTCTAACCAACGGTCCCAGGATGGATTTTGTCAGCCCCCATGAGGATCGAGCGGACATGCGCAATATGATTTTCGAAGGGAAGGCCCTGATCCGACGGTTGGTGAAAATGTGTGCTGAAAGCCCGGCATTGCCTAGTATGTGCACTCTATTCCCGTTCCTGGTGTTACCACTCACGAGTTCAACAGATGAGCGCAGCTTGGGAATACATGTATTCTACAAACCGGAATGTCCCGAATCCTACGATGTGCCTGGGTTTGCTGCTTCCCAAGATGACACCGTTGAATATCCGCGGACTTCGTACTGGGAGAGAACGAGGCGCTTTTATGGAAGCGTTGACAGCGGCTTTCACACGTATGTTTTGTCCCTGCATTTGTCTTAATATGTGTCGACTAACATATAGAAGAGTGGGATTGAGAGTGAATTCACTTCTTTCTACCTCACCCGGTGGCGAGGCTCATTTTTCTTCGGCGGAGGAAACAAATGGCGATGCAGTGCTTCGTTCTGACGAGGTCGGGTTTCCCACGCTTGCCCAAATGCCGCTGGACGTAGTTGGAGAGATTTATCTCTCCACTGATGAAAGCACTGCCAGTGACACCGATGGTAAATACATTCATCGCTGCTTCACAATGATTACATGTTATATAATGACTAAAACTTTCATTCGATACAGACGAAATGATCTCTAAAGCAGAGTTCGTGGCTCTTCATTACTGCCCCACTGCGGTCACGGTGAGAGCTAAAAGGCACGAGAGCAGAAAGTCACGGCGATATGTCAGTTTGCCTTTACTACCGCGCATATCTAAACCATTGAACGAGTGCTGATTTTCTGTAGACGGAGAAGAGAGTGGATGGCAGAATCTTCTTCAATGAAGAAGACCTGGAATCCCACCAGTCCCTAATGCAGGAAATGGCTCAGTCAGTGACTGATTCCGTCGCTGTTAATTTGGACGACTCTTCAGAATCCGATGCGTTTGAAAAATTGGATCGGATTGAACGCTCGAGTAAATCTACGGTACCTGTCAATTGGTCACAGGATGATGATTATGCAACATTTCCGGTTAGCCGCGATGGCATTCAACTTGCTGTGGCTCGTCAAGAGTCTCGAGAAAACTTTCCCACGCATAAATACATTCGCCGTTTACAGGAGGCTGGTTCGAAACCCACCGTTACAGCAAGGACGGTACACTATGTCGAGAATCACGGTGCCGTCAAGAAGTTAGACGAGGAGAACAAAGACAAAGAGAACCTGCCTGGGCCCAGTTGCAACGTGACTAAGTACGGGCATAAAAATTGGCGTCCCTATCGGTGTGAATGCAACACTTGGCACTTCAAGCCCAGCAAGTCTGTAGGTCATGCAACCGAGCCATCAAATAAGTCACCAGTGCTAACCGATCTTGGAAGATACAATGTGCCAATTGCAAGGAGTACCAGCACACCCTGTGCTATGGCTATTATTCTGCAAAGGACACACGGATCCCAGATATACATTACTGCTACACCTGTTTGATCGGATACGACTTTGATAGTGACCTGATGAACGAACTAATTAAGCTTATCCGAATGCGCAGAACAATCGAATTTGTCCTGGCAGCGGAAATGACTCCAACTTTGAATTGGCAACTAGCGAAACGACTTAGTAAGAACGATTACCATCCTTCAAACCCTGGAAACATTCATCTAACATCATCCAGACTGCACCGACGACGAGGCTCGTGCAACGGTCTATAGTCTCCGGAAACTTGGCATCCTGAAACCAGCCGATTGGAGGGCAAAACACGACCACAAGATAGGGGGCTCCAAATTCTGGCTCAATAGGACAGCCCCATCCTGCAACACCATCTACAGCGAAGTCTCAGACCCGATGTTGCTCATCCGGGAATATGTAAGTGACTCCGTACATCTGCGTAAGGATAGATGATCTGATTACCAAGAAGTACGAAATACCGCCGCCTCCTCTCCCCCAGCCGATGATTCGCACACATTGGTCCCGGTCTGGGATACCGATCTTGCATAATTTTACGAGTGAGTCTGATGAGTGGTATAGTACCATCGACCCTCGGTGGCAGCCTGAACTTTGGAAGCGGGTGCGCTCTAACCCTTCTGCCAAAGGGTATTTCTTCGAGGGGCAGACCTCAAACAGCGTGTCGAAGCGATTGCTGGGATCAATTGAGGAAGGATTTGAAGATGGCTCTACTCGGGAGGCCAAGAAGATGAAGTTTAAATAGAGAAATGACAGTAGTTTACGGAGTATACTCTGTACTCGCATATAGTGCCCAAAATTATGGATATCCACTTCTTCCAGACCAGTGGGTCTTTCCGAATGCAGCACAGTCCAGGAGACTGAATCTTCTGATGCACATCATATATTAGGGTAAGTAGATATGCAGCGAGCTTGACCGTTTAAAAAAAAGAAGCTTTGCAATGGAAGCTTTTCTATAGTTGTCCCTCCTTACAGAAAAACCATGATCTATCTTCTCCTACTACTCTCGGCATAATATTCTACTTACTTGGATACCCTGATCATTTTCTTTCGTGCGTTTCTGTCGCAAAATGATGTACACCATACTCCGTTAAAGTCCAACATTTGGAAAGTGGGACATGAAATGTGGAGGATTTCCATGATCGACGCAGAAGACAATAGATCGACAATAGAGCGTCTTCCAAACCCTGGAACGAGACTTGGCTATTGGAGTGGACTATTGGCGACCATCAGGGGTTACCCGCACCATTTCACCTAGCCGCCTGCCAAACCACTAGCCTGGATCCAATAGTGTATTCCGCTTGACCTTGGGGTAAAATATGGCGTACATACAAAGTAATTGTTTTTTACTTTTGTTCCCAACGGTTATTCGAATGCGTCTTGCTGTTCATTTCGATCTACATCGTATTCTGCGCAAGTCATCGGAGCAGACCGAAAACCCGCTAATTACGTACATGTTGATCTTCACTTCAATCGATCTTGGATCTCGATCGGAGTGAAATTGCGCCCCCGGAGTCCACGGGTGTCATGTCACTGTTCCCGCCTCGTGGATCTAAGACGCGGCACATGGGCTTGCTAAAGTTAGTTTAGAGTGTCTTACTTGATTTTTGACAGATTCCACTATAATACACCGTACCGTGTTCGACACGGACTCGTACAATATTGGTCCCCCGGTGTACCCCTGGACAGTGCCTTGATTTATTCACATATGTTGTAGAGTGTCAAGCCGGGCGCAAACGATCGTCAGTTTCATGTCTTCCCACATGCCAAAGGTTAAGTTTATGTGGAGGAACGAGCGCACATGCACGACGATCATTACCAGTTCCTGGAGGGCTACCATGGAAACGCATGTCACTGCCTTTTAGGGGTTATGGAGGGTACAACATTGTACGGAGTACGGAGTACGGAGTACACGGGCTGATATTTGTGAGCATAGTGGGGAAGTCATCTATAATACTGGAGTCTTTTGAACAAGATCTCGTTCGCTCCGGTGCACTGGGTCGATAAATCGATTGTCGATCTGGCCTTTCAGATGCGACCGCGGGCTCCAACTCGGGGAGCAGACTGCGAATGGTGGATACTCCATTGTCTCTCTAGCCTTGAACTCCACATTTTGGTGATAGCGCCATACAATTAGGAAAAAGCATCCAAAGGTGTGGATAGGGAGTCCCTAAATGAGTGGGGCAAAGTAAATAATTTGAATTAATGACAGCAAGGTGAGGATTTTGGAGGCGTCAATAGTGTCCGCGGAGAAAAAACGGAGACCACGTTCTTCAGGTTCGAGAAGACTATATTTTTAGGTTGCAGATTCCGCAGTAAGGGGGTTAAATCTCCTAGAACAAGTACGAAATACATCAAGTATAAATAGTGTCATGCAAATGCATGTTATATAGCATGATATGACTTATACTATACAAATGGTAAACCCCTGAAAGATTCATCACCTTGGATACGTATGTATCTGTCATATTCTATGTTGTGAGGTAACCTTGGAACCCCCCGTGCAACTATTCCAAATATCTGTCGATCAGATGCCGTGCTCCACTCCAATTTAAATTGAAATAAATGAAACACTCTGCTTCTCAGCCTATGAGCATTCCGTTCAAGACATCGGTGGAGATTCCCCCTTAAGACCCGTGTGAACCCGTGGTCAGGAATTCCTTCGGATATTTTATTTCGTGAACATACAAAAAAACCATTCCAACCCCAAACTTGTCACGTATTTTGCTCGTTTTATCTTGCCTTCCCCAATCCCATACCCTTAAAACAACAGTCTATTTTCAGGTGAATTGAGGCCAATCTCCCTTAAACTTGCAGACTTCAACTAATTCGGTGGAGTAGATCCGAGTTGAACGAAAAGCAGATACTTGAACCACCCCGCTCAGACCACACATTTGTACAGAGCCTATGAGCCCATCGCATCATACGATTTCATGAGCAATTGACCCCGTCCTGCCTCTCCCACCATGGGACACCGAGAACTCACACCGGTCCATGTGCCGCTTCGAACCTCGAGTCGGAAACCAGTACAACATGACCCAATGAGCACCCAGGAGCAATCACGAGCAGACCGGCGAACCTCGAAAGCCCAGAGATTTTTCGGAACCGATATATCACTCCCCACAGAACATGGCGGGTGGCAGGAGCCTCCAAATGTACGCCGACCGAGCTTTGGCAAGCCGAATAATGCCCCGAAACAGAGCTCCGGTTTCGTTCCATTCCCGCGCTCTTCAGAGAATACCTTGATTCCCGATCAAAACCTTCGTGTACGGGCTTCGTCGCCTCTGCTGGGCCATGATTACCGATCACAGGAGGCTGCGCCGCCGCTTCCCAAGCCGTCGAAAAAGGTCCACCATTCCGGTTCCTCCTCCACCCTTTTCTCCTATTTCAGCTCGAAAGAATCGTCCAAATCATCCAACAACCAACTCCAGCCTAAAGTACGCCACGGACTTGGAAGCGAGCCACAAGTGACATATACACAGACCCAGGATCCACCGAAGGAATCCAAGCGGAAAATGCGTCCTCCAAAAATTGACCTTTCCGTCTTGTTCCCGAAGCCACGGAATCCCGCACCACAAACACTTCTCTCCCCACACCGAATGGTCACCTCTCCCTCTCCCGTCTCTACAGTTGCCCCAGATTATTCTTCCAACAAGATTGAAAGGATGACCGGCGGTACGAGAAACTCTAGGAGACATGTCGATCCACCTCCTCGCCGATCTTCGGCCACCAAAAATGAGCCAACCAAGCATGGCGTTGATAATTCGGATTTGCCTTCAATTGCAGAGAGCAAAAATAGCGAATGGCCGGAACAATCACTTGAGCGAACAGTAGGAACGAGTGAGATTGATTTAGCCCTGGATAGATACGCAGGGCGGCGATCACTTTTCAGTCGCTCAAGCACGTATACTACCAGCCGAGAGCATTTGCAAGAACAGCCTCACCCGCAGGAATCTCGGAAGAGCTCAAGACGTGGTCACAGTCCCTCCCGACCTAAAGAGACCTACTTGAGTCCTCCTGCAGGTCTAGACCCAAAGCGTGGTCGCGGCTTGAGCACTTCCCAGGAGTCTTGGAAGACCACCGAGTCAAAATCAAAGAGCGAGAAGAGCTCAATGACCAAGAAGAGCAGCAAAAGTACCTTGAAAAACAAGGATCTGCGAAACACCAGTATGCTTTGCCTGTCCTCCTCTTCCGAGGACGAGGGTGACGAGGACCACACTCCAACCGAGCCAAAGCGCAATGCGAGCAAGTCTAGAAGAGACAGTGTGGCTACCTATGACGAATACGAGCCCCAGGTCTACACGGCTTCCACTGCCCACGCGACCACCGCCACGGCGGTAAGACGCGTTGACCGGCCACTCTCGACTAGTACCCGTGGCTCCCGTCAAACCGAAAAGAGCCAACCAGCACCAGCACCAGCACCAGTACCAGTACCTCGCCCACGAAAGGCATCTCAACGTTCCAATGGCAAGTCTTCTCAGACAAGTGGACGAACCACGCAAACCCCCCCGTTCGAGCGGAGTCCCCACTATCCCGGATGAGATTCTGGCGCAATTCCCGCAGCAGCCTCTCCGCTCCCCCGCAGAGTTGAAAGAGTTGAACCGAAGGAGTCGCGTGATCGCGGTGACCCGCCAAGAGCAAGATCTCCTCGAGGCGATGCGTATTCGAAAGGGCAAGGTCACACCCAGTTTGTTCAATGCTCATGGAGCGGACAGAAGATCACTAGCTTCTGGCCCATCCCGCGATTCGTTCTGCGGATCCGACACTTCATTCCTGCGTCTTAGCAACGTTTTCCCGCCATTCGACGTCCGATCAGAAAAGGGTGCTACCCAATACAAAGATACGCCCTCCCAAAGCTCGGGCTCGGATAGTGAACCGAAACCCCGCACTGCAGTCTCCTCTTCTAGTGTCAGCGGGGACTATTCTGAGAGCTTGCCCTCCCCTGCCACCAGCGGTGCTTCGCCGTTGACACCCACTTTGCCAATTCATCGTTTCTCGCCTCTTCCTTCTCCGAAGCCACCACCAAGAGGACCCCCGCCTGCCATTCCCGAAGACCAGAAGCAGCACACCCGCCGTCGCACGGATAGTAGCGAGGCTATTCTGCTGGATGATGGCGGTGAGATAAAACGCAACAATGGCATTCCTCTCTGGTCTTTCGACTTTGATTGGAACCAGGAAAACGCCAATATTGCTACTGTGCACTGATCGCCTGGCCTTTGATACCCAACACTCTCACTCCATCCCTTACATTTCCTATTTTACTCTTCTCTCACTTTGTATTCCTACTTGATTCGATCCTCTACAGTCTTTCTCACATTTCCTTGACTTGATTGCATCTTGCAGCACTTTGCTCCAAGCTTTTATCTACCCAACCGCATGGGCCCCAAGTCCCTTTCCTACATGGCCGACCATCTTGCTTCTCCTTCCTTCTCACTATTTCTTCATTACTTTTTGAATTAGCGTTCACACGCGGGCTTCTATACCTGCTTTCATGTATTACTTGGGTGGTTTCCGTGTCTTTCTCACGATTTCATTATTTCCGGCTCACGACTGCTGTCATTAGTATTCTCAATGACCATCAATTCATCAAACTTGTTCAATGATTTTGCCCGATTCTCCACATAGCTCCTGCCCCACAATGGTAGTCCAGCCTAGCCTTGAGTCGCATGTTGCAGTGCATAGTGACCACTAGGGACTTTGGTCCTATTGGCTTTCAGGATCATATATCTCCCTTAAAAATAATTTCCGACACTGTAGAGTACTTGAATTGTTTAATTGACCTCTTAATTGTCTGTAGTAAACTGGACATTTGTGTAAACAAAACTGGGAAATATTCGGCCGCTTATATGGGCTCTATACTTGGCCATATAAAATCTGGACCTGTAGTGTCCCTTTTTTAACTAACTTTTTGGACGTTTATACATATTTTAGGTATCTTTCAAGATGGCTATAACAGTCTAGAATGATCAACCTCAACCACAGGAATCGACAATATGAATGACGACATGCGAGGAATAAGAATGGGGGCTGTGGGCTGGTGGAGATGCCCTGGACTGCTCGACGTCATCAACTCTTACACGGTTAAGGGGCTGGCAAGAATTGGGTAAACATAAACATTGTAAATACGATATGAGATTCCCACAAACGAGGTACACAAACGATAATATTTTTTTACTCCGCATACACCACTTACCTACTCCATAGGTACCTAGGTGTCGCAGTGACCACTCCAGCGCTTGAACCTCCTCTCTGTGATCCACTCTCTGACCGCCGACCTTCCAAGGTTCTCGTCTATAACCCCGGATTATCGCTTCCTGAGCCCTCCATTCTTTCCTTTTCGTTTTTCAAGTGTTTTTTCAAGTTCTTTGAAATACCCTCATTCATAAAAGGAGTAGCGCGACGCTCATCCTCCCCTTCTTCTCCCAGCCACCTGTGTCGCCTCCGATCGCCTCGGGAAACCCTATCGGGACCTAAAAGGGAAGATCTCCAGAATAACCCACCCCTGGTTCGCGAATCGGGATTTACAGTTCCCTCTACTCTGTACATCGCGCACACTTCTCTTGTCGCTCCCTCTACTGAGTCCATTTACCACATTCACCGGACGGTGGATTGCACTGCCTGCCCCTTTTGCGGAAACGTTAGCCACTGTTTAGAGGGAACACGCGACCTACTTCGTTATGGGAGATCGCGCCCAACGCCAGCCGTCTGGCCTGCGAGCTGCGGCCAATATCGCACCATGGATTCTGGTATGAGCTTGTTGGGCATTATACGGCGGTTGAAGCCTTGAGGACTGTTCGCTGACTTGCCTTGGTTTCTTTCTAGTTGACTGCGGAGTCGACTGCGTTTGTGTTGGTAAGTCACCTTGCACGACGTGGGAATACTTGCGACAGGAATAGGATGGAAGGCTAATCTGTATTTCTGCACTATCTCAGCTCGCTCATTATTCTCGAGTCATGCCCCCCGCCGGTGGTAAACGCTACCTGACCTCTACGGCGGTCTTTCTGGTCGAAGTGGTCAAGCTGGCCATATCCCTCACAATGGCGCTCTACGACGTCTCAAAAACCGCGCCACCCTCGATGCCCGCCACCTCCCTCTTTTTCTCCCTCACAAGTGCCGTGTTCTCGGGCGACAGCTGGAAACTCGCTATCCCTGCCGGGCTGGACGTCTTGTCCAACTCCCTCTTGTTCATTGCGCTCTCGAACCTACGAGCTGCATCGTTCCAGGTTACATTCCAGCTGAAGTTCCTTACTACTGCGGTCTTTGGTCTGATCCTCCTGAAACGGAGCATCCCTCCCCGCAAGTGGGGCCTGCTTTTGCTTCTGATTGTGGGCGTGGCATTGGTGCAGTTTCCCGACGCTAGCCCCGAGCAGATGCTGCAGGATGAGCATGCTAGCCATCATTTCCCCTGCTCCTTGGAGGAGTGGAAGGCTGTTAAGCAAGGTGCTGGTGCTGGTAGCAGCCTGCAAAAGCGGTCTGCAACATACGAGGGTATCGAAGAGGACATCCTGACGGCTGACCCACACTTGAACCCCGCAATTGGTCTCCTTGCGACCATCGGAGCGTCCTTGGCTTCTGGGCTTGCGGGTATTTATTTCGAGAAAGTCCTAAAGGACAGCTCCAACCATATTTCGTTGTGGGTCCGCAATGTGCAATTAGCCGTCTACTCCATTTTCCCGGCTCTTTTCATTGGGATTGTCTTCCGGGATGGTGAAAAAATTGCTGAAGATGGCTTCTTCCAGGGCTACAATTGGGCGGTGTGGTCTACCATCATCATCCAGGCCTTGGGTGGTATCGTTTCTGCATTCTACGTCAGCCACGCGCAGAAGGACGCAAGGAGTTTGGCCACAACTGCCAACATACTTTTGAGCATTGTTGGAAGCATCTGGCTATTTGACTTTGAGGTCACTTCAAGCGTACGTCCCTTGCCTCTTAACGCTTCCCAACCTCTGCTCTAGTTCCCTGCTCTCCAATGAACATTATGAACAAGACTAACTGGGACATTATAGTTCTTCCTGGGCTCGGCTGCAGTCCTGGTAGCAACCCACTACTATGGAAACCCCACCTTTAACCCTGCGATGGGTGCCTCGCGTCCACCTCCAATCCGCATTGACGCCTACGAAAAGGATCCCGCAGGTCCCGAGGGTTCCCCCGTGGCGCCTCCCAACGACTTTTCTATCAAACTTCCAACTTCGCCTTTCCTCTCTGACGGCATGTCGTCATCCCGTCCTACCTCACCAGCACCAGGCCATACTAGAGTAAGCTCTAGCCGAAATGCGAGCGCGAACTATTTCGATGAGAAATGATTGCTGCAACTCGCTATGCACATTGATATTGGCCTACTTGATGAGATGCTTTACGGGAAATGATATTGGATACCTGATAGATGCGGGTGGAAGTGCGGTCTTAAGAAAGCCGTCCACCGCGAGCCTTTGATATCGCTCCTACTCTGGAGCTCGCTACTCTTCGCTGCCAAATTTTGCATGTCCTCTTGCTGTCAAGATACTTGCCAGGTTTGGCTCATGTATGCATATATACGAAGCAATGAAACACTTTGATATACCCCAGAACAATTGATAATCCCTATTCTTGCTGATTCTGAAAAGACACCGCTATAGTATATCCAAATACTACAAAGGTATGGGGTAGTCCACGTGCCGTCACGTTATCGGGGTCCTGGACCTTGGAACCAGACACTTTGGAAATTCATCACTTCAAACCTCAGACTCAATCCGAATCATCGAGAACGCATTTCAAAATGAGGAGACACCATCAGAACCCAAATTTTAAACCCTTTCAAGTGCCCAACAAGAGGCACGCCGATGCCTCTCCCTCCAAGAGTAGTAGAACCGGTATAATCGATGAGAGACTCATCCAAGGCTCCCGGCAGCCACAATACAGCAGTTCATCTCCCAGAAAGCCCTTCAATGGCTTGGCATCATCAGCCCATGATGAGGGTCCTCAATTGGACGCTTTTGGTGAGTCTGCCGGCTTATCATCATGGAGGGTGCTGATGGTAGTTAGACCTCGAACTACTAGCTTCAGAGGATAGAGACGAGGCAATTCGAGATTCAGGATTTAGAGTTCCTACATCTACGCCACTTCAACCGTCTCGTCAGCCTGATCTACATCCACCACAATTCTCTCGTTTCTTTCAGCGTGAGTTGCTTGTATAGAGTGCTGGTGTTTGTCTTATTACTTCGGTATTGACAAGTAACAGCCAGCTCGAGCATCGGTTCATCGGACCCCGTTTTAGGGCCTCTTTCGAGCCCGCTGGCTTTGTTCCGTCAGAAGAAGAATGCCACACAGACGGGACAGCGCAGTCTCGAGACGAACCGTCCATACCATGACGAGACTAGTCAGTCCTCACCTCAGGGACCGATTACTCAAGCGAGCCCGGAGGCTTTGATTGGCAATAGACAACCTCGGAATCCTTTTAGCAACATCCCACCCTCTGTGCGGGGAATCGTCCTCGTATCAGTAAATGACCTACCAGAGGGCTACCGCTCGATGTTCCCCTTTCCACTCTTCAATGCAATTCAATCAAAATCCTTCCACTCCGTCTACAACAGCAATGACAATGTCGTTCTGTCCGCACCAACCGGTAGCGGCAAGACAGTCGTGATGGAATTAGCCATCTGCAGACTCCTGAACACTCTCAAAGACGAACGCTTCAAAGTAGTCTACCAAGCACCAACCAAGTCCCTCTGCAGCGAGCGCTTCCGAGACTGGAACTCCAAGTTCTCGAGCCTGAATCTCAAGTGCGCAGAACTCACCGGAGACACGGACCACATGCAGCTGCGCAATGTCCAGGCTAGCCAGATTATCATCACGACGCCTGAGAAGTGGGATAGCATGACCCGGAAATGGAAAGATCATATGAAGTTGATGCAGCTCGTGAAGCTCTTCCTCATTGACGAGGTGCATATCTTGAAGGAGACCCGTGGAGCTACGCTTGAGGCTGTGGTTTCACGTATGAAGAACATCGGTTCGAATGTCCGATTCGTTGCGCTGAGTGCTACTATCCCCAACTCCGAGGATATAGCTACATGGCTTGGGAAGGATGCAACAAACCAGCATGTTCCCGCGCACCGGGAGCATTTCGGCGAGGAGTTTCGTCCTGTCATGTTGAAGAAGGTTGTCTATGGGTATGCGTCCAGCTTGAATGACTTTGCATTTGATAAAGTCTGCGGTTCAAAGTATGTGATTCCTTTCTGTTTCTGCCCATCCTTTCATGTCAACTTGCTGGCTTGGCATACTAATCGGTGCTTGAAAAGGCTACCCGAAGTGATCGGGATGCATTCATGCAAGAAACCCATCTTGATATTCTGTTGCACACGGAATTCATCGCTCGCGACGGCGAAAGAATTGGCGCGGCTTTTCACATTGACAAATCCACCCGCCAGGCTTTGGAAGGAGCCTAAGAAGCGCCTTGAAGCTCATAACGAGGATCTCAAGAGTATGTATCTGAGCTCTTTCCTAGACTGACACTGCTAATGCGAGATAGCAACACTCGTTGCTGGCGTAGCATTTCACCATGCTGGGTTGGGTCCCGCTGATCGCCACACTGTTGAGACGGGCTTCAGAGAAGGGAATATAAGCGTCATATGCTGCACGTCTACACTTGCAGTCGGAATCAACCTGCCTTGCCACCTAGTTATCATCAAAAACACTGTCAGTTGGCAAGATGGAGGCTGCAAGGAGTACTCAGATTTGGAGATGATGCAGATGCTCGGCCGCGCGGGCCGACCTCAATTCGATGACAGCGCCATTGCTGTTATCTTGACCAGAAAGGAGCGTGTCGCTCACTACGAGAGATTGGTTCAGGGCTCTTGAGAGTCTGGAGAGCTGTTTACATTTGAATCTGATTGATCATCTCAACGCTGAGATTGGCTTGGGCAATATCTCGGACATCGAATCGGCTGTCAAATGGCTTGCTGGCACATTCTTGTTCGTGAGACTGCGTCGAAATCCAACGCACTACAAGCTCAAAGAAGGTGCAAACCAGAAAGACGAAGATGAATTACTTCGCCAGATCTGTGAGAAGGATATCGATCTTCTTCGAAAATGCGGTTTGGTTGAAGCTGAGAGCCTTTGTTCGACCCAGTTTGGCGACGCTATGGCTCGGTACTACATCCGGTTCGAGACTATGAAAGTGCTACTGTCTCTGAAACCAAAAGCAACGTTGTCTGAAACTGTGAGCATAGCCTTTCACTGAAATGAAGAACTTCAACTGACGTTACGGTTCCAGCTTAACGTGATCGCACAAGCCGAAGAATTCCGCGAGATCCGCCTCAAAGCTGGCGAGAAATTACTCTACCGGAGAAATCAACCGTGGCCCAGGCATTCGTTTCCCCATCAAAGTCGATCTAGCCCTCCAAGCCCACAAAATCTCACTACTCCTCCAATCCGAGCTAGGTGCAATTGAGTATCCCGATAGCGAGCAATTCCAGAAACACAAGTTCACCTTCCAGCAAGAGAAAAGTCTAGTCTTCGTGCACGTAAACCGATTAATCCGCTGTTTGATCGACTGTCAAATCGCTCGCGGTGACTCAACCGCAATCCGCAATGCCCTTGAACTCGCCCGGAGCTTCGGGGCAAAGGTCTGGGATCACTCACCTCTCCAAATGAAGCAGATCGAGCAAGTGGGCGTGGTTGCAGTTCGGAAGCTGGCTGCAGCCGGTATCACCAGCATTGAAGGGCTAGAATCTGCCGAGCCTCATCAGATTGAAATGGTTCTTAGCAAGAATCCGCCTTTCGGCTCGAAGTTGCTCTCAAGATTGAAGGAATTTCCAAAATTGAGGATCTCTGTGAAAATGCTTGGCAAGGTTTGCAATTGTTATGCGTTTATGATAAATATCATTTTTCTAACATGTGCCACAGGACGTGAGGATTAACCATGTCAATGTCCGTTTTAAGGTCGAACTCGCTTTTATGAACGATAAGGTCCCGACGTACTTCCAACGTCGGCCGGTTCATGTATGTTGCTTGGTAGAGAGGTCCGATGGCAATATGATCGATTTCAGACGTGCAAGGTGGGGTCAAGACCTAGTTATTCTGTTATAGAAAATGCTGATGTCCTTCCAGTGCGAGCAAATTCCAAGAGAGACTGGAGATCGAGCTCACGGCGGAATTGACGAGTGCTGATCATGTCATCGTCTGCCATGTTATGTGCGATGAAATCGGTAAGACTTTTGAACGCGACCAAAGCGCCACTTATATACATACTGACAATTTCTCAGCGGGGACATGTAGACAGGCTGAGCTCAGATCTAATCTGCCATCTCATCTCTTTGCTGCTATGAGAGGTAAGAACGCCAATGCCCAAAATACTGGAGCACCGAACATACAATCTCGCCACCCCGAGGGGAATTTGAGCTCTAAAGACGTGACGAAACCGAAGCCCAACATGTTTCGTTCTCACGAACGAGAGATGGCTAGTATCGAGACTAAGCCTCGGCGGGATGTGGACGATTTTGATGGCGATGACTTGCAGCTCGATGACTTCCTCGTTGCGAATGAACGCCGTGACAAACCAAGGGAATCTACAAAGCAACCTCCGCAGTTCGACGATATAGATTGGTTCTCAATCGACGCAACTCCACCTACCCCAGCCAAGAGAGTGCCGCCGAAAGTGTCAAACCCCCAAGAAGATGACTGGGCGGTAGATATAGACGAGCCAGAGGAGGAATACGAGCCAGTCAGACTTGCGAATGGGAAATGGGCTTGCAATCACAAATGCAAGGACAAAACAAGGTTTGGGAAGACCATTACTTTCTTCATTTTTGATCTAACAATTACAGCTGCAAACATTTCTGTTGTCGCGAGGGCTTGGAAAAACCCCCAAAGCCACCGAAGCGGACCATTCCTGCAACTCAAAAGGAAGCTGGTCTCAATCAACTGACTATCTCCGCCAGTATCGCCAAGCCAACTCAGAGCAATAACTCAAGCTCGAGAAACCAAGTGGCCAAAAAACGCGTCACGGGGCCTAAGAATGACGATCACGTCTCAAAGATGAAGATGTCGACGTCGCAAGCTGGAAAGAAGAACCCAAGTCGAGAGAAATATGTCCTTGCGGAAAGAGATAAGAACATTCCTTCATATACAAGAAAGAGGGAAAGGAGTCCAACCAAACCTCTCTCCAGTGATTACGGCGATGAATGCTTCGATGATCTACCATCTCCATCACGTCTTCTCGGGAACAGGGGATCGGGGCCTGCAACATCGGGTTCTCCAGTAGTGAACGACCAGGCAAAGAGCAACATCACAGATGTTGCAGCCAAGGAAACGAAGAATAGAGACCCTGAGCCCTCGCCCTCTGCTTCACTGCCCAATTTCGCTCAAAAAGAGCGAACTAAGCCATCAATCTCTAAACCCCAACACGAGATAATCGAGATCCGAGACGATACGCCACCTGGCTCAACAGAATTGCCACTGGCACTAGACAAAGAGTCTCCTGTAAAGCGGAGCACGCTGCCACTCCCAGAAAGAGCAGATCAACTGCCCAACCTGAAACGGAAGGCGAGTCAAGACGAAATCCGAACAGAGAAACCTAAAAAGCGGGCGAAGCAAAGTCCTTTTGTTTCGGCTTTGCAGGTCCACGCCTCAGATCTCTTGAACAATGAACTACCACCGAGCCCTGAGCAGCCTGCGTCTCCTGTTTCTCCCGCTGCTGTTTCTCCGATGCTCGACGGTCGGATGGATCTGACTGCAGCATGGGACGATGGAATCGATCTGCTTGATGAGTTCAAAGATATTATTAAACTTATTTAGACGCTGGTGGATTGGTGGCCAAATGGTGGGATCTTTGCTTTTTTCCATACATCTTTAGGATTCTTTTTTGAGTGGTGCATGTATGGTGCTGGATTGCTGCGAACTGGTGCAAGTTATGGCTTGTCTTACTTCTATATAGAATACTGGAGGCCATGCTATATTGTTATTTAGAATTCTCAGCATGAAATAATCCTGAAAGAATTCCGTTGCTTTGATATTCTCGGATGTCTCACTCAAGTATGGCTCCAAAACACTGGGGACGTTGGACCGTTGTTGATTTCAGACATTCATCCTGAAGGTCTCAAGTTCCTTTTGTTCTTGAACTTCTCAGTTCTTTTGGGCTTTGGTTATGCTCACCGTCCATGATGGACATTATGATGACTAGTAACTCATGTTTTCGTCTCGTGTCATCTTGATACTCCATATGCTTTGCTACATTCATCATCGACTCAATCAGAGGTAGGTGTCAGGGAAGAGCTAGTATGTGCTATGGAAGTGTGTTCGTTTATCCAAATATAAAAGGTACTTACACGCCGGGATATTCTTGGACACACCAAACGTTCAACAGCAAGATATTCACTCTCCAACATTTGATCCGGTATTTTGTCTCCAATCCTCCCAATTGCAAATCCATTTGAGCAGTCTTCAAAATCTTCAATTGCAATCACCCATCACGAAAGACGACAGCAGGACTGATTCGTCTCATCAAGATGACTCGTATGCACTACGCTTCTGTAAATACACCCAGAGAAAGGCCATGAATGGGAATTATACTGACAACTCCTCCACAGCGGACGATGGAAGGCGTCGAGATGGCCAGAGTCGCCGCCAGAGACTTGGTATGACTTCCAGGTCTCACCCATTGACATGATCCTGACTTTCAATAGAGACGAAGACTTCCCGGAGGAGACAACTGCGACGCAGCCTCGCGCAACCCGACAGTCAAGATCGATCTCTCAGGCCGCAAGCTGACCGACGAGGGTTTCGATATATTCATCGATGCCCTACTGGAGACTCTCCAGAAAGATAAAGACGACAAGCACCCCGAGGGCTTTGTCCGACTATTGAAGCTCCAGCTGGGCGGCAATTGTCTCACCTTCAAGTCATTGCCCAAGCTGGGTATGGCAATAAGGCTCAGCACCGGTGATCTGAATGATCTTGATCTGTCTCAGAACTGCATCGAGGTCAGTACTGCTGGGCAAAGGGCGGCGTGGAAGTATTTCCTGAACTCCTTTGAGGAGTGCTACATGCTCAAGAGAGTCAGCTTCTCCGGAAACCCTCTCGGTGCTCCCGGTGTGGAGATCCTGGCTAGGGTCTATATCCGCAGCAGACTGGAGTTCCCGGATCAGAGCACTGCTTTCCCTGAGGAAGGTCATGATTCGGGTGTTGACAAAAGCGAGGACCTGTTCTCCGACGACAACGGTCCTGGCATATCTATGAAACCGGTCAGAACTCCGCGCATTCTGGAGATCAGGATCCAACACCCCAGTCTCAGGGACCATCTGAGATTGCATCCGAGCGCAATCGAAGACACTTCCGCAAAACTCGTGGACTGCGATCAGTACCGGAGCTGATACTGACCGAAATTCCCATGTCATCCATTGGGGTTATCCACCTGGCCGGTATTCTGTGCATGCAGGAATCTCGCGAGTTCCTCTGCTTTTATCTTCCGAAGACGAAGGCAGACGCCTCTCGATCGGAAACCGAGAAAAAGAATCCGAGCATCACTTGGCATTTGAATGAGCACTTGCCTCAACGCGTCCGTCAGGCGCCATGCTGGGCAACTGACGTTGCGCAGCTAGGGTTGAGTTTCGACTCCAGTTTGACTGTCGCGATTGACAACTTGGAGACACCTCCGAGCTCGGGTTTGTTGCGGGGAGGTAGATCGTGGAAAGGGAGATATGAAATAAAATTCCTATCTGTGATCAGAGCACTCTACGCACTTGGGAGTGAGAGTGAGATTCGAGGTTCGGAGATCTGGACAATGGCCCTGAAGATGGCGAAGATGATGGAAACAGTTCTGTTCAATGAGGAGGTCATTCAGGTAAGTGCAATACTTTGATCATCTCGAGCTAAGGGCAGTTCTAACTGAAAAAAAAGGCTCAGCTTTCTTCCGGTGGGAAGGTCTTTGAATGCCTTGGACTTCAAAGGGATTTGGTGGATGCCATCAACATTGGAGTGCTTCGCTTTCGCCAACTGTCTGATGGACTGTCCCAGGAGCCTTGGCGTCTTGGGATGTCGCTGGACATATGGTCTGATGTCATGGGTATGGCCTTGGACAAAGGGGATGTTCTCACTGCTCAGCAGAGGATGAATATTCTTGGATATGTAGGTAGGGGTAATCGGCGCGTGCCTGAGAAGGCCATGGAGATATGGAGGTTTCTTTTCGATGTGGATTGTGTTATGTACCACGCTTCTTGATCCTTTGCTTTGCTTCTGATGCACGTTAGACCAATTGACTGGGTGTTTATTGTTTTTATAAACTGATAGAGAAGCGTAGTGGACGGTCTTTTGTGAGAAAAGAAGACACCAGAAAGGAGATATCAAGAGAACAACCATAGTAACACAGTATGTATATATAGTCGACGCCCGCTCTTTCCCTCGACATGTCATTTCCTTTCTAACACGCCAAATCTCCCTTCCCTTCTCTTCACTCTTCAATCTACAAATCCTTACTTTTCTCTCACACCCTATCTCTTAAACTCCATTCACTTGATCTGCTGGCGAGATGCAGTTACCGTTCCTCCTGGAGTGGCCCTTGACCAAAAGCTATGGACAAAAAGAGACAACAGTGAAGTCAGGAAATGCGAGACTCTGCCATCCTAAGACTTGAGGCTTTTCAAGTCACCATCACCGAAGTTACTCAACACAATATACAGAACACCACTACAACATCAGCCAACTGTGCTCCCATGACTCCAACAGGATCTCCACCCAAGGAGATCTATTTGTTCTGGGCATTGTAAGATGCCCACAATGGGCCATGGTCTTTCTTGGCCTAGATCTGCGTCCTGTACGCAGTAGTACTTTTCTCGACATACCTTTTTTAACCTCGCTGCGCCGGACCAATGCATACATCGACTGGTAAGAGGATTGCTTTTGCTTGTTCTGGGTATGGCCTGTGCATTTCTAACCCAGTCTACAAAGGAAATATGACCCCCCCAAGGGTGGTACCCATGCCGGTTGCAATGGCACCAGCTTCTGCGTCCGTCGTTGTTCCTCCCTCCATCCCCTCTTCCACCAAACTCCTCAAGTCCCCGAGGGGAGAGAACCTCTCGTCTTCGGACGAGGACAAGGGACTGTCGAGCCCTTCCGCGCCCGAACAAACTCCACTTGCTCTCTCCCTGATACTGCCGGAACACCTGGGGCCTTCAAAACAAGCCAATCACATGCGAGTCTCCAAGCAATTGAGGAGATGGAGGGTCATGGAAAGATGTTGGCAAAGTCTCTTAGCTGTTCAGGCCATGAATAAGCCGCCGTACACTGGGAGGGGTTGTACCTAGTTTGTAAAGGGGACTCTGTCCGAATGAATACGTATCACAAAGCCAATGCTATAATTCAATTAAATACGTATTCTTCTATCCTACAGTATTTCCAAATGTGATGAGTATTTCACTCCTGATATCCCATATTGGGCTCCATATCCTTCGAGGCGCGAACCTCTTTATATCGCCGAGATATCTCGGCGATCATACCCTGAATCTTCTTGGCTGCCACAAACTTGATTCCGAGTGTCTCGAAAAGCTGAGTTGCAAGGTCAAGGTCAGCGATAGCTCGCGTGTCTCTCAAGACAACGCCGAGGTCATCAGGTTGAGCCGTGATCGCATAGACTAGTGATAGAGTCGCCGTGAAAAGGGCTAGAAAATTCAACCAGTTGTAGGCAAATCGTTGTTGCTGATGCATGCTGAATGCTTGACGAAGTGACATTGACGCTGCCGTCTCCAGCATCTTAATCCGCTTTACGTCTGAAACGGGGAATAGCGGGGATGGTCTGTATATCATGGCGAGATGGGTATAGTAGTTGAAGTCGTACCACGTTGTGTTGAGATGTGGTACTCTGTCGTCGATGTCTGGGAGCGGGAAAGGCATGCCCGGCGCCAGTCGAGTAGTTCCTGGTGTAAGGAAGCTATTATTGCTTCGCGTTCTTGTAAAGTCATGTTTGAGTTCTTGAAATTCCCGTAGACCTGCCGTGAAATCTTGCCTGCAATTCTTCGTAGTGATAGAATGTGTAGAGGAACGGCCATCAGCGACGGCTGGAGGGAGTTTTGGGGGCTTATGCAGTCGGTGTGTATAAATTCTTCGTCGGCGTTTTCGAAGGGCTGTTCTCACCCAGTTAGACAGTTTCGAAGAAAGCAATTTGCTGCTAATTCACACGAAGATCGGACTCACCGTTACATCTATATCGTCATCATGCAATGCGAACGGGCGGCCTAAGGTAATGGAAACTACGCTGGGTGTTGCTATTAGCCGCTTAATTCTGGACACGAAAGGAAGGAGGAGGAGAAGAAGAAGAAGAATGAGGACCAGGACCTACCGATCCATCATATATATTGAAAAGAAGATGCGTTTGCGTCTTTGCTGCACATCAAGAGGAAATTTGCGATACGACGAGGCTGCATGGAGCCCCATTCCTAAGGCCAGACGGGCAGCGGTGCCAACAAGAAACCAGGTGTCTACTTCCGTCAGTGTCTGGGATATCCTCGGTCAACTGCCTGTCACTCACTTGGACCTAGTTGGTTGAAAAATGAATACGAGACTTGGAGCATTATGGCCTCCAAGGCAGACTAGGCTCTCGTCAGTTGCGTCCTCGTCGATGAAGTTATAGACAGGTGTTTCTACCATCTCATCACCTCCCAAAGCTTGCTCAGAATACTGCAGGGCGTTGTTGTAGAACATCATTGATTCCGACTCCTCAGTCAATGTGACAGAAGAGTAAGCGGTCGAGCCAATGGCCAGGACCATCCAGATCCTGAAGATGTCGAGGGGAGCTTGTGTCGCCAAGCTCTGAGGATTCTGATGGATCCTTTCGAAGGCGTCCATGACCTCGGACCGTTTCAGAATGGGATACAGGGTATGGGAGTGCGCAAAATAGAAATCTACCAGCCGTCGCACATATGCCTCATCGGCTGGCCAGACTAGAGAGCCAAGGGTGGCGTCGGATCCGGCAAATTCAGGGAGGAAGAGGTCACCAAACAGTAACGGATGGACGGAGATGGATTCACTCAAGTTCTGGAAGAACGAGTCGTTGAAGGGGTCTGAGGGGAAGTTGAGGTCCAAGAGATTTGTTCCGGTAGTGTTGTCTTGATGACTATTGAATACAAAGTCCGCCTTGTCTGGTGTCAAACGACGTAGGACCATTTGGGTCAGCTCTGCGAATGAGAGGCCCGTGGTCGATCCCAAGTGACGTTCAGCAGTAGCTTCTAACGAGAGTGATGTAAGTTGCTGGCCAAATGTCGAGGTCTGGCTTGATGCGGGCCGTGGGCTGACAAGAGGGTCTTGTGTCGGGGCGGTGTTGTCGGCAATAGTGGATGCGTTTGCTACTTCGCTTCTGTAAATCCCGTGGGAGCTAGGTCCCTGGCCCACCGTTGCTGTCTCCGGCATCTCAAAGTCACTAAATGGGCGATTGTTGTCCAAGACAGCCGTGGCCTCTGTGGCGTGGGCCGCGTTCTGCTCTCCAACACCCACTGCCCTCCCTAGACGGCGAAGCTTTTCTTCCAGGCCCTGGACATACCTGCCAGCATGTCAGCAGCATACTTCAAACTACTCCAGCAAACGAGCGGCTGTAGAGCTATGAATGACAGACCGAGAGAGACGTCACATCCACTCCCATGCGGCGACTTACACTATCGGGTACGAAGCGGTTTGGAGATCATCGTCTTCGAAGCTACATCTCATCCGCGCCGACACGCAATTTCTACATGACGGCAACAACCTGTCGCACCTCTTCTTCCTCCTGTGACAGCGCGAGCACGAAGCTCGTGCCCTTGCTGGGGCCGGAGATGGGGTTGCCGGTGCAACTCCCGTTGCAGCGCTGTCGGGCATTGGCAAGAGTCGCAGAGACTTGAGAAGTGTGCTGGAATAGAGGGAAGACACTCTGTGGTTATCTTTCAGCATTTTCCCACCTCTCTGGCTGTGGGATCTGCGGAACTTCAGTTGGAATATTTTGTCCTTATCTGCTCTCGAAATCCCACCTTTCCCCGCATTCAGTTCGGGACAATCTCATCGGGGGACCGGGGATCTTCCGCCGACACACAAAGAAGGCAGTTGACTGAGATGTAATTTACATACAGGACCTGATCGTGACTGCAGTGTCTACCAGTTTCTTCCCGAAAAGCTATCCCGTGCGTCGCACTGCTATCTACGGGCACCTCACTACACGAGGGTATCCACTTTCTCAGCTCGAGATAAGAACTCGATTATCTCCAGGCAATCGAGTTATGGCTATTGGACAAGGTACCCGGGAGAGGATTGATTTTCGCGAGGACATCATTGAAGTCGAGTCACCACCCACAAGGCTATTTGAACTCTCCCCAGGCATGTCCCAAATATGATACGAGAAAAGCAACACCACATCGTTAAATATTGTTCTCTTTGTCTTGTCTATTCTAGATATTGACGACTGCAACAGCCTTAACCTCGACAATCATTCGGGGGTCAGGGAGCTCCCTCACGCCAATAGTGGCCCTAGCCGGTGCACTATCTCGGGACTTAAAGACCTTGTTCCACTCCTCGTTCATGCCAGAGTATTGGCTTTTCATGTCTAGGATGTATACGACAGCGTCAATCACGTTGTGGATGCCGCCCTTGCCATCTGTCGCGCCCTTGATTATGTTGTCGACGTTCTCGAGGACCGCCGCCGTTTGCTTGCGAATGTCGGTCGTGCATGTTCCGTCTGGGTTTTCAGTGACGCCGGGCCAGGTGCCATCGGGCTGGCAGCATGCCGTGCCGGAGATGTAAATGGTGCGGTGGTTGGAAAGGGGGTGCAAGGCGAGCCTGTGGGAATCTGGTGGCACCCTCGGGGGCATCAGGCTTGACTAGGTATGCTTGTCCATTGGGAGACATGGCGATCAAGTGTAGCTGGTTTGTAGGTTGCAGTAGTTGTTCGGGGAAATGATAAGGGTAGGTAGAGATGATAAAGTTTGATGATCAAGACATGTTCGATGATCAAATTGGGTTTCTTTAATATTCTCAAAGCTGCCCCAATCTCCTTGTCTTTTCCATAGTCGTGTTGAATATATCCGCATCGGGTTTCCTCTTCTTGCTTAGCTGTCGGCGATGGCGCAGCCGATAACATTGCGGGGTGTGCTTAGTGTCGGGGCGTCCGACGCGCTTCGACAGAGATCCTCGTCGGGTTGTCCGAAAATGGTACACGGTACCCAGTCTCTTGGTCCATTCCATATCTGCTCTCGCTCTATCGGCCGACGTCGAGCTGTCGCATAATTTGTCCTTCCATTTCAACCAACAGCTGGAGGTTGGGCCACGACAGCACACGCAAGAATTCCAATGGTACGCGGCCACCATAGACCGTTTCAAACCATGGACTTTTTGTACTAATTGTGCCCGTGATACAACAAACCTAGATCAGTATACAACTCATTCCTGGCCATGGCCCAACTACCTCGCTGCATACCGGAGGGCCCGGAGAAAGCTTCATCCAATTCAGAGACGAGCAGCACCGAGCAGCAATTGGAGAAAGGAACAGCCCATCGAATCCATTCAGCCGTTCCCCCAGAGAGCATCGATGACTCTGCCGTTACGAAATATCCCGAAGGAGGCTGGAGCGCCTGGGGAGTGGTACTAGGGAGCTGGATGGCCCTGTTTGGGTCTATGTCTTTTATGAACAGCATAGGAACATTCCAGACATACCTCCTGCGAAACCAGCTCAGCAACTACAGTCCCGAAGCCGTGGGCTGGATCTTTGGCGTTTACAATGGTTTGACATTTCTTCTCGGTATCCAGGCGGGACCCATCTTCGATGCGAGGGGTCCCCGTGAACTGATATGCTGCGGAGGAATTTTGACAATTCTCTACCTAATGCTGCTAGGCACATGTACAGAGTACTGGCATTTCATGCTCGTGTATGGTGTCTTAGGCGGCATCAGTCTCTCACTCATCTTTGGTCCGGCTATTGCCATCGTCGCCCACTATTTCAGCGCTAGGCGTGGATTTGCGACCGGAATTGCATCCTCTGGGGGCGCTGTCGGTGGTGTTGTCTTTCCCTTGATGCTCCAGAGGCTATTTGATACGGTTGGGTTTGCTTGGGCAACCCGGATCGCGGGCTTTGTGTGTATTGTCACTTTTGTCCTTGCGGCTATCCTCATTCGCCCTCGCTTCCCCCAAAGCCATTGACTCTGTCGACGGTGCGCCCCGATTTAACCATCTTTCGCCAAGGCGGTTTGGCCTTGACAAGTCTCGGAGTCTTCTTTCTTGAATGGGGTCTGTTTATTCCCTTTACCTATCTGACATCCTACGCGATTGATCACGGAAGTTCGGCAGCCTTTTCCTACATGCTTCTATCCTTGATAAATGCCGCTGGAGTGTTTGGTCGATGGGTGCCGGGGTTCTATGCCGATCGGCTGGGAAGATTCAACATGCTCATCCTCACTGTTCTCGGCTGTCTCCTCAGTATTTTGTGCTTATGGCTGCCAACCAAATCAAGCGAGCCAATGATGGTTGTGTTTGCCTTGGTCTTTGGCTTCTTCGGTGGCAGCAATGTCAGTCTAGCTCCGGTATGCATCGGCCAGCTGTGCAAAGTCGAGTCGTTCGGTCGATATTACTCTACCGCATATATACTCGTTAGCATCAGGTTAGTAAATCTCCCCTGGCTTGTGACCCCCGCAGAACTGACACTCATCCTTAGTATGTTCACTGGTACTGCGCTGGGTGGTAAATTTATCGAAGTTTGCCTTGGTGAGTATCACGGTGTGATTGCCTTCGCGGCTGCAAGCTATCTGGCGAGCTTCATTTGCCTTGTTATGGCGAAAACTCTTAGCTGCGGGAAAAGTAATATTTGGTCAAAGTTTTAGTAGTAGACGCGCAGTATGTGCTACATTATTGCATATCATAGATTCAGGCTTCTAAAGCCCCCCTGAGTCGTTTTAAGGGAGATTTACCGTCTTGCTACTGACACTGATAACTTGGATTCGATATCCAACCCAGCATAACACTGATTCTTACTACAATGGAGTCAATAGATTTCGTGAAAGCGTGGAGTGGAGGCAAAAGGTCACGGATATAGCATAGTCACTTTCAAACTCAATCCTATAACCATCCTAGATCATGGCTAGGAGAATAATTCTAAGAATTTCTTTCTACGCTTTTCTGCTTCGTATCATGCGATGCCTGGCCCACAAAATATCCATCGGACGTTCCGACTGACCACATCCTGGGCTGAGTCTCTGAGACCAGACTATATAAGCTCGCTCTACAAACACAACTGGAACACAATATACGCCACGTTGAGCCACCATGCCAGAACCTACAGCCCAGCAATATCAAATCGATGGCTTCACTTTCACGGATGGGACCGGTCCGACATCGATCCAGCTAGCCTACCTCGACATCAACCCAACTGCAGACAAGGTAGCCCTTATTCCGACCTGTTTTCGCGGCCGGCTCGCGACAACCTTGACTTTTAGCCATGGCGCCCTCAAAGACTACAGAGTCATTGTAGTGGCTTTGTTTGGAAATGGAGAGTCTTCGAGTCCATCCAATATGACCAACTTCCCCCCGACGCTGAACTACCAAGACTGCGTTCGTGCTCAGCACCAGCTGATAAGATCATATCTCAACATCCAAGCTATTGATGTGGTGGTTGGTTTCTCTATGGGAGGACAGTGTTCGTACTACTGGACCCTGATGTACCCCGAGCTGGTCCGGAACGCGGTCATAATCTGCTCGTCGGCTCGTACCAGCCCCCATAATTACCAGTTTCTCGAGGGGCCAAAGGCTGCGCTAGAGTGTTCTGTCGACTACAAAAAGGGAGAAAGCAACGAAACCTCTTCAAAGGCATCGGCCGGGCTGCGGGCTTTTGGCAAAGCATACTCGGCTTGGTTGACAAGCCCCGAATGGTTTGAGAAGGGCATGTACAAGTCCATGGGGTACGAGACATTGGGAGAATGGGATAGGGATGCAGCTGGAAACAATTACTACAATTGGCATCCTGATGACTTGCTCGCCATGGTGGGCATGTGGCAGAGAGGCGATGTCTCTTCGATCTCGGGACATGCATCTTTACAAGAAGCGCTGTCACGGATCAAAGCAAGTATCCTGGTAATGCCGTGTTCAACAGACCAGTACTTTTGCTGGGAAGCATCTGAGAAGGAGGCACATGCGATTCCTCGCTCTACGTTCAAGGTTATACCATCTGCATGGGGCCATTTGGCTGGATTGGGTTATAACGCCGAGGACAAAGCTTTTATGGATCAGACGATAGCTGAGTTTCTGAAGACGCAGTGACAAAAGAAGACTTGGAGGACATTATCCTGATATGAGTTTGAAATAGTATCATTCAAGTATGTAGACCAGTATAGGCCAAGACAAGTCGACCACAACACATCATTCGCTGCCATCAACCGCACTCTCAAATATCTCTCGACCCCGTTCAAACAAAGCCGCAGCTTCAATGAGCTGTTCATCGGCCCAACGCCTTGCAACAATCTGCATACCTACGGGCAGCGGGACATCTGGATGACCTTCGGCCGTGGAAAACCCACAAGGCACATTCATCCCGGGGTGGCCAGTAACATTGAAGGGACAAGTGTTGGTGGTCAAGCCAACAGCGACACCAAGTCTATCTAGAATCGAGGCCCTTCTCCCGTCGGGACCGTTTAGATCTGGGTGAGGCATCGCAACTGTAGGCGCACAAGGCGTGACGAGAATATCAACACGCTCCAGGGCGGAATCGTAGGCAGCTCGAAGCGCAAAAACCAGGCGATGGGCCTTTGCCTCCAGCCCTCCCTTGCACGACTCCCTAGCAAACTTCTCACTCAGCATGATGTTGACTACAGCTGGGTTGCTGCATGTCAGCGCGTCGTATGTCTCCTGGGACATAGGCCATTTGATCTGCGTATGCGGCGAAAGGAAAGATAGGTGACCAGAGGGGTTTCCCTGGCACAGGTAACTGGACATGGACGGCCGGGTTGCTGCTGTCCAGATTGCTGGACCTTGTTGATGCATTGGAACAGATACCTCGACGACAGAGGCCCCGACAGCTTCGAAGTATCTCGTTGCTGCTTGGTAGACAATGTCTCGAACGTCGGCAGCAACCCCGGGCATGTGGAAGGATTCCTTCAGAACGCCAACCCTCAGCTTGTGACCAGGTCTCAATGTAGACCGAATCTCTTGTCTCATCTGGAGCAGTAGGTTCAGGTAAGGCTTTACTTGATGTACTAAGGGAGTTTCAGGGGTCATCCGAGGGTCGTAGCCATCGTAGCCTGCCATGACCTCCAACAGCGCGGCGACATCTTCAAGCTCCGCCGCCAGCGGGCCCAGGTGATCGATCATGGGCGACATTGACCCTGCACCAGTGTACGGAACTAGTCCAAAGGTTGGCTTCAACCCGTAGAGACCGTTGTAAGAGGCCGGGATTCGCACTGACCCAGCCTGGTCGGTGCCGATAGACAACTCCACAGTGTGACCCGTCGACGAGTTGCCCCTTTTTGATGCCAGGCGATGAGCCGCAACTAGAACTGCAGAACCACTACTGCTTCCACCAGCGGTGTAGTTGTGCAAGAGCGGGTTATGAACTGGCCCTGTCGCCGAGGTGAAGGACAGGGGAGACGCACAAAAGCTTTCGCAAGTCGACATCCCTGTGATGATTCCGCCGGCTCTGAGAATCCGCGACACCACGACTGCGTCAGTAGGGGAGATGGGGTACCCGTCTGTCTGATGGAACAATGTCTGGGGCATGCCAAGCGTTGTCGGAAGCCCTCCGACAGCTATGTTGTCCTTGATGGCAACGGTACGTCCACGCAATAAGTTGCTAGCCGGGACCGCGGATCTTAAATCACATTGGTGACTCCAGCCGTTAAAGGGATTATCTTCTGTGGCTGGTTTCCAAAATTTGCGAGCTTCCAGCGTCTTCTGAGGAACCAAATCTGGCGGAATGTAGTCAGGCGCATTGTCGATGCTTCTTAGAACTGTCTCAAGAGACCGCAACAGAGTAAGGTAGTCCTCCACGTCTTTATTATCGAGAGTCTCAACGTGAAGCTGGGCTGCGAAAGCCCGTAGATCTTTCTCGCTTATGTTGGAGCTATGTCGCTTGTTAGATGTCGAGATGATCCAAGTTCATGTACAGCGGTTGCTTACCCTACACCATCCGAGATCGATACGATAGACATGGCGATGATTTGCTCGAGCTGAGAGAGGAGGTGCTATTGTCTCAGGGTATTATGGTTCCCGCTTTAGTCACGGCCTCGAGGTAGCTCTTAAAGGAGTAGTGTACACTCTACCCTTTTTTATGCCTCAGGTATGTCGGCCGATCCGATGGAATTTTGCAAGCTATAGCCCAGGCCCGCCCTCACCGATAAGTTGAGATATCCAGCATAGCCAGATTGGTGTCGCTCGTACCTTTCGCCAGGCTTTTGGTATGGATTTGCAGTCATTTTCTTCAAGGGTGTCAACCGAGTGCGTTGCCGGGCGTTCAGTTTTAATCTCTATCCCATTGTGGAACAAGCAATGGCCCAGTATTACAGCAGTGTATAGCCGCCAGTGCGCCATGTCGTGTTTTTCTATATTAAATTTTGACTGTCATACGGCCAATTTACTATTACCTACAAATTCTAGCGATCTAATTCCTAGAATATCAACTTCTATAGGGTCAGTTTCTATAATATCCCAATTTCTGTAACAAGAATAGCCGGCCGCTTATACAGCTATAGTATTTATAGTAGTCTTCTTAGGTGTCTTTTTACATATCATTTTATTGGTCCTTTTTAGTGGTCTTTTTTAGTAGACTTCTTAGGTAGACTTCTTAGATAGCTAGTTACATGTCCTGACCTTGCCAATAAGTTCTTTCTCAAATGCTATATCCCTTCATTCTTGACCATTGGCAAGCAGAATGCGGCCTCCGTCAACGCAAAGTGATATTCCATCCACATAGGCCTAAACAAGGAATTGTCAGTATTCCACCACAGCAGGTGGGAATGGGAAACCTCCAAAAAGGCTGCTTAGACTTACTCCCGCACGGCTGACGAGATACAAGACAGTGCCGGCAATATCATCCTCGTTTCCTGCTCTCTTGGCAGGTACCTTGTCGAAAAGGGCGCTGAAGAGGTTGCCTTCTTCTCCAACAGGGTTCATGTTGCTTGGAACAACTGTATCAATCAGCAACTGGGTCCATCCATGTGGGTCATTACAGCGCCCGGTTTCACTCACAGCCTGGGTTGATCCCGGCCACTCGTACATAGAAGCGGCTGAATTTGGCTGCCAGCAGCCTAACCAGGTGATCAGTTGCAGCTTTGCTCGTCGCATAACTCGTTAGGTCCACGTTCGTCACGTTATGCATGCTTGCGCATGAACTCGTTATGACAACCACTCCGCGACCCCCATTTCGCCCGAGCTGGCCATCGGACAATTCCAGTCGCGAGGCCGCCTCTAGCAATGGAAGGAAAGCCACGGAAAGGAAGTAGTGGGCAGTTGTGTTGATGCGAAATGTATCATCCCAGTCTGAATGTCGTGAGGACCACATGGAAGCTTGCAGCTCGGACAAGGATGCCTTGAGCACATTGCATTGGACAGGGGGGTCGCGTCTGATGCCGGCGTTGGAAATCAACATGTCAACGTGCTTTTCTCGCTGGCCAATCTGATTGGCGAGATCTTGGATGGCTTGCTTGTCAGAAACATTGCAAGGGATTCTAGGTTTGACATCAGTATGATTTGGGTAGTCTTGCACGCTGAGCTCGCTATTATCCGAACTTACCCATGTGCAGATCCTCCAGCTTCCCTACCAAGTTCGTTGAGTTCCGCCACGCTCTTGACGGTGGACACGCTTGGTAAATCAACGAGGTACACTTTGGCGCCATTTGTCACAAGTCCCTGTTACTTCAAAGTTAGCTGTTAAGGAACAGCGGCATAAAATTATCTGGAATTGCAATTTCAAGCCTGCTTAGACGATGCACTCACCTTGGCAATCATAAAGCCTAGGCCACTGGCGCCTCCTGTCACAACTGCAACGTGCCCCTTGACCCCGAACAAACTATCAGTAAGAAGAGAGGACATATCGACAAGGTAATGGATGAGTTGTGCTGGCGCCTTCGTAGACGAACGTGACGAACCGTGACATTTGGGCTACCTAAATTCAACAGGGCATTGGTAAGCGCTATCCTCCCCGTCGGACTCCCCGACGAGCCGTCGGGGATTCGACTCTGGGGTAGTGTGACCATTTCGGGACCATTCCCACGCGCAACATCTTGACATCTACTGGCTAGCCTGATCTCGTAATCTCGTTCTCGGTTATGCGGTATTACTGAGGTTCCGTCTCGGCCTTGATGCAGATCGATGCATGCTGGGATTCTATCGTCCTTGTCAGTATTCTACTACCTAGTTGACAGGCTTACTGTCTTGGAAAGTAGCCATACTTCACGTTCTCATGCGGAAAATGTCGGTCACACATATGCAAGTGTGGTTGCCCAACGATTGCAATCGCTCTTGGCTAACAGCCTGTTCATCTAGACGCCCCCGAGCAGCCCAATACAACAATTAGGACATCCAAGAGTCCCTAGATGTACCTTGCTTTACTTCAATTTACTTCAAAGATGTACTGTTATGAATGAATAAAATACGTGCCTTGGTATAGCCTTTAATTTCTAACGTCGAGAGTAAAGACTATAAGAAACAGCTCTCACACCAAGTGTCATGTGTCAGAACACGCTCCATTAGCAATGAAACTGCTCCTATATTGGTTCTCGCTTATCCTGAAATACATTAGGTACATTTCAAGGGTTTGAGCCCGCAGCGACAACAGCATCCAGAACATAATTACTCCTTGTAGTGCTCCCGGGTCCTCTCCTCAGCAAGATCCAGGCACTCGGATGTCATGGCCGCGTCACGGGGAATGAGCTTGACCTTGAACTCCCTTGGGATGGCAACCAGCGCCGTCTTGAACTGGTTGTACTCAACATAGTCAGTGTTTGGCGGGCTCTCCTTACTCGCGACGATCTTGTAGGACAACAAAATCCTCACCAACGCGGAGTACAAGAGGCGAGAGGCGAGGTACTGGCCCGAACAAGCACGAGAACCAGTGCCGAAGCTCAAGTGACCCAAGCCGCTGCTCTCAGCCTCTGCGGGAGGATTGAGGGTCTTGAGCCATCTCTCAGGGTTGAAGCTTCCAGCATCAGGTCCAAAATGATCGACATCTGTACGTGTCAGAGCTTGCAATAATAGCCAGAACAATGATTTCAGCGGGCCACTTACCATGGTTACCCGCTTGGGCATTGATCAAGATCATAGTCTTAGGAGGGATGACAGCACCATTCCAGTTGACCTCGGAGACAGTCTTTCGGGGAAGACTCATGGAGCTGACGGTGTAGTATCGGCCAGCTTCCTTGACAATGGCATTGATGTAGGGAATTGTCTCCTCTTTGAAACAGCTAGTCCAGGCATCGCGGTCGTCAGGGTAGTGTCGCTTAATGTCCTCGTAGGCCCGATCCTGCCATGCCTGTCCTTCTTCGGTTGAGAGAGATCCAATGCAGGAGGTCAAAGTCCCGGGAATAGTCTCGAAGCCACCGGACACCAGAGACAAGCATATTGAAGAGACTTCGACGCCGGAGAGCTTAGTCTCCTGGTCCTTGAGGATAGCAGCAGAGATGCAAGGCTTATCCGTACCATTCTTGATCATCTCACGGACCTTGTTCAAGAGGAGGTCTAGATAGGTGTCACGTCGCGCACGAAGGTCCTTTGAACGGGTATTCTTCTCGTTGTTGGGAAGATAACGAAGCGCCGGGATGTAATCCTGCAGGTTCTCGGAGGCGCTACGCAATAGGGAAATAGACGATCCCACATGGAGAATCTCACGGAGCAGTTCGTCGTAGACAGCGTCCATACGGATACCGTAGCAGAGCGTCAAGGTGGTGTTGAGTGCGTAACGCTGGATGTAAGGGCGAATGTCAATCTCGATCTCACCGTCGCGGCTGTCCTTTTTCATGTCTCGTAGGATGCAGTAGCTCTCCAGGTCAAACATGGGGTAGTAGTTCCTCAAGGCAGGCCGACCCAGAGCAGTACCAGCAGCCTTGCGCTTCTTTTTGCAGGACTCGTCCCAGGGCGAAGATCCAATGGTGAAGCCCTGGGTGCTGCTGATGACACCGTGGAAGGTGTAGAGCTTGGGGCGGTCAATTACTGCATTCTGGCTACCGAGTAGCATCTTCTTGCAGTCATCAAACGAGTTGACAACGACGGCCCTTGTATTCCCCAGCTTGATCTGGAAGACAGAGTGGTTGTACTGGCGCCACCATTTTTCGCAAACCGTAGCATGATCCTCACCGAGCTTGAGAAGATGTCCGAACATAGGAATAGCGCCAGGAATCTCTGGCATACCCTTGATGTGAGGAATATCGGTAGCATACATGACCTGGCGAGATAGTCAGCTGACGAACATTGAGAAGAAACTACCTAGGTAGCAATGGCAATGCCGCCCGTTTGGTCACAAGCACAACTTACAGTGTAAAGCACATAGGTGAGGAGCACCACCACAACTGCCGTCAAAACTGGTCTAGCATGCTCCTGTTCCTTGAGTTGGTGCCATTGATAGCTCAGCCAATAGCTGCCTTCGTGGGCCTTGGCATCCATATTAAATGAATATAAAAATTGTTGACTTGTGAGACTTGCGACAGTAGAGAATGTGTCGTTTATGATGGTCGAAGTTAGACAGGTTGTCGGAATGATTCATCCTTAACAATTATCACGAGCTCGACTGGATGCTTCCTTATGCTGCTTCGTGGGTAGGACTCCACACCTCCCCTCAATTCTGGGAGAAGCAACGTGACGATGTTTTTGAGTGGTGAGCGGATGATCCGATGGCGTCGAGGTATTTTCATTATTTACCCCTCTCAAGCCTAGTCACAGCGGTGCTGCCGACTAGATAAGGCCTCGGCTAGTGACTTCGTCTTCTCGGGGGATTTTTCATGAATATCGCAGTACATTCCCTTTACCATGGCAGATACCAAGTTCCCGCGGCAGTTTCTTTCCGACACGATCGGCATGTCCGACGACCGATTATTCGTCCGATATTTGTATCTCGTATTGTGGATCGTGGTCGATAAGGGCGATCCAATGCAGTCCAATGTCGTTCAAGGTAGTCTAAGGTAGTCCAAGGAACCTAAACCCATCCAGTAAAAGGCTTGTAGATAAGGATGAACCTGGAGCATGAACTCTTATATTATATGGTGTAAACCAACCTAGGCGCATATGTAGCTATATTCAGCCCACATCACCCCACTTCAGATCAACAATATGAATACCATGAATAATATATTATCAAAGGAAAAGTACAGCCAAGAAAAACATGACTATCCGACAAGCCAGAGAGCCGATTCATTTGCTGTAGAGGAGCCACTCCACCCGTCTACCAAACGAGATCTCAATGCACGCCACGCGCTCTTCATTGCCTGGGGTGGCACTGTTGGTACTGGCCTTTTCATCACCACTGGCAAGGCTCTTGCGACCGGTGGACCAGCATTCCTCGTCGGGAGCTACGTCTTTGCGTCTATCTTGGTGTACTTCATCCTTACGGGAGTTACCGAGATGGCCACGTTTCTCCCCGTTCGCGGAGGCTCCATGAGTCGGTACGGAGGCCGCTTTGTGTCCAGGAGTCTCGGTTTTGCCATGGGTTGGCTCTATGTCTACTCTTTCGCCATACTGGTTCCCTTCGAGCTCACGGCATGCGCTATCCTCATAGACTTTTGGCAACCCGGTATCAACAGCGCGGTTTGGATCACCATTCTGCTGGTCTTGTTGGTCATTCTTAATGTCTTGCCAGTACGATTCTACGGCGAAGCGGAATTCATCTTCACTGGTGTCAAACTGGCCACCATCATCGGCCTGCTTCTTCTGTCATTTATCTTGTTCTGGGGTGGTGGTCCTGACAAGAACAGACTCGGGTTCCACTACTGGAAAGACCCTGGTGCCGCGAATACTTTGATACTGGAAGGTGACGCTGGAAGACTCATTGCCGCCATCGCGACTGTCATCAGCTGCATCATGCCCTTCACCTTTACACCCGAGATGGTGGTTGGAACAGCAGCCGAGATCAAAGAGCCGAGGAAAAATGTACCAAGGGTCGCAAAACATTTTACCTGGCGCTTGGTTGTTCTTTTTCGTTGGCAGCGTCGTCGGCATTTCGGTCATCTGCCCCTCTAATGCCCCCACCCTCACGAGCGGAAGTGATGCTGCATCCTCACCGTGGGTTGCGGGCATCCGTCAAGCTGGAATAGGCGGCTTGGACAGCGTGATCAACGCTGTGGCACTCATCGCCGCTTGGTCAACGGGTAATGCGTTCCTTTACCTCTCTAGTCGATGTCTTCACTCCATGGCGATGGAAGGTAACGCGCCTCAAATCTTTCAACGTTGCACTGCAAAGGGAGTGCCCATCTACGCTGTGGGGGCAACAGCTTGTGTGTCTCTTCTGGCCTATTTGACACTCAACTCTTCCTCGGCGGCCATCTTGAACTGGTTGTTGAACTTAGTCAATACTGGCGGGTTCTTGTCCTGGGTCTGTTGCTCCATTACATATCTTCGGTTTCGAAGAGCCTGTGAGGTGCAAGGAATTCCTAAGTCAGAGCTCAAGCAGAGATCCCCGCTACAACCATACACTTCATGGATTACCCTCGTTTGTTTCAGCATCTTGTGTCTTCTAAACGGTTTTACAGTCTTTTTCCCGTCCGAATGGTCGATCGCTTCATTCATATCAGCATACTTAGGTTTACCGGCATTTTGTATTTTGTATTTTGCTCACAGATTCATTTATCGCAAAGAGCCTTGGGCTATTCCCTCGCATCTTGTGGATCTACAGCTAGATCCAGCAGAGTTGGACGATCACTGACATTTCACTCACCTTGAAGGAAAACTATGTCATCATATTCTTGGCACTTGCAAATAGCCCCAGTGTTTTGGTCTGTGTCCAAATGTGGACTGGGAGAGTGTGTTCTTGGAGTTTAACTGTTAGCAGAGTGAATACACGTGTTTGTGAACCAGGTCATCGAAGTCACAAGTGTAATTGATGTAGCGCGGCTTGGGCAAGATTTTGACTTGCCAATTAAAAATACGTCATCTATATGCAAAGGAGACACTACAAAGAGACACTACAAAAGACACGACTGCCCATAGAAATGATGAAGCTATTCAGACTCTATAGATCTCTATACTCTGTAACACATCTTTTTGCCATGTTCGAGATTTACATCGGGAAAGATGTCAAATCGGCTCTCTATAAGAGCATGAACCGGGAAGAATTAGGACGAGCAGTGTTTGCCTTGCCTTGCCTAATATGAACGATCTTGCAGAAACAAGGAACCCGTTAGATTATTTGCGTACTTTGACAATATAGCGTTGTCAAACAATGAATAAAGGCTAATATGTGTGTCATACATACATATATTTCCAAAATTGGTTTAGTCCATTTCGGGACATCAATGATTTCCCTTTTTGGGATGCGGATGTTGAAAGCTGACTTCCTTTTACTTGTAAAGACTCAACTGGATATTTACTTACACCACCATTGAACAAACCTAACCCGGACTCACATTCTAACGGATATTACCAGTGGTCTGCTCCATCAAATACTCAAAATGACCGATACACTTCCCCGCGAGACCGCTCTAGAAAAGTCCGGACAAATCAACACCCTTCAGCACGAACGCTGGAATCTCTGGCGGGATGAACAATCCCCAAATAAGAAGCGTTTCAACCTCCATAATCTACTCCAGACGGAAGTCAAACTTCGGGAAAATGCTCAGCGGGAAGTCGCCCTTAAAGCAAACTCGCAGTCTATCGAAAGCAAACCACCGCCAATGATAGCCCTGTTCCCACGGATCTAATTCAAGGTTTAAACGCGGAGATAACAAAGCTGAATGAGGAATATTGGATGCTGGAACGGAAATGGTGGTCGATCAAAGGTTCCTTAATAGAAGGCCCGTTAGCCCGAGGAATGAAGTTATGGCGATCACACCCAAAGTGGTATATGCATTGCGTGCTACGTGAAGATTGTGCTGAGAGGAGAGGATGCTGTGGCAGAGACTGCGGGTGCTGTTCCAATCGCCATCTACCACAACGGAAGTTCGCAGCCGGTCATTGCACTGTGGAATGTCACTGTTGTGAGAAAGCTCGTGGATTTGAGCTCAGTTCCGAGCAAAGGGCGCAACTTGAGGAACTGTTCGATCTTGGTGTTGACCGGGGGTATTTCAAAAGGATCCGGCATGCCTCGTTGCTGGGGCTCATACACCTTAACCTCGAGAATCCTTTTGATCTTATTGAGGATCCTCCGCCAAGATATGAAGCACAGGTAGTGTGAACAACTTATTTGGATCTAGCTTGTCAAACTCAAACATCCCTTATGGAATTGCTGTTCTGAATTGTGCCCTGGGGCAATGCTTAGCATTAGTACATATTCCGGTATAGTAAGAACGGCCTTATTTTTGGTAGGGTTTGAATGCTTTACTCAATGAAATATTTCAATTTGTTGTTCTCTATGCATTAGATATATATTACTACATTCAATCTCGTCGATTTTCCCTTTCTTTGTCACCTCTTTGTTTCGAAATGCTCTCGGTCGGCCGTGGCTTTTTCATCCCGCCTTGTTCGCAACCCATCAAACCCTGAGATATTTGATCGTGCTTTGCAATTACACATCCTTTCTCCTGATAATATTGTTCCTCCTAACGCGTATTATACCATCTCCACCTTATCGAATCGAGCGTCGTATTGTGGAGCCGGGCACAAAGGAGCGGAGGGACACGAGTAGACACAATGCTGCGACGCTTGCCATGTTTTCCAGCCAGACAGAAGTCAAGGAATGGACAGTCGATCGGGGGATGGCTCGCTCAAATGAGCACGCTGACCCGAAGCTGGTCGAGGGGAGGATCTGTGAATGTTTATTTTTCGATTGGAGACTCGCGAGATGTTGCGATGGGCCACATTCCGGTAGCAAATGCCAATTCCCCTTGATCGCATGCCCCCGAAAAAAGCTGACAGGTAATTGTTGTAGTTTACCTTGACCGAAGATCTTACTGGGGACACCGGGCAGCTACTCGTGACCATTGTGGAAGACGATGATGGAATGCCCCTCAGCCAAAAATGGTTGGACGATTAGCTTGACCGACTATCAAGCAGCGACATTCAGCCGAAACAGTCATCTCTGACGGGGTTGACTATAACCCAAGTCATGGTAACGCATACTGTGTCACCCAGCTCCCGACGGTATCTGGAATCACTCGGTAACCGCTGGCTTCAGATGGAGAACGACAAAGGAAATCCTTCGAACTTACAGCCAGGTCCATACCTCTACATCGAATAGGTATCAAAACCTGTTTATCGCTTGCACGATGACACATATCGAACTTTCCCAACGGCTGTCAAGCCGAAGCTCAACTCGTGAGCATGCCATGGAATGCAAATCACTATATTCTGGCAGCTGTGTCATTTGTGGCTGAAACAGACCTTCCTCTACGACATGTGAACTACTCAAGGTCGGCGGCACATTTCTGGTTGTCTTAGCGTGGCAATTCCTCCAAGGCCGGCGTCAGCACGTCCCCTTTCACGGCTCCGCCTGAGAGTCAAGGACTGCTACCTCCTAGAAGGACTGAAGACCTCTTTGTGTTATAACTACGACTTCAGCAACCCTGCCCCATTTACGGCGGAGACAGTGCAGTTATTGATAAAGCTACGAGCCGTCGTCCTAGGACTAACCAAACTCAGCTCGATGTTTGGCCGCAAGGAGCCCACGGAGGCTGTAGAGTTTCACATTGCATTCAACCCACGTGGAGACGGATACCAATCTCCAGCCAGCGGCAGCAATGGAAGTGCCACATGCGCCGCAGCATATGCTTGGATTGACTGCGCTATCGGCACAGATACCAGTGGCAGCGGAAGGCATCCGGCGATGGCAATGGAGTTTGGCAATTTCGACCTTTCACGAGTTGATACCTCAGTGGTATGGTTCGGGCCTATTCTCGCTTGGACGCACCCATTGCATTTGGCAGGAGTTTTTTCATACTCAAAGCTGTTGCTCAGGCTTGGGTCTCGAAAAACGTCGACCTCACCCCAAGATCGAAGGAATACAATATAGTCTATCCCCTTGACTACCTACCGGTGGAGAACACAGAGCAGATGCAACTTATAGACGGCTTTGTCGAGAACATGAGAGCTGCGCTGCAAGCAAAGATAACAAGATTCTCTATACGAGAAGCTTGAAAGCGATCTCACCCCCTGGAACCCCGGACGACGTCGATGGCTACTTGATCGACACAGTGACAAGAGCTTACTATTATGCGTACTATCACTCATTTGCCGCGTTTCGCGAAAAGTACGCCGAGAAGCATAATGGGGAACCGCCGTATGTGATTCTCTCCCTTCAATGCCGATGGGAAATTGGTGGCGCTGTATCCGAAGAACAGCCCAAATATGCCGTACAGCGGATGGACACCTACAAGGAATGGCCGCTTAACGCAATGTTAGCCGAATATACCAGCAAGGCTGAGCCACTGGTTGCTCGTCCAATCGCGGATGCTGCTCCAAGTTATATGGACGAGCCGTCTTAGTCCCCCCCGTTGGCTGTCCGCGCTAGAACAACTTTTTCTTCCACCTATCTTAGGCGCCCCCAATATCGCCATTCCGATTGGCGAGGTACCATATACGTCAAGGATCACCAGGGGAACTGAATATTTACCAGTTGTAATTGACATTATGGGCGCTCCAATAAAACACCTGCAGCTCTTACAGGCCATCGACAAGATCACGGACCTGGCAGGGCGGCCTACTACTGTTACAACAGTATCGAGAATCTTCTAGCGTCTCAGCGTGAATAACCAATTGTAAATAGATACTTCAAAATGTTATGCTGTGATCCTAACTCCCTGTGTATATCTGGCCTCGAGAATGACGGTTAGATACCACGCTACGGATTACTTTCAGGTTCCATCAGGTTGAATTATGGCTCTAGTAACATCCCGCGGGTATCATGCATCTTCTATCAAACCTTTGAAGCACTAATTTCTTTGTCAGCACGGTCCGCACAAACGCCAACCTCGGAAGCTTTCCATTCTACCCGTGGATCGTGGACATGATTTATATAAGATTGTACAACACAGAATTTCTGTCCAGTTTTGTTAGAGGAGATGCCCAGATAGGTGACCAAGTACGGGCAGTTTCCTACCCTTAGTGCGCCATAAAGGTATTTAGTCATTTCTTATATGTCTCCCACTGCACCGCACTATTCAGTTTGAAGTCATGTCTATATTCCCCACAAATGCTGATTCAAGCACAGAAAGTGGAGATACTGCAGCAATGAAGTTTTTCTGTTTCATTCCAGTTGTGAGATGTATGTTCCTGGCAATGTAAACATGTAAAATACGTAGATTTTGAAATGCTTGGAGTTGCTTTTTGACATATTGCTGGTAATATCTCGGACCTCCTGAGTTCCATTGTAAAGGTACCTTGGTATGTGGAGTGACTGGACATAAGTTTTCACTTCGTCCAACCCCACCCCTGATTATATAATATACTGCCAGCCGTACGGGCGGAGACCTCAATGAATTCATCCTATAGAATCTAGTACGGCGTATACCACTCATGGCTCTAATAATAGCATCCAGCCGATGGTACGTCGTCTCAGAGAAATGGTCCATTGGATTTGCGCTTAATGTTGGCATTGTTCTAGGTTACGCATTTCAGGTAGGCGGTGTACGTCTATCTGCAGTGGGCGGCGAGATGTGTGGGGCAATAAAAATTTGTCTAGGCTAGGCTAGGCTCGGCTCGGCCCGGCCCTTTTTGGCTATCCACCGTCCCATACTGCCTGCCCACGTGCACCGCCTTTGGGGTATAAAAGGGGAGCTCAAGCCCCGAGACCTCTTTCTCTTCTTTTCTCTCCACCTTCTCTTTGCCTACTGGCTCAGATCAAGTGTAGTATCTGTTCTAATCAGTTTAATCGCTGATTGTTCTGCTCAGCAGAACATCTGATTATTCCAGTCTTTGGACCTCGCGACTTGGCCTCTATGCTTGCATATGCCTCGTTGCACTGTGTCACTGGGCTTACACTACCCCCCAGTCGATGCGACCTCTTTTTTTCATTAAATATTCGGCTTGTCCCGGGTGTTTGGAGAAGAAAGCTAACATCTAATACCCTTACGTTAATCTTGTTGTCACCGAGTTCCTTTATGTCAATACGGATTTGTGCTGTCTCGTCCGTATGTCTCTGGGGCATCTTTACCTGGATCTCGACTAGATGATAGTGATATGATTGTTATGATTGTCTACTGATTCCTGGACTTCCTAGGTTTCGTCCTCTATGTCCCCGCGTTTTGCCTCATCTTCCAAGACCTATGGGTCGCCTGGCCCCTGACACATAGTTTCTGCGGATGCAATTACCCTGGCTCCAATCAATGTGCCTGGGTCACATTCTTGACGTCAATGATCGCTTCAGTCGAACCCATTCTGTCGATAGGGAATATTTCCAGCATGGTCGCAATCCACCACCGTACGGGATCTCACGTGCCATCCCAACCTCGGGTCATCCTCCGTCGCATCCATGGTCCATTTCCTTCTTTGGTTCCTCGAAAGTTCCAAGGTTCTTTCGATTCTTCGTGTCTTCTTGTTACCAGAGATGGTCCGAACCAAGCGACAAAACACACAGCCTTTGGAGGATTCCTCCGTGGCCCCTGAAACATTCACCGATGGCCTCCCACTTCCAAAGCTGATCGCTTTCGACCTGGATTACACACTGTGGCCGTTCTGGGTTGACACACATGTCAGCGCACCAGTCAAGGCACGCGACAACAACTCGCGCGCTGTAGACCGGTATGACGAATCCCCCGATTGACATTCCATCCTTTACCACTCCCGTTGCTAACCCCGCATTCCTTGTCTCAAATAGATGGGGAGAGTCCTTCGCCTTTTATCCGGCAGTCTCATCTATAGTTTACGCCTGCAAACATCGCTCGATTCCACTGGCCCTTGCATCCCGAACCCAGGCCCCCGATCTGGCGCGCGACATGCTCAAATCCCTGCATATCATCCCCACCTTCTCCGATAACCCCGCCGCGAACGCTAAGACCATCCGTGCCCTCGACTACTTCGATTTCATCCAAATCTACCCTGGGAATAAGACATCGCATTTCTCGAAAATCCAGCAGACGAGCAATGTGGCTTACGAGGATATGTTGTTCTTCGATGACGAGGCGCGGAACCGGAACGTCGAGACAGAGTTGGGTGTCACATTTTGCTTGGTGCGCGATGGGATGACCAGGGACGAGGTTGACCGGGGCGTTAGAGCCTGGAGAAAGCGCAATGGTATCAAGAAAGAGACCGCAGAGGAACCATGAGGGCCCTTGGCTGTCTTGTCCGATGATTCCTGCATATGGGGATGTTGTGCTTTAGACTTGGTTTTAGATTTTAGATACCCGGGCCTGGAATATATGACAGATGCATTTTCTATGGTATACAGCTACATGTTAATTTGAATGGAGTAACGTTCAAAACTGCACTGAACTCATCGATAAAAATCGATCAATCCATCCATGGGTGCTGCTCAGGGGCGCTTTCTCAAGCTGACTAAGAGACCTCAAAAAGCGGCGCGAGTTACGCTCCAAAACAGGAAGACAATGCTATCATAGATCCCCCAAAACACACCTCCTCCAACACAAAGATCACCAAAATGGCGACCCTCAAACCTCCAACAAATACCCACCGCTCCTCATCCTCCTCCCACAGCTCCGGTCCACCGAAAGCCCCCCTAAAAGCCGACCCAACAGCCACAATCGCCGACACCGTCGTGTTCCAAGGCCGATACCTCGTCACCATCGGCGCAGGGACAGTCATCCACCCGCGCGCGAAATTCTACACATACGAAGGCCCCATCTTTGTCGACGACGGCTGTATAATCTGCGAGAAAGCGGTCATCGGCGCTCCGCCAACCTCATCTCGTTCGCCGTCACCGTCTCGACCACCAAGCACATCACCCACTGAGTCTGGGGCGTCCACGCCCGAGCCTAGGAAAGAGATATCTACGCGGATCTCATACTTCGTTACTGTTGGCCCGTTGGCGACTGTCGAACCCGGCGCTCATATTCATTCTTCTGCTACGATCGAGGCTCTGGCGACGATTCGCCGGGGCGCGGATATCGGCGCGCACTCGAAGGTGTGTTCAAGGTGTGAGATTGCCGCTGGTGGGTCCGTCGCCGAGTGGGCTGTTGTATACGGGCAGGGCCCGGGAATGCGGAGGAAGAGAGCTCGTGGCGTGAAGGAGATGAGTCCGGCTGTTGTGGCCGCGGCGCAGGTTGTGCAGACGCCTCTTCCTGGTCCTGCGCCGGCGGGTAAGGTCATTGAGGATGCGAGGTTGATGGTTCTGCAGAAGGAGAGGGAGGTGCTTGGAAGAATGCTTGTTCCTGCTGCTGGAGGGAGGAAGAAGTGATCACAGGGTCTTTTTATTTGAGTTTACTTTCTTCTGTGTCAAAGCAGATTTGTCTTATTGGATAGATTCATGTCTTCTAGCAGCTTATACCCCAGTTTTCGTTTACATTGATCAATCTATCGCGGGTGGTTACAATGATAATGCACGAGATACCTTGCAAATGAACCTTAGTATCAATTGGGAGTAGGAATAGAAACCCGTAGGAACGCCACACATTCAGTAGATACAGAACAAAAGAAACGAAACTGTCTTTTGCATAGCAAGTTAAAACATGAAAAGCAATGCGCCATATGGCATAGGCAGACATAAGAAACCTATTCATGAACAGGTCCACGCCGCATGTGTCAACTAAATCGAGAATACATTAATGGAATAGAAAAACATAAACGAGAATTGCTGCTTAAGAAGAGCCACCACCACGAGGCTGCGGGCCACCACCGCCTCTCTGTCTCTTGCCGCCGCTTCCACCCTCGGGGGTAGTGTCGGGGCCGTCATCACGAGAGCGCTTGTTGCCCCCTGGAATGAACTGACGAGCCGAAGCATTCAGATTGCCACGGTTGGCAGTGGGACTCTGAGCCTGGGCAGCGGTATTCTGATTCTGATTACCACCGCGACCTTGTCCGCCACGGCCGCCACGACCTCGCTGAAGACCGGGGCCGCGCTGGTTCTGACCTTGGCCTTGCTGCTGCTGTTGGTCATGTTGTTGATGGCCGAATTGCTGGCCACCACCACGTCCGCCACGTCCGCCTCGTGCAACAGGAAGTCCAGATTGAAGAGCTCGCATCAGACCAGGTGGGTTTCCAGCGGGAGGTTTGCTAGGGAGAGAAGAGGCCTGCTGGTTTTGGTCGGTTTGCTGAACTTGGCCGAACGGATTCACAGGTGCTGTGGGCTGTGCTGAGCCTTGCTGCGTGGCAGGGGGTTCCGGGGCCGCATTGGGAGGTGCGACTTGCTCCGTTGGCATATTCGGGGCTGCTGCCACAGGGACAGAGGCAGGGGCAGAAGCAGGGGCAGGGCCTGGCGCAGGGACAGGGCCCGAGGTGGCTGTAACTGGGACTTGCGGCGCCGCTAGAGTCGGAGCGGGAGCAGCAGCTTGAGCTGGGGTCGCTCCTGGTACGGGCGGCTTAGCAGCTGGAACCGCGACCGGTGCAGGCCGGGCAGTCTTTGCAATTTCCCACACTTCCACAACGGGCTTTTGAGGGGTTTCCGTGGCAGCCTTCGATACCACATCGATCTTGGCATTTGCAGTTCGGAATCTTGTGTCAAGCATGCTGAGGCGGGCAGCTGTTTTCTTTTCCACAAGTTCGACCGCTGAGGTGACCTTCTCCTTGATTTCATTCTCATGTGCCTTTATCAAGGCCTCCTTTTCGTCAGCCGACTTCTGTCGCAGGCCAGCCAATGCAGCTTCATTAGCACCGGAGGCTTGAGCTTCTTGTTGAAGCTTTTGCTGCTCGCGAGCGACCCCACCGCGAATGTTATTTCTGACGATTGTGCGAATAGTCTCATGTTTCGCGACGAGCTCCCTTGCTTGAGCATCTGTCAACTCGGGAAGAGTAAACCCAGCAAGCTCAAACGTTTTTGATGGCGTTGCAGGGGTTGCATCCGGGCCCGCGCCAGGTGTTCCGGCACCAGGTGTTCCAGGTATAGATCGTTCACCGGCGGACAGTTTCTCAATTTCTTGACGATGAGCAGCCTTGACTTCGTTCAGTTTAGTGTTGTACATATCCTTAAGGCGATCAGTGCGTTCCTTGATCTTCGCATCTTGTTCGCTGGCCTGTGTCGCCAGAAGTCCATCCTTCTCGGCAAGAGCCGCCTCGAGACGCTGGATCTTCTGTTCAAGGGCTTGTATCTTTTGAGCGTCACCAGGACCAGGGATTGCGACTGTTGCGGTTGGGAATTGCGAAGCTGGAGTAGCGTTGACGGAGGCTTCTTCTTCTGCAGCTGCAGCTGCAGCTGGAGCTGGAGCCGGAGCTTGAGCCGGAGCTGGAGTAGGTGAGACGTTGGCTGGCGCCTCCGCAACCTTGGTCTTCAACTCCTCCAATTCCTTCTTTGTAGTCTGAAGCTCCGTTTGGATGACCTCTTTCTCCTGCAACACCACATTGAGCTCATCTTGCTTGGCCTTAACACGCGCGCTAAGGTCTTTAGAGCGTGCCTTAAATTGCTCTGTGAGCTTGGATCGCAAATCATGCGCACGTTCATCCGAATGTTGCTTAAGCTGCTCGGGGAACGCAGCGATTTGAGCCTGAAGCGACTCCATCTGAGTCTGGAGAGCTTCCCGCTCGGACACGGCCTCTGTCTTTTCGTTCTCGAGGGTCGTGAGCTTCTCCTTCAGCTCTTGCATTTCAGTAGGATCGACACGGTCGTACTTTTGAAGGATGTTCTGAATACGCTGCTGGTATCGGTCGCGATCGGCCTGTAGAAGCTGCATTTCTCCATCCTTGGCTTCACTCTGGCTCTCCAACTCGTGGATCCTGGTCTTGAGGGGTTCGATCTCCTGGACCAGCTCATTCTCGCGGGCGATCTTTTGGTCACGCACGGCCTCGGTTTGTTTCAGTTGGTTTCTGAGAGTGGCGTTGCTTTCACGGAAAACGTTGAGCTCATTAATAGTCTCCAACAGCTTGCTGTGGTTCAACGCGTTGTGGTCGCTGTCGGCCGCAGCACGGCGCTGCTGCTCAAGCTTCAGGCGGGTCTCATCAAGCTGCGATTGAGTGTAGTCGAGTTGCTGGTTGAGTCGCTTGCTTTCTTGGGTCGAAAGGTGGTATTGAACCTCGACAATTTCTTTCTCGCGGCGCAAGAATTTGATAACCTCCTGTAGGCCCTCGAGATTAGGGGCTGCCTGGTCTCCCTCTTGCTCATCATCCGAAACATTCATTCGATCCCGTTGCAGGGACGAAATCTGGCCGGTGATGCTTTCAAGCTGGGTGTGAAGCACCGAATTTTGGTGAAGGACCTCCTCCCGACGCTTCTGTAATTCGGATAGCTCACCCTCGTATGCGGCTCGTCGTTCCGCCCAGCTTTCTTCCTTCTGAGACAAATCAGCCTTGTAGCCTTCGGATTTGGTTCGCAGCTCAGCGATGTCGAGCCTGAGCTGGTTGCTCTCTGCACGGACAGCCTGTAAATTCTTGGCCGCCTCGGCGTGCTTAACCAGCTCGGTCTCATAGTTCTGTTGAGCATGCTTTGCGATTTCGGCCTGCGCATTCAGGTCCTCCTGGTGGTACTGCGCGGCGGTGACATGCCGTTCATTGTCGGCCTTGAGACGGGTAATTTCCGACTCGAAGTTGGCCTTCTGTTCATCCAGACGGCGAGTCGCTTCCGCTTGCTCTTCACGGAGCTTGGTCATTTCGGTGTTGGAGGTGGACAGTTCAGCTGAGATCTCCTCAATGCGACTTTCGAGGTCCTGAATCTTCTTGTTCTTCTCCTCCACAAGACGATCGGTCTCTTCGCGGTATTGATCATGGGTCTCTGTGGCGGACTCCAGACGTTCTTCACTGGCTTGGCTGATGGCCTGGTAGTCTTCGGCCAGTTGCTTAGCGTGTTCTAGTTCACCCTTGGCCAGTTCCAGGTCCCGTTTCAGTTCGGAAACTTCGATTGAAAGTTCCTGCTCGCGAGAAAGACCGCCTCCTTCTGCAGGCTGGAGACCCTCATTAGGTCCCTCGGTGGTACCGGCTGACACGCTTGGTCGCGAGTTCAAGACCTGCAGACGCTCTTCGGCACTCTTGAGCTCGATTGCAAGCTCATCCACGCGGGACTGTAGGTGATCCCGGGTGGTCTTGGCAGCAACCAGCTCTTCGCGGACTGCGCCCAAGCTGGTGACCAGATCATCAATCCTTTTTTGTGATGTCTCCTGTTCATACTCCCGGCGCATGCTAGCCTTCTTGGATTCCTCTATTTCATCATTGAGCTTGCGCTTTGTCGACTGCAGTTCGGTTTCGAGCGACTCGACACTGGCTTGGAGTCGGCGTCGGCTTTCGGAGTCGGCTTGTTCACGCTCGTTAAGAATGGTCTGGAGGTTTGCATTCAATGAGTCTAGACGACTACGTTCATTGCGCAGATTTTCAGTGTCGTCGATGAGTCTCTTCTCAATGTTCTTCCAAAGGTCCTTCTCGGCCTTCAGGTTGGCATTTTCTCTCTGAAGGCTCTCAACAAGACCCTTAGCCTCCACAAGGTCTTCAGCAGCCTGCTGGGTGCGGAGATCCTGTCGGTTGGCATTTTCGAAGAGAGCAGAATAGCGCTTCTGGATCTCGGTATTCTCATTCTTGAGCATATTGAAGTTACTCTGCAGGAGCTCTGCACGTTGGGAAGCAGCAGCAAGCTGGCTGCTCGACCGACTGATGTCAGACATAAGCTCACTGTTCTTACGAGACAGCTCGTTGACCTGTTGTCGCAGTGCTTTGTGATCTGTGGTCGTTTCTTCACGGAAAGTATCGAAATGAGCTTGAACTTTTCGGAGTAACTCGGCGTAGTCAGGTCCTGGTGTTTCCATGGCTCCCTGAGGCGCTGCACCAAGAGGCATGGATTGCGAGAAAACAGACGGGTCGTCGCCGGTTGGCTTCCTGTGCATGAGCATACTGCGGAAAGTGTCGCGCTCCTTGACGTAACTCTGCATCTGTGCACTGAGGTTCGCAATCTCATCGCGGTTTGTCTGCGCACGGATCCGCAACTCTTTCAACTCGTCCATTTCCGCTCGTCGCGTAGCTTCCTTGGCTTGCGCCTCGTCACCCTCCTGCTTGTCACCAAGTTCTCTCAACATACGTCGAAGAGTGTGGTTCTGCTCTTGGAGCTCGTGAAGATCCTTGAAAGTAGTGAGGTGCTTGCTGATAAAGCGGCCAGTTTCATTGAGATCCTTTGACGACTCTTCGACTTCCCCACGGGCGATTCTCTCGAGCTCCTCGCGGTCGTATTCTTCACCGTGTTTTGCGACAGCAACCTCCAGGACAAGAACCTTGACTTCCGCACTCAGATCGCGGAGTTGTTGGCGCAGAATGTCACCCTCGCGAGCCAAGCCCTCGACTTGACCTTGCCATTTCCTAGCTTCCTTGAGAGCGGCATCCCGTTCCTTCCCAGCCGCTTCGAGGAGAGTAGACATTTCCACAACAGCATGGTCGAGACGGGTTTGTTCTGCTCGTCCCTCTTCAATTTCTGGTCTGGTCGAATCAAGCTCAAGAACCATCTCGTCAACGGTATTGCGGAGTTCCTGGCAGGTTCTCTGCTCAGCTGCAAGAGCGGTGCGCATTCTGTCGTACTCGGCGTACATCTGCGTGACGTTCATACCACCCTTGCCACGAGATGCGCGGGGGAGAACGAGCCGGTGGGAGTGCCAGCGCGCATGATGCTTGATCGTAGAGGTGTACTGGGTGCACCTCCATTAAGAGAGACAGCGGGGCTTGCTGATCTTCCTCTAGCAGGTTCAGACTCAAGCTGGGCAACAAGTGCCTCCAGCTCGCCAATTCGGCGCTCCGCAGCACTCTTGTCGTTGGACTCCGTCTCAAGCTCCACACGAAGGCGTGAAATTTCCTGCGCTGCGTCATCCTTTGCCTTTTCGAGGGCAAGTTGGCATTCTTGCACCCGTTGCTTGGCTGTCTGGGCAGCAGATCCTTGTAGCTCAGCCAGTCGGTTAGAGCTGTCGAGCTCGATGCGGAAGGATTCGGTTGCCTGGATCGCTTCCTCTTTCAACTGATGAATGCTAGCCAGAGAGGTTTCGTACCGCTGCTCTGTTTCGTCTAGGCGACTCTTGAGCGAGTTCTCACTCCGTCGAAGAGAGTCAATTGTCGAGTTTGCTTCTTCGTTCTTCTCGCTGAAGCTCCGAGATCCGAGCACCCTTTTCTTTGCGGAACTTGATGTATTCAGCGGATTTTGTTTTGAGTTCAGTCTCGAACCATTCGTTGTTCTTTTTAGTGAGATCCAGTTCTTGCTGAAGGCTCTGTTCGCGGAAGCGGGCGCTGGCAGATGCCGCATTGGCACTCTGGAGATTTTGCTCCGCGGTGGAGAGTTCACGTCGTAATTCGATGGTCTTCTTGTGCTGAAGCGAAAGCTCCTCGGCCAGTTTATCGTAGGCCGCGGATTTCGATTCCAGCAAGCTCAATGTGTCCCTATTCGATGCCTCTAGGGAGGAGATCCGCGCCTTTAAAGACGTCGTTTCTGATTCATTTGAAGATGTCGACGTTTTCAATGTAGAAATCTCACTCTCGAGCGAGGAGCGCGTCGTTTCTATTCAGCGTCAGAGAAGAGCCCATCAGTAATTTAAAAGAAAAGATAGAGGTATATACCGGATTCGTGGAGCTTTTGCCTGAGGTCTGAGACCTCGGCGTGTCCCTTTTCCACGCTGGCTTTCAGGACCTTGACCTTCGACTCATTGCTTCGCACAGAATTCTCAAGCTCTACCTCCAGGCGAAGCTTGTCAGACTTCAGCTCATCGGATTCTTGAGCCTTTTTACTGATTGACCGTAAAAGTTGATCCACCAGCTCGACAGTTGGGGCCTGCCGTAAGGTCGTGAGCGTTGATTCGGAAACCGCATAGTGAGTTGAGAGGTAGGGAAGTTGAATGGCAGTTTCAGCCATCTTGTCGAACTAGCAACAGCACACAGCTGCTGTGGGGGGGAAAATGAGAAAAGTGAGAGTGGGCGGCGCAAGCTAGATCTGGGTCCTCGAGGACGGGCGCGGCGTGTACTGTTCAGAGACAACTACACACAGCGCTGGACGAGGGACCTCAGGTCATGACGATGTGAATGAAAGAGAGGTGCTTCTTCTGAAGGTGGGGGGATGAGGAATTGAATGAAATGGTAATTGAAAGAAATGCTGGAGAGGTGACTTCAAGGGCGTCCGAGATCCATTTCCGCGCTTTGGGGTGCTGAGCTCTGGCACGTGACATTCTTTGTCTGGCCTTCAATCTTTTAATAGCCACTCTCCTCGGAGCTTTAACTGACTAGGCTGTCCCCATTCTCTATCCAACACTCTTCGGGTGTATTATCTCTTCTTTTCTTTCAGACGGCACTCACGGTGCCTATGCTAAGCCTCATTTGAGTTCTCCAGCTCGATCTCGGTCAGACCAAGTGGTTGCCATCTCAGCTCAGTTCCACTCTTCTCTTGAATCTCAGCGATCCCCGGTCCTTAGTCGCACCATGTCGTACCTCCAGAATCAACTCAAAAGCTTCAACGCTAGTGTGGTGGAGTCGGCAAACCGCATGCCCACGCAGCGACGTGTGGCCAGTAACCAACCGGTCTCTGGCAGCAGTTCACAGGTCCCATCGTCCGCACCAACCCCGTCATCCTCTAGCGAGATCAAAAAGAAGCGCCATGACCCGGATATCGTTTACTCTCAGCCGGCCAACACAGGCACGGGCAAAGATATTATGACGCAGGTGCTGTTTGCGATCGAGCACATGAAGAACAAGAACATTCCGCTCAAGTTCTCGGATATCATCTCATACCTCTCACTCCAGCACCGCGCCCATGACCAAGGCTACGTGCAGGCTCTTCGGAGTATTCTTCAGATGCACGAGAAGGTCGAGTTTGACCCGACCGGCGCGAACGGGGAAGGCACATTCAGGTTCCGCCCTCCTCACAACATTCGCAACTCGGAGCAACTCCTGAAATACCTCCAAGCACAGACTACTGCGGCGGGTATGAGTGTTCGCGAACTCAGGGAGGGCTGGCCCAACGTCGAAGAGGAAATCAACAGAATGGAGAAGGAAGGCAAACTACTTGTGACTCGAAACAAGAAGGATGACCACCCCAAGATGGTGTGGCCCAACGACCCGTCCCTAATTGAACACTTTGACGACGAGTTCAAGCAGATCTGGGATAAGATCAAAGTTCCCGATGTCAAAGTAGTGAAGGAGGAATTGGACAAGTTCGGCATCACGCCCACCAACAAGAACAAGGTGCTTGGTCCCCGGGTCATTGCACCATCCAAGAAGGCCAAGAAGCCACGCCGAAGTGGCAAGACCACCAATACTCATATGACGAGCATTCTCAGGGACTACTCGCATCTTAAACGGTAAGTGGGTTGTTCAAGGGTGCCGCAACGGTTTCACTTGGCTTGTTGCGACACCAGAAGTCGCTTTGATACGATCATCGATTTGCATTGCTTTGGCGTTTGGGAAAATACGTGCGGCCTCATTGTTGCCGCATGGAAATTGATTCATTATTTTTGCATTTGCTTCGACAACATTGACATTTGTACACTACACGCAGAAAACGATAGATACCCAAGTAAACAAATTAATCAATTCCTTGCTACCTTACACAGCTATTTCTCCACGTAGCCAGCCAGTCCACCATCTCTACGCTCATACTCCTACCCATCGAACACACAAGCCGTAGGGTCTATCCATATGCATCCATTCATCTAAAAAAAAGGTATCCAAGAGAAGGCGTAGTGATGTACAAGGTACCCAAAAGCACACGACCCAAAAGCGAACAGAATATAACAACCAAAAGATCAAATGCAAGCCCAGCGATCAATGCTTCCCATTCGCAGCAGCGCCGGTACCCTCAACACGATCCAAATACGCCACCAAATCCTCAATAGTACACACTTTAATCCCCCACTTCTTTCCAAAACGCAAACACCCATCCCGACGCATCATACCATTATTCCCCCCAATCTCCGGCTTGCCCTCAACAATCTCCCCGTCCTCAACAAGCTCAGCAATAACACCAGCCGGCGCCTTACCAGCAAGCTTACAGAAATCCACCGCAGCCTCGGTGTGGCCCGTTCGCTCGCGCACGCCGCCAGGCCGCGCCTGCAGCGGGATGATATGGCCGGGCCGGCGGAAGGAGTCGATCTGCGCCGTGGGAGAGGCGAGCGTGCGGCATGTCAGCGCGCGGTCCTCGGCGGATATCCCCGTTGTCACGGAGTCGTCGCTCGAGTCGATTGTGACTGTGTATGCTGTGCACTTCGGGTCGGCGTTCTCGGTAACCATTTGTGGGAGCGCTAGGCGGGTGGCGAGGTCCGGGGTGATGGGGGCGCATATTAAACCACTGTGTTTTGGAATTGTTAGCAAGGTTTGCTGAGATGGCATTGGGATTGGCGCATCCGTCTTTGTGGGTGAGCGGTTGCGGGGAGGAACGGGGATTTGCGGCTTTCGTAGTCGTTTCACCGTCCCTGTCTTGGGTCGCGCTCTTACCTCGTATAGCGCACCAGGAAGGCCATCTGGGCGGCTGTAATGGACTCGGCGGCGATAATTAGGTCGCCTTCGTTCTCGCGGTCTTGCGAATCGAGGACAATGATGAATTCGCCATTCTCTATTAGAGGTCTTCGTTAGCCCATTGGTCGGGTCACTAGGCGCCGCAAGCAGCTAATGCTCGTAGTGGTGAAGCCGGTCCTCTGTGTGAGAAGTTCACTTACTAAATGCTGCAATTGTATCCTCAATTGAGTCGAATTGGTGTGCGACTTCTGTGGGCGAAGGCATTTTGGTTTCTTTTTTGCCCCTCACTGCGGAATTTCAAGGATGAGTAGTTTAGAATGCACTGGGGCGCAGGAGATATGAGTGAAAAGGAGGATAAGCAATTAATCAAGAGAAAAAAAATTCGAGTTGACCTCGAACGCAAGAAACAAGAAGGATATTGGAGACTGAGTCACTGATGACAAGATCATTAGAAATGCTTGTGATATCGCGGGGGAGCCGGACCGGGCGAGATTGCTAAGCCTCGGGTGACTGAAGGGGGCAACCTTGGAACTCTTCACCTCCGAGGTCTACTAATTCCGAGTTGCTATTCAAATAGTATATCTAGGTACTCTATAGACTATTACCCTGATATAGGCACATATTCATGTTTCTAACACAACCCACTAGAACTGGGTATCTAGATGCAATAGTTATAAACTGTATCAGCCAAGCCCCCGACTCCCCATCCAGCGGACCTCATCCGCCTGCCTCTCAAGCGCACGGCGCATATAATCTCCATACCTCTGTTCTCTCTCCCAATCATCACGCCGTCTATGTCGCATCTCTTCGCGTGTAGCTTCATCAACCTCCGCATGCATAAACACATCATCATCATCGTCATCGACTTCTTTACCATCGACCTCCATCTGGTAATCCGCAGGAATGGAAAACTTGATACGACCAATGCGCTCTCCAGTCCATATGAGGAGCTCATCTCCAGTGAGATTCCCACCAGTGGGGAGAATTTTGCGGGCTACCTCATTATTGCCGGGCGATTGGGAAGGCCAAAGCCCACGCGGCTGGTCTTCTTCTGTCTGCGAGGTGGACCGTTGACTACGACGACCGAATGGGATCTGAGGCTGGGAGGTATTGATATTCCACCGTCGGACTTCTGACCGACCGTTTCGCTCGGTCCACTTGATGTTACCTTCGGCGTCGGAAAAGACGATGCGATTCCCGTGCGATCCCACGGAAAGTAGTTTAGAACTCGCGGCGCTTTGGCGGTTCTTGTGTTCTGGGCTGAGAGTGGATGTCACATTCGCGGGGTTGTGGTCCTCTTCGGGTGCTGGTTTGAGATCATAGAGTTCTAGCGAGCCTCGTCCGTTATAGTCTCCGCATGCCACGACGGAATGTGACTCGGGGTAGGTGGAGCCCGAGAAGATCGGAAACCGAGGCGCTGGTACTGAGGCGAGACCACACAGTCGGCCGCCGGAATGGACAGTCGTCTGTAGTCGGGGAAGTAACGGCGGTCGTAGCACAGGATGCTGGGGAAACGCCCTGCAAGGAGAATTGTATTCACATGAGGAGCTGGTGGATGCAGGATGGAAAGAGGGCCAGGTTGGAAGAGGGGTGCGTAGTTGGCTCCTTTATCTGAGGGTTCTGGACTGCGTATACGAGTAGGTGGCTGTCCATTGGATTGGAGTTGGAACAAGGGCGAATCAGAGTGAGCAAAGATGCCCAGTTCGGGGGCGTGTGAACTGGCTATCTGCTCGCATCGCGAGCTGATTGCCTCTCCTTCCTCAACGGCCGACAGTCTAGAGTCATAGATCTGCAGACTGAGCGTAGTGGCTAGTGTCAATGGCACTGAGTAATCTGTCTCCTGGGAAAGGGCGAAAATCGACCAGGGATAGCGCTGCTGCGAAATCACTCTCAGTGTCTCCAGGTCAACTTCATTAAGAACATTCCCAACTGCCAGATAGGCTCTTTGTCGCAGGGAATCCACGCTCACTCCCTCGCCTAGATTTATAAATTCCAACGCAGCCTTGGATGGGGACTGGTCCCGACGACCAGACAGGTTGGTCATGAGGATTCCAGGCTCACTGACCCCAAGGATCTTGCCTTTACTTGCTTGGGAGTTAGCCGAGTGGGAGTGATTCAGGTCCCAGATGCAGACGCTGCCATCTTCAAGCGGGGCAATGATCTTGTTCTCCCTGGCTGAACTCCAGTCTTTGAGCAGCCCCATGCCTTTGACTTCATAAGACTGCCCTCGCTTCCCTTCACCCTTGCGGACCAAGGGCTGCTCGACCCATGATAAAGATATGGGCCCGTGGCGAGCAATATATTCCGAATACCAGTCCACATGCTCCCCCTCGGCCGACGAGTCCCATTCCGCAACCGCCCTCGCCCTCTCACTCCAAGACAGTTCCCTGGTATCATCAGAGTCTCCATTCACTGGCGGAACAGAAGGCTGAATAATATCGCTCAGCGACTCCTGCCCTAGTGCCGACAATGAAACGGTCGCGTCGGGAATCAGACTCTCCGAGGGTCTGGCAGCGGAGCGGGCAGCCTGCCGAGCAGCCCATGACTGCTCATAACAGTGTAATCTCCATTGATTATTATCGCGGGCAAGACCAAAGAACTTCTTTGATATGGATTGGAGTTGGACCTTTTCTCGTGGAGCAAGGTCTGCAGAGCTATCAGTTCTGGGTCGAAACTGGTGCGGGGAAGATCCGGGGCTTACAGTCGATGATTTTGGACACAATCTCTACCGGCAGCTTATCCATGGAGAGGGATCAGCCGCATTGAGGGCAGTCTGAGGAGGGGAAGTCAGCTACGGGGATATCGGGCTCTTAAACAAAATTCTAGACTCTTTTTCTGTCGGCTTTTCCCCGCGATCTGCGCTCCAGAACGTCACGTGGATTTAACTGGCATGAGACGAAGGACCTGGCTAGATGCAAAGCTGATCAAGGGTATATATACAAGTATAAAAATGGTGTTTTATTGAGTGATGGGCTTGTGACGTTCGGCCCTCTTGAGATAACCTCAGATCGGACATAGGCTCGGGAGACTTTTCCGGCTTGGGGGGGTTCACCGGCTTTTATAGAATTAGGAGGAGAGAACATTCTGATATATTCCACAGCACAGCCACCCCTACAAGGGAGCTGAACTAAATATATTGTGGACGGCATTGCCTTATAGGGCCTCGTGCTTGGTATCACATGTTATATATAATCAAGGTTTACCGGTGGACGCATCTTACATTGCCTCTAACACTGTCACAGGAAAAAAAAGACATACAGAAGCGTCTCTATTTTTGAAACTATATGCTATATGCATTTTAGAAATAGAAAATATTTGAATGAGATGACGTATTCCTTTCACACAGCCAAACTCCAGCCCAGCCCAATTTCCCCCCACCGTCAATCCATCATGAGTCGTACATTCGAAAATCAATTATGTAGGCAAAAGCATAAACAAAGTAGATGGTAACGCACAGAGCACACAGGCACCTCTATTCATCCGGCCTAAAGACTGCGTCTTTGCAGAGGATGGCCACCTTTTTAAAGAAACGTCGCCATTCAAGCGGATCACCTTTGATCTTGACGAATTCCACTTCAAATAAGCCCTCGGAGACACACTCAATGAGCACTTTACCCTGGAGTGGACACATCCTGCCATCCTTGGCAATCACCCGAATCATGGCAGAAGTATCTCCAGCACCAACAGCAGGAACACTTGGAACTGGAACCCCCAGTCGGTGAAATGCCTCACAGATGAGAGGCACGAGAAGCTTGAGCTCCCATGCTGAATAGAAACGCGTCAATGAACGCGAGGGGATAATATCTTGGAACTTCTGTGCATTCTGAGTTCGACTCACAGGAACCGAAGGCTGCTGTGAGAACTGCGACATAGAAGGTTCATCGTCGAGATGGCCCGCGATAGCTGCATCCTGCGAGGCAAACTTCTTTCCAAAGGGCTGGGTCGAAGAAAACACATCGGCATTCTGTGGACTGTCCCAGTCCATCAACATGCCACCTCCCAACATCTCTGGCTGTGTCGAGGATAAGCCTGCATTTGCACCGCCATCATCACCATCCATGTCCATGGGATCAAAGCTGCGACTCGACCCCTTCCCAGATTGGGAAAGAGGATCCTGGCTGAAGTCGATATGAAGCGATTCAAACATCGAGGTGGCGAGATTAATTGGATCTCTCAACTTGCCCTCGGTGGAGAGGTATTTGTTTGCACGAGTGTACCAAGGATGCCTTCGGACATCCTCTAGCGAGAATCGCTTTTCGGGGTCCACTGTCAACATGCCACGCAATAGCGATAAGGTAGCGGGTGGTAACTTCTGCCAGAGCTCATCGGTAGTCCGGGAGTTTGTCTCAACATATTCGTGGTACTCAAAGCTATCATCTGTTGGGCTATCCCACGGTGTGTTACCGGCCAACAGGACAAAAAGGACTATGCCACAAGACCAAATGTCGACTAGGTCCGGATGATACCCAGCTCCTTTGTTCTGACCTCGAGTACTGCTGCTAATTACCTCAGGTGCAATATATGGGGGACTGCCGCAGAATGTGGTTGAGAGTTTCCGCGTTCCCTTGTACTCGAACAGCGCCGCCAGACCGAAGTCGGCGATCTTGAGATTTCCGTCGCCAGTCAGGAGCATGTTCTCGGGTTTTATATCACGATGACCGACACCCTTGGAGTGCATAAAGCTCACAGCGCTGACAAGCTGCGAGAAATAGACATGGGCAATATCCTCGCCCACGCCCTCGTCGGCCTCGATCTTATCGAAAAGATCCCCGCCTTCGGCCAACTCCATTGCGATCCAACGCCACACCTCGTCCTCGCCAGTCTGATAGAAGCTGATAATATTCCCATGGCCCGAGACATGTCTGTGTACCGTGACTTCGAGTTGTAATTGTCTTGCGCTGATCTTCCCATGTCGCGCGGCGTAATCTTTGTGGATGTACTTGACGGCGAAGACGGGGTTGTCTGAATCTAACGGGCAGGCTTTTTTGATGCTAGATGAACCAAACAGAGTCAGGTCTGGATACTCTATGCTGTGGGTCTTGTACTTACCATGCGTAGGCACCTTGGCCGATGGTCTTGGACACGATGCGAAACGGCACATTGTTCGGCAGCGGGGCCAGCTGCGAATGCTGCATTTCGATGAAGCTCACTACAGTGAATGCGATTGAATGTACAGGGTAACGGGTAGATACACGAAGGGACAGGAAGTAAATTATGATTAAGAAGGCATAACGAGTGGGAAACAAGATGGGCTGAGATGTCGCGTCGAAGCAAGGGTAGCGAAACGCGGGACAAGACGCGGACCACTTTATCCTGATCGGGTAGTGTGTTGACAGAGGTGCTACGGCAGTGTACAGTACCTCCGAAATATTGGGCTAAACATTTGTACCTACATATTACCGCCACTTATACCGCCTCCCTTTTAAATATACTGCCTAAGAATATATAGTCGGCCGCTTATCCGGCCGTGGTCATCTTAATGGTTTCTTAGGTAGTCTTCTCCGGCAGTCTTCTTAAATGTCTTTTTAGTGGTCTTTTTTAGTAGTCAGGTGTATATATACCTTTGACTGCTCACCGTTAGTGCTGAATCACGTGCCGACACGCTAACTATATTAGGAGTTTTAGACAGGCAGAACCGGCAGAATTTGGAGGGCGGTATATCTGGGTACAAAGGTTTAGCCCAATATTTTGGAGGTCCCACTGTACAGTTCCCAGTGTGCCATATCGTATTTTGCCAGCAGAACATTTCACAAAATTAGTATATGTGTATTTTATTGACCAAAGAATTTGGATAATTATTTATCAACTAAGATATTTTGTAATCCTTAACGCTCTAAGTAGAAATTGTAGAAATTGTAGAAACTGTAGAAATTGTAGAAAGTAGAGATTATCGCTGGTGTTAAATTTATACGATTTCTACACTTTCTACAACTTCTACAACTTCTACAACTTCTACAACTTCTACAACTTCTACAACTTCTACAACTTCTACAACTTCTACAACTTCTACAACTTCTACAACTTCTACAACTTCTACAACTTCTACAACTTCTACAACTTCTACAACTTCTACAACTTCTACAACTTCTACAACTTCTACAACTTCTACAACTTCTACAACTTCTACAGCTTCTACAACTTCACGTGCTTCACTTTCAATGATTTCTAGTCTATAAAAGGTGAGATATCGTAGAGTGACACTATAGAATTTAATAGTGTAGGAATTAATTACTAGAGTCCGTATGATAAGGTAATGGTAAATTGGCGGTGTTGAAAGCGGTCAAAATTTAATATGAAAAATACGATATGGCCCACTGGCGACTATACACTGCCGTAAGAGGTGCAATACAAAGCAGAAGGTGATGAACGGAATAGCTTCACTCTATACATATGATATGGATTACGACTACTATAGTATATATGCAAGTATACTAATCTCTGATATTATACTCCGTACTACATGTGCTATTAATACCTTAACTGCAGACCCGCAGTTGATTTCTCGATCGCCCTAAATTTACCAGATCGGCTATAATTATGTTACGAATTGTATTTGAGCCTTTTTATTCACTTAAACGTGACTCCAATTATATACAACCTTGGAATACATGTGTGATTATGAACAGAAATCCATTTCCTTTCACAGCCCTGGAGGTAAATTGACCTAAGCGGGGTTCGCGTTGCCCGGGGCGTCTGAGGGCCGAGTAAACAAATCTTCTATTTTCTTCTTTGTTCACTTTGCTCACTTCACATAAATCCTCCATTCTCACAATTCATCCCTCCTTTCTAAATTTTCGTTGCATCAAGTTCTCCGTGGATCATTGTTACGGATCCGGCGTCATTCCAACCCCTCGTGCTACTGTTACTAGCATTCCACAACCGGGAATCCGCAGATTTCTTACTATTCCTTAAAACCCTCGATTGCCTTATTTCCCAATCCACAATGGACTACAGCATGGAAGACACGCAGAACTCGGCGCCCGACGCGCAGCAAGCTAGCAAGCTGAACTCCTCGGGTCAAAAAAGCGACACCCAGAGCGTGACCAAACGGTTCGTCCCCTTCGGCACCCTACAAACAGCTCTACAGTTGAGTTTGATTTGGGATTACATATAGCTGACCTAACCTCTTTGATCCGTATAGCCTGCAAGCCGAGCTCATGCAACTCATGCTCTCCCCCTCGCCCGGCATTTCGGCCTTCCCGGACGCAGACGGCAACCTCCTCTCGTGGACAGCGACCATCACCGGTCCGACCGAGACTCCCTACGAGGGCCTCACACTGAAACTCTCCTTCGCGTTCCCTAACAACTACCCCTACTCTCCCCCAACAGTCTTGTTCAAGACTCCGATCTACCACCCTAACGTCGATTTCTCCGGCCGCATCTGTCTCGACATCCTCAAGGACAAGTGGAGCGCCGTCTACAACGTATCGAGTGTTCTGCTCAGCTTGCAAAGCTTGCTGGGTGAGCCTAACAAGTAAGCGTCTGCTCGCATCCTCTATATCTTCCATCATCGCTAACATTGACCCAGTGCGAGCCCCCTGAACGCCCAAGCAGCTGAGCTTTGGGACTCGGATCAGGCAGAATTTAAGCGCCACGTCCTCGCCCGGCACCAAGACCTGGACGATGAATAGAGCGTTGGATTTGACATATTTTCCTTTTCATTCTGCATCGGCGTCGGTTGGCCCTGTCGCCTTCTTTATGGGCGGTGGGATCGTGCTGCAAATGCATAACGGGCCTGGTTTGGGCCTGGGAGTTTCTGGGTTGCTTGGTTATGCCATTTTCTATCTTTGTTCCTATTGTTACTAGTTCCTCTGGACCTTCGCATTCGGGTACTGGCGTGAGAAACTCTTGCTCCTGAGATCCTCGGGCGGTTGTCTCGTTTCATCTCTTCTGGTCGTTGCTCCTAGGGCGGTAGATCTATTCATTGTCGGTGTCATTGTAGATCAATTTGATCCTGTACACTTTGCTTCCAATATTGTATGGGACAGTCCTTGGCTCGTATCCGCATATGTATAGAAGACTCGATTATCCAGGCTTCATCAAGGTAAGTTCCGCAGGGGTCCACGGGTATAGTTAAGAGGTAGGTGAGTCCTACATATGCAGCCGACTATTCTTCTACTCCCATACCTCTGCTCCCCCCATAGAAGTAAGAAATAAGAATAAGTGGAAATTATAATCGCTTCTGCCGATAATTTCAAAATTGACGCTATCAAGATTGGACAAACCCATGAATAAATATAAATAAATGCTCAAGTAACCTTATGAAATCAAACAACCACCTCCCATATTAAGATACAGGTCGTACCTAGGTGGAGGAACCGAAGTACTGCTTCTCATTGGTAATCAACAAGCCGGCAACCGCCGCACTGGTGAAAGTACTAATGGCACCAGTAACCATAGCGCTGAATGCAACACGCGACACATCACTAGCACGACCAGGCGCGATCTGCGACAGGACACCGATCTGGTTACCGAGGGAGCCGATATTAGCGAATCCACAAAGCGCGTATGTAACGATGAGACGAGAACGGTCGGAGAGGTCCTTGTAGTCGTCCCAGTGCTGGAGACGGTCATAGGCAACAAATTCGTTCTGTGGCTGGTTAGAAGAAGGAAATGACCATTTATGAAGATGGGGTTCTTACGGTAACGAGCTTAAGACCAATCAGCTGGCCAACCTTGAGGAGGTCACCGTCACGGGAGACACCGAGCAGGAAGGCAATCGGGTAGCAGATGTATCCGACGATCAGCTCGAGAGTCAGAGGGGGTTCGTTGATGTTCAGGTATCGGCCCCACCAAGTGAGGAGGCCGTTGATTAGGCCGACGAGGGCGATGATGCACAGGAGAGTCGATGTGATCATGGCAGCGATTTTCAGACCGAGCCAGGTGCCGCCGGTGAATGCGTGGAGGGCATTGGCGGCGCGGTGCTCCTCGTCATCGGGGACGACGACACGACCTGCAGTGAGGGTTTCTTCCTCTTCGGGCCAACGGATCTTCGAGACTGCCAGTGAAGCGGGGATACTCATGACGCAGGCGCTGACCATTGCCTGTGCGCTGACACCGATGCTGATATAGGCGATCAGGACACTTCCGGCGATGGTGGCGAAGCCGGAGCACATGATTTGGTGCATCTCGGCCATGGTGAGGTGGGCGATGAAGGGGCGGATCAGCATGGCTGATTCGCCCTGGCCAATGAATGGGGATGCGGCAGCGACGACGGCCTCGGCACCGGAAACGCGCATGCTCCAGAAGAAGAAGACGGCGAATTTACCAATGAACCACTGCAGGACATTGTAGTAGTACAAGAGTTGGACGAAGGAGACGAAGAAGATGATGGCGGAGACGACGTTGATGATGAAGAATTTCGCAGGGACAAATTCCTTATCATAGGCGTAGAAGTCATCGCTGGTCAAGAAGATGACACCTTCGGAAGCAAAACCAAGCAGTTCTCTGGCTAGCGTTGAGATGAAGTTGAAGATGTCGTATCCTGCAGTAGTGCGCAGCACGAACAGAGCAACGATGAATTGCGCCAGCATGCCGACAATGACAGTGTGCCAGACGATCTTCTTGCGGTTCCGAGATGTGAGCCATAGCCCGAAGATGAAGACTACCATTCCGAACAGACTAACTGCACGGTTGGCGCGGGTGTTATCCATTGATTCTTCGGACACAAACGAGCCAATAAGAATCACACCGATACATAGCGCGGCGGCACTGGCTGTTCTCAGCTTCTCGGGAATCAGACGCGCGAAAGGGGGCCCAGTATGATCCCAAACCCAATGCATGGGCTTTGACACAATACTAATGGGAACATAGAAGAAAAGGATTCGCAGCGTGATGGCAAGATACAGCAGGAATGGGATGAGCCATCCTATATCATGTCGGTGTAGTATCAGGCCAGCAATCCACCAGCTAGGTGAAGAGTATGTGTAAGCCCCGAGTTGAGTCGATGGTATACAGTACCACTGTAAAATCCCAGTAGAATCAAAGTAGTTCACTCACCCGGTAAACAGAAGCCAGATCACAGCGTGGACTATATGCCTTTGTTGTTTTTGCACGCGGCGATACCAGGTGCGCTTGGCTGGGAAGTTCTCGCCGGCTTCTTCGTCGTTAGATTTCTTGCTGCCGTGGTCCAGCGGTGTTTGTTCAGGCACAATTCCTTTCTCCAATTCGGCATCTTTAGAGTAGACCACTTCATCTTGACGTCCCTCTGTGGCATAGGCTGTATGGTGTTGATGGGGATGGTGATGTTGATTCTCTGGATCCAGCACAGGATCTGCATGATGCACAACATGCGATCCCGTAGGATCAGCTTCCTGGGTCTTATCCATCACGATTCCCCGATCGCAAACTCGAACGTTGGGGAAGTAGGAAAAGTACGTGACAAATTTACAATTAAGCGTGAAACTCAAAAAATGCCGTGAAAATTAGACCGCCGGAGACCCATGGGTTCCTCACTTGCGAGGAAAATTTCGACTTTTATAAATAAAATGGGCAGATAATTAATTATGGGTCTCCCATTGATTTTATTTTTTTAATTGCATACATATTATATTTCTGGGGATTGAGAGATAAAGAACGCCCAAGGATTGGCACAAGACACTAACCATCGGACCTTCTTCCCTTCTCATCCTGTTTGGCTGGAAGAATGCCAATGAACGGATTGACCGACGGTGTACAGCGGAGGTCCCGTCTCGACTAGAGCCAACTCAAACCACTTGCAGCCATATGTAACCACATCCACGGCAAGAATGATAAGACAAGGTAACATTATCTTGCCACAGCAACCCCTGCCGTCTGCATTGATTGGTGGCGTAGTTCAGGCTAACTTTTCTCGAGTCCTTGGAAAGTCTCTCCGCACGGGTAGTTGTGGAGCATAATGGGTCGTGTGCTTAATTTTCCCGAGGTCTTTCCGCCGAGTCGACTAGCTGGGATTGAAATTTCTCCAGTTTCTCAATGGGGGCGCAATACCCGAGCGCTTGGACATGGAATTGGAGGCTGAACGTGAAAAGAAACATATGTTGCACGATGAAAACAAACTACACAACTTGTGCGACCTGCATTGTGGATTGTTCCTCAGTTCCACCGATGTCTGAATTTGCCTCATGGCAGAGTTCCACGGTTGGTTTAGCGTGGAAAAAAAACTGGAGACCGGTGCGAAAAAAATTCGATAAGCAGCAAAGGTCCGAGATACACACGTGTGGCCCTCAGAGATACCAAATTCTTCTTTTGCAAAAGATAGGCGCTTCACAAACCACATCTTGGCGTTCTCGGTTACGGAACAATGTGCTATCTAGAAGGGAGTCTAAGACACCCCAAGGGTTTGATAGGTTTGATATATTCGGCCTTTTTGGGATTGTTATCTCTGCGCGCGTGACCTCGGAAGCCCTCCGAGGTGAGCTGGAGCCCTGGAGCGTGCCGATATTTACGTAAACACATGACTGGCCAGCCTGAGGACCCACAGAACTAAGGGAGAATGCCAACCATGGAACGGGAATGGCACATCCTCGCCGGTATACATAAATCTATCTTCAGCCCACATACAACATACGGAGTACAAGGGAGACAGCTGAGACTAACGCATATAGAAGACTATCTCCGGAGATCATCTAAGCCACTTGGTCCAGTCCCCACAGTTGAGCCCCAAACACCACAACACTGTATGCTATGAAGGCTTCAGGCTTGTCGGAAACTGACATACCGGCCAGTACAAGCAACGGATGAGCAACTTAACTGTAGCCAATCACCCAAAGGAAGTCACCGAAAAGAGCTACTGATCATGTCTACAGAGGAATAAATGAAGCTTGTCACCTATAGCGGACGAGGGTTAAAGGGACCCATTTGTGACTGCTGTGTTTACCTTGATATCCGGCAATCATATTGTCTCAATTCAGCTCGACTCTTGTCGGACTTCTACTGTTACGAATACACTCCCGCCATCTAAAGAGCGTGCAGAGTGCATTTGCCAATTCATTTCCTTATAGAATGGCTTCCTCTCGCTATATTGAGGGGATCTACTATAGAAAATGGAAGAATACTTGGTAATATGGCCAAAGCTCAGACTGTGTCGTGATTTTCTGAATACGCTTCTCTGATTCGTCTTGAAGAGACTAACTGTGGTAAGCGCGTGGTAGACGCAATCGTGCTCTGACTGGACAATACTGGTGTAGCGGAGTTCAACAGTGGTCACGTCATCAACGAGGCATGGACAATATCCTCGTTGACTTTCGTGAGATGCTGTAGAATGAGCATCTCCAGAACGTGGTGTTCTAGTGTTCCCGAAGAGCCCTAGTTGCCCCGTGCTCTGAGAGTCAAGTCAAGTCGGGGTTGACCTTCGATCTAATACAGTCCAGGTAGTGTTGAAATTTTGGCGCATTCATCGCACTGGCCCAGGCCAGGGAAACAATGAAAGAAGTGAAAGGACTTTGGAAAAGGAAAAAAGGTAGAGAATGAAACAAAGATGAAAATGAAAGGAAGATAAATTGAAAGAAAGATGAAAATCAAAGAAGAATTAGAGAGAACATTCACTGGCAAGCACGTGAAGCATCAAAGCAAGAGTCATGACCAGTTGAGTATCCAGAAGGTACTCGGTTTCTATCAGGACTCTGAAAACATCTCATGCAATCTCACGGCCCCGACAAAATCGCGGTAGACCTGGCCCATCAAGTCAGGGTCTTCTTCATTGATCGTGAGGTTCAGGATAGAGACATGACACCGAGGATTGCCGATAACTGCTCTCTTAAAGTGGCAGAGCTCTTGCAAGGGTGTCATGTCTCCAACGAAAGCAGTGTAGTCCCCAAGGACATTCTTAAAACGCGCCACAAAGGTGTGAGGATCTCCCCTTTTGTAGCGGAGGTTGACAAGCTTCTTAAACCGGAGGTAGGTGGCAGGGTGTGACGGATTCCAGTGAAGATCTTTCAGTGCAAGATAAGCCTCGCGAACATTGGTAATATTGTAAAGTGAAGAGGAGAACTGCGGTTCGAGCGTAGATAAAAATTGTAGGAAAGCTCGGTTGTTAGCCATTTCCCACTTCTCTTCGCCATCTGCGTGGTGCTTGCGCAGCTCCAAATTCGAAGCGACAATCTGGATGGAGCGAGCTTCGATGGCCTCTGCAGTAATGCGAGGTTCATTTTCTTTGTTGCTCTCGGCCTCTTCGAGAAGCAGGGCTCGGACACTGCTACGAGATGGATCTGCGTAAATGGGAGCGGGAGGCATCTTGATCTCATCTCTAATCAACTGCACATAGACAGGGTTGTTGAAACAAAGCATCCTGAACATCTGAGTTTCCCACATCCTCCAGTTGGAGGCGCCCTTCAGCTTGGGAACGGATTTATCCAGGTCGATCTCGTCCTCGCGGACCTCGAAGTCGAAAATTGTGTTTCCCTTGGAAGATGCCGACATAGCGGCGGCTGGAACAGGCAAAGTCGCGTGTAAAGGTTAGGAGTTGTAGATAACAGAGGGATGGTGTCGTGACAAGATCTGGAATGTCTGTATCTTGAGTGCAGATCTCGCGTTGTGCAGAGAATTGCGTGGTTTTGTGACCGACGTGGAGGGAAGGAAGCTCGGTGTGAAAAGACGTGCCAGAGACGTAAAGATCCCGATTACTATTGAAGTTGTCAGCACAGCTCGGTTCAGTTGGGCTCATACGCGCACATCAGTGGGCGTGACCGGCGAGGTGACGGACCAGGGATCGAGGATCTCACGGCTGGATGCTTCGCCGCAAAATAAGCTTTGAAGGGGGTGTTGGTTAAAGGAAGTAGATCGCAAGCAAGGTGCTCACACTTTGAAGTGATGCAGTGGAGAAGGCAGATTAGGACAACGCCGTCTCTGGATGGATGTTCTAAGGAAGAAGACCGAGAAATGAGCAAACTTGAAAGATATCCGAAGTAGGAGAGCAAACAGTGGGATCAGATGGCTAGATTCTTTCAACAAATATAACAGAGAGAGTACATCTGGAGCTCTAACTATGTTGCTTCACTTGAAGACTGAACATCCTCCATCTTGCGCTCCCTAAGAGCCCTGTGTGCGGGCTCGAATGCCCCGCATGCTACAATATCATACCAACCAACTTGCAAGCGGTGGGCAACTGGAAATGACAATGTATAGTCAGCACCATTATATATTGTTGCGTAGATACACTAGAGCATACCATAAAAGAAAGACAAGCGTTCTTAATTGCAGTACTTGATGAACTTGTTGATGCTACCACCACTAACACACACACCGTTACAGCATTCCCTGGCGGTATAGCAAAGGCTGCGAGCTAGTACCGCATGTAGAGTTAGCAACATACTTCTAGCACTCTGAAGACGTCTGGCATGATATCATAATAATGATAGAGACATACTTCCTTTGCATCGCTTTTCAAGAGGATTAATCTCCAAAGCAGCCTCGGGGTTAGGTACAGCAGCTGCATTGGCGAAAGCAACAAGAACAGCAACAAGGACAATGTCGAGGAACTTCATGGTGATTTGGGTTGTGATTTTAAATGTCCCAAATGGACTGAAGATGGACAGATGGTAATGGAGATGCTACTCGAGGTAACGAGCTTCTATTTATATATTTTGATCTGATAATTTTTGGACCCCAATCAACAGGCCATACCTAGGTGTATCCGAGATCGGCTATATTGTCTCAATGGGGTTGTTCGAGTTATCTGATCTTACGCCAAGCTTATGGCTTCCATCACTCTCCTTCGCGCCATTGCGGGTCGCCAATAACACTAAGTTACTCAGATCCTTCAATTTACCCAGCTTCGTTTCGATTGGTTTCAAAGTCTGTGCAAGCAGGCTAATTATATTACTCGCTAGGAACGGCTACTAGCGGAACATCTTCCCAGAACGCGTGCCCCCCTGCAATTGTCATATAGATTGCATTAAAAGTAATCAAAACTGTGATAAAGATATTAATTCACCAGGCCATCCACCGGCCATCGTCTCCGCAGGTCGCTCTATTAAGCTCCAAAAATCCCCTATAAAGTTGTCCCATTTTGGGGATAGCCATACGGACCAGTCATCAATGCGTGGGCCATAAGAGAACCCTATCAGTCGATGGCAACCAGAATTCTCTCCATCCCACGGGCCGATATCTCTCCGGATAAGTTCCATTTTCCACATGCTGTCCTCTATTTCCCCGAATTTCTGTAAATCGACGCCAGCAGATTTCAGATCTGTTAACCATTTCCGAAGTGCTTCACTTGGAGACGACATCTGACATTTAGATATATCAAGCCAGTCAGTATATCCCTCTAAAAATGCAAGCAATAGGGTCTGCTGGTCAACAATATTGTTCAAATCCACACCAGCCTGTAAGAACCCCATAAAAAGCTTGTTCCACGATTTGTAGAGATCATAGTATCCTTCCCTCATATTATTGTAAAGAGACGGCCCGCGACTTCGACTTTGATGGCGTACTTGCTTTTTCCATGGATGAGACCCTTGCAGGGCAGCCTGGGTTGCTCCAATCTTCCTCACAACACAATGTACAAGTGTTGTGTTCTTTGAATCAAAACGCCACGGCCCTTCCAGTTGGAGTTCTTTGGCCGTCAATGGATCTGGTCCAAGCATAGTCTGGATTAAGTCAGGCATATGATAGGCATCCCACACACCAAATGCGGCTTTGGAAGCCACTGCAATTCTTATCTCTTGGGGCATTTCGTAGTATGAAGGACAGTAATGTCGCTGCAAAAACTTGAACTCTTCGCTTGACCCACGGAATCGGGATAAAACTCCGTTGATAGTTTCTTCTGGTGTGTCTTCGTAAGTGGATTCTTTCGCATAGCGAAGTAGAAGGCGTAAACACGGAAACAACAGCTGACCCTTTCCAAGTCCAAGAGTCCCACAAAATACCAGCATATGGAGAGGTGTTTCGAGATTTGGATGGGCCCCTGCAATAGAAGAGTCAACTCCCTGATCGAGGAGAAATTTCAGAACCTCCTCCTTCCTAGGTCCGAGCATGGCGTACTAGAGAATCTATTTAGCGACTCTTGACGATCATTTCAAGACTGTGGGACTTGTACATACGTGGAGGAGGGTGTATCCAAAGCGGTCGGTGCGGTCAAAGGGAGAAGCCTGTTTCATGGAAAATAGGTCTTGCAGGTCATCGATTTTGCCAGCTACCGTCAATGAAACGACCTTTGATGTTGACGGGATCACATTGTACGTTCGGAAAACCCATTGCCAGCCGTGATGAAGTTTCTGACTGTATATTTCTAGAGCTCTTGAACTCAACCAAGATGGTAAACTGAGACGCCACAGGGTTTTGGATATGTGTGCGTGGCGTGATATTTCGCCTTGTGACGACCCTTCTGTTGTGCCATTCGATAATTTGGTCGCCTCGCTTTTGATATTGCTCTCTATTGCTCGAAGCATCAGCCAAAATTGGCTCTTGGTCTTCACCCTCTACGGGGACCTACCGTGCTGGTGAGCGTTCGGCTTGAATTTTGCTGTGTTTTTCTTGCCCTGCACTAGTATTTTCTCGGCAATTAGATCAGGTTGGACCCGTAGAAGCGCTCTATTTATATTAGTAGGTGAGATGCTTACAATATCAGAGATTACAAACCTTGTATAGCACTGCTGGGACAGTGACAGCAATTGAATCGCGTTTCGCAGCCGGGCCATATGCCGTTCTAGTTTCCCTCTCTGCATTGCCACTTTTGCGGCAGCATAAGATTTTCGTAGGCGACTGGAGGAGTTTATGTCACTAGCAAGCTCATTCGCCAGTGATTATAGGCTCGTAGCGGCCTCTCTGCTAAATTCCAGACTTTGCATGGCATGTTTATTCCCCTTCAGGGCGAATGCGAAAGCCTCTTGTGATACATCTTCCTCTATTTCGGCGAGCACCAGTCCAAACAGTTCAAGATCCCTTAAGAAATATTTGAGGTCACTGGGTGCATCACGAAACTGGCTCCAGCAATCCTTGATCGTGATTATAGATTCCGTGACTTGGACGACAACGGTTGCGAACGTGATGGCGCTCGAAACTACACCAACCACTTCCGCCATTGCGATCACGAAGCAGATCAGCTAGATTCAAAAAGGTAAATTTGAAATCTGATTGAGGTCTTGTCAATCTCGAAGGTGAATGCCGTGTGTTGCTGCGCCTCATGCACCCCTCCTTATGTGGAGCCCCACTGGGAAGACGCCAATCAATTACTATTTCCAGTAACATCATATTCAACACAGCTCTTATTTGTTTATCTCAGCAGATCTAATGGGCATAGATAAAAGTGGAGTATCGTAAAGCCAAGCAGTAAACGAAGTATTTGCATGGCATGCACTATAGTATGCTTCTAAATTGAATAAATAAAACAGATGTTAGGAATCAAATTGTGCAGACGAACAAGCACAACAACCAAGTGGTGGGTAATGAGCGATGAACCTTCTTTAGCTTCACATTGGCCCTTTAGAACACCATACCCTTGACCTGAGCAACCTTCTTCAGGTCGATGTTCTTGATCATGATAGTCCACGCAAACGCCAGAACCATCACACCCAATCCAGCAGAAAGCATCCTAACTTGCGTGTAGCCATACGCTTTCTGGATAGCCGCTCTCATCTGAGTACCGGGAGCGTAGCTCAACTGCGTCTCGAGATCTTCGTAAATCATCGCCAAGTCTGTCAAATCTGGCAGGTACCATGTGAGGGCCTTCTTGTATGTGTTGTTCCAGATTGCCATAGAGATAGTAAGACCTGCGGAATCTCCGATTGTCCCAACCACATTGAGCAAGGCAAGGGCCGTAGCGACATGCTGGTGATCAACGGCAGCGAGAATAGAGAGTTGCTGGACGATGATGAAGATCGATCCGCCAATTGAGATGAAGATTTGACACATAACCTGGTAACCGACACTCTGGCCAGGACGGCGGAAGTAGATCATCAAACCCTGGGCAAATATGTATAGAGGAACGGAAATATAAAGAAGCCACTTGAAGCGACCGGTCTTTCGGATCGCCCATCCAACGAAGAACAAAAGTACACCAGAAACTACATCAAATGTATTGGTGATATACCCAGCTTCAGCAATAGTGAGATCATTAACCACTTGAAGGAAGTTCGAGAAGTAGTTATTCCAGCAATAGTTTGAAAGCTGGTACGTGGCATCCAAGAGACATGCACCGACGACAGTTCGGTTGGTGAGGAAAGAGTAGGGGAGCAAAGGCGTGGGGGCGATATATCTCTCGTAGAAAGCAAAGAAGAAGAGCATCGAGAATCCAACGACAATCATAGCAATGATATAATCTGTGCCCCAGCCGTTAGGAGCCTCGCTAGCTATGTCAAATGGGAGTTCAAATAGGACAAGTCCCGCAGTGAAGATGAAGACTCCGATTACTGTATGGAACATTAGTTTTCTGTATAACAATCAATTGGTAGTTTAAAATACTCACAATCGAACTCGAGTGTCCAAAACCAGATACTTTCAAAGAAGGATCGTCCGCTGTTCTCTCTGATAACCACAGCATTTCCCTTTTTGGCTTTTGTCAGATTGAACTTCAGGACGAAGAACAACGGTGCAGCCACGATAGGGAAAATGATGGCGAAAGTACCATATGCCCATCTCCAGCCAGTATGAGCGTAGAATAGATTCGCCACCTTTGGTCCAGCAAAGGCTGTAATAATGTATGGAGAAGACGTGAAAGCGTATGCAAGAGCTCGGTTTCTCAACTGCGAGAGATCGGCGGTGATGACATCCACAGCGAATTGCATACCTCCGAAGCCGATGTAGTAGAACACCTGCATTCCCTATTAGCGTCTGCTCAATAATTCATGGATATTCGCGAGGTCCCTTACATTAGCGGCACAATAGACAGGGAAACTATTGCAAGAGGCCATAAGAATGAGGCCTACGGTGGCGCAAATGGACATTACCAGGAACCCTTCGGCTCGGCCCCAAGTGTCCATCATCTTGGCCACTGGAAGGAAGACGGCAGCGGAGAAAGCATCCGCAATAGCGGTAGGAAGACCAGACAAGGAGTGCTGTTGGAAAGAGCTAGCCACATAAGTGCTCAAGCTGCCATCAATTGACGATATCCAGGCATACGTGAAGTAAAGGAACCACATACTATTGAAGTGTAAGACTAGGGATGGGACAGTAGAGGGGGGAAATTGTCTTACTTGATGAAAACGAAGATCAAGGAAACTTTCGACCAGGTCTGAGTTACGGCCTCAACTTCCTGGATGCCATGTTGAAGCTCTTCATAGGGCACACCTGGTAACTCGGCACCATTGTTTGGAAGTGTCTCTTCGGGATGGGTGATTGGCCCATCTGTCTTCTCTGCCTCTACCGTGTTACTGTCGATCTCGACTGAAGAACTTGCAGCCTCATTACTGTCGAGTTTCATTCGATGAACGACCGACCGGGCCCTTTGCATCAACGGACGAAGCGTCATGACGATAGATATAAATACAAACTTCCAAGGACTCAAAACAGGTTGAAGGGTTTCAAAGGTATGTTGAACCCGGAGGAAAAGACAAGTAAAATATAAGATGAACCATGCGGAAATCCCACATAAAACACCGAAGTCGGCACATTGGCTAGCGATGTTTTGAACGATCATATGTGGGCCAAACAGACAATCCCTTCCCCTATATTAAGAGTGTTACAACACACGCGGTATACATCAAATGTAGTCCAAACATATTCGTTCAGGCCGTGGGCCCTTACCCCACTAGGCCCAGAGACAAGGCGTCAGCCTGTGACAAGATCTAATCAGATCGCCGGTGGCTTAAAGATCATTACCACATCCAGTTACCCTCATTAAGACTCCACCCTGGGTCCATTCGCTTCCGACGTTGATTCAAGCTTCAGGAAATTTATTATGGAACCTTGGCATTATGGGCCAACAATGCTCTCTCCAGCAGTCGGAAAACGCGCATTGAAATCAAATCATGGAAAAATTATCAGATTTGCCAAGCTTTCGGGCAAGATTACTTTTATTATCCACATTGCGAGGGTTTTATACCATACTACATGTGCCACTTTACGTACTCTATTATTACTGCTATCTGTAGACCTCGGGAGACTACAACCGATTCCATGCCGGTTCCTAGAGTCTAGCATCCGGCTTTAAAGCCCTTTGCTTCTTTTCCTGCGCCTAAATAATCGAGTATAACGCAGTAACCTTGGAGGTAACTGACCATAGAGCAGATGCTAACGTGGCTAATCTTAGAGGAGAAATGACTTCGATGTCTGGGTAGAACAACATAGATAGACCCAATTAGGAGTCAGAATGCTACCGAAGGTCTATTTTAATATCTCCTTCTAAGGAAGAAGCGCACCTTGACGGGCGACATTGTCGATTCCAGTTACCACTACACTACCAACCGGATTATCACCCAATTCACCACCTTCAATCTGACGTAGCGAGCCCCTCGTATATGTAACCGTGTGGCCTAGGCAAGTTGTGCTTATTGATGCTGTAAGAGAAGGCTATTCTCGATGTGTGCGAACACTTGAACTAGACAATTCTGTCCACCCGTGCCCAGGTGGACGCAAACGAGAATGACTAAACGTAACATAGTACTGGTGGTCACATGATTATCTTGGGTATTTTATCATCAACCATAGGTATTGTACTCCAGGGCTCCACATTAATATTCGACTACCGCGGTACACAGCTAAAACCACGCGATCTTCTATCTGACGTCACTGTCTTTTAAAACAAGCTGCCTCGACACCTACAAAACCTGGTAGTTAAAAAAAAGAAACTCCTTGCTTGAATCATGTTTCTACATCTCGTCACACCATGGGCAACACACGTCGGGAGTCAGCTTTGACCAAGTCCATTCAGTCTGGCTTGCTACGCGAACCAGACAAGTGCAAGAAGACAGCCTGGCGTCGATTTCTTGCTTTCTTCACCGTGCGACGAATTAAACTCATTCGATATGAGCTGGAATTATTTGCACGGCTACGAAAGGAGATCTGGAAGTTTGATGAAGATGAGTATAAGGCGAGCTTCCGCACGACGAGCGGCCAGCCACCTCTGAAAATGATGGGGGACATGGGATACTCTGGTTCTGTGAGTAGTCCTCGTTACAACTGCAAAGAGATAATACTGACTGACTGCTCATGATGGTAGACATTCTTCAGCAGTCTCGATGGCCACTTCGTCATCAAGAGCCTCCCCCGTCGTTTCGAGCATACCTTTTTCCAGGCAGACCTCCTCGAGCCATACTATTATTACATGCGAGACCACCCAGACTCGGTCTTGGTATGGATCACGGACTATATTCTCTCTCCCTATGTGACTCTCGGTACTCTCTTTGGATGCACGCCAGCCCACCATATTGTCATGGAGAACATCCTACTCGGCAAAGCCGAGGACCCCAACGGCGAGCAGTGGGAAACCTACGATCTCAAACCCATCGACTACTTCTATCCGGAGCGTGATCTTATCCCCGAACCTCTTGTTAGCCAAGAAACGCTGAACAAACTGGCGGATACCTTCAACGACAAGCTCCATCTGTGGAAAAAGGACTATGACGCTTTCATGCAATCTTTGGAAGCCGATACAAAGTTTTTGGGAGAAGCTAATGCCGTTGACTACTCTCTGTTCCTGGTCAGAATGCCAGCTTCTTCAAAACCCGCTATTCTAGGGCGACACAGTCCCTGGAGAGAAGGTCTCCCGTCTGCTGATGGAAAGTGGAAGTATCGGGCTGTGGTCCTCGACTTTTTCTGGGCGCGCCACAAATTCCACGCACAAGCATTGTCCGGAGCCGTGCAAACGTTCAATGTTGTGGGTCGCAAAGGTCCAATGTCTATTACGACGACGGCTGGTGAGTACCGTGAGAAGTTTTTGACGATGGTTAGGGAAATGATTCAAGTTCAACAATGATATCCTACGCGGCAGCTTGTTCTTGGCGTGTTCAGCACATACTTCCAATTTGTATGTAAACGCGATGTGATATTTCAAAGCTTTACTTCGACTTCTCAAATTTTCCTTATCATGACCCGTCGGTGGGATCTGAGAGACTGGACATAGGCACCAATGAATGCTTCAGTCCAACACGGCCTCAACCCTACTACTCATCAAATGCAAGAGCGCGAGCTTAGCATGTAGTATGGTCCGGAGCATTTCTACATATTCCAACGGTCACCCCCTTGATCGTTTGCAGCGAGCATTCCCACGTACCACAATGCCAATAGGACCGTGAGTCGTGGCTGCGAAGCGCTCCCACCTGTAGTGAAAGGAATAGGTGGGGCAAGCTCCAGGTAGCCTTTGTCGTCTAAGCGTCGAAATACAACCAGCTCTCGATTGGTAAGAAGAAACTCATATCGGGCGTGATGCTGTCTCATATACCAATAGACTTGACTAAGTGCTTGGGGGAACTCGCTGCGCAGACCAGGATTGGGATTCGTTGCCATGTCTGCGTTCCATATCCAAGACGGCTTGATACCTCCAGGGGCACGGTTCCAACTAGTGCCATCTGGAAGATTGAGGGCAAAATATGCCTTGGCAGGTGCGAAATCGTTACTGACCTTTGCGGACTCTCCAACTCCGATTGACAAACTCGTCATACCATGCATCTGGTTCAGCGCAGTCATATGGTCAAATCCAGCACGGAGCCTCACTTGGAGATGTTTCTGGACGACGAATATCCTCCTAGCGCTATATTTCTGGAGTACATCGCCGGTCTGGAGATGATCAGTTTGGAGAATTACACGGAGCAGCGGATAGACAATCTTATAGAGGGTATTCGACAAATAAATAAGGCGCTAGTGCGACACAGAGACCCTAAGCCACGGAACATGATGATTGTCGCAGATACTCCAGATAGGATAGTCTGGCTAGACTTCGATCGAGCGGAGACATACGACGAAGATAAAATCACTACCGAACAAAAAGATCTGATTGAGGAGAAGTGATTGTCACTGAATTCAAAACTTGCATGGTGAGCCGCGGCTAATTACACTTACCGTGAGCATTTTACTAATTCTTATCATCAGACAGCTAGCTGATCAGGAAAAGGGAAAGCTCGATGAGGCATACATATATTACTGCACACAGTGATCAAGCTGGTTGTCCTATTAAGAGATCGCTAACATGATGGGAATTGGTGAGATTGTCAAACGACTTTGTGTGGGATCATTGCAATTTGGTGACATTGCTTGCATTTGCTTCTGTCAGGCTTGGTCATTTCGTGGACGCCCAATCACACGCGAAAGCCACAAAGGTCTGAGGCATGTTTCAATTTATATGGGCTTGCACATCGCGCCTACGACCGGCGATTTTGGATTTGGGATTAGAAGTAATTTTTCAGTTTAGTCTCTTATTTTATACACACTCTCTCAGCATAGTCAAGGCCGCCTCTAATCACCGCCAGTTCACCACCCCGAGTCAATATAATATCTCTCTTCGCCAAAGCACAGACAACGTCCCTCTTCCCTGCGAACCAATCGTATGGAACGAAAAAGTGCTCGAAGACCTCGACTGTTATAGGATCTGTGCGTTGCGCGATCTCTAATCCGCTCTCGCTGAGATCAACAGAGCACACCCAAGAAGACCGATTTAGGAATACTAGTTTCCTTGATTCGTCAATTCCGATGACATGCGCAACGTTTAGTTCGAATGTCGTCATCTGTGAACGGGACGGAGCGGTCGAACTCAGTGTCGTGCCCGTTTTCTCACCGTCTTCACCCGTGGCAAGTTGATCGAACGCCGCCACAGCAACCAGTTGCTTCTCTCGCAAGATGCTGCTATCTTTGTTTTCGACGGCAAGGCGATCTGCATCAATTATCACAAGGTTGTTCATGTCGACGGAGCTGTTCGGATGTGATAAGTCGAGAATGATTCTTTGTTTTTGGCCGAGCGAATAGAGGGTCGCGCTTTTAAGCTCTGCCGTGTCGTTGTACAACGACAATGTAATGGATGAAACTTCAGACCAGTCACTCCAGCAGTAGGCACAGACTTTGAAGTTTTCGATACAGACAATATGTAGAGAGGACTTTGGATGAGGGAGCCATTTGCGAATTTCGGGCATTCGTGGATATGTCCGCTCTCTCTCACACTTACCGCTGTCCAAGTTGAAGAGGTGATCAGACTCGCGAGTCGATACCAGGAACTTCGCCGCCATTTCTCCTACTAGCACATCTATGATTGCCTTCTCGGAGTCGAGGCGGGTTTCGAAGAGTACCGTAAGATTTGTTAGCCAACGTTCATCTGCTGACTTCTGGATTCTGTGTAGTAATATCCTGTTGGACGCATCAACACTAAGGAGGGCGTCTCTCCGTTCAATCCAGGCCAACAGGCGAACCGGTGCTTTGTGGCTGTAGAGAGTCCCCAGGCTAGCTGCCATTTTCCGCTCGTACAGTACAACTGATCCATCATCCTTTCCGCAAAAGATAACTTCGGACGTGTGGTGGACCACCATGGCAGTGATTTTCGCTTTGGCTTCCACGGAAACCGTCTCAACCACTGTAGTGGAGGCAGCTCCGCTGCTTTCATCGTTCAGGGACTCCCGCAACAGAGCTTCAGGTTCCCAGACATTCAACTGGGCGCCTCGTATGTCGGCAAGAAGCATGCTGTCCCTGGTAAAGGCAAGCTGCTTGATATAGGAGTTGGATGACTTGACCCGATAAAGGAGCTTGAACGTATCAAATTCGTAAACTTGGATAATCCCATTTGCACCACCCGCTGCGAGGAGACGCCCATTGGGACTTGGGGCGAGGGTTTGGCAGTTGGCACGAAAACATTCCAGCTGTCGATCGGCAAAGGGGTCAAGGAGGGCAAGATCACCATCGAGGTATGCGACTGCGAGAAGGCTAATGTCAGGATTGGGGTTGAAAGCAAGCGCGACGACAACATGTGTGCTGGTCTCTCCGCTGGAGAGTTTCTTGCCACATTTACCAGCGTAGGCGTCCTCTTTCATATCCCATAGCGTAATGGGTTGGCCGCTGTAAGCGACAGCAAGCATTCTGTGGCTGGTAGAGAGAGTCAATGCGCATGGGGTCCCACGAGGGGGCGTTTGGTTCGTCTCTGGCGTATCGATATTGCTCCATGGTCTCCGCACCAATTCTGGCTGGGCGCCGTGTCCCAAATCCCAAGTCGCAACGTAGTTTTTACGACTCGCAATTAAAAGCGTATTCCCATCGAAATCCATCCCTAACGGATGCGGAGGGCTGCTCGCAAGGCTGTGCACCACTTGCCCACTTCTAATGTCCCAGACCTTGGCCAACTTCATACCACAAGTTGCTACGAGGTCACTTTTGGGTTTGAAAGCAATGAAGTTAACTGCCTCACCGTGCTCCAAGATTTTGTACTCCTGGTAAGATGTGGCGTAGTACAATAAGACATTTCCTGAACTGAGACCGACGGCCAGGAACTCGTCTCCATAGCGCAAAGCCCTAGGTTGAACCTGGCGGAAATCAATGCACAGAAGCCTATCATCCCATTGTGTGTTAGGCGTGCCAAGCACTACGAGTCTCCGGTTTGAAACCCTGGTGTTGTATACCATAGACTCGGTGGGACAAAATGGAGGTACCAACGAATATATTGCCGACGGTGATGCCGTGAGGGCGTTGGCGAACATGGCAGGAATCCGAGCAAGGTCTGTAGTCCACTGTCGTAGAGCTTGTATCCGAGGGTCAAGTGGTGAACGCTCAACGGCGCAAGCATTGACGTAAGTTTTGAGATGTTTTGAAGCGCGGATGAGGTGATTGAAATTTTTCGATTCAGCAATCGTTTCAATCCAAGTGAGGACGTTGGATCTCAGGAACTGTGCAACAAGCTGGAATACCTCTGCCGCCAACGGATCAGCTCTCGAAAGATGATAGGAGTATGCTGTGTACGCATAGGCGGCAAAATCTAATCTTGCTGCAGGCAAATTCGCCGAGGGACGGCGTCTACTGCTCCTCGGAGGTTTCATTTCTTCCCCCACAAGGTAATTGAGACACACCTGAGCCATCCGTGTGTGTGCTTTAGTTTTCTCGATGGAGAATTCGGACTTGAGGCTGCCGGCAACAAGAAATTCTCTGGCAGTTTCATGCACCATCTTGATCCTCCCATATTTGTCCACAACCACTAGCTGACCACAGAGCGTGGCGATGCTCTCCTCCAATCTTGGGAATGAATCGTGAATGTCCAGGGACAGAGCACCGTCCAGTTCGCTGATTGTCATTGGCCGAACCGCGCATACTGCCCACATGAGAATGGTTTTGGCAAGCTCCTTTCCGCGGGCAGCCTGCGACATATAGTCTAAAGTCCGCTTGTATAATGACTCCATGCCTCTGGGCACGTCTTCAAGGATCTTGTAAATTTCCTTTCTGCTGTGGCAGCGTAGGAGTTCCTCAAGCACTAAAATTGTCCACAAGAAGGACCCCTTAGATTTGTCCAGTATCTTCTCCGCTAATGTACCCCGATCGTTAGTTCCCACGACTCCCAATGCCTGGGTCCTCTTCTCAACCAAAAGCCTTAGATCTGACTCCGTGTCAGTTGTTAAGATTGGCAAGGACTGGACTAGATTGAGTGGAATGACCGAGAACCCTTGGTCCAGGTCGACCGTATACCGACTTGTGATGAGAATCCTTAGGGGAATGGATCCGTCCATATTGGAAAGAATGGAATGTAAAAGCACCGAAGGATTGGAACACTCGTCTAGGGCGTCGATGACCCAGTAATGACGAGACATCGTGGCTTGGAAAATGCCAGAAAGGAAGAGGATTCTCCAGAGGGTACGTTCGTCGGCGCGACCTAAGCCAACACCATCCGCCTGCATACCTAGGATGGCATCACTAGCTTCTCCATTGGAGCTAGCCATCTGAAAAGCCAGATATCGGAGACAACAACCCAAGTTGGACTTCGACTTGTCTCCATGTTTGAAGAAAAAGTAGCTGCATGCCTGGCCCGACTCCTTGAGCTGCTCGGTGACATAGCCAGCAAGAACAGATTTTCCAGCTCCTGGCTTACCCTTGACCCATAGCGTCCTGTCATTTCCGGACTCCCCGTCTCTCCATTTGGCGTAACTCGCTTTGGTCGAAATCCATCCGCAGGAACCGTGCATCCGAGCTTCGCAGACGTTTGTAAGATCATCGTCCAAGACGTCGGGAACTTCCAGGTACTTCTTGAGGTTTTTGATCACCTCACGCCTCTGCTTCGATTTCAGCTCCGGAATTGCGGTGGCAATGTTGCTCACAGTAGAGGCGAGCGCGTTTCGTAGGAGGGCGTAGCTGGAGTCTTCAGGCGTGTCAAACTTACATATCGAGCGGTGATCAGCAGTCACGGGTATCTGCTTCTCTTCACGGTACCCGAGGACGGCCGACTCGGGATCGACGATGAGTGAGCTGAACATTTTCATATTCTGCGTTTCGTAGAACGACCAGAGCTCCAGGTCGGCCGAAAAATGCCGAAACTCATCATTGATCACTTGGACTGCCCCTGAATTTGGTTCCAAATCACCAACATAGGCGCGTTCGTACGCAACTTTGAGGAGGTTCTTCAGCATCTTTGCCGAGTCGGCACCACGATGGGGCGTGGCGAGAAAATAGAATGCGGCGAATCGCCCAGCCAGTGCCTTGTGCACTGCGTCTTGTGTCGCCAGGATATATGCTTTCTTCATCACCAAGCCACCCATGCTGTGGCCAATAACAACGATGTGCGTCCCGGAATTGATAATGCATGGCGAAGTGCTGATCGCGCCAAGGAACAACTTGCCAATGTGGTGTACGTTCAAGCAGTCATCTTTGCCCTTCAAGTAGTAAGAATCGTATCCATAGGTATGGATGCGGACGTTCCTGAATGCGGGATCTCCGGAGAGCCACTCTTTCGGCCAGAAGTTAGATTGCACGGACGACTTGGTCCATGTTTTTCTAGAATTGCCGCCTAGGCCGTGAACGAAGATGAAGTCTATCTCCGGCGCTGTCGGGGAATATAGGAGGCTCAGTCCAAGTGGGCCCTTCACACCCTCTGCTTGATCGCCCGAGGTGGTCAACGCCCTGGGGAGGCTTTTTGACAGAGAAAACAGGCTTCTCGAGCTCTTATTCGAGTCGCGACTACTTGAAGGACTGTCGGGCCGCTGCTTTCGAAAGAACTGGTACAGTCAGCGATCGGGTAGAGTTGAAGTTTCCTATGAGGTTAAGGAGGTGAGAGTTCAACCATTGTACGGAGTAGCCCACAAAAGTCAGTGCGTGGGGCGCCAATCTTAGTCGCCCGTAGTCATCCAACGTGATGTCGGCACGACGTTCTATCAGCCAAGAAATAATGAAATAATGGTACAACAGGTGTTGTTTTTGGAGGGAGTCTTGGTGATGCCCAAAACACCTTGGTATCGAAGCACGTAATCGGCGGTCACCCCTCCCCCTCCTCTTCCCCTTGTCGAACCGCCAATCAGCCAGTTGCTTCAATCGCCCGTCAATACCCCTCTCCGGCTGGGAAAAGAAAACGACATATACTTACCCAGAAAATCGCGCGCCAAACATATCAAACACTCTCCCAATAACCTTTACCTTTGCCATTTCTTGATGATGCTGTGTTGTTTTGGCGCATAAGAGGGATTGTACGCACATTGTGTATTATTTCAGAACCATTTACTATGGATTTCCAGACGACTCCAACCTTCGCGGTTGGGGATCATGAGGCTTTCATAAAGTTTGCTCTCATTCAAGCAAAAAGATCCCCGCCAGCTGCCAACAAATTTTGCGTTAGAGCCGTACTTGTCGATGCCGCTAACGGTAAGGTCTTATCGACAGGATACTCGCTTGAATACCCGCGAGATTATAAGGGAGATCTAGGCACGACGCATGTAGAGCAGTGTTATTTTATTAAGATCGCCGATAAGCACAATCTCCCTAAGGAACGCATCTATGAGGTCCTTCCGGCTAATATAGTGCTTTACACGACCATAGAGCCATATAACGAGAGGCTTAGCAGCAATATGACCTGCGCGACTAGGATCTTGAGACTTAGGAGCACCATTGGGACTGTCTACGTGGGAACCAAAGAGCCAGGGACGTTTATCGCGCACAATGACGGGCAGCAAAGGCTGGAGGCAAACGGTGTCAAGGTCGTGTTCCCAGTTGAACATTGGCGTGACAGGATCATCAAGGTCTCAATGACTGCCCAGGTGGACACTGAAGGCTGAACTTGGGTTAGCTACATAAGGAAAAGAATGCGGTTGCGGAAGCACCCGGACGGCCCGTGTGGCCACACAAATAGTGTTTTTAATGATCTTTCGAGTGTCGGTGGATCCCCTCCCGAGTGTCGGGTGGGACCTACGTCCTCTCTTATTTCTTATCAGGATTACCCCTGTTATCACTGCATGTGTTAGGTACTTCGGAGGAGTAGATGATGCAAGATAAGCAGATCCCCTGCAAGTCAACTTTTCTTGTGCACCTCTTTCTTCTCCCCTCCTCAATGGAACCCTCCTACTGAACAATTATTGCTAATATACTGGATTAGTACAAGATGGTGTCAGCGACGGAGAATAGCGAGAGTGGTCTCACAATAAGAGCGTCAGCTGGGCCCCCAACACTCAGCCGGCCACGGATGCTAGTCGTGATCACCTGCCTGTTTGTATGATCCGGTGAGTCCCTGTAGAAGCAGCCATAACGGCTAACGTCCGTTTCTTAGCTATCATTGTTCACGGCGGCTCTTGATTTTGTACGTTTTTTTCTTTCGATAGCCCGAAGACGAAGTCATTTAAGCTGACGAGTCTGCTCCAAGACAATCACCAGTCCCGCCATTCCCACTATCGTCGCAGAATTCCGATCGGGTTCAGGCTACACCTGGATCGGCTCTGCCTATCTCTTGGCAAATGCAACTTCCAGTCCAGTATGGGGGAAGCTGAGCGATATCTGGGGACGCAAAGCAATGCTGCTTACTGCAGTCGCGGTCTTTTTCATCGGTTCTCTCCTTTGTGCAGTATCAACCAATATGCCGACGTTTCTCAGTGGCCGTGCGATCCAGGGAAGCGGATCGGGAGGCGTCGTTATCCTCGTCAATATCTGCATCACAGATATGTTTGATATAAGGTATATCGTGGGCGATTACCTCCGATGTGACTACGGGGCTTCGCTAACAGTAACAAAGACGCAGGAGCATGTACCTGGGACTAACCAGTGTGGTCTGGGCACTGGCCAGTGGTATTGGTCCTGTGCTAGGCGGAGTGTTCACTCAACTCGTCTCATGGAGGTGGAATTGGTGGATTAACCTGCCTTGCAGTGCATTGGCGTTTGTCATGCTGATCTGGCTTCTCAACGTTGACGCTGGAGCAAACCGACTATCCTTCCGATCTGGCCTGAAAAGACTTGACTGGCTTGGGATTATCACCATTTTAGGGGTCACTTTGATGCTTCTCCTGGGCCTGAATTTTGGAGGAGAAACCTTTCCGTGGAAGTCGCCTACGGTCTTATGTCTCTCATTGTATTTGGAGTTATCACGATCCCCTTGTTCGTGCTTAGTGAAGCGAAATACGCCCGGTTTCCCATCATGCCAATGCGCCTTTTCAAGCATCGCTCAAATGTGGCATCATTGTTGGTTTGCTTTTGCCATGGTTTTGTGAGTCTTTTCGGTCAATTATCTCATGATGTCAGCAATTGATTAGATGGGTCGAATCATTCAGGTCTATATCTCCGCCTTCTATTTCCTTCCTCTTTTCTTCCAGGCTGTGAAGGGAACATCGATCCTGATGTCGGGAGTTTTGATTCTTCCCATCGCTATCGTTCAATGTCTTACAGGGGTTGCCACAGGATTCGTCATAAAACACACAGGTAAGAGACAAATACTCTGTTCCGTACTGAATTTCCGGCTTACCCTTTCCCACAGGCCGCTTTTGCGAGCCCATCTGGACCGGAATGGCCGTATTAACACTGGGATTCGGTTTGTTCATTATTTTCGACGATCAGATGTCTATAGTCAAAATTGCAGTGATTGAGGCTGTCGCTGGGTTTGGCGTAGGCCTGAATTTCCAGTCGCCTCTGATCGCGCTGCAATCCCACGTTGCCCCGGAAGATTTTGCGACGGCGACTGCAACTTTTGGGTTCACTCGCAATATCGCTACCTCTCTTTCTGTTGTCATCGGAGGGGTGGTCTTCCAGCATAGCATGCAAACTCATGCCACAACACTTACAAGTGTCCTTGGAGATGAGACGGCAGCACATTTTGACGGGTCTAGTGCGGAAGCCAATGTAGGCCTGATCGCATCACTTCCCGTCCATCAGCGCAATGCAGTCCGCGGAGCGTATGTCGCTAGTCTTCGTTCCATGTGGATTTTGTATGTCTGCGTTGCCGCGGTAGGGCTTCTGGCTAGCTTAATGGTTAACAAAAAGTCCCTTGAAGGCCCGGCCGATAGAAAGTCAAATGGCCCGGTGTCAGGGTCGCTGCAGTCCCACGAGCTGCAGCAAATAACTCAAAGGTGATCTCTCACGTTACAACATATTTCGAGGCGAAGTGCCATTGGAATATGCCAATCATTACGGATGTTGTCGATGCATTAAAAATTTTACATATGTAACCTTCGATACTTCTATAATATCGTCAATAAAATACATACACGTACACTAGCTGTCTGAAACGTTCTGCTGGCAAAATGCGATATGGCGCACTGGCGGCTATACACTGCCGTAGCCCCGCAACCCATTTTAAACGGTTCATAAAAATGCCTCTAAATCCCATCCTTTTTCTCTTACTCTCCTATACAAATGTAGGTATATCCATTTTTAAGGTGGTTCAATTTCGGCCCAAGAGTGAATAATAAAGGCAAAAAATACGGGCTTAGCCGTAGTTTGCGACCGAAAAGTAATAGGGGACGAATGGGACAGTCAGCGAGCCCGATTGGGCGGGCGAAATTGTAGGGGCGCAGCGATAAGTGTAAGAGAGGCAGAAGAATGGAGAAACGAGGAAAGAGAGGAAGAGCAGCGAAGACGGTACATTTGTATGCATTCAAGGCTGCCCAGGTGGATAAAGGAGACGGAAACGGATAAGGCGGGGAGCGTAACTTTCCCCTCCCGACAATCTGGTCCACTCGACTCAACCCATTATTTTGAATCACTTCAAATCATGGCAAATACGGAGAATGAATGGGAATTGGAGGAGGGTATTCCTCAGGTTGGGGATCCCTTCATCCAACAATATTTGAAAGGACGCGATGCTTTGATTATGGAAGAGCGAAAGCGACGTCATGGTATTCCCCACTCAAATTAAGTACGAAAATCCCTTGTCTGACTTTTTTCGTAGATGCAAATCTGCGCAAATCACTATCACCTATCGCTGCCCGCGCGACAAAGATAGTGTCGCAGATCCGAGCTCAGGAACAGAATGAGCTGTGGTCAAGTGGATTGGACGAGGTTGCGGCCCACCAGGCGGATGAGATCCTCTACCCCGGTGTCATGTTTAATCTCGCCAAAGGCCGCATGGAGAACACCAAACTATGGAAGATCGTGGAGAAGATGCCAAAGGGGTCCCTTCTACATGCCCACATGGACGCCATGTTCGACATCAACTTCCTAATTGACCAGGCATTCTCCACGCCCGGCATACACATGTTAGCGCCGAAGCCGTTGATCACAGCCCATGATTACGAAAACGTACCCGTGCTTTTTCAGTATTCTTCGCAGCCTTTAGAAGCGTCAGAGGACAAGCCAAGTATTTGGTCAGAGACATACGAGCCCTCGTCGTTGATCTCGATCCAGAAGGCCGCCTCCTCTTTCCCCCAAGGGGGGAGAGAAGGGTTTCCGGGAATGGTTGCACACCCGGTGTGTCCTTATGCCGGAGCATTCGTATCACCACCACCATGGAGTAGACGCAATTTGGTCTATCTTCACAAAGACTTTCCCCATTGTCGACTCTCTCTTGATGTATGAGCCTATCTTCCGTGCCTGTTTCCACCGCTTGCTCGCACAGCTTGCGGAGGATGGAATTCGATACGTCGAGTTCCGCATTGGATTTGTCTTCCAATTTAGGAAAGAAGGAAACGACAAACCCGAGGAAGACCACTTGGAGTGGTGTCGTGTGGTGGAAGATGTCGTGGCTCAGTTCAAACAAACAGATGCAGGGAAGGACTTCTACGATCCTCGCATTATTTGGACTACGCTCCGGTGGTTTGACAATGAGACGATTGTCAATAGCATGAAGCAGTGCATCGAAACAAAGCTGGAGTTCCCTAATCTGATCAGTGGGTTTGATCTTGTTGGCCAAGAGGATAACGGGAGGCCGCTAGTCGACCTTGTCCCGGTCCTATTCTGGTTCCGAAAGCAATGTGCGGAAGAACAAGTCGATATTCCCTTCTTTTTCCACGCTGGAGAATGTCTCGGCGACGGTGACGCGACAGACCACAACCTATTCGATGCCATCCTTCTTGGCACTCGACGAATCGGCCATGCGTTCTCGCTTTACAAGCATCCTCTGCTCATCGATTTAGTCAAAGAGAAGAAGATCCTTGTTGAATGCTGCCCGATCTCGAACGAAGTGCTCCGCCTTGCTAGCTCCATCAAATCCCATCCTTTGCCCGCTCTGTTGTCCAGAGGCGTCCCCGTTTCGCTGTGCAACGACGACCCCGCAATTCTTGGCCACGGAAGGAATGGATTGACGCATGATTTCTGGCAGGCTTTGCAGGGACTCGAAAATGTGGATTTGGTCGGCCTATCAATGATGGCCCAGAACTCCATCCGATGGAGCTGCTATGAAGACCAGTCGACCGCCGAGTGGAAGGCCGGCATTCAAAATGGGGTAATGGGGAAGGGACTGAAAGCGGAACGCCTGCAGGCTTTCGCTTCGGATTTTGAGAAATTCTGCGAGTGGGTTGTGCTGGAGTTCGCTGAATACGACACTGGGGATGATTGAAGTACCGTCATGTTGATCACAATATACGATTTACATACATAGTCGCCTAGCACGAACAAGCATGAGAACACGAAAGCCCTCTTCGGTAATAGTCCAACTGGTGTAGGCCACTTTTCGTAATTATTGAAGTAATTTGGAACATATCCCAAGTCAATTAGCAGATAATTGGTCAAATCCGGTGTCAATCGGTGAGTTGGCACGTCGGCGCCTGACTCTGCTTATCGCGCCTTTATCAGGTGCCCGGAACGTCATTGTTGAACATCCCCCCATTCACAACTTCCCCATCCACTCCGCTTTGTCGGGGCTGGCTGCTTTATTGTTTTCGTTAACCTATTTTCGATGATACGAGTCAACATATGAACGAGCCCAGTCCCGGCTCTCAGTCACGATGGCGTCGTACTTTATGCCGTCGTTCTTCCAGAAGCGGCTCCTCAAATACGCCCTGTCTCGCCTGGGCCTGGTGGACACGGAGGCTTTGGATCCAGATAACCTAGGCATCCGCTGGGGACAGCGGTCTACTATCGAGTTGAGGGATATTGGCCTCAAATTAGAGGTGAGTTGGTGCAGTGACCCTCCGCAGGTGGCGGGGGCGGCCTTCCATGATCATCGAACACGCGACTATAGAGCAGTGCGGACTGACTGTTTACATCGCGACATAGAAACTATCGACTCTACTCAATCTTCCTCCGTCGTGCGAGCTGCTCAGCGCCCGGGTTCAGCTTCTTCGAATCACCCTTCCTGCCGATTTCCACAATAGCGGGATCCTGTGTGAGGCAAACGGCATCGACGTACATATTCGGTTATTGTCAGACGAGTCGAATAAGGGGCAACATGTAAAAAGGAAAAGCGAAAAACATGACTATTCGGCGGTGCCCACACCGTCTGGTCTTGCGGAGTCATTCCTTGAGTCTGAGCCAAAGGAGGAAAGGGAAGAGCTGCAGGCTGCAATAGCGTCACAGTCGCAGGTCCTGCCCCAAGACCCATTAGCCTGGTCCACCGATGACGATAATGAGCTTGGTCTTGGGAGTGAGACTCTATCACTGCCGAGCTTTGTGGCCGGGTTCCTGAAAGGCGTTGTGGACCGACTCCAACTCAAGATAAAAGATGCAGTTGTGCGAGTGGATATGGAGTTGAAGCAAGATGGAACGTCGAAAAGGCAACCTGAACATAAGCCGGATCTTGTTGCGGGGCTGTTGAGCGTCGGGAAAATTGATGTACACGGAGTATCCGAGAAAACCTTTGGCCCGGAGGAGGGTCTTCCTTTCCGAGAAGGGAAGCGGCTCATCTCAATCGCAGATATCAATTTTGGGTTGCTTTCGGACCCATCGGTGTTCTCGAACTACTCTCGCTTCGCTCCCCCAGCATCCCCGACGACCACTATGCGGTCAAAAGGGAGCCAGCCGTCGAGCAGAGCGCCTTCACCCTCTCCATTGGATCACTCCGACGAGGAACCCCTTGCTATGACCCAATCAACTATTTTCGAGCCGCCGCAAGCTTTTGGCCATTCAAGTACCACCGCAGACCGGTTAGAGGCGTCTGCATTTTCCGATGGTCGATTCTCAGATGCCGACTCTGGGTCAGGTAGTCACCGTGGTAGATATCTGGAGGATTCTCAAATATTTGGAGATGACCCCTTCCAGGACAACCCGGGGTACTTAGACTCGGTTATTGACACACAATTCGATGATTTTGATGATGAGCAGTCGCCGGTAATACATCCCGAAGAAGACCGACGGGCCGGGAGCGAATGGAGGAGTCACTTATCTCATGGCACACGAAGCTTGCATCAGATCCAACAGGTCGAATCCTCTGATGAGCCCTTGGTCCCCTCTGGCAGCTATCATGTATCCCAAACTTACGACACACATCACAGCCAAATCGGCTCTGAAATTGACGAAATAACGCAAACCACACAGCATTACAATGATGACGAAAATGAACATAACGAAACATCAGAATTGAGCGTATCATCCCATCCTCCTAGTACTTCTTCTCCGCGCCCGGAGCCCGACAGAACGAGCTTACGAGAAGAAACATCAAATGCTGATCTCGACGAGTCCAAACTTTTCTCCCACGATGAAGCGCAAAGCCTTTACATGAGCGCTACCAGCCAGGGTGTGAGTGGGAGCTTCATGCCACGAATGCCAGGTGGGTGGGGCTCGTTTGATAGTGCACCGGGTGCTCTTGATGACCGATCTAAAGTTATCGCACCTATTGATCCGGCACGCTCTGCCCATGTTCAAGGTGAAGCAGATTCAAGATGCACAGCCCCATCGGAAGACAATGTCACTGAACAGCATGATTTGGATGACCAAGCCCAATCTCAGACATTGCACAAGGACAGAACCTCAACTCCATCATCTCCTGGGTTGCACAGAATCAATGAAATGAGAAAATCGGTGCTTACCGTTGACAAGATTTTGCTGTGGCTCTCACCTGCTGCTTCTGAAGAAGAAGAAGAAGTAGTGTCAGCCGAACCGTCGCCTGTGCTACAAAAAGGGAACGTAGGCAGTGACCTAAATGAATCCACTGCCAGCTTTGCGGACTCCGCACCCGAAGAAAGTCTACTTGCCTCCAGAGCGTACAAATCTACAAGGTTCGGGAGAGACTCTTCTGAGGCACGGGCTCAGTCAAGTGCTGGGACTGAACTGCCTGAAATTGCTGTGGAAGTGTTCTCTGTCTCCGTGCATTTCGATATTGCAACTGGTTGGCTTCTAACCAAGATAGGACAAAAGTTGTCTCACACTCTCGGTACGGCTGAAAGAGATCCGTCTGAGAAGCAGTCGCGAAAGGACCAACCTGCGCGCACACCACCTGTTCATCTTGTCGTCCATGCACTTTCAATAAAATTCATCGAACGTGTTTCGGGGCATGTATATTCGTCTGACAATAGTGGCTCGTCTTTGTCTCCTCCCTACAGCATGGAAGACGTGATTCTTCGCCTTGCTCTATCTAGTTTGAATGCTCGCCTTTCAGCTCAAAGTACAACTACCAAGCTGAATTTTGATGTATCCAAGTTTGCATTCGGCTTCGCCTCCGAGGATATCATATTCTTTGATGAAAGATTGAAGATGCGTGAATCTACGCGTGATGTTTTATCCCCTTCCCAAGGAGATATTTCTATCTCTTTGGTCAAATCGGCAGATCTAGCCAAGGTTGACATCTCCACGCTGCCGCTCCATATCAATCTCAATATACAGCGCCTAGAAGAGGCCCTAAGCTGGATGGGTGGCCTGAGCACCATTCTCGAACTTGGTGGTTCCATGTCGTCTGTGTCAACAGTCAAAGGCTCCCCTCCACCTTCCAAACAGCGGCCCCGCGGTGTGCATTTTGAGACACCTGCCCCAGCTGTTCACACGCCCAAGGGCACGTCAGCCTTATGGAAAGTAAATGCCCGAGTTGGTGCCATCCTGTTGGATATTACTGGTGAGACTCACAGTCTTCAACTTACTACGACCGCCGTCAAAATCGTCAGCAGGTTTGAAGGGATTGGTATCCAAATAGACAAGGCCAAAATGATCGGGCCACTTTTAATTAATGACACATCATCTGATACTCCCGCCAAAGTCACGCTGAACAACATCCGCCTTGAATTCCTCTTTGCCCCGAAGGAGGTTGATCTCGATCGTCTTCTAACATTGATTACTCCGTCCCAGGACAAATTTGAAGTGGAAGATGATATCATGTTAGACACACTGTTGCGCCAGCGACGACAAGGATCTGTTCTTCGCGTGACAGTGGGGCGCTTGGAAACGTTCATCTCAGATACCGGTGGGTTAGAGCCTCTCTCGTCTCTTGCTGTCGAGCTGGGTCGGCTTTCCAATGTCACCAAGTATTTGCCGGAAGATGATCGCCCTGGCATTCTTACTTTGATCCTGGTTCGTGACTTCCAAGGAGACCTACACGTTGATGGAGAAGTTGGGGACATCGGAAGTCGACTTACCAGTGTTGAAGTTGCACACATCACCATGCCTTCACTCACTGCGGCCCAAATCGGAACCATGACCGTTAGTCGGAATAATGACGAAGAGCTGGTGGGGCATGCCCTGTGGCCCCCCGAACAAGTATCAGGACCCTGACCCGTCCTATCCGCCGGTCCTCATGGCTCGTTTCATACCCGACGAGATGGATCCTACCTACAAGATCAAACTTCACAACCTCCTTGTCGAGTACACGGTACCATCAGTGACGGCCTTCCTTGGATTGGGTGGCGACAAGATGAGCGGAGATTTGGCAAGTAGTATGGTCAACTCTATCGCCAATCTTGCAGAGCACTCAATGTCATTACCTTCGATGACAGGGCGACCGATGTCGAAAGAATCCAGCTCCTCGACAAAGCCAATTAAATTGTCAGTTGTGTTTAGAGATTGTGTTCTTGGCCTCAACCCTCGGAATTCCTCCGCAAAAGGCCTTGCAGTCCTCACCGACGCCAAGTTCGGAGGAACTATTCATGGAGACGAATCTGCAGAAGCATCATTGGATGTTAGGAAAGCCTCGCTCATGATCATCGACGACGTGTACCATGAGAGTGCTTATAACCTCCACCAGCGAGGCTCGGTCGTTCCCCAGGGCACCCAAGCTCAAGCGTATATCGATAAAGGTTACGTTCCTGTCTCTTCCATCTCGTCGGCAACTGCTGGTGTCAAGCTTACCAGCGCTGAGGATGGTACAAAGTCTTTGGACGTAGAGCTGAGAGATGAGCTGTTGATCCTCGAGACCTGTGCGGATTCAACTCAAACGCTTATTAGCATCATGAATGGGCTTCAGCCTCCACCTCCGCCAAACGTCAATGTCAAATATCGAACAGAGGTTATGCCCATCCAAGATATGTTCGCCTCCTTCACTGGTGACGCATTTGCAGCCGATCCCCCTCTTCCCCATGATAATGATATGGCAACTATCCCCGAAGGATCATCCAGGGAAGGTCAGCTAACCGACGAACTTGAATATGTCAGCGATTTCTATCCCATGACGGGTGGCCTTGGTGGTGCGGGAATTGAGGCCATAGAAGCGGACTCCAATGATCTGCTGGACAGCTTCCATTCCCAATACCAAGTATCTTCCAGTATGACGGAATTGGATTTCCAGGAGGACCATTTTGCAAAGAAATCAGCTGTAGGCGGAACCGCGCATCGGTGGGACTCCACCCAGAACACCTACGGGTTCGCCAACGACACGAAGCTCGAGCGGAGTCCTTTGCGTGTGCGTATGCGAGACGTACATTTCATCTGGAATCTGTTTGATGGATATGATTGGCAGCGCACCCGTGACACAATATCCAAAGCTGTCAAGGACGTGGAAACCAAGGCCACAGAACGCCGTTCCAGGGGGTCAAGGGTGTCACCTTCGGCAGAAGATGAAGAGGAGTCTGTCATCGGCGATTTCCTCTTCAATTCCATTTACATCGGTATTCCAGCCAACAAGGATCCACGGGAACTCCACCGCGAGATCAATCATGACATCGATGATTTCACCAGTGAGACTGGGAGCTATGCAACAACCACAACTGTGACTGGGGCTGGAAGTCGCCAGGGCCGGCCAACCTCTAAGAGGGAGAAGAAATTACGCTTGCATCGGAGCAAACACCACAAAATGACTTTTGAGTTGAAAGGTGTCTCTGCCGACCTGATTATCTTCCCACCAGGCTCAGAAGAGACTCAGAGTTCGTTGGATGTGCGGGTCAAGGACTTGGAGATCTATGACCACGTTCCAACCTCGACCTGGAAGAAGTTCGCAACCTACATGCGTGAGGCTGGCGAAAAAGAGAGCGGAACGAGCATGGTTCACCTTGAGATTCTGACTGTAAAGCCTGTGCCTGAGCTAGCTGCATCTGAGATTGTTCTCAAGGTTTGTTATGCAATCGTCAATTACTCAAACCAGTTTCTAACTTGACTCCTAGGCCACTATTCTACCCCCCTCCGGTTGCATGTTGACCAAGATGCTCTCGACTTCATGAGTCGGTTCTTTGAGTTTAGGGATGAGACCGCCCAACCATCCGATACTCCGGGCGATGTTCCATTTTTGCAGCGGGTAGAGATAAACGCCGTGCAAGTCAAACTAGACTTCAAGCCTAAGCGGGTCGACTACGCAGGACTCCGGTCCGGCCGCACAACCGAGTTCATGAACTTTTTCGTCCTAGATGGCGCCGACATGGTGCTACGACATGTGATCATCTACGGAGTGTCTGGATTCGACCGAATGGGCCAAACTCTTAACGACATCTGGATGCCAGATGTCAAGCAGAACCAGCTGCCCAGTGTGCTGGCTGGTCTAGCTCCGATCCGTTCCCTAGTCAACGTTGGCGGCGGCGTGCGCGACCTGGTTGTCGTCCCAATGCGTGAGTACAGAAAGGATGGCCGAATCGTGCGCAGCATCCAAAAGGGCGCGTTAGCCTTCGCCAAGACAACCTCTAACGAGCTGGTCAAACTCGGCGCAAAACTCGCCATCGGCACACAAACCGTCCTCCAAGGCGCGGAGGACCTACTGACCACCCCGAACGCACCCGCCTTCGACGAAGATTCCCTCGACGAAGACGAAGCCAAGAAGATCTCGCTGTACGCTGACCAGCCGGTTGGGGTGGTACAGGGACTACGTGGGGCGTTCAGTGGTCTCGAGCGTGATCTGCTCTTGGCTCGCGACGCAATCGTCGCCGTACCCGGGGAGGTGGTCGAGAGTGGGAGTGCCAAGGCCGCCGCAAAGGCAGTCTGGAAACGTGCGCCCACAGTCATCCTCCGACCCGCTATCGGGGTGTCCAAGGCTGTGGGACAGACTCTACTTGGTGCGGGGAATACCCTTGACCCGAGCAATCGACGAAAGATGGAAGATGTAAGTGGTTTCCGACAAACCCTATTTTGGTGACTATGGCTGACTCAGAGTTTAGAAGTATAAACGGTACTGAGAGTAAGGTACACGAGGCCAGTGCTTGGCTTGGGTTCTATGGGTGTTTTAGCCCTTGCATACTCCGTACATACATGCATAGTCGATGGTCCCTTTTTGCTTTTGATTTTCTTTTTCAGACTTCAGTTTTGCTTTTTCTCATTGCTTCACCAGTTCGATACCACATCACCGCATTACGATCTCAAATTGCTCTTTCTCTTTCACTTCGATACTTCAAGTCATTTTTAGTTTTAGTCTGCATGATGTGGGAGTCCTGAGTTTGTTCAATAAAGGATCGAGATCTCGATCCAGATCTATTTCTACGGATCCACCAAGAACCAGAAGAAGACAGAAAAGGGCCATGTCGATCCCGGCTCCTATATCGGACAACGCGGTAACATCCGAGTATACTCCTTCGGGAAGTTGCCACCCATTTAGGAGACTGTACTACCAGTATATTGTACGGAGTAGAGATCACAACATTGGGAAGAATGCCAAGTTCCGACGATCCCCGGGCCTGGGGCATCGAGGCAGCAATCCGTTTAAATTACATAGTGCGTTATGCATGTGAAACACAAATCTGGGGGTTGCAGTCGTATTGCAGGGCAGATGACTAGGATGAAATCGAGATGAGTTGGCATGCCGATCTGTGTACCGGGCCAACGTGTGTATCTGCATTTGTGCCTTACTACTTCCAGGTACGAGGTACAAGATGCCCAACCATGGGATCAAAGAGGTCAAAGAGTAATCCAATCCAAGCATCATCACTACAATTCTCCCGAGGTCCCTCACGGCCGAAAAGGACCTGAATCATGAACAGCCAAGATCACATGACCCAATAAAAAAATCCCCTTCCTTGCATCAACGGTGCATCACGGCATCTGCAGAGGACTCCATACATACCCAAGGTACGGAGTATATGCATTGTGTATCCACTGCCTTGGAAGGAAGTCCGACACGGAATGACCAAGTCATGATGTTGCCAGTGGGGAAGGGAAAATTTTCATTTTGCCACATTGGAATTCGAACTATCCAATCAAGGGTGTGAAGGCCGCCGCAGCCGAAAGGTCATTTTTGCCTTGCTCAGCCCGAAGACACGGCGTTCTGTACGCCGACTGGTTCTAGGCTTAAAGAGGCGGTTGGTGAAGATTAGGGATGTGAAGGGGGTGATTGGTTGAGGATGGAGAGGCTAAAGGCACTAAAAGCACTAAAAGTACTAAGAGCACTAAAAGGAGGCTGAGAGATCATCTGCAAGTGATCACAATCATATTAGTATTCTGTTTCTATAATACCTAATTAATAGAATGCCCAACATATACATCTACCTAATGTACCTAATACCATATAATATCTAATATCTCCATGTTCTCAGACCGACTTTCCATGACGTTGACATTTGATCGACGAACCATGGGTCCTTTGAAAGGCCTCGACCTTCCTCTCATTTTCTCTTCTTCTTTGTCTTCTTCTTCTTCTCTAATTGGATCGGGCTGTCCGGCCCCTGGCTTTGTGGACGTCTGGTTCAATTCAACCTGATTCAACACATTCAACTGGTTATAAACTCATTGTTATTTCAGTGGATAACGTGGGTAATGTGGGTATACTCAGATCCAGGCACATTTCTATTATTCTCTCATTTCAACATAAAATTACTCTTCCTGCACTTCTGTACCTTGCAGTTTTGTTTATTGTGATCTATTCATATATTGCGACCGGTAAGCCTATCTCCCCCATCCCTTGCGGCGTAAATCTGACGAATCAAGTTTAGTGTGGAGAAGTGGGTTTCGATCTACTGAATTGGATATGTCGATAATCTAAAAAGGTGGTCCGAGAACACAACAGTACGAGAAGCAGGACTTCAAGACAATAACGAAATTTGTGATATTCGCAATTGCAAAGCACAATGAATGAAAACCTCAACTACTCCGCCGCTAATGGCATATGGCACGGCGAGCTGCTGGACAGCCCCCTCTGCCAGAAGTGCCTTCAACTCCACGACCATCATGCATGTACTCCTCTTTCCAAACCTTTTTTGGCGGACTCGGCAGACGCTTTGTCCCTCCCCCCTCGATCCATCAAATCCCGTATCACGGGAGCCCTTTCTCTCCACGATTACCACAAGTTCCTCTCCAAGTCTGCAGACCGCAGTGGCGATCCCGTTGATCATACAGGAAAGAAATTGAAGCGAAAAACAGCTGCATTGCATTTGAACCGCTCTTCCCCTCTTTCCATCTCTTATCCTGTATCTGTATCGTCCGTCGCCTCGAGTCCGCCGCCTCTGTCTCCCTCCTACTCGCACAGCATCGTCTCGCAGTGGAGTGAAGAGCCTGAGATCGGGGAAGCCCAGACTGGTAAGCTTCTACAATTGACTTTCCTTGGATACTCCCGGAACATTTATTGATAGTTTAATAGTTCAGTACCAATCCGCTCAAAGCCCTCGACTACCCGTTGTCTCGGATCTCGGGACTCGAGCTAGACCTAACAGGAAGCGAGTGGTAAGCTGCCTGAAACACCGCACAAAGACCTAGCTCACTGATAATAGTCCAAGAATACCTTTCGTGAAAAGCTTCAACAAAGGGCCCGAGCTCAAGCAGAAGAAGCTGAGCGTGCCTCTAAACCTCAAACATCGGACTCAATGCTGGCCAGTACGCAGGCCGTTGCCACCGTTTCGCACGGTGGCGCCTGCTTTGAGATCCTGAATCCGCGCAAGTCGCTGGATCTAGCACGCATCGTCTCATACATTGAAGACGTCGATAATTGCTCCACGATCTCGACGGACAACCAGCGAGACTCTACTTTCTCCATCGAGCAAGGACTGGACCGGGTGTCCCTGTCCCAATTCACTGATGCCTCATTGCCTTCATTCTATTCCACCAACTCGTTGTACACTTCCCTCCCAGACGAGCCCTCAACACCCAAGGGTCAGCCGACGGATATCCCGTCGTCCTCGCCGCGGATCGGCGAACGGGTCCGGTCTCTATCAGACTACTCTCTCGATGAACAAACATTCAACTACTGGAACCGACCTGCACAGCGCACTGAAAATAATGATCTACGCATCGACAGCCACAACGACCACCCAAGCATCGACAGAGAGACCCCGCAATCACCACAAATGGCCTCCATCACGGAAGAATCCAACCCTCCAAATCTAGATTTCTCCCGGCGACCCTCAACCCCATCAACACAAACCTTCTACTCAGAAAGCGAGATCGGCGAGCCCGGCTCACCCGTCTACGCAAACGGCGACTGGGCCCAAGTCGACGAGCGCGACAGAGGCATCCTATTCGACCTACAAGAAGACGAAACAACAGACCAGCACAACCACCCGGACTACCAATACTACCCATACTCACAAGAACAAGAACCACCAACACCTCGCGAAACTCCGCTCGAGACACCAAGTGGTTCACCCATGTACCCAACCTTCGACTCTGCCTACCCCTACCCAAGCTCCATCTCCACCTCCAAACTCCCCTACTCCGCCCCCTTCGATCCCTACACCTACGACCCGGTGTACTTCGACCCACATGTCCAGTCTGTCCTCGCAGCCGCGAACGCTGAGACGATGGGGTTGCGGGGGAGTCCTGCACGCGCACTGGATGAGCTGCAGCGAGGAGCGCGCTCTGGCGAGACCAGTCCGCGGTTCGAGTTCCAGAGGAGAAAGAGTGATGACCGGAAATCCGGGGCGCAGAAGAAGGGGTTGAGGAAGTTCTTTAGTTGGAAGTCGTAGACATAGTTCTGAGAACTTTGTTACTGGTGGGATTCGTGGAATCGGCAGCTGGCTGTGTGACTTTGGACGGGGTAGTCAGTGATTTACGTCCATTATGTTTGTGAGAGCGTGGCGCTTAGGTGTTGGATTGGATTGGAATGGATGGACTGGCTGGATACGGGTCTCGATTCTTTTTCTTTTGGCGGTTTCTTCTACCTTGTCTTTTTTATTACTTTTATTACTTTTACTTTTTTCTATTCGGGTCTGAGACTCGCAATGTATCTATATCAATTTACACTTGACGCATATCGACATTCGGGTTATTTTCAACTTTCCAAAGTCTTCAATTTCTGCTAGGAATGACAATTCTTTACAAAATGTCGATCAGACCAAACAAGGAATGTGTCAGAATGCTAGATCGATGGAATGTTTCCAAGGTTCTTTCTATCAGGGTATCACGAGTATATACAACTCCATCCACGGAATCCAACATCACCTTAACCATAACCTTAACCTAATCCAACCACCTCAATCATCATCCCTCTCAACCATCGACGCCAAAGCCGAACTAACAAGGCTCTTCCTCCTAAGCCCCTGCTCATTCCTCTTCCCAAATCCCCCATGAGTCTTCTCAACCCGACTAGCCAAAACCCCCCGCGGAAGAACTCTTCCTCCTCGTCCTCCCCTCACCACCCCCTCCGGCCCAAACCGACTCCGCGAAAGCGTAACCGCCCTCCTCCGCGGCGACGACCGCGGCGGCAACGAGCTAGGATGACAATCGTCTTCGTCGCAGCATTCCGACGTCGCCGGCTCATCTAGCAGCGAGCGCTGCATAGCCTCGACCTCGGACTCGTTGCATTGCAATCTGGAGATCTGCTGGCGCTGCGCGCGGACGTCTTGGTGGTATGGATGGGAATGCGGGTTGTGAAAAGGATTTCCGAGACCGAAATCCGGTAATTCGGAGAGGAGATCTGGGGGCATGAAGGTTGGACTTGTTGTTGAGGAGGCGGAGGGCGAGGAGAGACAGTCGACGCCGTCGTCGGAGTGGTCTGTGTCCGGGGGTGTGAGGACGTATCCCGCGCCCGGGTAGCGGGAGACTGGAGTGTGTCTGCCGGTTCGGTGGGTGTGTTGGGACTGGAGGTCTGGTGTTGGAGCGAGGGTGTGTTCGTGCAGTTTTTGGGTTAGGGTTGAGATGGAGAGGCGTTTGTGGTCTGAGTCGTAGGGGAAGGGGACGGAGGTTGGGGGTTGTTGGTTTCGGTGGAAGTGGGAGGAGCGAGAGCGGGAGATGTTGCGGAAACGGTGGGATTGAGGTGATGGGCAGCGCGAGGAGAGTGGTGATATTAGAGTGCTGTCGCTGTCGACCATTAGTCGGTCGTCTGGGTCGAGGGCGAGGCGGGTCGGTCGCGACGATGGCGATGTGAAGGAGAAGTCTTCGAACATTTTCTTCTGTTCTGCTGGACTTGGGCGATGTGGTTTTCGGGTGAATATAAAGTATGGGAGTATAAGGTGATCTGCGTTCCTTTGACTGGAAGGTGGTCGGGGTTGTCGGCCTTTTGAGTGTTGCGATATAGGTTTTCAGGAATTGACCACCTACACTTGAAGGGTAGGGTACACGGGTTGTGTACAGTGTATGGTCTTTGGTTGATATAGTGCAGGCAATCGCTTATTCGCCCCTCGGGAAAAAAAATCGATTGTCAACCACTGGTTGAGGTTGAGGCGAATGTCCACGTGATCGGCAACTGTGCAGCCACACTTTATTAGTTTGGGGGTCACTTTGCTTTTTCTATTTTTTTGGGGGCGATTTTGCTTTTTGCAACGAAATACGGGGTTTAGTTCAGTTTCAAAGTCAGTTCAATAAATTTATCTCTTTTACTCTTGTTCACACCCTGCAAGATCACCAAGACCCCGGTTCTTAAGTGCATGTCGATCTTCATGTGGATACCTGTGCCCTAAGTTGATCTCCCGACTGCGGAACGCATCTACATATAGCGTAATAAGCAGTGTAGTAGTACTGATCAAATATATGTCCAATCTTGTATTGTTTGATTCTCCGGCACTTCCCTAGTTGTCGGGATTTCCCTACAAAATAATCAGATACACTGTACGAAATATATAAATGGCGCTACTCATTAAGACGGACTAACCTCATGTGAATATCCATCTATATATTATATCACTATGGACATCCCGATTCTCTATAGGTGTGGCTGGATACATACATGTATGTAGCAAATGTGGATTCCAGCAAATTGACCGAGACAGGCTGCTTATACATGAGGTCTCGATAGTTCCTTCCAAGATTGTCAGTAAACAAATTATCGTCTCTTTCTCATTTCCCTCTCACCTCCCTCTTACTTTTATTTCTCGTCCATTTTGTCCCTACGACCTGGGCATCATCCCTTTGTTACCAAATCCAACTGCTACAATGACCGAAAATATCATTGAAAAGGGCAAGGCGCCGGACAAGGCCACTGAAGACACTGTCATGACTACCGAGTCTATGGCTACCGAGGAAGGAGCCATGGAGCCCTCCAAGAGGTGGAGGAAGTCGCAGGCTTATTTTGAACGGTGCAAAGCGCTAGCTCGTAAAAACTACCGCAAGCGTCAGGAGCGCCGCCGTCTCCGCAAAGTGGGTATTGAGGTGGTGAGTAAACCATTCCATCTCCAGTGGTGATTGGACTAACAAGATTTAGGTATATGATAGCCTCTCCGCGAGCGTGATCCTGCCCTCCCACAACAGCGCAAGCGTAACAAACGTCACCGAACCCGAAAGAGGACAAGAAAGGACGAAAGTATGTATTCCTACGAAGGTTGATGCCGAATCCATATTATCAGCTACCAGAAGCTGTCTTGGCAGCTGCTAGGCCAAACCAAGAGCCCTCTGCGGACATAAGCATCCATCCTGTCACCAACACACATCCCGGACCCCTTGAGATAAATACCTTGTCGGGCGATGATGAACAAACGGGTGGAGAGCATGTTGAAACTGGTTTTCGTCCAGTCAGTGTGACTCTCCCATTTCGGGGTAAACCATCCGCTTGAGTAGCAGCGGACCTGCCATCACACGTCTAATACGAACTCCCTCTGTGCCCCTTGACCTGCGTTAAACCTTATAAGATACCATCTACAGTCCAGTACGAATATACGAATACTCGTAGACGTACTTACTTTACCCAAGTGCTTTAATTGACCGCTTTGGTACAATCTAGTGAAGAGTGGTAGCCAACCATTTCCATTGGATTTTTCTGAAGTGAACATAATTTGAAAGTGTTATTGGCTCAAGGACTAGATCCTAAAAATGGTGCCTCTAACTCGAGATGGCAAAGGAAGATGCCGAAATTGCAATTTGTCAGACTTTTTATATAGTCCATATAGCTTCTAGCTCTGTGACAACCTTAGCCCCCCCTTGCACCATGCAATTCCACGTAGCTCTTTCTGTGTGTCTCTTCTGAAAACGCCGCTATTGGTAAGACGGGAGTCTAATACCCTGGCTACTAAATTTGCAAAAAGACGGGTTCATAGAAAGTAGGGTCCATAGTCTTAGAGACGGCCATGTCATATCTCAATGGAGCAGGTGATCATATTATGTTTTAGAAGAAATTTGAAAAAGGCACATCGCTCATGCAAACAGCCCTTGGGATGGCCAGTGCAACGGTCCCTCCAGCTCGTCGAATAGACCCAGTGGGTCAACTGGGTCCCAGAGAGTGGCAGCTTCGGTGGGAGATGGAGCGGGCTCCCTCCCAATGGAGGGGGGCAAGGCCTCAGGAGCGAGTGAGGGCGAAGCCGATGGTTCGCTGGCACCACCTTCCTCGGAACCAGGGGAGGCGGCAGATTCGGCCGCCGTGTTTTTTCTTCTCCTCGGCGGTGACAACGGCTAGCTCTTTTTGATTATTAGTATTCACGTTTGGATTTCGCGTCGGAGCTAATGACCTTCTCCCAAGTTCGCCACGTGTGATAGAGAGTCCTTGGGATGTTGGCAATTTCGGATCGGAAAAATCACCTAGAAGATCTCAGAATACATGGGTCCATCGAAGACTATCCATCAAGCCTTTCACATACCTCGGTCTGTCTTCTTATCGGTTGGTCGGAATCATTGAGTTGCCAGACACTAGCTTCTAGCTTCTCCGGACACAGTCTGATGCGTTCGACTGAGGGTCCAGTTGATAATAATAGCAATCGCATCTTATTCTTCTTTTGGCCCTGGTGTCGCTGGTTCCGCTTGCACTTCCTCCGAAGCGCAGGTTCGTGCAACCCCTGCACAACCGGGTCTAAATGAATCAACAGGTTGTTTCAGACCAGGTTAAGCAAAGCAGTAATAGGACAACAGGATGCATTGTGTATGTATCCATGTGGGATCTCTCTCAGGGATGGCTGGACCTAAGTCAACGTCGCCAAGTGGTGATATTGAGAGAGAGTGTGTGTGTGGATCGAGGAGAAGAGAGGAGAGAAGGAAATACATATGCATGTATTTATATGTAAGGGGGAAGCGGGGAGAGGAAAGGATGAAGATTTATACACACGTCGGGAGAATTTATATCCGACCTTCGAAGGTTGAAAGGTACGTCTTTGCTGACTTGGATACAAGTAGAGCCTGGTGCTGCTAAAACGGTAGAATTAGAGAACGTCTGTCAGCATATAATCAATTGCTCAAATTATCTCGTACTACCTAGGTACTTACTAGAGTGAGAGATATTTGAAGTGAGAGGTATCTGTAGTGAGAGGTATCTGTAGTGTGAGAGTATCTGAAGTGTGAGAGATGTCTGAAGTGAAGATGTCTGAAGCGAGGGATCCAAAGCGATGCAAATTTTATAAGTGTAGAGGTTAGATAGAAAGGAGAATGAGTTGCAGAGTATGTAGTACGTAGGAAGTCATACATCCGTGGATGTCTGCTGTGTGTGCCTTTAACCCCCAGTGGACAGAGCACCTTAGTATAATATTTACCGAATGACAACCACGCTCTTCTTCCGCATTCCAAAATGTATTAGAAGGAGCTTTCTAAAAAAAAAAAGACTATACGACAGGAAGAAAAAAGAGTGGACAAACCCAGCGCCGAGAGTGCGAAATTCTCGACAGCGACTTGCGGTCCTAGGGGTTCGAACCCAGGGTGTGACCTAGACAGGTAGTCTAGAGCTGTTATGGCTCATGATCGATCTACCCACTAGGCCACCTGGGCTTTGCAATTACTACTATACTGACTTTTATATTTAACCAACTCTTAGATCGCCTGAGGCATATACGGTTGCAAGCCCCTATAGAGAAACCTATAGCTAGTTGGGCCATTCTCCCCTTACTTTCATCCTTTTCCTTACTCCATTCACCCCCTACTATAAGAAACATCCACAGCCCTCTTTCCCGTAGATATCCTTTTCGTGGTGGTTCCAACAAATATTGCTTGTGGTTTTAGTTATAAACAATATGATACACTCTCTATGCACATGACCTCGGCGTCTGCTTACTTATTGATAAGTATCTAGTGAAAATGAGCGGAAACAGCGTAGATTCCGTCCTTTGATAAACGTGTCCATTGCATTCCATATTATCTATCCAATCACATCTCACTGCACATCACCTATAGTGCACATAAATGTTAGTAGAATGAAGCGGTAGTCGCCAGGGCTGCTTTTATTGAAAACAAGGCTGAGTCATGTCCCTATCAACAACCCGTATGAGCAGACTTGCAGACCTAGCATTTAATTGAGATTGTGAACGTCTAGGTAATCTAGCCCGTAACGGTCGACATGAAGGAGACCAAAACCAACGGATATGTTATTATGATTGAGGCCATCCACGAAGGTAAGAATTCCATCCTGAAGCTTGAACCTTATTCCCTTATGTGAAAAACAGAAAAGCGACATCATCCTCAGATCTTGAGCATATCAGACAGTTCTCCAAGGGATCCACGGTACTTTTGAGTCGTATCAATAAGCACCAACCCGTAATAAAGCTCTAGCATAGCCCAAGATGATGCCATACGTGCGAATCATTGAAAGTCACTCATTGAAATTCGTGAAAGTGAGCGATGAGGGGTCATTAGCCTGCTCGTGTCCCAAACAATCATCCTGCGTGTGGTATCGTTACGGTAACTTGCGCGTTCAGCTTCGTTGTGAACCGTGGATGCAGCCGTGGGATTAACGTATACGGGCAGGTTGTCATGTTCCACCATGGAATTCTCAACCAGAGGACCTTTCTAAGAACCCGTCCTGTATAGCGACGGAGCAAGGAAGTCATCTGGCAGTATTTAAATGGGCGCAAAAGCGATGCTCGCAGGATATCGAGGCTGCAAATGAATATGTAGAATTGCTCGAACCTTGAGATTGACTATACGAACAAGCTGACCTGTACCAGTACTGGGACATGCCGGGCCAGAAAAGATCACTGGGGGTGCAGACTGGACTGGGATATGGGCCCACTAGGCTTGATGTCGCTGTCCTAGAGGAAGTGTTCCACCATTGCATTGTGGAATCTGCAATAACTGACTCTTTTTCCCTCAGAAACTGGCCACCCTTTCTTAACTTCGTTGTTTTCATCACAGCTGTTTCCATCTTTGTAAGGGCTCCTACTGAGCCTATTCACATTTGTGTCCAGATGGTGATAGTAGTAGTGCTTGTTAGGAGTGGCAGGGATCTCGGTCTCGTTCATGGGGGCAGTGGAGGAGTCTAGAACTGCATGATCGTCCTGTTAGCGCTTTCATACCGAAGTTGGAATAGACTCTCTCATAATGTTGGGGTATTGTCCATCGATGTTCAAATTCCGCACAAATGAATTGGGCTGAAAGTTATTCACAATAGTTTCGTAAAATGATATAGTTCCAATCATGGACTCATCTCGATAAAAATCTCAGCGAGCCCGCATGAAGCGTGGTCGAAACTTCTAACAAGATCCCGAGCATTTCTACCGTCGCACTAGAAATGCCTGGCATACATCAGTCACATGAGAAGCCAGTCTAAGCAGGACAGGGTCACCAGTTCAAAGGGTTGAGTACAGGGCTGGGTACTCGCAGTCTCTCATCTCCCCAATGTTTTTCACTCCGATTCCAACCTTACGATTTCAGCCCAGCTGTCTCGAATTTCAATTGGTGCGGTACGGCGCACGGTACCGTGAGATTTAGCCATCGGAAGTTGAAACGTGGGGGCTTCAGAAGCGTCTCGGTAGCCAAGATAGAGTCGGCTTCGTGCCATCGTTCTCAGTAGCCGAGCGTAGGCCTTGTTGATTTGCAATATGCCCACGCACAACCCGGCCTTCTTGGCGAGCATCCTTCTGATTCTGAACATCGACTTTGAAAGGGAGCGTGGGAAGCATAGCGGGACGAACAGGCCACAGGCCTTAAATGCGCAACTAGCAACGAAGAGGTAGGATGGTATGGACAAAAGCAGGATCTGGTTTTCGGTCCATTTTTTAAGGGTAACCGGGGTATGAGAACGAGGTGTGCGGAAATGAAATCAGTCGAAGTTAGGTGTCGGGTGTGGAGAAGTCTGATGGTGGTAGCTAACACTGATGATACAGCAAATCAAGCCACTGACACTGAGTAACATCCATGGAACTCACGCTCTGTTCTTTCAAGTTCGACAACTTGTGAGACTTTTATATAGCCTCTATCACTTCTAGCTTTGTCACAATCTTAATCCCCATTGTAGCATGCAATTTCACGTAGCTCTTTCTGTGTGTCTCTTTTGGCAAAATTGCTGTTGTTAGGAGGGGAGGGAGTCCAATACCTTGGCTACTAAATTTAAAAAAGATTGGTTCATAGAAAGTAGGCTCTATAGTTTTACAGATGGCCATATCACGACTCGACGGACCAGGTTATCACATTGTGCTTTAAACTAGGTTTTCATTCAAACAGCCCTTCGGATGCCCAGTCCAACGGTCCCTCCAACTCGTCGAATAGACCCAGTGGGTCAACTGGGTCCCAAAGAGTGGGAGCTTCACTGGGGGATGGCGCGGGCTCCTTCACGGTGGAGGCCAAAGTCCCAGGCGCGGGCGGGCGGGCGCGAGACGTGGGGAGAGCGCGACGGAGACGGCGAAGCACGGGGCGAGTGAGAGGCGCGGGGCGAGTGAGAGGCACTGGGCGAGCGCGAGGGCGCAGCAACAGGCGAGCTGGTAGAGGACCCATCGTCCTCGCTTTTGGCCGCGGCGTCAGCTGCCTCTTTCGAAACCATTAGTATTCACTTGATGTCAAGTCATGTTATGGAACATACTGTGCTTCTTGGCCCTCTTCTTTCCAGGGCGGCGCTGGTTGCGCTTGCGCTTCGGTGGCAGGTCAGGGTCACGTACCCTCGGCACGACGGGGGGCTATATCAATCAACGGGTTAATTAATTCAAACCAAGTTATACGACACAATGGTGGGTAAATGGGAGGAACAAATTGGGACAACTTGGAGTCTCGACAGGTTGTAACTAGAGAAGACATGGTTACTTACGACCTCAACTCCACGATCGCGGAGGTACTTGCGGAAACTCTTGTTTCGCTTCTTCTTCTCGTCGGTGTTGTCCGGGGTTGCCCCGGGAGAAGGAGGTCCTTCCATGATGATAATAACAAAAGTGAGTGATGATGTTGATCAGTTGTGGGTGAGATGAGATGCGAAGAGAGAGGAGGAGAGAAAAAAACTTTCGACGCGTGAGGAGTCTTAAAATCTCGCACTTTCCTCTTTGAACGAGAACTATTTGTTTGATCAGGAATGTCTTCGTTCCAATCAAGCGCTGTTTCTATCAACTGACTGAGTCAGTATCACCCTGATATTTTCCAGCGACTCTTCAGCTACAAGATTCTCTTCGTTCAAACCTTATAATAATGCGAAGTATAAGTCTACCTATGTGATTCAGCATTGCAGCTTGCATAATATTGGGCTATATACGTGTAAATAAGGGCTTGTCGCAAGCCCATTCGGAAGGGTCACTAAAGATAACAAGCCTTTGAACAAAGAGAATCGGTAGACGTCCATTATCAAAAGCTATGAGGCTTGACTAAGCGCATGAGCTGAGGTTATACTGAAGATAAAAGGCAGTGGTAATGTTGAAGGTGCCGTGATATGCGTAGACACCCTCGGTACAAGGAAGAAGAGTGGGATATTAAGTCAAATGAACATGAGGCCAACCGCCTACAATAGAACACCCTGCGACATCTAAGCCCATGGTAATTAGATTCGCGTTTTGGAACCTTCAGTAGACTAATAGTGCGACTGTTGGTGATCACAATATTCCTTCTGGCTGTACTATTGTGAGAATGCATTGTCTGGCCGACTGACGAGCGGGCTAGATGCGTCTGGCGAGCAGTCTTGGCCTTCGGCTTTTGGCTTTTGGGCTATACTTCCAAGAGACTATAAGACTGAAAAGCATCAATGGACGACAAAATTTGCAGATACAAGGTCAGCGAATGGCTCGGCTGGATCCTTGTCTTCGGTCAGAAGTTAGTTAGGCAAACCCCTAGTTACTATAATCGTTGCCTAGGGCAAAGTCGTCACGTGACAGGGCCAGGTGACTACCAGTTATGGAGATGTTGGTTAAATATCAAAGTTAGCATAGTAGTAATCGCAAAGCCCATATGGTCTAGTCAGTAGATCACACATGAGCCATATCCGCTCTAGACTACTGTCCTATTCCAACTGCATGGGTTCGAACCCCCGCGACCGCAAGTCGTGTCCAGAATTTCGCACTCTCGGCACTGGGTTTGTCCACTTTTTTTTCCATTTTGGTATTATTTATCATATAAGTCATTTTTTTCTCTTTTTTCCCGCTCCATTTTACTGGTACTTTTGGCATATTGAGAGAGTGCGGTAGTTGTCTGGCAAAACGCGTTTGACGGGTAAATAGTATCAACAGTCTCTTTTGTTAACTCGCTCCCAAGGTTAGCCAAACTTTTCCAGTTCCAGCATATGAATCACAGTCCTACTTGTTATAATCAAAGTATCCCACATTTTCTAGTGAGAGTCCACAATTCCATAGGCCCGAGAAACTATATAAGCCTATTTGAATATAAACGGACCAATCCATTCATAGGGATATATCCATCGGATTCAATAAACACACGCGAGAGAGTCCCTGGGAGCAAAAGCTTGACGAATTAATTATGTAAATGGCCCTTGCGTAATTATCTCGCTCGGGAATCAAGACAAAATGATATACCACTATGAAGGTCTTATTTGTAATATTTTTGTATGTATTCTGCCTCCTATGAGCAGGCCATATCTTGCGCATTATCAGAGCACGGGGCTCACCTGCTCAACCCTTGGCAGAAAAGAGGTTTTGATCTTGGTCTCTGCTCAATCATGGTATCATGGACTTGGAATCATCCCATGACGCCTATGCACTCGACCTTGACGCCCACCAAAAAAGCCCACCGAACAAATCCCGGATATTAGAACGAGACCAAGTATCCAAGACTTGAATACCACACTGTTCTGGTCCAGAAATCCAGGATAAGTGCAGGAAGTTGAAGTATGTCGAGGTAACGGACATCGAGCTCACATCCTGTACAATGTTATCAGACCGTATCCATGTTGAGATATGATTCCCCGGAGGTAACTTTGACCATAAGGTGACAGCGGGAATAGTGCTAGGCTCCGTTATGCAAGTGATTCATGGAGCCATCCCGGTCGTATCATGACTAGCAAGCTCCAAGTCCTCGGTGTTTGTCCCGCCAGCTTTGTTCGGGAAGGTCTCGGTTCCAGTGCATGGGAAGCTGGGGCTTGTTGGCAGCTTCTGCAGATGTGAAAAGGTCACGAAGCGGCAGAGGACGCGTGTTTCGGTGTACCTCTCTAGAAGAAATCATCAATAGTAGTCGCTGTCTTGGAGAAAAGGATGGTACTCACCACGTATTGATTCTTCAGATGTTCCGATAAAATGCAGGCATGTGTGGTGGGTATACAAAGCATCCCATTTGTTGAAATCTCTGTCAAAGCTATATCGTCACAGCAGACGGTTTCTCGTCTTATCCCACTATGGATTTGGGCTCAAAAAAGTCGCCAACTGATAGTCAGTATACGGAAATCCAGCCAGTTTCACGGTGGAATGTGGTTACTGGCTGATGGATTTGACAAAGATGAAGAGGACAAGGAAGACATTGACATGAGCAAACGAGGCAACCACGTTTTGTACTGGCGCGTTTCTACACGATCTTTCAACTCGAGAAAATGGACATTACGTGTATTGCGATTGAAGAGACAAGATCAAAAGCAGGGCAAAGCTACATGTACATAGTTAGATTACCCAGTACCCCTCTATGCAAAAGTATGTACATCTGTTAGGTACTGCATGTATATTTTCATATTCACATCTCATAATAACTTTGCTTGAACATTTGACACGGTCAACTCCAAAAGTAGAGATTCCTATTGACCCCAACGAAGATGACTCCAACAAGCATGGGGTCACTGATACGATGTCTCCATATTGCGGGGGAAGTGAACTGGGGAATCTCGCGGTACTTCGGACTTTTGTCCGCCCACTCCACTTCTTATCAATGGCCATACAAAGTAGTCCATCCCCTCTAGCTTTCTTTTAAGAAGCGACAGTACACCGGATTATGGCGTGTTCTCACTTTTTGCGAACTCTCCGCAGAACCTGTCTTCAATCTGCCAAGCCTGTCTTCTCCAACCCTGCTAGAACCTTTTCTTCGTCACGAATACAAGCTATGTTGACAACGGAACTCTCCGAGACTGAGGTCTCTGCGCTCAGAACAAACAAGGAACGCCTGGCCAGTGATCTTCACCACTCGTGTCAATGGGGATCTGGAATTAGATGGGGAGAGTAAGCCACAACCACTCTTTCCAAGATCAACGGAGAATGACAGCTAATGAAAGCCTCGGTGACTTGATAGTGGACCTACAGATACTGGCATGCAGCGCCTGGCGCTTTCACAAGACGACAAGAGTGTGCGTGATTGGTTCATCCAAACCATGAAAGCTCTCAAGTGCAATGTGACCGTGGACGAGATGGGTAATATCTTTGCTGTTCGTCCTGGTCGGAGAGCGGATATACCTGCCACATTTATTGGGAGTCATCTCGATACACAACCGACTGGCGGACGGTACGATGGTATTCTAGGTGTGTTGGCAGGTATCGAAGTCATCAAGACTATGAACGACATGGGTCTGGAGACGGAGGGCGGAGTTGGGGTTGTCGACTGGACCAAGTAAGATCGGAACGTTGAACTTGAAAAAGGGAATATCACTGACCGTTTCCAGCGAGGAGGGAGCCCGATTCCCGATCAGCATGGTCTCGAGTGGTGTATGGGCCGAGTGCATCCCATTGGCACATGCGCATAATCTCAAGGAGGTGCCAACAGTGGCATCGCTGCCAACAGCGGCATCAGCACCAGAGACCATGAAGAGCGCCCTGCAGAAGATCGGTTACTTGGGTGATATCCCGTGCTCGTACAAATCTACGCCAATGGCCGCCCATTTCGAAGTTCACATTGAGCAAGGCCCATACCTGGTGTCGGCAAACCAGCGAGTCGGAGTTGTGACAGCCGTGCAAGCCTACAGATGGTTCCGTCTCAACGTCATCGGTCGAGATACACATACAGGAACCACTGCTTTTGAACATCGAGCAGACGCCCTCTATGCATTCGCTCAAATGATGGTACGCGCACGGGAAGTGGCAGCTTCGAAGGGTTGCCTAGCCAGCGTCGGTATTGTCGACGCAAAGCCCGGTAGCGTGAACACAGTTCCTGGACAGGTGAGCTTTAGCTTGGACATCCGTGGGCCCGAGACAGAGCAGGTTGCCGAAGTCGAGAAGGAGCTGCGCGCTGAGTTTGATGGCATTGCCGCCGCTGAGGGTGCTGGTATTGGTAAGCCCTGCCGCGTCGAGTGGACTCTTGACTTCGACTCGCCTGCTGTTAAGTTCCACGAAGACTGCATTGACTGCGTGCAACAGTCAGCTCAGGCTGTTGTCGCAGATGCTTCTGTTGCGGACACAAAGTCACTTGTGCGGACCATCATGAGTGGTGCTGGCCATGACAGTGTCTTCACCTCCAAGCGTGTCCCAACGAGCATGATCTTTATCCCATGCAAGGACGGTCTCAGCCATCACCCTGAGGAGTTCTCCACTGCTGATGATTGCGCCACTGGAGCATCTGTCATTTTGCAGGCTGTGGTCCGCTATGATCGGAAGAGATTTTTGTAAGCAGTGCTCAAGTAGTGAGTCTGACACAACAGGTCTCATAGTTACATGAGGGTACAAAGACCTCAAGACACGTCAACTACATACGTATGCGTCAAGAAAGCTGGAAGACCTACACGAAGTTTACGAATAGACCAATTTCACTCAAGTCATGAATTTACCATTTGAGTCAACTTACATCAATTCACACAGATCTACATCATGAACCCAGTGGAAACATAAATTTCTTCTTTTTATTTTGTTTCCTGTATCCCCAAGTCCCAGTGAAGCTGGAACGAGATCTTGGTGCACCGAGGGTAAGGCCCGTTTCAAGAAACCTCTAGTCCGGCAGCCGAATTCGGATACACCATCAAGACTCTAGATTGACCGAGAAGTGGTTGACAGGACACCAATGCCTCTCAGCATT